GGGGGGGATTACAATTTTATTTTCAAATATTTTTTTTACCAAAATTTTCCCCAATAGTAACTTCTATTAGAAGGTTCATACTAGATTTTAGAAATTATTATAAAAAATATCCAAAAAATATTACTTATTCATAAATATAGACATATCATATATCAATTAGTTGAAGGTACAATTACAAGGTCAACTGTGAACACCTTACACTCACACAAATTCCATGTTCATTAAGTACACATATTTTCCATTTATAGACTTGTCATATTTCTATTAATTACAAAACAATTGTAAGACTGATGATGAAGTACACATGTTTCTATTGAGAATGGTAACTGAAGTAGTGTGGAAGCAATGTTATTAAAGTAACTGTCATTCTTTAAGTAATTTTTTACAAGAGTTTCAATATTAAGCTATAACACACAGGACAAAAATAAAAAAAAAAAAAACAAAAACAAATGACACCTCAATTAATTTTCAGTAAATTAAGTTTTTTGGTTGATTTAAAATTATAATCTCATCTTCAATAATTTGATTCATAATTGGAAACTTATAATTAATTTAAAAAATGCTGTTTCAGATGTAACTAGAAGAGGAATATTGTTAAATTTACCTTTGTTATAATAATCTGCTTTTTTTTTAATGGGTTTTTCTGCATTGCTAAATCTTAATATTCTAATGCTTCATCAAATCTATTTATCTATTCTAAGGCAATCGCTAAGAAAATATACATCATTAATTTATACCTTTACATTTATAATAATCTGCATTTTCTGGGTTTTTCTGAATTGCTGAATCATAATATCCCAATGCTTCTTCAAATCTATTCATCTTTTCTAAAGTAATAGCTTAGAAAATATATAACATTAATTTATACCTTTGCCATAATATAAATCTGAATTTTCTGGGTTTTTCTGAATGGCTAAATCATAACACTCCAATGCTTCTTCAAATCTATTTAACTTGAATAAGACAATCGCTAAGAAAATGTACATTATGAATTTAAACCTTTGTTTTTATAAAAAAATTCTGCTATTTCTGGGTTTTTCTGAATAGCTTAATCATAATATTGCTATGCTTCCTCAAATCTATTCCTCTTTTCTAAGGCAATAGCTAAAAATAAATACATCATTAATTTATACCTTTGCAATTATAATAATCTGCATTTTCTGGGTTTTTTTGAATAGCTGAATCATAATACATCAATGATTCTTCAAATCTATTCATCTTTTCTAAGGCAATCGCTAAGAAAATATACATCATTAATTTGTACCTTTTTCATTATATTGATCTGCATCTTCTGGGTTTTTCAGAATGGCTAAATCATAACACTCCAATGCTTCTTCGAATCTATTTAACTTGAATAAGGCAATCGCTAAAAATTATACATTATTAATTTATACCTTTACATTTATAATAATCTGCTTTTTTCTGGGTTTTTCTGAATAGCTAAATCATAATACTCCAATGCTTCTTTAAATCTATTTAACTTGAATAAGGCAATCGCTAAAAATTATACATTATTAATTTATACCTTTGCAATAATAAAAATTTGCATTTTCAGGATTTTTCTGAATAGTTTAATCATAGTAAAACAGTGATTCTTTAATTCTATACATCAGTTCTAGATTATCAGCTAAAATTAAAAAACTTTTTTTGTACCTTTGCCATAATAATAATCTGATTTTTCTGAGTTTTTCTCAATAGCTAAATCATAATATTTCAATGCTTCTTCAAATCTGTGAATGTTCTTTAAGAAAGCAGCTAAGAAAATATCCATCATTAATTTAAACCTTTGACATAATAAAAATCTGCTTCTTCTGGGTTTTTCTGAATGGCTAAATCATAATACTCCAATGCTTCTTCAAATCTATTTAACTTGAATAAGGCAATCGCTAAAAATTTATACATTATTAATTTATACCTTTGCCATAATAAAAATCGGCTTCTTCTGGGTTTTTCTGAATAGCTAAATCATAATACTCCAATGCTTCTTTAAATCTATTTAACTTGAATAAGACAATCGCTAAGAAAATAAACATCATTATTTTATACCTGTGCCTTAAAAATAATCTGCATTTTCTGGGTTTTTCTGAATAGCTTAATCTTAATACTCCAATGCTTCTTCATATCTATTCATCTTTTCTAAGGTAATAGCTAAGAAAATATACATCATTACCTTTTCCACTATAATATTTTGCATCTTATGGGTTTTTTTGAATAGCTATATCATAATTCTCCAATGCTTCTTCATATCTATTTATCTTTTCTAAAGTAATAGCTAAGAAAATATACATCATTAATTTATACCTTTGCCATAATATAAATCTGAATTTTCTGGGTTTTTCTCAATAGCTAAATCATAATACTCTAATGCTTCTTCATATCTATTATTCTTTTCTAAGGCAATAGCTATTAAATTGATATATCATTAATTTATACCTTTACATTTAAATTAATCTGCATTTTCCGGGTCTTTCTGAATAGCTAAATCTTAATATCTCAATGCTTCTTAAAATCTATTCATCTTTTCTAAGGTAATAGCTAAGAAATTATACATCATTACCTTTTCCACTATAATATTTTGCATCTTATGGGTTTTTTTGAATAGCTATATCATAATTCTCCAATGCTTCTTAAAATCTATTCATCTTTTCTAAGGCAATAGCTAAGAAAATATACATCATTAATTTATACCTTTGCCAATATAATAATCTGCATTTTCTGAGTTTTTCTTAATAGCTATATCATAATACTCCAATGCTTCTTAAAATCTATTCATCATGAATAAGGCAATTGCTTAAAAATATTAATCATTATTTTATACCTTTGCCATTATAATGATCTGAATTTTCTGGGTTTTTTTGATTAGCTAAATCATAATTCTCCAATGCTTCTTAAAATCTATTCATCTTTTCTAAAGTAATAGCTTAGAAAATAAATAACCTTAATTTATACCTTTGCCATAATAAAAATCTGCATTTTCTGGGTTTTTCTGAATGGCTAAATCATAATACTCCAATGCTTCTTTAAATCTATTTAACTTGAATAAGACAATCGCTAAGAAAATAAACATCATTATTTTATACCTGTGCCTTAAAAATAATCTGCATTTTCTGGGTTTTTCTGAATAGCTTAATCTTAATACTCCAATGCTTCTTCATATCTATTCATCTTTTCTAAGGTAATAGCTAAGAAAATATACATCATTACCTTTTCCACTATAATATTTTGCATCTTATGGGTTTTTTTGAATAGCTATATCATAATTCTCCAATGCTTCTTCATATCTATTCATCTTTTCTAAAGTAATAGCTAAGAAAATATACATCATTAATTTATACCTTTGCCATAATATAAATCTGAATTTTCGGGATTTTTCTCAATAGCTAAATCATAATACTCTAATGCTTCTTCATATCTATTATTCTTTTCTAAGGCAATAGCTATTAAATTGATATATCATTAATTTATACCTTTACATTTAAATTAATCTGCATTTTCCGGGTCTTTCTGAATAGCTAAATCTTAATATCTCAATGCTTCTTAAAATCTATTCATCTTTTCTAAGGTAATAGCTAAGAAATTATACATCATTACCTTTTCCACTATAATATTTTGCATCTTATGGGTTTTTTTGAATAGCTATATCATAATTCTCCAATGCTTCTTAAAATCTATTCATCTTTTCTAAGGCAATAGCTAAGAAAATATACATCATTAATTTATACCTTTGCCAATATAATAATCTGCATTTTCTGAGTTTTTCTTAATAGCTATATCATAATACTCCAATGCTTCTTAAAATCTATTCATCATGAATAAGGCAATTGCTTAAAAATATTAATCATTATTTTATACCTTTGCCATTATAATGATCTGAATTTTCTGGGTTTTTTTGATTAGCTAAATCATAATTCTCCAATGCTTCTTAAAATCTATTCATCTTTTCTAAAGTAATAGCTTAGAAAATAAATAACCTTAATTTATACCTTTGCCATAATAAAAATCTGCATTTTCTGGGTTTTTCTGAATGGCTAAATCATAATACTCCAATGCTTCTTTAAATCTATTTAACTTGAATAAGACAATCGCTAAGAAAATAAACATCATTATTTTATACCTGTGCCTTAAAAATAATCTGCATTTTCTGGGTTTTTCTGAATAGCTTAATCTTAATACTCCAATGCTTCTTCATATCTATTCATCTTTTCTAAGGTAATAGCTAAGAAAATATACATCATTACCTTTTCCACTATAATATTTTGCATCTTATGGGTTTTTTTGAATAGCTATATCATAATTCTCCAATGCTTCTTCATATCTATTCATCTTTTCTAAAGTAATAGCTAAGAAAATATACATCATTAATTTATACCTTTGCCATAATATAAATCTGAATTTTCGGGATTTTTCTCAATAGCTAAATCATAATACTCTAATGCTTCTTCATATCTATTATTCTTTTCTAAGGCAATAGCTATTAAATTGATATATCATTAATTTATACCTTTACATTTAAATTAATCTGCATTTTCCGGGTCTTTCTGAATAGCTAAATCTTAATATCTCAATGCTTCTTAAAATCTATTCATCTTTTCTAAGGTAATAGCTAAGAAATTATACATCATTACCTTTTCCACTATAATATTTTGCATCTTATGGGTTTTTTTGAATAGCTAAATCATAATTCTCCAATGCTTCTTAAAATCTATTCATCTTTTCTAAAGTAATAGCTTAGAAAATAAATAACCTTAATTTATACCTTTGCCATAATAAAAATCTGCATTTTCTGGGTTTTTCTGAATGGCTAAATCATAATACTCCAATGCTTCTTTAAATCTATTTAACTTGAATAAGACAATCGCTAAGAAAATAAACATCATTATTTTATACCTGTGCCTTAAAAATAATCTGCATTTTCTGGGTTTTTCTGAATAGCTTAATCTTAATACTCCAATGCTTCTTCATATCTATTCATCTTTTCTAAGGTAATAGCTAAGAAAATATACATCATTACCTTTTCCACTATAATATTTTGCATCTTATGGGTTTTTTTGAATTGCTAAATCATAATTCTCCAATGCTTCTTCATATCTATTCATCTTTTCTAAAGTAATAGCTAAGAAAATATACATCATTAATTTATACCTTTGCCATAATATAAATCTGAATTTTCGGGATTTTTCTGAATAGCTGAATCATATTATTTTATTGCTTCTATAAATCTATTCAGTTTATCTACAATATTTGCTGCAATGATAAAAAATTATACCATATTTATAACATTCTAGCTTGTAAATGTTTTTCTTTATATTTGAATAATTAATTTCAATAGGAATTTTCTAAAAATCCATTAATTATTTTTTATTAGGTTCTTCCAAGTTTTTAAATATTATATTATTTTCCCTTATGTTTTGTAGTTTTTTGTTACATTTTACAATTTAAATTAGGTGTTATATTTTTTTTTTCACAATAAATTTTAAGAATTTATTACCATTTGTCAGTTTTTGTAAGTATTCTTGTTTGATTAAATTTTAAAGTTTCATAAAGCTTAAGAGTATACGAAAATCATTTATGGAGGCTTTACATGACTTACATTCATTAATCTCATTTTTATCAAATTAAATCATTAATTATAATTAAAAATTTACTATCTTTTTACAGAGTTATTTTAAGAGTCTAAGGGAGAACATAATCTCCATATTGAAATATTATGTTTTGATAAAGATTCAAGAGACTATTGATTTTGAATCATGAATGGATTATGAGATTTGACAGCAGCAATATTTAATACACAGATAATATATATTTATATTTATAAAATCCACTTATTATTATGTTTGAAAAGTCATTATCGCAAGAGACTAGAATACAATAAAGGAATAAAATATTTTGAAAATCCACTGCAGTAATCAAATTGATAAATTATGAATATGTTAAGTTTTTTACAAATCTTTTTATAGAGATTTTAAGACAGTATTAAATCTATTTATTATTATTCATGCATAATCTAATTACAAAAGCTTAAATTGGTAAAATTGTTTTCGGTATCTATTAAATAACTAACATTTGAGAAAAGCATAATATTTGAAATTTTTTCCATATCTCTAATTCCTCTTTATAACAATAGCCTGAGCTGGTANTTTGAATTGCTAAATCATAATTCTCCAATGCTTCTTCATATCTATTCATCTTTTCTAAAGTAATAGCTAAGAAAATATACATCATTAATTTATACCTTTGCCATAATATAAATCTGAATTTTCGGGATTTTTCTGAATAGCTGAATCATATTATTTTATTGCTTCTATAAATCTATTCAGTTTATCTACAATATTTGCTGCAATGATAAAAAATTATACCATATTTATAACATTCTAGCTTGTAAATGTTTTTCTTTATATTTGAATAATTAATTTCAATAGGAATTTTCTAAAAATCCATTAATTATTTTTTATTAGGTTCTTCCAAGTTTTTAAATATTATATTATTTTCCCTTATGTTTTGTAGTTTTTTGTTACATTTTACAATTTAAATTAGGTGTTATATTTTTTTTTTCACAATAAATTTTAAGAATTTATTACCATTTGTCAGTTTTTGTAAGTATTCTTGTTTGATTAAATTTTAAAGTTTCATAAAGCTTAAGAGTATACGAAAATCATTTATGGAGGCTTTACATGACTTACATTCATTAATCTCATTTTTATCAAATTAAATCATTAATTATAATTAAAAATTTACTATCTTTTTACAGAGTTATTTTAAGAGTCTAAGGGAGAACATAATCTCCATATTGAAATATTATGTTTTGATAAAGATTCAAGAGACTATTGATTTTGAATCATGAATGGATTATGAGATTTGACAGCAGCAATATTTAATACACAGATAATATATATTTATATTTATAAAATCCACTTATTATTATGTTTGAAAAGTCATTATCGCAAGAGACTAGAATACAATAAAGGAATAAAATATTTTGAAAATCCACTGCAGTAATCAAATTGATAAATTATGAATATGTTAAGTTTTTTACAAATCTTTTTATAGAGATTTTAAGACAGTATTAAATCTATTTATTATTATTCATGCATAATCTAATTACAAAAGCTTAAATTGGTAAAATTGTTTTCGGTATCTATTAAATAACTAACATTTGAGAAAAGCATAATATTTGAAATTTTTTCCATATCTCTAATTCCTCTTTATAACAATAGCCTGAGCTGGTATTTAAAATTAATTAAAGGTTATATTCCAACGAGCTAGTAACAATTTTTGTTATGATCTTAATCAATAATCTAATTTTCAACCTCCTAAATGAAACTTTTTATTGAGGATAAATAAATTAAATATTTGTAAGGAATATTAGAAATTAAAACATCTCTTATAAAACATCAAAGAATTAGATCTAAATGCAATTAAAATGTAATAAATTTCAAATGAAATGAAAATAATAATAATCATTATAAAAGATGATAAAAGGTTATGATTCATAAGGAAATTACAAAAAAAATCGTATTAAACAAATTGTAAATAGTAAAATAGTAAATATAAACGAATCTAAATTTAAATGAAATAGATGTTAATTTCCTATTGAATATTCTAATAAGATATTTAATTATTAGCAATAATTTAGTAATTGAGTTATAGATTATAACCTAATCAATAAAGCTTAAGACTTTCAAAAAATCAAAATCTTGGATAATTACTTCTTTAGTAATATTTTAGGATTGTTTGAAAAATCCCTTGATTTTTATAGATTTTTTTAATTAGTTCGTTACAATAATTAAAAAAAAATAAATATGTAAAATTGTAAAAAATAACAAATTTATCAAGAGAAAAAGAAACTATTTAGTGTGCGTGTGTTCATCTTGAATAATTGACTTTTTTATGGTATTTATTAATGAAGCCACTTTTGGAAAGAATTAACAATTACCAAAAGAATAGCAATAAAGAAATTCTACAAATAAATATAAATACAAGATTTATGAAAATAATTATCAATAATTGGAGTATTGTAAATGATAATTTAATTTGTTAAAGGAACTATTAATTCAGCAATATTTAATATTTGCAGTTTTTTTGGATTAACTTCTAGTATTATGCAAAAATTGCTTTCAGAATAAAAGTTATCATCAACATAAATTTTCTGTTCGCAAAAGCAAAATGATACTAAAATTTTTACATTAAATAGATAAATAAATAACTTTGAATTTTTCTTGAAAGGAATTTCTTATTACAAAGGTGTTTTACTTTATAACTTTTTTAAAAAGAATTATAAAAAATTTTTTTAATATCTTTCTTAAAGATTTGATTTATGTATTTTTGTAATGAAAATTATATTGTTCTGATAATCATTTTGATAACTTATTCTGGTTTTAGGGGTATTTTTATATGTTTTCATATTTTTACGTTAAATTGTTTGTTAACGTTATAATAATGAGGCCCTTAAATCTGCCCAAAATATGAAGGGAATCATTTTCCCTGAATGCCTGAGTTAAGGGATATGATGTGTAAAACAACATAATTTACTCAAATCATGTATTTTCATATTCTTCCATTTACAATTAAGAAAAGTATTCAATTTGATTTCACTTATATCAATGTGTTTAAATTTAAAATAGCATTTTATTAAATTAGTGCCTATCAGTTAAGTATGCAATAATTTTACTTTTTCGAACATAAATTTGTAGACAAATCTATCGACTAATAAATTATCCTCATAAAATTGGTTGGAAGTCTAAAGTTGTAAGATGAACTAAAATTTCTAAAATTCTTTAGTATTTCTTTCTCTTTTATTTCTAATTAAATATAGAGAAGTTTATTTGAATTTTCTTGAAGATTGTTTAACTTAAACTTTTCTAAAACCTGAGTTTATAAAATACAAGTAAAATCATATCATTATAGATATGAAGACAAATTATATGATTTTATATAAAATTATTCAATTCTGATTGATACTTAGAGTGAATCTTCCATTTATTCTAAAAGCGGTGAAAACTTTTGTTAATCATCCATTCGGATAAAAATAATTTTGATCAAGTTGAATACTTTTAGAAATTTTGTTTAAACACTTTATGCTAATAATACAAAATCTGACATAATCAAAATCATAAGATATTCTAATTTAATTGAGGAATTATAATTAGAATGATAATATGATTAATCACGGTATTGACTTTTTTTGAACAAACACCAAATAGTTTATTTAGGAAGCTCTAAATATTCTGGTAATCTATCATTTTTTAAATAACAAACAAATTAATTCAATTATTAACAATCATGAGCACTATTTTCAATTTATTTCCTACTTAGACTGCATGCAAAATGTATATTTCTTTTAGTGAATTGCTTAGAAAAATAAAGTAGAATTTATAAATTGCAATTATAAATGAGTATTTAATCTGTGAATATGAATAAAATTATTACACATTAAATTATTAAATGAGTCATAGATAAAAAAGAGTAAAACCAGGTCGTCCAAGTAAAGATGATCAAAAGGAAGGAGTGGAAATATAAAGATCTTCAGATGATGAGAATGAGTATATAGCAGATGATTCTGATTGTGAAAGAATATTCTCATTATTGGCCAAATAAAGTAGTTATAAAAACATTACCAAAACTGGACCAACTAAAACTAAAAAGGCTGATGAGGAGTAGTTGGCGGAAGCATCAGAAAATGTGAAAAAAGTTCTTGTAGATTTATAAATAGAAGATCCACAATTCTTTTTTTTATCAAATTAAAAAAGAAAGTACGAGTTTGATAATGATAAATTGGTTGATAAGACTGAATATAAGTTGATTAAAAAAGATGAATTCGGTGATTAATTTAAAACTTTGATTCATAAGATTAACATAGTCAATAAAGAATTGGATGAAAATTTTATTGATGTATTGAAAGAAATTTTAATTCAATATTAAGACTTAGTGATTTAAGAAGTGAATTCTAACACTATAATTGAAAAAATAATTCAAACTATTAAAAATCCAGAAAATTAAGAAAAATTTTAATATTTATTAACATGGTAAAGATTAAAAAGCATTACTAAAGAAACTCGTATGAATAGAGCAATAGAAGATTTAGAAGAAAAACGAAAAGAAATAAATAAAAAAACATCTGATAAGGTTAAGAAAAAACACTAAGAATTTATTGATAGCTAAAAAAAAGAATTAGATGAAGAAAATAGTATGGATCCACTCTAATATTTGATTACCAAACTAATTACAGCATTTGATAAAATTATTGGAAGATTTGATCAGATTATGCTTCAGGGTTTAATTGCATGCAAATGATTTATTTTTATTATCAAAAAATCCTCCATTATTTTTCCAATTTTACATAATAGTACTCAACAATCATTATTTTCATTTTTAGTTATATATGTATTTTTATTTCAGCATATTTTTATGGCTCCTTAATCAAAAAGTAAAAATAAAAATAAAGAAGATTAAGAATAACAAAATGTTCCTTTTTTCATTTTCTGCTGTTATGGAATTAAAATATTGTAAGATTTGAAAATATTTATTTGAGAAAAATAACATATCATAATAAAATTCTAATATCAATTTATATCTTTTGATAATAGTCAAATGAATCTTGTCAAATATGATAATTTCCATTTAAGTATTCATAACAATTCAACAAACCTATTATCTCTGTAATAGATCTAAGTTGAATCGAAAAAGGAGTAAGTATAGAAAATAATTCTAAGTTTATCTCTTTGCATTACTTATAATTTAAAATGTTAAAAAAAATTTAGCCTAGTAATTACATATAGTTTAATATTGTAGAATTTATTCATTTTAATAGAGATTTTACTTCTAGTTTTCAAAAATAAGTAAAATAGTTTTTAATATAAATTTCATGAACACATTTTTGATAAAAGCTTATCATAATTAATTTAGTTCGACTTGTAATCATTAGTTTTTAAATAAGGAAATGTTATTGTAAAGAAGAGCAAGTAAATAAATAAAATGAAAATTATATTATTACTGAAATAGGTATTCTCAATAAAGTTAAGATAGATACTTACTCTTATTAATAGAGATATCAAAATAATTCTATTTATTAAAAATTAAGGTTCTCACTATGGTCAAAAAATACCTAGTAATAAGGATATTAATTCCACAAATCAATGCCTGAATTTAGTTTAATTTTTTTCTGCCTTATTATATTAATGTTAAGTCTCTTTTTTTTGACACAAATATACTTTAATTATGTTAATATCTCAAATAATAGTATTTAATCATTTAAATTAAAATAAATTGTTAGAGTAATTCAAAAAATTTTATCTAAATAACACTTATGTTCTTTCTGAAAAGATGAGAAGAATTAAGTATCTATAGTCACTAAAGATGAATGAATAATCTTAATTAATAAAGAACCAATCGATTTTTTATAAGCTACAACTTAATAAATCAATTATTTCATGGAAAGTATTCTTTTTTTACAAACTTCTCCATAAATATTTCAGCCTCTTCTCTTTTATCTAGCGGTACCATATGACCAGCATTTCTTATAGTCATAAATGTTAATCCATCTAAATCTAAGACATAGCCAGCGTTTTAATTTGGATCAACTTCTCTCTAACCCTCTACATACCAAGGTCTCCAAGGACTTAAAGTTAACAAAGCTGTTATTATAGGTATTAATAAGTTACATAATTCTGTCTACAATTTATTAATCCAAAACATTGTGCCTGTAACAGGAACAACAGCATCAACATCACCACTATATATCAAGACTCTAATTTAATTTTTTAGAATTTCTTTATATAAATAGTAAGATCCTTTAGGATTTTCTTTATAATCAACAAATTTTCTTGAGCATACTTCCCATTCTGGTGATTCGACTTTTATATGTAATAGCTCATATATAATCATATTATACATTCCGAACTTTATTCGACCTTAAATGATGATATAATCCTTAAATATCAGCACAAGCTGGAATATCTGCATCCTCAGTATATTATCTCATACCAAAAAACCTTTATGCCATTTTACTTCCTTCAGGGGTATAGGTGTAGCAGGGTCCATACATATTGTATTGGTTAGCTTTAATTTTTTAATCTTTTCCTATAATTTGCTCTTCAACCTCTTTTGATATTTATGTACAAATATCAGTTTTGACTTCATTACATTATTTTTCAACACTTCTTACTTTTTCATATAATTGCTCACTTATAAAATTATGCCTTCCAACTTAGTGAAAAACATGAATTTAGAATTACCAAGCTTCATGTGTACATTCAGTAGGATCAGTGCACCCATTACCAATAGCCAATCCTTATAAATTTATTCTATTATCAGCACTTTATTGAGAATTATAATCAATAATTTCTTTTGTTAAAGTTGGCACATATACTCCACCAAATGATTCTCCAGCAAGAAAAAATGGCAGTTTTTTATACTCAGGAAATTTATTAAAAAAGTCAATTAAGGCTTGAAGGTTGTATTTAGCAGTTGATTCATCTGACTATTCCACTTAAGGGCCATAAGAAAAACCAACTGATATTGGCGACTCAAGATATATCATGTTAGCCTAAATGTTGTTTGTGTCAGATATATACAAAATTTGTCCATGAATACTTGTTCAACTCAAATTCAGATGTGCCAGCTTTAAATACAAATGGACCATTCTCATTAAAAGCCCCCTAAATAGATGAACATCCAGGACCTCCATTTAACCATAATATTATAGGTTTCTCTAGAGAATCATTTATAGCTGGATAAAATAAATAATAAAATTAAGTTGTTCCCTCTTTATCAGCTTTTAAATATCCTGAATACCTAAGAAATTAAAATTGAATCTTACAAATCTCCTTAGTAATTAATATTAAAAATTTGATTCAACATTATATTATCTACAATATCTGATTCATGAGCCCCTATTTAAAATGATAAGGATAGAGATAGAAAAGTTGTGATTGTAACAATAATCTTCATACTTAACTAATATTAATTAAAAAAATCAATTTAAAATTTTATAATTGTATATTATAGAACATGGATTTTCTACATTTTCTAATATAAATTAAGTTGATATTTTGTATTAATCAAAAAAATTTCTATATATCGCTAAATACAAATTATTATACTCAATTATTTAATGATGAAACTTCAATTTGAACAATGTAAATCTATTATATACATACTTTGTTCATATAATAATATTTCAAATGAATCACGATTTTTAAATAATTTGGATTAAGAACTTAAGTATTTCTAATATTTCAATATTTTTAAGTAATTTACTCTACATCCTTGTAAATCATTAAATTCAGAAATGGAAAAATTCAGAATTCAAAATTATTTACATTACATTCGATTCAGAGCCTCTCACTAAAATAAACTTTAATTCCTTTCCTTATTTTTTAAGTTTTTACAGAAATTTTAGAGAACAAAAGTTTAGGTAAGAAATTTATATTAAATGAGTATTCGTTATAATTTTACATTTGAGTATGTTGAGAACCTACTCCTTAAAAATAAAATTTAGGTAGTGTTCCTTTCAGTTATTCCTTAATTGTTAAACAATTTACACGATTATTTTTTGAATGAATGAACTGCATATTGCTCTTATTTCTTTTTTGTCTAATAATCTGCAGGGTTTAATTCTTCTTTTATGTGGTCTTCGGATAAATTATTATTTCGATATGATTTTTTATTTTTATTTATTGATGATAAAAAGATCGGTCAATTAATTTTTGTGATTATTGTTGAGAGATTGCTAAATACTACACATATTTATTATGAAAACATAATGGTTAATGTGAAAAGATAGTTAATTTTAACATTTCAATTTTCAAAATGTTATAATTATTATTTATATAAACATAGAACAATGTTTTTCATTTAATAATTATCATAACTGTTTCTTACCGTAAATCATTTATTTCAANTGGCGACTCAAGATATATCATGTTAGCCTAAATGTTGTTTGTGTCAGATATATACAAAATTTGTCCATGAATACTTGTTCAACTCAAATTCAGATGTGCCAGCTTTAAATACAAATGGACCATTCTCATTAAAAGCCCCCTAAATAGATGAACATCCAGGACCTCCATTTAACCATAATATTATAGGTTTCTCTAGAGAATCATTTATAGCTGGATAAAATAAATAATAAAATTAAGTTGTTCCCTCTTTATCAGCTTTTAAATATCCTGAATACCTAAGAAATTAAAATTGAATCTTACAAATCTCCTTAGTAATTAATATTAAAAATTTGATTCAACATTATATTATCTACAATATCTGATTCATGAGCCCCTATTTAAAATGATAAGGATAGAGATAGAAAAGTTGTGATTGTAACAATAATCTTCATACTTAACTAATATTAATTAAAAAAATCAATTTAAAATTTTATAATTGTATATTATAGAACATGGATTTTCTACATTTTCTAATATAAATTAAGTTGATATTTTGTATTAATCAAAAAAATTTCTATATATCGCTAAATACAAATTATTATACTCAATTATTTAATGATGAAACTTCAATTTGAACAATGTAAATCTATTATATACATACTTTGTTCATATAATAATATTTCAAATGAATCACGATTTTTAAATAATTTGGATTAAGAACTTAAGTATTTCTAATATTTCAATATTTTTAAGTAATTTACTCTACATCCTTGTAAATCATTAAATTCAGAAATGGAAAAATTCAGAATTCAAAATTATTTACATTACATTCGATTCAGAGCCTCTCACTAAAATAAACTTTAATTCCTTTCCTTATTTTTTAAGTTTTTACAGAAATTTTAGAGAACAAAAGTTTAGGTAAGAAATTTATATTAAATGAGTATTCGTTATAATTTTACATTTGAGTATGTTGAGAACCTACTCCTTAAAAATAAAATTTAGGTAGTGTTCCTTTCAGTTATTCCTTAATTGTTAAACAATTTACACGATTATTTTTTGAATGAATGAACTGCATATTGCTCTTATTTCTTTTTTGTCTAATAATCTGCAGGGTTTAATTCTTCTTTTATGTGGTCTTCGGATAAATTATTATTTCGATATGATTTTTTATTTTTATTTATTGATGATAAAAAGATCGGTCAATTAATTTTTGTGATTATTGTTGAGAGATTGCTAAATACTACACATATTTATTATGAAAACATAATGGTTAATGTGAAAAGATAGTTAATTTTAACATTTCAATTTTCAAAATGTTATAATTATTATTTATATAAACATAGAACAATGTTTTTCATTTAATAATTATCATAACTGTTTCTTACCGTAAATCATTTATTTCAATAAAATCTTTAAAATTATTAAATATTCTTATAAATTTTACCAAGAAATCTTTTAAATTATTTACCATTTTATATAAAAATTATAATAAGTGTTAGAATGAGTTAATAACTGTCTCATTAATGGGCTGGGATAGTTCAGAAACAAATGGCTGAAAAAGTATTAAATGAGAATCAATAAAAATTTGATTAATAGTAGAGAAAGCAGAGGTATAAAGAAGAATTGGAAACAGACATGAAATTGAAATAATAAAAAAGAATAATTTTACATCAATAAGACTAGTAATTAGAATCTTTGATGTTAGAAACTCTTAGGTAAAGAGAATCAAAGAAATTAAAAGAAATGGAACAAAGAAAAATAAAGCAAATAGAAACTAGTTTAGAGAATCTCAATCATTTATTAATTCGAAAAAAAATGAATCAAGAGAGGTCATATTAAAGTTTATTACTCGAATAAGAAGACATTAAGTAGGAAAAATTAAAGGAGATTAAAAGTTTAGAAAGAATCAAAATCCTTAAGGATGAAGATTCTAAAAAATTACGCGAAAATTATGATTTTGCCATCCAATAAAAATTGAACTAAAAATAATCAATCAAATCTAAGTTATTGAAAGTTCAAGAAACTGATCCAGATTAATTAGTTTAAGTTTAGAGAGGAGAGGCATAATCATACTAAATTGAATTAAATAAGTAATTAGAGGAAAAGAAAAGAAAAATACTAGAAATTCAAGCCAAAAAACAAGAAGAAAGATTAAGAGTAGAACAGAAAATTGCTTTTGAAAAGCAAAAGATATTAGAAAACAAATTAAAGGACTACAATATGCATAAGTAATATGAGAATGATAATTATGAATTATCAAACTAAAGAAGATAAATCGGCCATAGTTCATCCTTAGAATCATATAATATTAAATTATCTGATAACGGTCAACATAAACTCCCTCATATATATTCAGACAACTATTAAGCATAAGAAAGGAATAAATAATTGCATCTGCTCGATTAGGATTTGATGAAATATTAGTAATTGTAATAGTAGTAACTCCAATAAGAGTAAACTTATAATCCAAATCAAATTTCTAATCAAGTGATTAGACCATAATAACATGTTTAAACACCTTTAAAGACACCACTCTCATAATCTTCCAAACAATCAAAATAATCAAAGAAATCTAAATAATTCATCAATCCCCTTCATCAAGAAGGTCCTGGATACTCTTACATACATCAAAGTAAAACATAAACTCCAAAATCAAAACAGTCAAAGAAATCTCTACCTCAGCCAATTGAGATAATAGATTCCTCATTCCAATAGCTGAGACCTAAATACAAAAATTATAACATCTTAACAGGGGCCTTGCATATATAATGATATGAAGTTTATTATATGCTAATTTAAAATATATATATATAATTAAATTTTTGAATGAAATCGAAATAACTAATATATATACATAAANATAAAAAAGAATAATTTTACATCAATAAGACTAGTAATTAGAATCTTTGATGTTAGAAACTCTTAGGTAAAGAGAATCAAAGAAATTAAAAGAAATGGAACAAAGAAAAATAAAGCAAATAGAAACTAGTTTAGAGAATCTCAATCATTTATTAATTCGAAAAAAAATGAATCAAGAGAGGTCATATTAAAGTTTATTACTCGAATAAGAAGACATTAAGTAGGAAAAATTAAAGGAGATTAAAAGTTTAGAAAGAATCAAAATCCTTAAGGATGAAGATTCTAAAAAATTACGCGAAAATTATGATTTTGCCATCCAATAAAAATTGAACTAAAAATAATCAATCAAATCTAAGTTATTGAAAGTTCAAGAAACTGATCCAGATTAATTAGTTTAAGTTTAGAGAGGAGAGGCATAATCATACTAAATTGAATTAAATAAGTAATTAGAGGAAAAGAAAAGAAAAATACTAGAAATTCAAGCCAAAAAACAAGAAGAAAGATTAAGAGTAGAACAGAAAATTGCTTTTGAAAAGCAAAAGATATTAGAAAACAAATTAAAGGACTACAATATGCATAAGTAATATGAGAATGATAATTATGAATTATCAAACTAAAGAAGATAAATCGGCCATAGTTCATCCTTAGAATCATATAATATTAAATTATCTGATAACGGTCAACATAAACTCCCTCATATATATTCAGACAACTATTAAGCATAAGAAAGGAATAAATAATTGCATCTGCTCGATTAGGATTTGATGAAATATTAGTAATTGTAATAGTAGTAACTCCAATAAGAGTAAACTTATAATCCAAATCAAATTTCTAATCAAGTGATTAGACCATAATAACATGTTTAAACACCTTTAAAGACACCACTCTCATAATCTTCCAAACAATCAAAATAATCAAAGAAATCTAAATAATTCATCAATCCCCTTCATCAAGAAGGTCCTGGATACTCTTACATACATCAAAGTAAAACATAAACTCCAAAATCAAAACAGTCAAAGAAATCTCTACCTCAGCCAATTGAGATAATAGATTCCTCATTCCAATAGCTGAGACCTAAATACAAAAATTATAACATCTTAACAGGGGCCTTGCATATATAATGATATGAAGTTTATTATATGCTAATTTAAAATATATATATATAATTAAATTTTTGAATGAAATCGAAATAACTAATATATATACATAAACATTATTTTCTATTTATTCATAATTTAGGTTGATCTAATTTATTAGAAATAAAATTTGCTAACTCAATTTTCTAATCATAATTTAAAATTGGTACTCTATGAGCTAAATTTAGCATTCTAAAATACTTGCTTCTGTCCAAATAACTTGAGAATTCAAATATTCTGTTGTTTAAATAATTGATTCTAAGTAAGCAAAATCCTTTGAACCTATAGTTTGAAGTGTAGGTATAGTAATTAGATTTTTCTTATCATAGTGAATTTTTCTAGGTTTAATTCCATTAGATGAAAAGCAAATCAGAAACCTAAGTTATTTAGCTAATTGTAAATCTGTATGAGCTAGTTATCCGATTTCTCCAATTATAAAGACCCCTTATGAGAATCCCATCAACCCGATAATCTTTGGATTTTAAAGAATTCTATTTTTTATTTTTTCAATGTCGTCTGACATGTCTAAATAGTAATTCCCCCATCTATAAACTTTTCCTATACATTAATTAGATCTGATTACTTCCTTAAGTGTCTAATAAAGGTGGAAGGGGAAACATACTTTTTGAGACATCATAGGGAGGATCTAGATACTCAATTTCTACATATTTAGAGATCAAATTATGTAACTCTCCCATGTGTTTTTTCAAAATGAATCCATCATTTTCCCATCCAGGTAAAGCCAAAATTTTATAAGTTGTCATAAATTATAGTTGTTCATATTAAAGTTAATTACGCTATATTTTAAGGAAATTAAATTGCTAGATGATTATAAAAATTAAAAAAATTGAAAAATGAAAACAATCGAAAAGAAATCGAAAGCATCATAAGAAAAAGCATATTTATTCATTATCTTCTTTATCAAAATCAGAAACTAAGAAATCAAACTCAATTAACATTGCAAATATATGATAATTGATACTCCTAATCAAGATCGATATTTAAATAAAATAAATTAGATTTGCAAGTTCTTAAAAAGTACATAAATTTTATCTTGGAACTTTGGTTCTTAAAAATAATGAATGAATGATAAATTGCATAAATGCGAAGTGTAAAATGCAAATACTTAATTAAAGAAAATATATAAATCAGGAATGACAGGATTTACCAAACCATTTAAGAGAACATGAAAGAATAAAATAAATGAAAAAGAGCTAATTGATGGACAACTTATGAAATTTATATTTTTGTAAAGACTTAGTTAAAACATCAATTAAATATGATAATATTTTCTTGGATAAATTGCGGCAGTATTTATTAAGCTTATTATAACCAGGAGTGGTTATAAGCTTATTTAGCAGTTAATCTTTCTCTGGATAATCTTTTAACTAAACTTTCGATAAATTCTCTTAACTCCTTAGATGCTGAAGAAGGTATTAAAAAGCATGCCTAAATAATAGTTGTAAAATGAGACTTACAGTTTTCATTAATTCTTGTTAGTGCTCTTTCCAAGGAGGTTTACCAAAACATAATTCATAAGTTAAGACACCCAGACCCCAAATATCACTTTTTTTATCGTACATATCTCCTTCTAGGATTTCGGGTGAAGCATATATGATAGTCCCACATTATGTTTATCTATAAGCATGAGGAGAGTAGACGCAAAATGAAAAGTCAGCAATTTTTGCTTAGCCAAAACTTAAGAGGATATTATCTGGTTTAATATCTCGATGTATAACATCATTATTATGTATGTACATCAATGCAAAAGTTATTTAATGGACATAATTTGATGCCTCTTTTTCTTAGAATTTTTAATTAGGTTATTTTTAGAGGAGACTAAGCAATTAGCCATGTGAACAATACTCTAAAACCAAAACGATTTCAGTTTCTAAATAAATAATAAAAAATTTAATTACAAGTTTAAAAAAATGTATACAATTTAGTGATATTTGGATGATCAAGTAGATATTGAATTTTAATCTCCCAAGCCAATTAAGCTTCCATTATTTCTTCAACCATTTATTTTTTTTGAATAACTTTTAAAGCTACTAAAAATCCTGTTTATTAATGCATGGCTAGAAAAACTTCGCTATATTTTCCATCTCCAAGTTTCTTTAGTATTTTAAAATTCTTAAAGCGATCTTCTTGCCTTTTGGGTGGTGACTGTTATAATAAGGCTTATTTCTAATTTAAGAATTAAGTGTACTTATTTATACTATTCTTTTAAATTTTACATAAGCGGAATTAACGGAATTAATGGTTGTCTATCGATAAGTTATTAAGATTGATGAAGGGGAATATTTTTTTTAGGAGTGATGTCTTATTTCTAAGCAACGATCAATTCTTATGGTTTTATTTTGGGTGAATGTATAATATTTTTACAATCAGGATCAGTATTGATATTTTGTTAATTTGAATTAGGTTTGAGATTTGATTCTGGCTACTTGTGTTAATTGTAATTAGTTCTAGATTTTTGGAGAACCTACTCAACATATGAAAGGATCTAAGTATTATTATAGGTTTATTGCTGAACTCTAGAATATGGTTTATATGATTAATATGAGTTGTTATTCATTTAATTATTTTAATTTAATATAAACAAATTAATTCAATTATGTGTTTTACACATAGCTTATTGCTCATTATCTTAAAAAAAGGTAGAAATAAGAATATTTGGAGAAATTAGATTAGAAAAAAAGATTGATTTTATAATATATCTGCTGTATTTTATTCATTTTAATTAATCAGTTCTTTAATATAACCATGTTTTCAATTGCTTTTGTAGTTATTGTTTCATCTTTAAATACATCATGTTACAGGACCTTATTAATTGGAACTCTCTTCTCCAATTTACTCAACAAATCCTTAAAGTTTGGAGATAACTGCTATCCTCTTATTATAAACATCAATAATTTATATAATAAATAGGAATCGACTGATTCGTCAAATATTTATCCAGTTGTTACTTCAGGTGCCGCAAATTCAGATAATTTTTGTTTATTATAAAGTTTAAATTAGTAGGTGGAATAGTTGAAGTTGCAAATGGCGATCTTCTCAATTGAATCTGGCTCTTATTTATTTGGAATTACTCCTATTTAATTAGGATTCAAGCAAACAATTATCACTCCCATCATATGAATATAATTAAATATAACCAGGAATTATTTGGCAATCAATCTGATTTGGAATTCTAAACATATAAAAACTGAAATACCACTTAATTGCTTAATTTATTATAGATATTCATCTAGTGTAAATGGGATATTTTCACAAATTTAGTATATATTTGTGTTATTTTCAAATTGAATTTCATGACATTTAATTACTCCTTTGAAATTAGATAATGAATCATGAATTATTAAATTTGAAATAGAATTATTATCAATTTAGAATTGTTGTATTGATAATTTTAATCCTAATGATTTGTTAACACATTCAAAATGTGATTTATTATTTTTATTTAGAATTTAATATTTTTAAGAATAAGGACAATAAAGTTAATGCAATTCTATTAGACTATCGAAAAACAATTAGACATCTATCTTTATTTTATCACATTTAATAGAGATTCCAAATTTATTTATATATTATTGTTTTTAAACTTCTTGTATATTTGAATATATTAAAGGGATTAGTTCTTATAATTATATTATTAAATACCAATAATATCCTAATTTTCTGAACCTAAAAGAATGAGCAATTTGTTTTCAATCAATTAAAACCTTCTTTTCACAAATGAATTATTATTAGTTTTCTGCCAAACAAATTTTTCTTCTATATCCAATCTATTAAACCATAAATTGATATATAATGATTGTTGGAGATATTAAATTACTTTTTCGCTTATTAACCATTTATAATATTAGTCTTCTGTTTGAGGACAAAAATGATCCAAGTAATCTAAGATTAACTTTTAATGATTAATTTAATCATCATCAAAATTGGCCTTCTTTATTGGAGATACATTATTGTTATTGTTGTCAATATCAGAAAGGTCTAATGATTGATTTGCTAGATCAATTTCTGGCTCTTATTCCATTTCAATATCAGATTCATCAAAACATGAGTATTGTTCATTAAATACTTCTTCTTTATTGATCATGTTCTTTTTTAAAAAAGCTTCATCAGATTATATTATTTAGTAAAACAAAGGCTTAGGCAAATTGCTCAGCTTGATATGTATTTTGCATTTATTACTACTAATTAAAAATTGTGTTTGTTTATTGGAAATAATTGTGACAATATCTGCTGATCTTAATGTACTTAACCTAAGAAAAAATGTAATGATTTTGTAAATACTTAAAAATTAAAGAAGTTTGCCATCACATTTCTAATAAATCCAGTGATTCCTACAAGTTTAAATATTTCATATACCATGCACCCTATTTAGTAATAAATATACCTAAAGATTAAAAATTAAAAACATCTCTTCACTACTTTGAACTTAGATGATATTAACCATTCATTATACTTAATTGCAGAACTTTAAATTTGTCATATTCCTTCATCTGATATCTGTTTTGCGTTTATTCTTATTTTCCGAAAAGACATCCCATAATATTAATAAATAGTTGTTAAATTAATGCTTCGGTCTGCTTTATATGAAATAGCTCATGATTACATTATTCAAGGAGAAGATAGCTTTTAGAATAGAGAAACTGAAAACTACTAACCTAATCAGATTCCACAGTCATAAAAATAAGAAAACGTTGTGGACCCATTCTAAAATTTCTCTAATCTTCTATAGGCATAAAAACAAAAGAAACAAACAAGAAGAGCCTTGATTTCCATTGATACCAATTTCAACACACTCTAAGGCTCTCCAGAAAAAAATTAAAATTTTGTTAACAGTAGCTCAAAACATAAATCTACTTATTCATCCCCAAAAAACTTTGTTTTTTATGACAGACAAATTCGTTGGTTAAATTAAGTAAAATAAACTATCAAAGTGAGGGAGGCCATACAATAATAGAGATAAAGTGTGGAGTGTCCATTTAAACCAAAAAAATGTCCAACTTTCTTACCTTAAACCACTAAAAACCAAATTAAAAAACCTACTAAAATGAGGAAAGATTCATATTCAACAATTCATTTATTAAAACAGAAGTTTTACTGAATTTTTGCTATCTATATATATATATATATATTATTATAAATTTTATCATGTATGGGTAACAGTTAAGATAATGTTATTATTTACAATAAATTATAAATAATCTGTATTATTCTTAAATTCCAAAAAACTTATTCTTAGATGCGTTATATGAACTTTAAATCTTCTGTTTATGAAGGATATTTATATAAATATAATTAATTTTATTAAAATTGATATTAAAAAATGGCAGAACAAGTGGTTCCTAGTAGAATGAACTTAGCTTTATACAAGGCTAAGATTGTCTCAGCAAAGAAGGGTCATGAATTGTTAAAGAAAAAATGTGATGCTTTGAAAACTAAGTTCAGAATAGTGATGGTTGCTTTATTGGAGAACAAGAAATTTATGGGTGACGAAGCATAAGAAGCTTTATTATTAATCGCAAAAGCTTAATATGCTGCAGGCGAATTCCAGTATTATGAGTATTAAAAATAGCTAAAATGTTAAGGATGCTGTAAAGAGAGCAACAATTAGATTGGAAATCTCAAGTGAAAACATTGCAGGTGTCATGTTGCCTGAAGTAAATATTCGAGAAGTTGATGATTCAGATTCAAGTATGAGTCAAATAGGTTTGGCCAGAGGTGGTCAATCCATTCAAAGATGCAGAGATAAGTTTAAAGATTTGTTAATACTTCTTGTTAAAATTGCATCATATTAAGTAAGAAAATATATAGTATTTAAAGACTTCTTTTGTTTCATTAGATCAAGTTATTAAAGTTACAAATCGAAGAGTAAATGCTCTTGAATATGTCGTCATCCCTAGATTCATAGCTACTATGAATTACATTGATATGGAATTGGATGAAATGTCAAAAGAAGATTTTTTCAGGTTTAGTTTAGAATTATGAATTAGATTGAAGAAAGTGCTTGATAACAAGAGAAAAATAATTGAAAAGCAAAATTAAGAAACAGCTAAAAGATAATTAGAAGTAGAGGATATGAATTGGTAAGAGAGAGAGAGTTATGATATGTTGGCAGAAGAATAACCTGATGAAGATGTATTCTTTTGAGATATATACATATTGAATGGTAACATAAATAAAATTAACACTTAATATTTTGAAATACAAAAGAATCATAAACATATCAAGGCTATTTCTTCTAAGCAAGTATAACCCTTTATTAATTTTGTAACATGACATTTTTAGAAAACACAGAAATTTCATCCAAGCTCTTTTTTGATTAGACATCGATTGATTGTCTAAACTTACATTTTTACAATTTCTCTTCACTCTTTTTATCTAACTATTATTCTTCTGATGTATTAAAGGCTAATTATTTTCTAATCAAGATTTTTTTAATTAATCTTTCAATTTAAAGATTGTTGTTTTCAATCTCTTCAAGAATTGTCAGACAAACTTTTGCATTTAATCTCAACAATGGATTAGTTTCCAACATATGAGGTAGTAAAATCTATTTATATTCATATTTTATACAAATAATTAATCCATTTTATTTGAATTACATTCAGGATGTTACTATTATTTTTTCAATTCAAAAACTCCTTCTTTATTAGATTAATATATAGTCTATTTACCCTGTTTAGTAGTAAATAGGTTCTCTCCTGTCAACCTTTATTTAATTGGTAATACATACAATTTATACAAAACACAACCAAGACTAAATATATCTGCCTTCTCGTCATATAGTTTGTCTTTATTGAAATTTATAATTTCAGGAGCCATATATCCTGGAGTTCCTGAAGTTGGAAATATTAACTAATTCCTTATCTTTCGTGCCAATCCAAAATCAATCAACTTTACAGTTTCAGCTTTCATAATATTCAAAGGGTTAATATCTCTATGCATTATTCCCTTGTTGTGAATATATATTATTGCCTACAACAATTCCTAAAATTCAATTCAAACNATGCAGAGATAAGTTTAAAGATTTGTTAATACTTCTTGTTAAAATTGCATCATATTAAGTAAGAAAATATATAGTATTTAAAGACTTCTTTTGTTTCATTAGATCAAGTTATTAAAGTTACAAATCGAAGAGTAAATGCTCTTGAATATGTCGTCATCCCTAGATTCATAGCTACTATGAATTACATTGATATGGAATTGGATGAAATGTCAAAAGAAGATTTTTTCAGGTTTAGTTTAGAATTATGAATTAGATTGAAGAAAGTGCTTGATAACAAGAGAAAAATAATTGAAAAGCAAAATTAAGAAACAGCTAAAAGATAATTAGAAGTAGAGGATATGAATTGGTAAGAGAGAGAGAGTTATGATATGTTGGCAGAAGAATAACCTGATGAAGATGTATTCTTTTGAGATATATACATATTGAATGGTAACATAAATAAAATTAACACTTAATATTTTGAAATACAAAAGAATCATAAACATATCAAGGCTATTTCTTCTAAGCAAGTATAACCCTTTATTAATTTTGTAACATGACATTTTTAGAAAACACAGAAATTTCATCCAAGCTCTTTTTTGATTAGACATCGATTGATTGTCTAAACTTACATTTTTACAATTTCTCTTCACTCTTTTTATCTAACTATTATTCTTCTGATGTATTAAAGGCTAATTATTTTCTAATCAAGATTTTTTTAATTAATCTTTCAATTTAAAGATTGTTGTTTTCAATCTCTTCAAGAATTGTCAGACAAACTTTTGCATTTAATCTCAACAATGGATTAGTTTCCAACATATGAGGTAGTAAAATCTATTTATATTCATATTTTATACAAATAATTAATCCATTTTATTTGAATTACATTCAGGATGTTACTATTATTTTTTCAATTCAAAAACTCCTTCTTTATTAGATTAATATATAGTCTATTTACCCTGTTTAGTAGTAAATAGGTTCTCTCCTGTCAACCTTTATTTAATTGGTAATACATACAATTTATACAAAACACAACCAAGACTAAATATATCTGCCTTCTCGTCATATAGTTTGTCTTTATTGAAATTTATAATTTCAGGAGCCATATATCCTGGAGTTCCTGAAGTTGGAAATATTAACTAATTCCTTATCTTTCGTGCCAATCCAAAATCAATCAACTTTACAGTTTCAGCTTTCATAATATTCAAAGGGTTAATATCTCTATGCATTATTCCCTTGTTGTGAATATATATTATTGCCTACAACAATTCCTAAAATTCAATTCAAACTATACTTTCATTATCTTAATCGTTTCATTAACTGAGAGTCCATAATGTCTACTCTATAATTCTGCATATAAAGTCTTCCCATTTATGTATTCCATTACTATATAATAGTTTTGTTCATCAACATATGTTTCTTTCAATTTTACAATACTTGGATGCTATAATTAGTTCAATAAACTGAGCTCATGTATTAGTTGAGGCTATAATTTATTGAATAAATACTATTGCTCCATCATTTTAGGTAATTTTCATCTTGTCTACTTTCTTTATTGCAAAATAGTTTTCATTGTTTTCTGTCGAAATACACCTATAAACTGATCCTGTCATTCCACTACCTATTTCCATATGGAATTAGTAAAATGCAGACACAGGACTGAAAAATACTTTTCCAGCTAGCATCTCCTTAAGAAGATTCAATTTGGGTCCATAGACTTCTTTTGGTCTTCCGTTATAAGAAAATTCAAAAGCCACTATCCTTTTATTTTCGCATATCCACTTTATTGTAGTTGTTAAATTTGTTTTCAATATGTATTTTGGATTTTTAGTCGGATCCTAATTTAATGATCAAGTTACATCAGTCATCACTAATTCATCAGCAAATAAATATAATTAGTAAACCCTATCTTTGAAGAAGTGTTTTCTTATCACTTGTACATTAAATAATGCTTTCTCGTAAGATTACATTTTAATTCATAAAAATCATCATTTCAATATTATGCATTCTAACCTCTAAAATGATATTCAATACTAACTAAACGATCATACTCGTTATACTCAATTATAAACCTATACATAATTAAATTAGAAAATATAAAACATTCAACAAGTCGAATACAATTTATAATAATATTTGCAAAGGAGTATATCTTATTTTCAATTCAATAACATTAATATATAAAAACATTTATCGTATTCTGCATAAACATTTATTAATTTAAATAACGCTATAAATTTTATATTCCATTATTCACATTATAATATTTTCATTAATTTAGCCAAAGTTTAAACAATAGAATGAAAGGGTGATCTTAAAATATAAGTATTAGGATCAAATTTTAGTTATTCTTTCTGTATATATATTTAATATGACTTAATTTTAGACTTTTAATTATTGATAAATTTTTATAAAAATTTTAGTTAAACTTACCAATATGAATTAATTATGTATGGTTTATGAAGAGTTTTTATTTAAATACAATAATATATTAGTTATCTAATTATTAAGAAATTAAGAGAAAATAAGATATACATCTTATACTAAATTATCAAGTATTTAATTTCCTAAATTTGAGAATATTTATTATAATAAGAGTTTAGTTTATTAATTGGACTATTTATACTTTAATATTTAATAGTTTCCATAAATAATAAAATGAAAGAAATTATTGATATAATATATAATTTTACAGATTATTTAATAATAGAAAATTAACAAAGTCAATATTTGATTAAGTATGAAAACATAATAGCTTAAGGTGATTGACGAGGGAAAAAAAGATTTGTGAAAATAACATTGAAAAGACTTTATTTTAGTTTGTTTATAGTTTTTTTAATAGAAATTATCTTGTATATATAGAAATATTGGAATCATCATTTGAGATTGATCTTCTTTTATTTCATTAGAAGAACATGACAATAAATAATAATAAAAAATGCCGGTCTATTTATTAGCTTCATATGCTAAATGAAGAAGTCTTATAAAAAGTATAACTTTAATAAATTATATTTAAAGACTTTACGATATCGTTCCATTTTATTCATTATCAATATTATATTATTAATTATATATGAATTAAGAAATTCAAGTTGAATAAAGACTCTCATTATATGATATTGTTAAGGAAAAAAGAGAGGAAAAGCAAGTGCCAATTAGTAGAATGGTTTATGCTACTTACTTTAGTGAAAGCGCTATTCAAAAAATTGATGTTGAATAAGTTTTGACTAAATAAGTTATATTATCTTTAGATTATAGATTAAAGAGTTGAGCGACACTCAAGGTTAAATATCTGGATTTCTTTTAATTCGAGGTCTTTTTAGTTTGCATTTAGTAGAAACTTAATCACATGTTATGAATCTTTGGATGCGTAATCTATATGCTGAGTATAGAAAAGAAAAGAACATTTATAGCATGATTAATATTGTAACTGTGAATGAAGACAATCCTACTAGATGTTTTGATAGGTGGTATTGTGAAAACTTGTTTTAAACCGGTCCTCAATTATCAGACATGGATAAAACAGAAGCTTAGTGTTAAGAAAGAGTTTGGGAATTATATTAATAAGTTTGTAATGCTGGAATTAAACACAGTGCAAGAACTTAAAAAGATAAATAATAAAATAAAATAGCTAATGANGATATTCAATACTAACTAAACGATCATACTCGTTATACTCAATTATAAACCTATACATAATTAAATTAGAAAATATAAAACATTCAACAAGTCGAATACAATTTATAATAATATTTGCAAAGGAGTATATCTTATTTTCAATTCAATAACATTAATATATAAAAACATTTATCGTATTCTGCATAAACATTTATTAATTTAAATAACGCTATAAATTTTATATTCCATTATTCACATTATAATATTTTCATTAATTTAGCCAAAGTTTAAACAATAGAATGAAAGGGTGATCTTAAAATATAAGTATTAGGATCAAATTTTAGTTATTCTTTCTGTATATATATTTAATATGACTTAATTTTAGACTTTTAATTATTGATAAATTTTTATAAAAATTTTAGTTAAACTTACCAATATGAATTAATTATGTATGGTTTATGAAGAGTTTTTATTTAAATACAATAATATATTAGTTATCTAATTATTAAGAAATTAAGAGAAAATAAGATATACATCTTATACTAAATTATCAAGTATTTAATTTCCTAAATTTGAGAATATTTATTATAATAAGAGTTTAGTTTATTAATTGGACTATTTATACTTTAATATTTAATAGTTTCCATAAATAATAAAATGAAAGAAATTATTGATATAATATATAATTTTACAGATTATTTAATAATAGAAAATTAACAAAGTCAATATTTGATTAAGTATGAAAACATAATAGCTTAAGGTGATTGACGAGGGAAAAAAAGATTTGTGAAAATAACATTGAAAAGACTTTATTTTAGTTTGTTTATAGTTTTTTTAATAGAAATTATCTTGTATATATAGAAATATTGGAATCATCATTTGAGATTGATCTTCTTTTATTTCATTAGAAGAACATGACAATAAATAATAATAAAAAATGCCGGTCTATTTATTAGCTTCATATGCTAAATGAAGAAGTCTTATAAAAAGTATAACTTTAATAAATTATATTTAAAGACTTTACGATATCGTTCCATTTTATTCATTATCAATATTATATTATTAATTATATATGAATTAAGAAATTCAAGTTGAATAAAGACTCTCATTATATGATATTGTTAAGGAAAAAAGAGAGGAAAAGCAAGTGCCAATTAGTAGAATGGTTTATGCTACTTACTTTAGTGAAAGCGCTATTCAAAAAATTGATGTTGAATAAGTTTTGACTAAATAAGTTATATTATCTTTAGATTATAGATTAAAGAGTTGAGCGACACTCAAGGTTAAATATCTGGATTTCTTTTAATTCGAGGTCTTTTTAGTTTGCATTTAGTAGAAACTTAATCACATGTTATGAATCTTTGGATGCGTAATCTATATGCTGAGTATAGAAAAGAAAAGAACATTTATAGCATGATTAATATTGTAACTGTGAATGAAGACAATCCTACTAGATGTTTTGATAGGTGGTATTGTGAAAACTTGTTTTAAACCGGTCCTCAATTATCAGACATGGATAAAACAGAAGCTTAGTGTTAAGAAAGAGTTTGGGAATTATATTAATAAGTTTGTAATGCTGGAATTAAACACAGTGCAAGAACTTAAAAAGATAAATAATAAAATAAAATAGCTAATGATGTTCCCATTACTTTGGATGATATCAACATGTTACTACATAAAAGATTTATGTCAATTGAAGAATATAATGAATTATATTTAGGAGACATCAAAATTGAATTAGAATAAGAAAAGGTTTATCCTCAAACATTACCCTTAACAAGAGCATTAGAATATAAAGATTTAGGAGAATGAAGTAATTATTGTTAATAACTATCAATGAAATATTTTCTTTAATTGCAATTGCAATTCATTAATATTTACATTTTCTCACAAATTCCAAAACTATATCAAATCTTCAAATTTATATAATATGATTATATTATTATCATGACAACAAATATTACAGTTAAACCAATACGATCCTAGTTTTTTCAAACATAAGTGTTATGAAATCATCAATTCTATTAAATAAGCAAATCATTAATAGCATGATTAATAATAAACAAAGAAAATTATTTAAGATATTTCTTAAATTTTTATTTTAAATCAGGGAATAGAAAGATAAAAATTAATATTCTTGGCACATTATTTAATATATCTAAAAAATGAAAAAAAATTATTAGAATCCTATTTTTTAAAGCTTTGATAAAGAAAATTCAATGCTAAATGTACTTAATGAATCGAATAATGATCATCAATCAATTTTATACAATTAAATTAATTAATCTTACACCTTTCAAAATAACATTAATAAATTAAGAGGAGGAGGAAATTCATAGCCTAATCCCCAAATTTAATAGAATAGTAATCTAAATGATATTTTTAATGAATAAGATATTTTCTAATATTTAAAATATCACACTATTCTTCTTCGAAGAATATTAGGAAATTAAATAAACTAAAATGGGAGGGATTAATTAGAAAAAGTGGTCTAATGGATAAATTCGAAAGGAATTATTAATTAGTTATTTAATTAATGTAGGCTAGATGAAAGAAAAATTGCTATAGTTATGGCATCTATTGACATTCTATTATCATGTGTAATAAATACACCTATACAGCTATCTTATAATTTGCTATAATTTACTCAAAATCTATTTCAAATTCTTTACTATCAAGATAAGGTTATTAAAAGTAATATAATTAAAAATTTGCACATTTTTTCAGATAATTTATAATTAATTAACTAAAAATATCAATAATAAAAAGGTTTAGAAATACTTTTTAATTACTAATTTTGTTTGATAAAAGATGTAGTTGATCATATATAAGATAGAAAAGCATACAACTTATAGAAATGTATTTTCGAATAAAATACATATCTAAAGTAAAATGATGCAAATAATACTTTAATTTAAGATGCAAAAAAATTTCTATAAAGTGATAACCCTAGATAATTAGATATATTTTACTTTTTTTAATAATCAAAATTAACAATAATTAGAAAACTGTTAAATTAATAATAGATTATAGAAATCTAATAAATTATTAATTATTTATGCAAAGTCTATCAATTATGTATTCAAAATAATTAAAACTGGAGAGTACACTTAGGGTTTCTTTAAATGCTTCTTGAGTTAATTTCATAAAAAAATAGTTTTTTAGAAGATTTGCAAAAATTTGAAGGGGATGATATCACAAACATAATGTTTAATGAACTATAAAATCAATTGATAGAATTTTAGATTGAAGATAATATTAATATATGGGAACATTATATTAAGTCAAAATGGGACTCTACAATTAAATGTTATTTAGCATTTAGTTTTATGACAATTAAAAAAAGTTAAATAGCAAAAAATGTAGAATCAGCTTGCCAAAAATTTATTGATCTATTTTTAAATAGTGATTAAGATGAAAATACAATAAGTGTCTTAAAAAATGAACAACTTAATGTTATTGAGGAAGCTTTTGAACAAAACCTAAAATAAAATTAATAAACTTATTTATATAAAATATATGGAAATACACAAATAGAAAAATTATAAGAGGATTTTATAAATATTGATTTAAAAGTCTAAAGTAACATAAATAATGATGATGTAAAAAAACAATAACAATCAAATAAGTCCAACTATTTATTTAGGGAAGATGTAGATTAAGGTGTTAAATAAGAATAGATATATATAGTTAATGATTTTCTTTGGACTGAAAACAACAATACTGATGTTCTATGGATAAAAGGCATAGCAGGATCAGGTAAGAGTTACTTTTTAAAGCGATTATAATTATTTTTATTGAAACACTATCATTCACATTCAAAATAAAAAAAATGGATTCCATTTCTCATTTCATTAGATGCTTTAAAAAAGTTGAATAATAATAATATTTGGAGTTTAATATTAAATGCGGATGATATGGAATTTAGAGATGAATTTATGGGAATTCTTAGTGATGACTTAGAGAATGGATTAGTAAATATTGTTCTACTATTTGATGGGTTAGATGAAATGAAACATTAAATTTAAGAAGTAAACTTAGATATCAGTTTATTCTAAAAAAAATTAGGTAAAAATGTAAAAATAATTATTACATCAAGAAGAGAAGTTTAAATTGAAAANAATACATATCTAAAGTAAAATGATGCAAATAATACTTTAATTTAAGATGCAAAAAAATTTCTATAAAGTGATAACCCTAGATAATTAGATATATTTTACTTTTTTTAATAATCAAAATTAACAATAATTAGAAAACTGTTAAATTAATAATAGATTATAGAAATCTAATAAATTATTAATTATTTATGCAAAGTCTATCAATTATGTATTCAAAATAATTAAAACTGGAGAGTACACTTAGGGTTTCTTTAAATGCTTCTTGAGTTAATTTCATAAAAAAATAGTTTTTTAGAAGATTTGCAAAAATTTGAAGGGGATGATATCACAAACATAATGTTTAATGAACTATAAAATCAATTGATAGAATTTTAGATTGAAGATAATATTAATATATGGGAACATTATATTAAGTCAAAATGGGACTCTACAATTAAATGTTATTTAGCATTTAGTTTTATGACAATTAAAAAAAGTTAAATAGCAAAAAATGTAGAATCAGCTTGCCAAAAATTTATTGATCTATTTTTAAATAGTGATTAAGATGAAAATACAATAAGTGTCTTAAAAAATGAACAACTTAATGTTATTGAGGAAGCTTTTGAACAAAACCTAAAATAAAATTAATAAACTTATTTATATAAAATATATGGAAATACACAAATAGAAAAATTATAAGAGGATTTTATAAATATTGATTTAAAAGTCTAAAGTAACATAAATAATGATGATGTAAAAAAACAATAACAATCAAATAAGTCCAACTATTTATTTAGGGAAGATGTAGATTAAGGTGTTAAATAAGAATAGATATATATAGTTAATGATTTTCTTTGGACTGAAAACAACAATACTGATGTTCTATGGATAAAAGGCATAGCAGGATCAGGTAAGAGTTACTTTTTAAAGCGATTATAATTATTTTTATTGAAACACTATCATTCACATTCAAAATAAAAAAAATGGATTCCATTTCTCATTTCATTAGATGCTTTAAAAAAGTTGAATAATAATAATATTTGGAGTTTAATATTAAATGCGGATGATATGGAATTTAGAGATGAATTTATGGGAATTCTTAGTGATGACTTAGAGAATGGATTAGTAAATATTGTTCTACTATTTGATGGGTTAGATGAAATGAAACATTAAATTTAAGAAGTAAACTTAGATATCAGTTTATTCTAAAAAAAATTAGGTAAAAATGTAAAAATAATTATTACATCAAGAAGAGAAGTTTAAATTGAAAAGTAATTTATAGGTTTATAATTTTAAAATTTGACTGAAGTTGAAATACTAAAATTAGATGAATCATAAATTAATGAATATCTTAAATAATACTGTATAGAAAATACTAGATAATATTTATATCAAATCTATAACGATTTTATAGATTAAGAAAAAAACTCTAAAATTTCTAGAATAATGTTTAATGAATATTGGCAAGCATACTTTTTTGAAGAAGTTAAAACTCTTGTAGAATAAACTAATAATGATAAGTATGAAATTATTTTCACTGATACTCTAATCAATAATTTTCTTAGCAAATAATAAAAAATATTTCAAAATAATAATAATCCAAAAGGAGATTTATTAAAGATATAGAGCTCTAGCAAACTGATGAAAATTATTAAAGAAAATCAAATTTTCGATTTGATTTAAACTATTTAAATTCTCTAAGTTATTCTTTAAGTCTTACCAAATTTAAATTAAAATATTACAAACAAATTGTATAGAAAAAATAGGTTTAAGTGTATTCTATTATAATTAAAGAATGAATAAATTAAATATTTTAATGAACTTGAATAAGCTAAATTATTTAGTGAAAAAGATTATGTTGAGAGGTTAGTAGTCATATTAGAAAAAAATTAATTTTTTGATGAATTTTTAGTTGAAAAATTAGATAAAAATATTATGTAAATTTCAGAGGTCGATTTTAATCTAATTAAAAATGCCGCAAAATAAACTTAATTAACTAAATATCAAATATATAAATTATTTGTGTCTAAGTATTATGAAATATATATAAAAAAATTAAAAGACTCAGGATTCAATAACATAAATGAAAGTTTTACTAAGGAACTAAATAAATTATAAATGTTTTTAGCTGTACAAATGATTAAACATGAATGCTTGTTATTAGACACTTAATAAGTCTAGAATATATTTTAATCTTATTTAAACTAAAATAATTTAGAAGATAAAAAAAATCTCATTTTACTATATTCAACCTTTATTACTAAGATTTAAAATGGTAGCTTCATATTTCAGAATAAATCAATTTAGGAGTATTTTGTAGGAAAATATATTTTAAAATTGTTAAAAGATTTTTCAAGAAATTTTACAGGAAAATCAATTGAGTAAGGTTTGGAACAGAGTTAATTTAATTAAAACGAATTTAATTTATCTCTTTTGTAGTTCTCTTAGGTAATTAATGATATAAAACCTGAATTATTAAATTATGAAGATATCAAAAAAATCTTGTTAAAAATAATAATCCTATCAAGAAACGAAGTATTTATTAGAGCAGCTTCTAATAGTATATTATTATTAAATTTCTTGGGAATAGAACTAATAGGGGAAGATTTAAGTAGAATTAAATTAAGTAAGACTAATATCTCTGGTCTAAATGTATATGGAAGTAATTTGGATGAATCTGAGTTTAATGAAGTAAAAATTGATTATTGCAATTTTAATAATACCAGTTTATAAAGAGTAAAATGGACTTAAACACCTTGGAATGGAGTTATAGTTTTCAGAGACTAACATTAAGAAAAAGTGAGTAGTATATTATTCTCACCAAATGGTTAATTCTTACTTTCTTATGGCTCATCTTAAGTAAATATATGGGAATTAATCACTCAAAAAATATTTAAGAAAATAAAATATAATCAAAATTTATGCTATTGGCGGTTTTCATCTGATTCAACTAAATTTTACCTAGGCACTGAGACATTTTTATAGATTTACTGTATTTATGGGAACGATATAACATTATTAATAACTATTCCATTATAATTAGGTCAACTGTAATTGAGAAATTTTCCATTTACTTTTTACAATAAGGAAGAGAAATTAGTATATCGTAGAAATTCGAATTTTTATAGTTATAATCTCAAATCCAAACAATAATGGAACAAATCAAAAATTGCTGATAATTCAATTAAATTAACTTCTATAAAGCTAATATCCAATGATAAAATACTGATAGGAACAAAAGACAGAGAAATAAAGATTTGGGATGGGATCATCAAAAACATCTCAAAAACAATCACAAAAAAGGATCACTAAAGTGAAATAGTATCACTTTCTGAAGAAACTTTTGACTTAAAAATAAACTAATAAGAAATATTTGACAAGAAAAGATAAATTTCATTACTCATATCAGCTAGTGAAGACTAAGTAATTGTATGGCTTAATGATCATGGTTATGGATACAAATAAGTCAAAGCATTACATTCACAAACGATTAATGGCTAATTACCAAGATATTCAATTTTTAATAAAAAACATTTAGTTTATATCATAAATGAATATATAGTATTATATGATCTAAATTAAATCAATAAATTAGAAGAAGACATAACATTTTGTGATTCAAATTGCATAGCCTTTATTAATTATGAATGGGAATAATTTAGATTATTATTTATTGCTAAGGAAAATTGTATTGAGGTTTATGAATATCTTAACATCTGTATAGGTGAAATTCCACTAAATTAATGTCAACCATTGTCTATGGATATTATCACTCATAACCTTATGATTACTTATAACAAAGATAATACAATTAGGTTTTGGTCTATATGTTCATATTATTAGAATGAAGAATAAAAATTTGTTAGCAATAATATGGATCCCTTTAGAAAATAGAATCCATTTAGTAGAAGCCGTGTTCTTCAAAGATCTATCAAAGGATTTGTGTAAAATTTGAAATAATCATATAAATATAATGAGAATGAAGGAACATGCGAAGTTGCTGTTTAGGAGAATGAGAAATAGATTAATATTTATAAGGTCTAAATATTTGAGAATCAAATAAAATATCATCTGATTAAATTGTATGAATTTTAAGAGGATTAAAAAATTGGTTGTTATGCTTTATGTAATTATGGGAAAAAAATCTGTTACTGTGTTGATAATATTATTACAATTAAAGATTTATAAAATGATGATCAAACCTTACTTGAATAGATACAAGAAAAAGACATTTATTTAATTATGTTTAGTGAAACATATTAATATCTTGCTTCTTGTAGTAAAGATTATTCTATTGTTATCTATAGTCTTGATGATTAAAAAAAAAAAAAAAATTATATGATAAACAATTAAAAATGTCTTGACTTGTTATTTGTGAAGGATGATGTACTCGTTATTTAGACTTAAACTTCAATTATTTGGTATAAAATTATTTGGAATATAGACTCAAAAGATTTAATAGTTTAAGTTTTTAAATATTATGATTTTGAATAAAGTGGTCATAATGATATTTTTTAATAATAAATGAGCATGGTCTATCCCTTACCTCAACAAAACTATAATTATATTAAATAATACTTGGCAGTCAAATAAGGAGAAAATATTATTCTTAAACCTTTAATTAATGATGATTAAACTAAAGTTGTAATTTTCAATGAAAAAAATAAGAAAATAGAATTTGTTAACGAAGAATATATCATATTTTCTGAAGAGTCTTCTAATAGTTTAGAAATTAAAAATGTAAGTAAAATGTAAGAAATCCGAAAGTTAGAATATTGTGCATTTGCAATAAGAGAACGAGAGTATTTGATAATTGCAGTTGAAACAATAAATGATATATAGGTTATTCAAATACTACCAGAATAAAAATTTACAACTGAAACTATTAAAAAGTAAATTTAAGGAAAGTTACACCATTTTACTTTATCAAATAGTGGTTATTTCCTAGCATCAACTTATAATTAAGAAATTACTATTTATTATATTACTAAAGGACTATAAATAATATAAATATCAAAATTATCTATTGAAATCGAAATCAAAGATATTTAAATTTCAGATACTTAATAAATTATTATTCAAAGTTAAGATGGCCTTTATTAATATAAATTGAATTTAGAAGAAGAATCAATATATTCTATTGATAACTATTTTGGAAATAATTAATTAGTTCAAAATAATTAATCTGTTAAAATCGAATTCTAAGTTAATTAACTTCTTGAATATTACAATTATAAAGACACTATATTAAATCACAATGATAAATTGATAGCATTAAAAATTGATGATCTAATCTATTTTACATCACTTTAAAGGCCTTAACTTTAACTATAACTTGAAGCTAAATTCTTTTGCACCTCAATTGATTCGAAGTATTTTGCCATAAGTAATAATAATTAAATAAAATATTACGATTGGTAAGATAATATCAAAAATATATATAATTTTGATTATAAATAAGATCTATTTGACCTTAGATTTTTATAAAATCCTAATTAAATATTAGCTATTTCTTCTAATGATATTCAAATAATATAGTGCTAAGAAAATTAAATTAAGAAAATTAAAGGTAGATAATATGCTAGTACACGAGCATCATCAAATTTAGATATAGCTAAAATTGAAAAATCAATTATTTAAATTTCTAAACCAGAAATAAATATTGAATTGTATAATCCAGAAGATTATGATTTTAATGCTTATAATCCATAATTTACAAGTGATGGACAATATATAATATATGAATAAAATAAAAAGGTAATATTTTAGAGTTTATTCAATCGTCACTCCAAATATATTCCTGAAAAATTAGAAGGATAATACAACGTATCAGTTTTACCAGAAAGCAATTATTTAATAAGTTTTAATAAATAAGAATCTCCTCTTTTATAATATTAAAATTGTGGGTTAAGAAAACTTGAATATTATCTAAATTGTTGGGATGTTTCAGATTTAAGTGATGTAAAAAATATTTTTAAAATACCTATCCTTAAACATTAAAAAAAAAAAATGTTGAATAAACAATGGTTTATTTCAGAAATTTAGAATAATATATTATGTTTATATGACATAAAGGAATTTTAACAGGGTATCTATGATACAACACTTCATAATAATAACCAAAAAATTCATTAATCTGGCATTTGCCCTAATGAAACTAAATATTATACTGTATCAAAAGAGGATTATTCGATTTCGATATGGATGATAAAAAGTAACGATCACTTAAGATAGTTTAAAGGTCATTAATATTAGATCTTTTTTATTGGTTTTTCTGAAGATGAAAAATATATGATATCTAGAGATACTGATCAAATTATAGTATGGAATTTGGAAAATGAAGATAAATTAATTATTAAAGATCCAAATATAGAAAAATAAAGAATCTTATTGTAGTGTTCTTATTCTTCAACTTTTGGTTGGCACTTATACAATAAATGCGATTTTGTAAAATTAAATAACTCTATTGGAATTACAATTTAGTCTGTAGGTGAACTTTTTATTTATGATTTGAAAGATTTCAAAAGTTATGAGTTATTTTATAAATTAATTGTACATCAATAAGAATACAAAAGTTTAAGTTATAATGTTTATTCAAATGGTTCTAAAATTGCCTTATTCTTAAAATAATAGGATGACAAATTGGATAAAATTAATATATTAAATGTAAAATCAAAAGAAATTATTGAAACTATTGATATATAGAAAGATGAAAAGTTTTATTGCTATCCTAATATTGATAAATATATTAAGATAAAATTTGATAAAAAATATGATTTTGTTGATTTAGATTAAAAAAATGGCTATATTCATGTATGCTATAAAGATTCGAATCTTTTATAATTATATAAAGTCGAAGATTTTATAAATAAACATGGATAGCCTATTAAGGAAGTTTTTATTCATCTTAAAATTGATTTGAATGACTATAATAGTAGTTTTATCCGAATAAATAATGTTGGACTAAAATATATAACCTATTATTATAACTCTTAATTAAGAGTTATTGATTTAGAACGTTATGAAAAATAAGTAAAAATCATTAAATTGGATAAATCTTAAGAATTCCTTAACAATTATAAATAAGATTATATTCTTTTAAAAAATAGGGAAAAAAAAGAAGAAAAAAAAGAAGAATAAACTTTGAATATCTATAACTTAAGAAATGGTTAGAATAATAAGGTTATAAATAGAAATATAGATAAAATGATTGTGGCTTTTAAAAATAATGGTGAATAACTTGCTTTAGGTTGGAATAATGGTGGCATATCTATTTATTATGTATCTACTTAGGTACAATATGATTTTTCGATTAAAAATAAACAAGCAATTAAACATATTCTTTGCACTAAGGATGATAAAATACTTATTTCATGTTCTTAAGACAATGTTATTTCATTTTGGGAGTATCAATATAAAAAAGAAAAATTAATATAATCGATTTAAATAGATTACAATATTGAATCAATAGTTGTCTCTCCTAATAATTTAGATATAGCATTAGAATTATCAGGAGGTCTCATATAAATCATATCAATTGATAAATAAAAATGTTGGAATTAAAATTACAAAGTATTAGAATATTTATTATATTATAGTATATTGGTTGTTATAAATCATATCCATAATTATTATAATTATAGACATAGAATTGCTTAGTAAAAAATTCAATCATTCAAGATTAAAACGGAAATTCATTGGTTCATCATTTTGGCGAAAAAATGAAACAAGAATTTGAAGCTTAAAAAATTCAAGAAGAATAACAAAATTGAATGCCAAATGAATTATTAATTAAAATAAAGAAATATATTTAATTATCACATTTATTAATATAATTATATCATTGATAAATTAATTATTAAACCAAAAAACATCAAAAACATATAAAATCTAAATATAAAAATTTTAAGAATATTTTGCTGAATTAAAAGAAATTTATCCAAAAGACATAAAAACTTAAAATATAGATTTGAGCATTGATTTATTTTATTAATTCTTATTTTTATACTAAATTACAAGTTCAGGTACTTTATGGAAGTGTTTAATATGATCTATATATAATTTTCAGATTATTATTAAATTCTCTATCTCATTTAAATAAATCCATTAGAAAATAAATCAAAAATCATATTCTAATTTAATTATAATATTCTTATATCTCTAGTATTTAATTTTGAGAATTATTATATTAAAAAAAATGATTATGATAATTAATTTTCATGATATTAGTTTATAATATCATCTAAAACTCTATCTAATTAAAAGAGACTAAAATCTTTCATTCTATTAAAAGATATTAAAATTAACATTTTTTAAATCTTAATTTGAACTAGGAGAGCAATCCTAATTAATTAATTTTGAACTTATTTAAAAAACTATAATATTAATTCTTGCAATTAAAAAGTTTAATTGATTTGGATCATTTTAAACCTCAAGATTTTGCTCATTTATCATTTATCAAAAATGATTAGAAACTCACTGTTAATTGTATTATATTTGAAATTTTCTTAGTTGTATAAGAATCTTTAGTGTTAAAAATATGATGAATTATAAATAGGATTAGATTTTAAATTATGTCTAATAATTGAAAAATATATAAATTTTGGTCTATAGAACAATTTTTATACTATATCAAAGAACTAAGAATTTATGGCTTTTCATAATTTAAAATATGATTTAGATTATTGGACTGAATTCATCAAATTATTTATTATTTGATTAAATTCATTAAGAAAGCGAATGTAATTTGATATGTTATTATATACATATGAATATTTTTAGTAGTTGATTAAATGAAAAATGTATTTATTTTATGATAGTATATTTAAATATAATTNAAAATGTTGGAATTAAAATTACAAAGTATTAGAATATTTATTATATTATAGTATATTGGTTGTTATAAATCATATCCATAATTATTATAATTATAGACATAGAATTGCTTAGTAAAAAATTCAATCATTCAAGATTAAAACGGAAATTCATTGGTTCATCATTTTGGCGAAAAAATGAAACAAGAATTTGAAGCTTAAAAAATTCAAGAAGAATAACAAAATTGAATGCCAAATGAATTATTAATTAAAATAAAGAAATATATTTAATTATCACATTTATTAATATAATTATATCATTGATAAATTAATTATTAAACCAAAAAACATCAAAAACATATAAAATCTAAATATAAAAATTTTAAGAATATTTTGCTGAATTAAAAGAAATTTATCCAAAAGACATAAAAACTTAAAATATAGATTTGAGCATTGATTTATTTTATTAATTCTTATTTTTATACTAAATTACAAGTTCAGGTACTTTATGGAAGTGTTTAATATGATCTATATATAATTTTCAGATTATTATTAAATTCTCTATCTCATTTAAATAAATCCATTAGAAAATAAATCAAAAATCATATTCTAATTTAATTATAATATTCTTATATCTCTAGTATTTAATTTTGAGAATTATTATATTAAAAAAAATGATTATGATAATTAATTTTCATGATATTAGTTTATAATATCATCTAAAACTCTATCTAATTAAAAGAGACTAAAATCTTTCATTCTATTAAAAGATATTAAAATTAACATTTTTTAAATCTTAATTTGAACTAGGAGAGCAATCCTAATTAATTAATTTTGAACTTATTTAAAAAACTATAATATTAATTCTTGCAATTAAAAAGTTTAATTGATTTGGATCATTTTAAACCTCAAGATTTTGCTCATTTATCATTTATCAAAAATGATTAGAAACTCACTGTTAATTGTATTATATTTGAAATTTTCTTAGTTGTATAAGAATCTTTAGTGTTAAAAATATGATGAATTATAAATAGGATTAGATTTTAAATTATGTCTAATAATTGAAAAATATATAAATTTTGGTCTATAGAACAATTTTTATACTATATCAAAGAACTAAGAATTTATGGCTTTTCATAATTTAAAATATGATTTAGATTATTGGACTGAATTCATCAAATTATTTATTATTTGATTAAATTCATTAAGAAAGCGAATGTAATTTGATATGTTATTATATACATATGAATATTTTTAGTAGTTGATTAAATGAAAAATGTATTTATTTTATGATAGTATATTTAAATATAATTAGAATCATAAAATTTTCTCATAAATTTTAATTATTCTTAATTGTAAATGAAATTAGAAATGAATTTCAAATTGATATAAAGTATCCTCTTAAAAAATTGAAATTGAAAAGTTAACTGTTGGCATTTTTGAAATTATATAATATTGAATTTAAATTATCATTTATTCCTAAGAAATTACTTATTTATGTAATTTTAAATTGAAAGGCTTATTTTATTGTTAAAATAGGAAGGAAATATCAGAATTAACTTTCATATAAGCAATATATATATATTTTAAATAAGGTAGATTTATTCAAAAGTGAATTCGATTTTCTTTCCATAATTAATTTATTAGTTATTAATAAATATTAGAAAATAATTTGCTATTTCTTAAGGATCATTTTTTCGATATAAATATTAATAATAATACATCAATATTTCTCAAAAAAACTCAGTTTAATGGCAATTAAATTGAATTTTAAAGTTAGATGTGAAACTACTCTAAGTGAGTCTGTGTGCATTGTTGGAAGTGTTAAAGAGTTAGGCTTATGGAACCCTTCAGATAGCCTACAATTATCTACAAACCCAGATATTTATCCATTCTGGGTTGGTCACATATCTGTTGATGTGAATGAGAGTATAAAATTTTGTGAAAATAGACTAACTTATTTAGTTTAAAGCAATAATAACAAAAGGACATTAGGTTAATTGGGAGGATAATGACAATAGAGTAATTTAAATTAGGTACCAATCCCAGAGCATTCTATTTTCATTTAACTCCCAATTATTGTAAGTTATTCAAATATAATCATTATATGACCTTTCTGATGATGAATCAATCAAATTTGGTATATTTTTATAACGATTTATTAGATAAGATAAAAAAGATAAATCTTCAAAATGTTATGAATCCTTTCGATTAAGAGGGATTCACATCTGTATAAATATTTTTATATCGTAGGAATCTGATTAAGAGAGTGACCGTCTTTCAAATTTAGATTCACATGGACTTTCACCAATTATGAAATCTCTTTCTATTTAATATCAGGAAGANTGGTCTATAGAACAATTTTTATACTATATCAAAGAACTAAGAATTTATGGCTTTTCATAATTTAAAATATGATTTAGATTATTGGACTGAATTCATCAAATTATTTATTATTTGATTAAATTCATTAAGAAAGCGAATGTAATTTGATATGTTATTATATACATATGAATATTTTTAGTAGTTGATTAAATGAAAAATGTATTTATTTTATGATAGTATATTTAAATATAATTAGAATCATAAAATTTTCTCATAAATTTTAATTATTCTTAATTGTAAATGAAATTAGAAATGAATTTCAAATTGATATAAAGTATCCTCTTAAAAAATTGAAATTGAAAAGTTAACTGTTGGCATTTTTGAAATTATATAATATTGAATTTAAATTATCATTTATTCCTAAGAAATTACTTATTTATGTAATTTTAAATTGAAAGGCTTATTTTATTGTTAAAATAGGAAGGAAATATCAGAATTAACTTTCATATAAGCAATATATATATATTTTAAATAAGGTAGATTTATTCAAAAGTGAATTCGATTTTCTTTCCATAATTAATTTATTAGTTATTAATAAATATTAGAAAATAATTTGCTATTTCTTAAGGATCATTTTTTCGATATAAATATTAATAATAATACATCAATATTTCTCAAAAAAACTCAGTTTAATGGCAATTAAATTGAATTTTAAAGTTAGATGTGAAACTACTCTAAGTGAGTCTGTGTGCATTGTTGGAAGTGTTAAAGAGTTAGGCTTATGGAACCCTTCAGATAGCCTACAATTATCTACAAACCCAGATATTTATCCATTCTGGGTTGGTCACATATCTGTTGATGTGAATGAGAGTATAAAATTTTGTGAAAATAGACTAACTTATTTAGTTTAAAGCAATAATAACAAAAGGACATTAGGTTAATTGGGAGGATAATGACAATAGAGTAATTTAAATTAGGTACCAATCCCAGAGCATTCTATTTTCATTTAACTCCCAATTATTGTAAGTTATTCAAATATAATCATTATATGACCTTTCTGATGATGAATCAATCAAATTTGGTATATTTTTATAACGATTTATTAGATAAGATAAAAAAGATAAATCTTCAAAATGTTATGAATCCTTTCGATTAAGAGGGATTCACATCTGTATAAATATTTTTATATCGTAGGAATCTGATTAAGAGAGTGACCGTCTTTCAAATTTAGATTCACATGGACTTTCACCAATTATGAAATCTCTTTCTATTTAATATCAGGAAGAATCGTTTGAACTTCCTGTCCAATAATGAATACATAATTTAACACACTTTATATTTATTGAATCTTATTTATTTAATATTCATTTGAGAAAAAAGATTATTATTTTCTAGCAGTTATAGATAAATAAATATTTATCAATAGTCTCGTTCTCTATTTTCAGCCTTCACTTACATTAAATGAAATTAGGAAGTGATTTAAAATTGATGATAAAAGTATTAATAATAAAGAATAAATTTTATTTGATGATAAAATTGTATGTCAAAAATCATATAAGAGATTCAATAAATAAGTACTATTAATATATTATATTTCTATAAATAATATATTATATATTAGTTCTGAGAATGATTTCTTACTATCCTAAAATTTGTAGTATTTGAAAATATAAAAAATATAATTTATTATCAAAATCCTGCATAAGCTTTTGGTTATCTTTATAATCTCATTATTTATTCAAGTAAATCCCTTTCTCTTGCTTATAAAAATTCTACACGTTATTATAACTAATTATTTGTTTATTTCAATTAAACTATTTCATGTAAATCATTTGGATCACTACTCTTTCCATTAAGATTTTTTCTAGCTATCTATTAAATTCAATTCAATTTTATACTTAAGCTAACTCCATATTTTTTTCTTCTAAAGATGCCACTTTTTTTTTTAAATCACTATTTTCTATTAATAATGCACTAGACATATATTCTTCTTAAATTTTAGATTTTTCTTGATCTCCTTTGGTTATTGGATTACCAATAAAAATCTATTCTAAATTCTCTAATTTCAATTATAAAGCATTATTTTCATTCATAACAATATGATAATTCTTAACAGATACATCACGAGCATTTCTTAATTCATCATTTTCTTATTTTAATTTATTTATTTCCATTTAATATTCATGTAATATTTTATTTACTGGCAAATCAATCTTACTATTATTTTAATTAATCTATTAATCAAATCCATTTTGTTAACTATTAAGAATTTAATTATGACTAATAGGTCTTGAAGGTAATGGAGGTAATTATTTTTTTTATCCATTTTTATCATTGAAATTCGGTATTTCTATAGGTAATCCATTTGTATACCTAAATAACAATCAGGCTTACCTTTATAATTATTCTCTTAAATATTGATTTTCCATTTTCAATAAATCTCTCTCTCTAGTTAAGTTATATATAATTTAATCCTTTTCACCCATAGAGATTACTGGTTTATTTTAAATATTCATAGTTGAAGTAGCATAATTTATTGTACTTAATGTTTCTTCATAATAAGCAGCTGAAGGAGAAACACAAGCAATCATCAATGCCTTAGCAGTTCCTCTATAAATATTAAATTTCATTAATACCCTAATGAATCCATTAAAAGCATTGTTAATTTACTATCTCTATAAGGGATGTAAGGTAATTTATTCTTTTTATCACTTAAAGACTTAATTACCTTACCCAAAGTAAATAACGATTTATTAATATTACCAGTTTCTTTTATCATATCCCCTTATGATTTAGATTCTTTCAATCTTTCTGAACCAGCTAAATCAACAAATGAAAATTTTCCATATCTCTATATTATTATATTATAATTCAATACTTTAACTATTTATCCATCTATATTCTATTCTCCAATTAAATAAGCTGTCAATATTGAATGAGATCTACTTGAATCTTTGTTTAATTCATGAGATCCTTACTTTCTATTTCTCATTCCTTCATGTAATACTGCTTAAATATCAGAGAATGATGTGCATTCAACAATCATTAAATCTTCAACAAAGAATCCATTTTATAAATTCCATCTACAATGCAAGATTCCAGAAGCAGGATTTAAAAGATCTCTCAATTATTCATTATATATTTCTGTAAATGAAGCTTTCACATAGAATTACTCTGCTCTTTGTGCCATAATTTACCATAAATATCTTGTTGCTCTTGGAATTATACCTTCAGACTCATCAGATATATACTTTTCTCTTGCTAAACGTTCTTCTACTCCAGAAATGCTTTAATATTAAAATTTTAAAATTTACGTATAAGTTTTACCTGATCCTGTTTAACCATATGCAAATATTGTAGCTGAATATCCATCCAAGGCAGCATCTAATAATTCTTATATATTGCATTTCATAAACACTTCTTATTAAGTACACCTTTCATCCAAAACAGCATTAAATCGAAATTACTTTGCTACTCCTCTTTGTTAATTAAGATCACGAATTACTTATAATAAAGTTAACAATTTGAATCAGATATAGCTTTTATACATTATTCATCTCCTCTTCCTTATTCTAATGAATTCATTGGTCTAATTCTCAATGCAACTTTTACACTCTCTCCACCAGATTCATCCATTACTGATGTATCAGGTTAAGATGGAGATGGTCCTGATTGCAAAGACATTGGTTATATCATAGGAGAAGGTTAGTTAATTTGTTGATTTTAAGGTTAAGATGATTGTTAAGGAGTTTTACTCTTTTTATTCATTATAATAATTATATTATTAATGTTAGCTTAATGAATAAATTTAAAATAATATATATATAATCTTCTATATCAAATTTCATTTGAATGCAGCTAATCCTGTTATTTCCCTACCAGCAATCAAACTATTAATATCATAAGATCCCTATTAAAATATTTCACTTTATAATTTACCTCATAAGTATAAACCACTTCAGCATCAGTCAAAGCTTTAATACAATAATTTTCAATTAAAATTCCATCTCCTCCCATCATTTCTCTTCCTAATCTAGCCACTTCTCTTGTTTTATCAGTAACCCAAGCTTTCACAGCAGCAATCTATCCTAGAGTGGCTTTTTTCTCTTATGCTAATCTTGAAACCTATAAAACCATCAAGAAACTTGCTTAAAATGTTGTCAATATCTTTGCCAATCTCTCTTATTATAATTAAAATCCAGCAATATGTTTTCCAAATTACTTTCTTCTTGTTATGAATTTCACTACATTTTCATATACTCCAGCTTGTATTCCCAAAGCTATCCAAGGTACTCCTACTCTTGAATGTTATAAAGCTTAAGTTACACCATTCTAAAAGTCTTTAGCTTTTGGCATTCTATTTTCATCAGGTATAAACACATCTTTAAATGTAATTTAACAATTTTAAACTATTCTCAATGCTAATTTATGTTTAATTGGTTCTGCATGAACTCCAGCCCATTTATTTTCTACTATAAATCCTTCAATATTATTATTTTCACTATTTCTAGCCCAAACTACTAGAATATCCTTATTTCCATTTCCAATCCATCTCTTATTACCATTCAATAAATATCCTCCCTATACTTTTTTGACTGTAGTTTATATACTAGAAGCATCAGATCCATATTCTTTTTCAGTTAATGCCCATCCTCCTAAAATATCCATATCTTTAATCCTAGTTAAGTATTTCTATTTTTATTCTTCTGAACCAAATGTTTCAATACTATGAGGTACTAATGATGAACTAAACGATCATATATATTTATACATTAACAAATAGAATGTTGATAAACCAGCATCAACTTTAGCCAATTCTAAATAGGCCAAACCTGTTTTCACATATGTGTTGGTTTTATGAATTAATTTTAATGGTTTTAAAGCCTCCACTATCTCTGTAGGAAATTCTGCTGCTTCTACATACTTATTGATAGTTGGTGCAGCCTTATTATTATTTATTAAATACTTTCTCTTATGCAAATTTACGAACAGCATAACAAATATCCTTCTCGTCTTTCTCAAGCATGTCATATAATTGAAGATATTCAAGAGGATCTGCTAAGAACTTGACTTCCTTAAATTATCCAGCCAATTAATTCAATCTAAACATAAAATTATAATTAATATGTCGTCATTTTGTATTTTAATATGCCATGATAATAATTGTGACTTAATAATTTATAAAATTTCTTTGTAGCTCCTTAAAATTCTATTTTACTGTGACGTCTATAGTTTTGTATCATAATCAATCATATTTAACTTAAATTTATTTTTTTTATAGATTCACATATCCTAAAGGTTATTCTGTTTTAATTCTATATTATTATACAAATAATCTTTTGCTGGAATATGAATTCTAGATTGTAATATTATTTATATTTTTTAGACTATCAATAATATATGAAGTTTTGCAGTTTGTTTTTCAAGAATTTAAGGAAACTACTTTTATCAATTGACATGTTTGGATCACAAATTAACTTATAAGTCAAAAAAGAAAATGAATATCATACAATATTTGGAGTGTTAATGAGTATTGGAATTTTAACACTAATTTATTATTCATTTCTATCCCTAGTGATTGATATGATAGATCGTAAGAGTCCAAATGTTATTTAAAATATCCAATATTAAGCTAATCCTGAAGTAATATTAAATTTGATATTGTAACATAGGAATTCAAATTAGTATAGGACTAGTTCATCTTTTATCTAGTTTTGTCAGATACTTATGGAACTCCAATTATTTAGAAATCTTAATAGCAAGTATATACAGCTTAAATGTAAGCCTGCTCAAGAATTACTGATATAAATAACAATATTAACAATAAATGTACTAATTATACATTAAAATCATGTGCAACAACGTAAATTAATAGTTAAATATAACAAAAACTAAATATTTCAAAAGCTTTATTAGAATCAAGTTTGTGCTTTGATCCTAAAGAGTGGGATTAAATATCATTATCATTATAAGGAACACCCCAAACTCCTATATTTAAGAGTCTCTAATTTAAAATTGAGAAATGTAATAATGAAACATCTGGATAAAGTAAATTTTATAATTCCATATAGATTGTGCATCTTAAGAATATATTGATAAAAAGCTAAGTTCAGGATATTTGGGTTTTTTTATTTCAGATTCCGTTCTTAATTAATAGAAAGCCCATAATCCTTTTTCTTTAGTTTCAAAATTGATAAGTACAACAATATCATCCCTTTAATACAAAGCATTAACTTTATGGATGAGAAAATCAAAACTTTATAATAAAGAAAATTTTTTTTATTATTTTGAAAATAATGAAGAATATAATGCTTTATAATTTGAAAGATAATCTGAGTAAGTTTTTAATATTTAGAGAAATCAATTAATTGATATAACTTTATATTTAGATGATAGAGAAGCAGTATATTATAGAACATACAATAATATTTTAGATATTCTAGGTTAAATGGGAGGGTTATTAGAATTAATGTTATTTTTGGCAGGTACCTTAGTAAAACCTTTGAATAAACTTTCATGTGATTTATTTTTAGCATCAGAAATATTTTATTTTGAAAAATCATCTGATTAATAAAAAGTTCATCCTTAAGTTCAAGCACTAGGATAGGCTGAAGGACTTATAAGTTAAAGTTAATTGGTTTAATTAAAAAGATATTTTAAATTAAAAGCACAATAAATAAAATTATTTGTTCATTAATATTTATTTACTTGGGGTTAAGATAGAAGATTAATTTAATAGAGTATTGAATCAATTTATAATTAAATTGATATAATCTATATTATTAATAAATTAATTGAAATTGATAAGTTGAAGAAAATATTATTAAATGAGGATTAATAAATATTGTTTAATTATATACATAAACCAAAAATTTAATTAGGAATAAGAGATTAGATGAAAGCAAGTATCAATCAAAATTATTATGATACAAAATAACTTTCTTTTGAAGAGGAAATATTATAAGCATTCAATTCTTATACAATGATAAAGGAAAGCAATCATAAAAAATATAAAAAAGTAAATAATAGTATAATAAGTCTTTTGGATAAAGATGTTAAATTAATATTTGAAACTAATGACAAATTAAAAGTATAAAAAGCAACATCAATAATGTAGATTCAAGAAATAAATTCAATAAATGATTTAAGTCTTTAAGAAAATAGAGTTGATATTTGATATAAAAAATACTTATTGAATTTAAGGCCTAAATTTATAATATTTTATTTTATTGTAATTTTATTATCATCTTTAGAGCTATTCCTATAATATTAAGGGTTTTCATAATAAATATTGGAATTAAATGAAACATTCTATATCAATTTTCATTTTATAAAACAAAAATATGAAACTTGAAAAACTTATTGATTATTTAGTATTTGAATATAGATAATCATATATTTTTTAAAGGAATATATCATATATATAAAGTTTCTTGGCTGAATTTATGTCTTGTAATTGAATCATTATCTAATACATTCAATGTAGAGATATACATGAAAATATAGAATAAAATAAAACAAATATGAAGAAGGATAAGTTGAATACAATATTAAATTTATTTGATGTTTATTGATTCTCAATTCAATACTAATTTACGCATTTCAGCTTCTTCTACTTCAGATGGATCATTAGCTTAAATTTCTTTAGATAAACCATTTAATTTCTTCTTCAAAGCTTCCTTTCCTGCAGCATATGACATCTTTTATTTAACAGGTTAATTAGCATCTGGAGACCAGAATATGAAGACTAATTTCTCAACTTATCTTGGTGGAACATCATCAGTTTATGCATGGTAATCATAAACAGCATATCTTGACTATAATAATGAGATATAATAATACTTCGTTTTAAAGATGACTAACAAATTCAGCATAAGTACTATCTCTTTCTCCTACGTGATCAACAACAATCTAATAAATAAATTATAAATATGACTTCATTAGTATCATTGTTTAATTTAAAGGTCAAATATCTATATTATTTTCCCAATTTGAGTTTATTGAATTCTGTTACACAATCATCACTAACATGAGTACCGACGTTCATAATTATATCTTAAAAATTTTAATTAATATTTTCTTAATTAAATCAAATCAAATTTTTCTATTCATTCATCCCTTAAATTCTTAATAATTTAGAGTTTTAGATATAATTCTTTACCTTTTGAGTAAATAGCATTTCTTCCTATAGATATATATCAAGAAGAATAACTAAAAATTTTTACTATTTAATTTATTGTTTGCTCTAAGAAATAGATCAATTAAATTTGCTATATTTTTTCATTTCCCTCTTTAATTAAATTTTTTAAACAATAAATATTCTAAATTGATTCTGTTGCAAAACTCTCTTATATATATATATTTATAGAGAAAAAATTAAGATTTTAAAAAATTAAGACTTTTTTTATAATCATTCAGTTTTTCTTAGCTAAGGGGAATGCATATATTAAAAAAAAATGCTATTGATATTTTAATTTAACTTACTTAATAACTGAAGTATATACTATTTTTGAATAGCATTTCAATTAGACTTCTAAAACAAAACAAAAGTGAAACTTATAATTATATAACATGCATGTACAATTATTACAATTAAAAAATATATTAGTTGGAATGTCAACACATAAATATAATTATAGAAATTAGCAAATGATGTAAATATATATTATTGTACTATGATAAATTATTTTTGAGCTCAAATAATTCCAATCTTGTTGGCTAAATTGAGAGCATCATTCTCTCCACCTAATCTAATGTAGGCCTTCTTTTTACCACCAAAAGTATTAAGGATCTTTAAAATATTAAGCATTATTACATTAACTTTTCTGACTTTAACATCATAAATTTTCTAAAATGCTCTTTTAATTTAAGGTTTTGTTGATTTTTAATTAACATAGAACACCATTGTATTTTCATCTTCCATTTTTTTCATGTCTTTTTCTGTAATAAGTGGATGTCTAAGTACGTTTTAGAAATCTAATCCTTTAGAAACAGGAGTAAGTTATCTTGTTAATCTATAAATTTATTAAGATTGTTGTCTAACCTTGTGAATTTTGGTTTTCTAGATAAAGCTAAAGGCTTTTCTGTATGGAATCTATTTTAGAAATGCTTTCTAGCTCTCACGACCTTCTTGGCAACTCTTGTATTTTTAGCTGCTTTCTATGCTTTTTATGTATTAGTTGTTTATCCTTTTGGCATTTTTAAAATTATTTTTAAAAAACAATCTTTTTAATTATTTCATAAATAATAGCAAATAAAAAGGGTTATCCACTTCTTATGTTTTATTACTTAAAGGAATTGCTCTAAAATCAATTACAAATAAATAGATAAGAGCATAATAATTAAATAAATAAATACAAATAAGATTTATATAATAATATGAAAAATGTGTATATAAAAACAAGTTTCAATTCTATATCAGAGAACTATAATTTATTAAAATTAAAATATAAGTTCTAATATTTACCATGATAACAAATAGTAAATGTCAAAAAGAAATAAGTTTAATCAATTTCCCTATAACTTAAACATGACAATATGAAATTAGATAACAATTACATATATATATATATATCTCAATATTTTAAATGTTCAAATTACTCATATTTTTTTTGAAATAAAAAGTATATTGTGTTAATACTAATATTCAATGGAATAACATAAAAGAATAATAAAATCAATTATTAAATTCTAGGTAGATATTCAATTCATCAAAAGGAAATCCAATATATATAATATTCTTCAATTTTAATATTAATATTAATAAAAATAACTATTTATGAAAGGGAAAGTAATTAAAAATATACTCAGGAGTTATTTTTGGATACAGTTATTCAATTTGAAGATTGTATTATATATAAAGAATTAATAATGGAATATATGATATGGATCTTTATATTTTACTCAAAGTTTTGCATCCTTTGGTAACAGATCTGGGGTGAATTTGGTTGCTGCGGCCATATTTCCTTTGATTTTCATTTTACCTTGCATAAAAGCCTATTGAGGATTCAATTTTCCTTGAGCCATAGCAATCATATCATCATCTACCATAGTGAAGGTAGCATCAGCTGTTCCAACCTTTCCTTTAGAGATTGACTTTGATTATAAATAATATGATATACTCCTGTTCCATTTTTAAGATCAACAGTCCAAACTTCTGGAGTTTCTCCTTTTGCCTTTGATACTTCAAAGTAATAAACAGCATTGATTTTTTTAACTAATTCAGCTCCTTGACTTTTGATGAATGGATCCATCTTTTCAAATAAAGCAGCAGATTTCAAAGCCATCTAATTAAATTATTAATAATATTTTATTTTTTTTTCAAATCTTATAAAACTATTTATGCTATTAATAAGAAAAATAACTTTAGTTATATAAAACATCACTTCTTTCCCTTCTTCTTTTTTTTCTTCTTTCCTCCTGCAAAAGGATCTTATGCATATTCAACCCATAATTTAGGAAATTCTGGTTTATTTTCAAACCAACAATTTTTAGATTTATTTATATTTCTAGCAGCTGTCAATGTTCTAGGATGAAATTGACCTAACTAAGATTCTAATATAGCATGTGCCAATTTAAAATATCCATATGACTATGAAAATATAAAAAATATATATATTACTTCCTTATTACGTTCTAACATATACATACAACATCCTAAATTATTATATACAGTAGCAGTATCAACTGTATCTACACCAATACTATTCTCTCTATATTCTCTAGCCTAACATTAATCTAATAAAAATATTACCTTCAAAAATGCTCTAAGTGCCCAATCATATTCTTCTGTATTATAGAATACTGATCCAAGTCCACAATAAGCCAAAGCTTTATCAGGATTATTTGTTGGTAATTTAGTTGAAAATTATCTTGCATTCAAATAAGCCACTAAGGCTAAATCATCTCTTCCTGCAGATTCATATACAGTGGCCTTACTAAATTCAAAATACAATTCTAATCCATCAGTTAAATCTCTTCCTGTTAAAGCAATCCATTTTTTCTATCATATTTATTTATATTTTACTCTTGCATCATCATAATTCTATATAGCAAATACAAAATTAGCTTCATTATGAGAATTGATGGCTGCTTCAACTAAAAATTATACATCCAAAGGTGGATTAGGAGGATATAGTACTTCTGGTATAAGAACAGGGGCAACTTATACATCTGATAGAGAACCACGTTCAACATCTGAGATTAATTTTTATTCGAATTTCAATTTATCAGCTAATTCTTAAATATATTATTCTGATTATTTTGGTTCTGTTTTTTATTCATAAATGATTTTTCTTGGTTCTGGTTCACCTGCTTTTCTTCTTTATTACTATTTTTTTGCTGGTTTAGGCTTAGGATTCTTATTTTTAGGAGACTCTGGTTTTGGATTTCCTATAACTAATCTTTTTTCTGGATCCCATTTTGGCATTTATTTTTCTTGTTAAGGTAAAGGAGGAATAGGAGGTAATTCCTTATCTAACATTTTGATAACCTAATCAACAGGAATATTGAGTGACACTTTTCATTAAATATATATATAAATATACCTTATTCAAATAATAGTGATCCTTATAATGCTGCAATTCTTTATAATTCATCTGTTCCATCAGGTTCCTCATCTGAAGAATCCTTTTCTTCAAAATCACTTAAATCATTTAGTAGTTATTTAGTGAATTTTTCTAAATTTTTAATAAGTTTTCTATTTAAATTAGGGAGTGGACCATCTATATTTTCATTTTTTCTAAATAACATTAATTCACCAAAGAATTTTCTTAAATATTTTTCAACATCTAATTTTCTATTATTTTGATTTCCTCCTCCTTCTTCTTTAAGTCCTAATTCAAATGAGATTCTTGCTAATAGTAATTGAAGTTCATGAATTAACATTTATGGATCTGTATCATTGCAATCTGATAAATTTTTTTCATAAATTTAAATAAAATGTCCTTTTTAAAAAAAATCATATTCTTTATTATTAATAGGTGGAATAATTTTGAGTAGAATTTCTTCCAATTATTCAATAGATAGAATATGAGGTACAATTTCTGCATCTCTTAAAAATCTTACTAATGATACCATATTCATCTTTTTATTCTAAACCCAAATTTCCTTCCATCTTAACATTATTATACCTCTTGACAAATTTTCTTACATATATATTGTAAATATATTCTTTAATTCTCTTTCATAAAGTGATATTGCTTATATAGATGATTCAGCTAATAATCTTTTATTTGTTTCATCAAGTACAATTATACGATTTGGCTCTACATTATGATCTCTAACTGCACTTTTCTCAGATAATATCTCATTTAACATTTTTTCTAAATGAAGAGGATCATTATGAAATATCTTTTTTGCCAGTTACTTAAGAAAGAAATAGAATTAAGGTTTATTTAATGCTCTTTCCCCTTTTACATCTCCTAATGCATCATCAAAATGAGTCAGAAACATACTAAAATTATTACCATTTGTAACAAGACTTCGATCAAGAGCAAACATAAGAATATCTGCAAAATTCAATGAGGTTCCATTTCTTGAAAATTTATTAAAAAACTCCTCAAATCTTCTTTCTTCTCTTTCTTTTAACACAACCGTATCTTATCTTTATTATTATTATGTTGATTGTTATTGTTATTACATATTAAATATAATAATATATAATGGGTACCAATAAACAATTAAATCGTAGTTTTAAACTTACATCAACCATATTTGATCAATTATTGTAATAATACTCTTAAATTGGATTCAAAAAAACACAAATACTTTAAGCATGGTAACAATGTGGATATAATTAATAAACATTCCATGAAGAACTCATTAAGATTAGGTATTTTATTCTTATATTATCTAGTGAAAAAGAAAATGCTTTAATTATGAATGAAGAGGATTTGTTCAATTCTCAAATACAACTCAAAATGCAACTTTAATAAATAGAATAGTAAGATTTAAAAATTGCTATCCAATTATCCTTGGATTAAAATGTTTAGTACTATATATTTATAAATATTTATAGATAAAAACCACCAATTACTGAAGAAAGAATCAATAAATCAACACCAGTGGGACTTAAAAATTTGGGCAACAGTATAAATCTTTTAAATTTATAATTTTTTAGCTTGTTACATGAATGCCATGTTGTAGAGTCTTTTTAATGTTTTACCATTTAGAAAATTTATTTTGGAACTTGATTTAAAAAATAATCAATCTCTGGCTTCCAATTTTCTATTACAATTATAATTACTTTTTTTAATGTTACAAGAATCAAATTAATCATATATAAATCCATATAATTTATTTGATGCACTTTAAAAATTTAAACCTAGTGCTATGTTTATAAGAGGAGTCTAAAATGATTTTAATGAATTATAAAATTCCTTTTAGGATGCTATTGAATAAGCATTAAAGGAAGAAAACTTTGAATAACAAAAGAAATAATTTTGTGAGATGTTCTATGGAGAAGCTAAAGAAATACTGAGTTACAAAGAGAATGATAAAGAGATTATTAAATTTAATGATACTACTTTTGGATCTATAAGTATTGAGGCTGCTGATAAAGATTTAGAAAAAGGATTCCTTAATACAAGAGTACTTATTATTGATGAATATGAAACTGAAAATAAAGAGAAAACAAAAGCTAAAATTGATCAAAATATTGTATAAGCTCCATTTTTAATCTCTTTTTATATTAATAGAGTTTATTATGATCCAAAGTAAAAATAAGTATGTAAAAATAATACTTAATTTAATTTTAATTCATCCTTAAATATCAATTAATTCAAAACTATTAATTAGGGATAAAAGAATTTAGAATTATAAAAATTGGATTAAGAAGAATAAAGAATATTAGATTAACTTAAAAATTTTGGAGATACAAAGGAAGAGATTGAAGAAAATTTTAATAAAGTTATTAAATTATTTAAAAGAAATGAAGGTTAAATTGATAATTTAGTAACAATTGATGGATTTTGTATCTGTGATGAAAGCACAGCAAATCCAAATATTATATAAAGTGATTAAATGTTATTCTAATTAGAATCATATAAAGAAAAAATGATGAAAACTGTTTAATTATTAACAGATTAATTAGAAAGAATTTAAGAGTAAAAGAAAAAACTATTAAAATCAGATTAAAATATGTATTTATTAACATCAGTATTAATGCATGATGGATCAGCTAATAGTGGACATTATTATTGTTATGTATTAGACAAGAAAGATTTAACAACTTGGTGGAAATGCAATGATAGTACAGTTACAAAAGTAGATTTTGCTTAAGTTTATAAAGATGCTTCTGGATCAAATAGAGTGAATTCTAATGTTTCTGGGTTAGTTTATGAATAAGAACAATGGTTAAAAGTAGATAAAATTTAAATCAATCAGAAATTATTATCTATGATATAGGAAGACAAAGAGAAACAATTAATAGCCTAAGATGAATAGAAGGTATTTAATAGAAAATCTATAATATTACAATAAATCTAATAATAGAAAAATAAACAATTAAAATATAAGGATTATTTTGATAGAGAATTTGAAAGATTCAGTAATTTTGATTAGTTTTTAAATTCAGTCAATTAAAATGTATACTAATATTATTTAATATTGTCAACAATTTAATAAGATATATTATTAATCAAAGATTAACTTAATAAACCTTAAGAAATAGATCATTACATTAAATATTTCATTACTCAAACTAATTTAATTACAATAAATTATGATAATGAATTAAAGAAATCAAAAGATGAATATCTAATGGTAAATTCATTGTTATAATAATTACCCTTAAAAAATATTACCAATTAAAATTATTCAGAAATAATAAGATATTATTATACTATATTAAAATCAATATAAGAAATTAAATCATGTTCTACAATTACAAATCATTTGAAAAAGATATATGGAGTTCTTTTGCTTAAAGGATGTTTTTTTGTTGATTTATCTCTTTAAACCAACAACATATCAACATGCATTGAGATAAGTTAAAGTCTTTTAATTCAAATCAATTAAAATGAAATTGTTGATAAATTAATATTCCAATAAGTTTTTACAAATCTTAAATTATCTAGTGAATAAGCCAAATTAATAACTAAAAAACCTGAAATTGAAGATTAAATCATTAAAATATAGAAAAAAGGAGAATTATTAATCAACTTGAAATAATTAGAATTTAAATCATTGGAATCTGAAATACCATAACTCTAAAGATTAAGGAATGATGTACTAAAGGTAATTTAATATTAATCTTATAATAGCTTTGGATTTATCAATATGATAAGATTAAAACAGAATAGAAATTGTTAGATTAAAATGAAAGATAAAATGCAGAAGTTCTACTTTATTTTGGGTGATTATTAATTTACATTCATATATTACATAGTTTATTATTCATTTATCTATTGGTTTTTCTTTTCTAAATAAATCTGCCATTAAAGAATTTAAATATAAAAACACTTTGAGTAAATCAACATAGACTCTTACACTTCCATTTACAGAACCTGATTTTATTTAACTTATATTGCTTTAAGTACTATAAATAAGTAAAAAACTAGTATATTCAATTTAAATTATACCCAAATACTATTCCTGATACTAATGTAATAATCATTTCAAAAAATGGTATTATTGAATAAATGATAAACAATTAAAATATAATAAGTCCACCTGCCAATACATAAAGAGATTATTAATGATAATACATCTCAATTCTGCTTTACATTACTGATAAAAACTGTGAAAATATCTTCAAAATTATAAAATTGTATAAATTACTTATCCAAAAATCATGAAAGCTCCCATCATAGATTACTCAATATTTGTAATTGCAGTCAATGATATAAAAAAGAAATATAATGCTATTGTAAATAGTACATAGAGTACTACATTTACAGCAGTATTCTCAGGATTAGTAAATTATGCAGATAATGATAGCAAAATGCATCCAATTGAAAGAATAATTATCCAATAAGAATTCTTTTAAAAATAATTTTCTAAAGACTCTGAACGAAGCTATTATGATTTATAATAAGTCTACATAACTAAACACAATCACTATGAAGAATTGAAGTAACATAAGGAAATATAATTTTCTTAATTTCGCTGTTTCAGCTACAATTTCTCCTTCCTCTTGAATTTCATTTCTGTAATTTTAATAACTTAAAAATTAAGGATCTTGAGCCATTGAATTTTGTAAATATTAGGATTAGGCAGGATCGCCAACCATTCTTGATTAAGGCATATTAAGCTATTATTAACTGTTTTACATATATATTTTATAAATATTAATTATTAATTTAGGGTAATATAATTTATTATACAAACAAAAAAATGAAATGAAATCTCAATCAAATAAAGAAAATTTTGAAAAACTTATAAAGATGAAGAAAATACCTTGAGGAAATCTTGAAAAAGATTGGGATTACAGTAAGATGATAAAGGTTATTAAATATCCAGATTAATAAAGTATAAATTCTTATGAGGAATAAATATTATTAGATAGTGTTCATATTTTAATTCTACCTTAGATATTTGGTTAACCTCAATATTGAATTATAAATATATATAGTATTATTTTAATGAAGGATTAACGAATATAAATAATAATTTGAAAAGTGAAGATGCTTTTAAATATCTTTTGTAATTATTCTTTTAGAATATATTCTTAAACTCATTTGATAAAAATAATTGATATGATTATATAATTGTATTTATAAATAAAAATGTAATAATTAATCTCAAAAGAAGATATTAACACATATCTAAAAGGTATTGGACTACCAATTGATATTAAATTGTCTGTTTCAGTTGAAACATTATATCTCATAACTAATAAGCAGATAATATACAATTATTATTAAAATGCTGAATTACATTTGAAAGAATTGAAACCAATTTCACTAGAATTTGTTGATATATTATAGAGACTATGTGTTCAAAGAAGAGGTGGTCTTTGTTATGAACATGAACTTCTACTTTATTATGTTCTTAAACATATAGGATTTTAGGTGGAATTGATTAGATGCTAGGTTAGAGAGATAGGTAGTCTATACAATCCAGATCTTTAGAGTACACATGCATTTTTGTATGTTCAAATTGGAGATGAGACATTTTTATTGGATCCAGGATTTGGAACAAGATCTTATAGATTCCCGATTAAAGTAAATTTTTAGAATTTATCCCAAACTTATGAATTATTTGATTAAGAACATTATAGAATTCAAGAAAATGAGACACATTATTAATTTTAACATTATATTGATGATAATTGGGTAACCTATTATGATTTTGAGAAGCCATTAAAATTTTGTTCTGTATAAGATATTCACAATGATTATTTAAATTTATTTACTAGCAAATAGTTTTTAGGTATCAGAGACAACAGATTTGTGATTTGTAGAAATACAGAATATGGGAAAATTCAATATTTATGGTTTAGATTAGAAAAAGAATTTACTGCATTTAAGAAAGTCTTGAAATTTAATGAATGTAGTAAAGTAGTATTTAAATCATATTATGAATTAAAAGAGGATGTTAAGAATGAAGTAGGTTTAGAATTACCTGATTATGAATTACTAAGATGAAGGATCTATTTATTATATTATCTAAAAATTATCATTATTAAAATTAATGTAAATAGTGAAAGTATGAATATCTTAAATATATGAAATATATAAAGATAAGTATTTTATTTATATATATTCAATATGTCTAAATAAATCATAATTAACAAAAATATTTATATTAAATATAAAATATTTTAAATTTATTTTTATATAAATATAATTCATTGTTAAATTGAAATATCTAAGTTTATCTTCTTTTCTAATTATTATAATTCTGGAGATGGATCATTCTAATTATTTATTTATTTTGATTTTTAATTCTCCTCTTAATCCTGTAAAAGATGAGTATTTGTTTATTATTATTATTATTTTTCAAATCCTCTAATTTCTTATTAGGATTATTTTGGATGATTGAAATACTATAAGAATTGACTCTCAATATAACTCTTAAATAAGGTCTAAGCTTTTTATGAGTTGTGAGTTACTTCTGAACATTGTGAAGAATATAAATTTAATTTATTAAATCCTTGTTCTGGTTTTGGTATATCTTTTTCAATAATGCTATCTTATTTATTAATCCAAAGCTTTGGTCTAGGTCTCTTCTTTAATTGTTCCAATTATTCTTATGTAAATAGTATCTTTTTAATAACGTCTAAATCTTATAACTTTTTTAGAATTGTAACAATATCTAAATTTTTTATTATTTTCTTCTTTGCTTTACAAAATTATTTATGTTTCAATTTCTTTAATCCAAAAATTATGAGGAAAATTTCCAAACATGAAGTTTGAGATATCTTTCCTTTAGATTAAGTTTTGTCATCTGATTGAAAAAAACTAGAGAATCTTTTCCAAGATTAAGGGGATTAAATTTCCCTCTCTACAGACAACATCTAACCTGAAGAGAGGACCTAATCTTATTGATTATCTTCATAACTAAATAGTGATGAAGCAATCTCAAATTTCATTAAATTATCAATTATAGGTTTTAAAAAGATTCCTACAATCATAGTTAAGATTTATAAGATGCCTCCAATTTTAGCAAGAATAGTTTGCAATTTTATATAAGTTCTTTTAATGTTTGTTTATTTAAAGTCTAATTTAATATAATGACAAACCAAATATTGATTATTATAAAAGTCAGATAATTCTCTCCATTCTGATTGTTATAAATTTGTATCCAAATAATTTTCTTCTTAAATAAGTCCCTAATCTGTTTAAGTTGACATGATTCGATAGGAATGGACTATAGTTTTTGAAGTGGTTAGTGAAAAACTTGTAAATTCATTTGTGATAATTTATTAATATGGATGGCCAGATTGTTCAAACTAAGTTAAGTAATCACTTTTATAAACGTTGTATTATCCAGCTTCTAATATTTTATTAATTTCTTCTTAAGGAGCACATCCCTTAAATTCTGTAGTATTTCTACAAGGTGTAAAAGTAATAAGCAAGTATTTATATATCAGAGCATTAAACTAACCTTACAATATCTAAAATATTTATATTATATTTACAAGTGGATTATTTTTTAAATATTCACGATTTATACATTAAACAGTTCCAAATCTAATGGTTGAGAAGTATTTTTTTTATAATTCCGTTGAAAAATGAGACATATTACATGTTTCAATTGGAATTTGTTTACAACTAAAATATTAACTAATATGTTATACTCTAATATTACGGTTGTGTTGCCTGTTTTTTCATCTCTAATTCTTTATCTTGTACATTGACTAATGTTAAGATTATAATATTTGTTCAATCCTTTTGTTGGTTGAGAAAATTAACTTGCAATTGACACAGCTAGAGTAAAATTAGAGTTAGTGAGTGAATATGGCTTAATATGAGGAAAAGAAATACATCTGTCTCGACCACTTAAATTTCTGATTAATAAATGGAAGGCATTTGCTTAAGAATCATTGAAGCTATCTCTGAATTCAAATAATATAAGGCTAAACAGCCGATAATCAATGACATAAAAAACCCAAAATTTGAAGTGTATCTACTTTTATTTAAGACTGTAAAGCCAGGTAATTGTCCAAAAAGATCTAATTAATGAACTGTTTCTTTTTTCATTCTAGATAAGGTATGAGAGAACTTTTTAAATATCTTTGACATAATTTAATTTGCAATTTTATATCATTTAGTCAACTAGGATATAAAAGAAGAGGAAAACTTAAATAAAATAAGAATAAAGAAATGTTCGATAAAATATTCATCAATATTAATCAATATAAGTCAGGATGAGGATTTTAAAGATGATATCATAATTAACATTTTTCACTTGTTTGAATTTCAAATTTAATCATGAATTATCCTTTTTAAGTTTAAGTTTTAATAAACACTCCTAAATAAAACGCTATTATTTTGAGTGATATTTTGTTATTCTTTAAAAAAAATTGATTAAATTATCAGATTAAAGCTTTTTAAGAGAATGGATAAGAAATAAAACTTTAAGAATTATTCATTCTTTTTCTTCATATATAAATTATAATGTTAAATTTGATATATTATTTTAATCAAAAATTAATGTTATTTACATTTTTAATTAATTAATTGTAAATATATATATATTTTATAATGAAAAATAAGTAGTAGTAGAGGCAAGAGTATTTAGTTTAAGTGTAAGTTATAGAAGTAAGAGATCTTAAAGGTGGAGATAAAACTGGAGCTTGTGATCCTTTTGTAAAGATTTCTGTGGGTAATTTGCCTCCTTAAGTAACTACAACTAGAAAGGCTGCGAATACTGCTGTGTTTAACCAATCATTTACATTCACTGGGTTATTAATGAACTCAATAGAATTCGAAAGTTTTGAGATTAAAATTGAAGTTTACGATTTAAAACAATTTGGATAAAATCAACTTATTGGTATTTACTCAGTTGGAATATCAACTCTCTACAGGAACCCTGCTCATGAAATCTTTAATACTTGGTTACCTTTGGTTCATTCTAAACAAGGATTAGAACCATAAGGATTTTTATTAGCATCTGCATATGTTATATCACCTACAGATCGTCCACCTGTTCATGATATGAATGAAAACAATGTAGAGGAAGAACCTGATGAATTTGGTGGTGTTCCAGATGATTAATTGAATCCAGAATAATTATAAGCAAGAATAGAGAGAAAAAATAGAATTGCTGTTGTTTCTAAACCTGAAATTAGAGGAAAATCTTATTAATTAATGGTTAATATTGCAAAAGCAGAAGATTTAGCATTGATGGGTTATCCAACTCTTGATAGTTTTATATCTGTAAGAGCAGGAGGAACAGCACAAATTACATCTGTGATGAAAAATCAATAGAAACCATAATATTTATCTAGATTGATGTTCCCATTACATTTTCCATTTTTTAATGATAAAATAGTTGTAAGAGTTTGGGATAAAAGAACTATGGCAACAGATACTTTTATTGCTATGATTCCAGAAGTCCCAACAGAAAACGATTATTTTAATATCAATTTTTTATAGAGTAAAGGAGGAACTATGCCTTTTAGATGGTTTAATTTGTATGGAATACCTTAAGATGAAAGACCAGGTGGATTTCAATAGGCATTTTTGGGTTATAAAAAAAGTATTATTGGAACTGACTTTATGGGTAGAGTTTTAATGTCAATAAATCTTACATAAAGTGAAAAGCCTGAATTAATGGTTGTTCCATTAACAACATAAAGAGAACCTCCTATTGATAAATATTTATTGAGATTTGATACATACGAAATTTAGGAAGCAAAAGATTGTGGAGAGAAGATTATAGTAAAATTCAAAGTTGGTGGATTAGTCTTTAAATCAAATGAAGCTTATATTAAGACAGAAAAGAAAAGTAAATATAAATAGAAGGCTTAGAGTGAAAATAAAGAAATTTAAGGTATCACTTATACATGGGGGAAATAAATTTAAACTAAAGATGAGAAATTAGATTTACCTGCTGATCCTCAATAAATTCCAGATTTGATTGTATCGTTACATAATGAAAAAGGGAAAAGAGTTGCTTATTTGAGAATTCCATATTCAGATAGAGATTTAGAAATAAATAGACCTAAATGGTATACATTTAAAAGTGTGAAATAAACAGATAATAATGATATACCTCACAGTTTTTTTTTAGTTAACATAATATTTCGAAATGAAAGTACTGTGTTTAAGATTCCTAAAATTATAGTCAAGAGAGATTAATAAGTATATTATCATTTGTATGCATATTTTTATGCAGGCTATGATTTATGTCCAGATCTGTATTCAGAAGAAGTTTAGGGACATTTTGTAATGAAAATAGGTGGTCAATATTTAGAATTAGATAAATTATAATAAGGAAAGAATCCAATATGGAACAAGGCATTTGAAAAAATTGTGAAAATTGATTAAAATCTTGAGTTTGCAAGTAACATAATAATAACATTTACAAATTAAAAGAAAACTGGTTCATGGTTTAGTAATAATCATATTGGAGATATTTGTATTCCTGCTCTTGTTTGTAAATATGAAGGTGATCCTATCTTTGCATTTCATCACATAGTCAATTAAGGTTAATCTGCTGGAAGAATTTTAGCAGCATTTAAATTAAAAGAATTAGGCAAGAATAAAGAAGCCTATTCAGAATAACCAACTCCTATAATACCTTAAGAAGGTTTTACTTAAAAATGGGCATAATTTCCAGTATTTGGAGTGAGGAATTTAAAATAGAAAATGAAAGATCCAAAATTAATAGTGTAAGTACCAATTCCATTTAATATGGTTGATCCAACTATTGAGAATGCAAGTTATTATAATAGTGAGCCTTGTGATATTATATAGGCTTAAAAAGATTTATTAGAAAATGATAAAAGTTGGTTTGGAGGAGGTATATAAGATCCTGTCTTTTTAAAATTAGTAAATTTAAAAGTTTATTTACCAGAAGATATTAAATTCTATCCACAATTAGAAATTTAATTATCTGATTCATTTAATAAAAATGAAAGATATATATGTTCAATTCCTTTAATTGATGTTGCTTAGACAAAGGATTAAATTTTAATTGATGAAGCAAGGAATTTTTTTGAATAAGGAAGAAATTTTGATGATATATAGTTAAATGCTGGTAAGAATGAGGATTTGTAAGAAGATAATGAGAATGTTGTTGTAAATAATGATGTAGCATCATAAAAATAATTAGATTAAAAAGACACTATTATGCCAAAAGAAACTCAACCTAAAGAAACTATCAAATAAAGTATTGCACCTGAAAAGATGAGTTAATAAAAATAGAGTAATTAATCAGGTAAATCTCAAAAATATTCAACAATGTCAAAATTAAATGTTATGTCAGATAGACCAGATTTAAAAATAAAATCTAATCTAAAAAATAAAGGTATTTAGAATGTTGAAGTTACTGAGATGACTCATCTTACATTGGAATTAGAGGATATTATAGAGAAGAAGAAAGAAAATAGAGAAAAAGAAAAGAAATTATTAGGAATGATTAAGACATATAAGACAAAATATAAGAAGTTTGATTAATTAAAATTACTTATTAAAAGAGAAGTTGAAAAACTAAAAGGAGTTGAAATAAAAGAAACCAATTATTTTAAAGGAACTAATGAAGTAGATGAAGATGAAGGTTATGATTATGGTAGAGAGGTTTTAAAAGGTCCATATGAAGAAAAATTAGCACCAAAGATTCCTTTTAGAAGATTTGCATTGTATCGATTATCTACAACTAAATATGGTTTAATTGGTAATCCAACTGATGCTATTATTAAAGGGGATATTAGAATTTCTGATCATTGTGGAACTATAATTGATAATTAAAAATTATCCAAAAAATCTAAAATGTCTAAGACTTCAAAAAAAAAATCTTCTGTAAAAGATGTACCAGAAAAACCAGATGATTATTCATTTAATCTATTTGATGAGGGTTTTCTTTAATTTTTCAATTAACCTTATAGATTAAAAGTTAGATTATATATATTAAGATGTCTTAATTTAGCAGCATAAAAATAAGATATAGATGCTTATCATAAAATGGCTGGACTTTCAGCTGTTTGTTCAGCAGATTCTTATCCAGAAATATTTATTGGAGAAAGTGGACATGATAATCAAGATTTAATTAAACACATCACTGATTAGGATAGACCAATTGAAAATACATTAAGTCCTAATTTTTTTAGAATGTATGAATTAGATGCAGAATTACCTACTGATTGGAAAATGAAATTACATATTAAAAGTAAAGGAATGTTTGATTCTGTTATTGGTAGTATCCAAATTGATATAGAAGATAGAGTAGTTGGTGAAGAAAAATTAAAATAAAGAATAGCTTATACTGTCTTTAAAGAAAGGTTTGAAACTGAAAAAGAAGCTTTAAAATATGATGATAGTCAAAATGCTGAAAGACGTAAAGGTTATCTTTCAGGATAAATTACAGATTTGTAATAAAGAATTGAAAACTTTGATAAGAAGTTTAAGGTTCCTGTTGAATATAAGGATTTAAAAATAGATGGAAGACAACAAGCATCTTAAGGAACTGTTGAAATGTTTCTAGAAGTCTTGCCTATAGATATTGCAAGAGAAATTGAACCTGCTCCATTGTAGGCTCCATTACCATAAGAATATGAGGTAAGATTAATCATTTGGGAAACTTTTGAAATTCCAAAGGTAGCTACTAAAAAAGTTGTTGATATAATGGTAACTGTAGCTATGGATGCTTCAGCTACAGGAAAAGATGCTGAAGTAACCAAAGAAACTGATGTACATAATGGTAGTGAAAATGGTGATGGATCTTTCTCTTTTCGTATGAGATTTCCTCTTGTTATTCCATGTCCATTTCCAAGATTAAAGATGACCGTTTATAATTTTTCACCTTTTGGTTCAAATGAATCCCTTGGAGAAGCAACAATGTCATTAAAACCGTAATCAACTATATTTAAACTTTAGAATTATTAAAAGACTTTCCAGGGATGGTAAATATGAGATGCCTCCTACTAAAATCAAACTATCTCATCCTAATTATCCAGGTTAAAATAGAGGTTAAGTACTTATTCAAATGAAGATACTAACAAAACAATAAGCAGATGGTTAACCGGTTGGAGATGGGTAAGATGAACCAAATGAAGATCCCTATTTAGTCAAACCAACTGAAGGAAGAGGATTAGCAGATTTTTTCAAAGGAGCAGGTTTTGGAATGGGCAATTTTATGCTGTATGTCAAAATATTTGCTGGAGTTTTTATCACTGTTGTGGTTGTTATGATTTTATTCATTAAACCAGGCATTTTAGTTAATTGATACATTATTTAGTATATATAAGTATTTTTACTTTATAATTTATATCAAAATTTAGTTTTAATAAACCATTATCCTTATGAATTTGTTAAAAATTAAATCAGAAATGTTTAACTATTATATAAATTAATTTTTAAAGTATAAATATATAATGAAAATTTAACAATATTTTCAATTATCTCTAAAAAGTTAGCATAAAATACTCTAAATTAATAGAAATTATTTATAATTCTTAATAATTTTATATAATAATATTAATATATATCTTTAAAATGAAAATGAGATATTTTTTAATTAATTTTTAACCCCTGTAAATGAACATAAATAAAATTTCATGTAAAAAAATGATAAAAATATTATAGAATCAATAAAAATGATCAATGGTATTAATTGCAAAGTAAAATAGCATGATTAAATGAATTTAAAATCATTAAAGTGCAAATGAGGAACATGATTTTTACAATTATAAATTACTTAATAATGAATTGATTATACAATAATCTAATTTAAAGATTTAAATTATCTATGCTATATATTGAACAGAAGTATTTCTAATTATGAATAGCGATATCTTTATTAAAAGTTTGATAAATTATCCAGATGATAATTAAATGAATATTATAATGATATCACTATCTAGACCTTAAATTTTGTCCTTTCAATTAATTTCCTGGATTATTTAATTGTGCAAATGATAATGGGGTAGCCAAGCATTCTTATGATGATTTAAATTTGTGCATATTACCAGTGAAGTTCTCACCATCATAGACTGTCAAACCTAATCCTTCTGGAATATAAATTGATCTGATTTAAGCCTTGAATTCCCTAGAATAAATAATGAGAATACTCAATTTCGCTTAAACTATTACAAGCTTCTAAAGCTTCTCCTTTAAAATTGCATTAAGAATAAATAATAATACAGTCACCTTATACTAATTATTAAATAGTTTTAGACTCTGATTATTAAAGTTATTAGTCAGCATCTATATTATTGGCATTCTCTTGTCCTACAGCATTAACATTATTATTTTATGTAAGGGAATCAAGATTTTCATGACTAGCAGCATCATTATTATCTTAAATTATAGTCTAGTGTTCTTGACTTTAATTATTGTTATTATTTGATATTTAAGATTAAGTTTCTTCTGTTTTCTATTCATTATGCTCTTCTTTTTAATCTCCTTAAACTTTTTCAGTATCTGAGATTTTTTTAGCTTAAGCTTTATCAGCATTTACTTCGCTTTAAACAAAACCATTTTCCATATCTGGAGATGATTGTAGAGATTCTGTATTTGTAATTACATCAAATGCCATATTTGGATCAACTTCATTTTAATTAGAGATATTGTTATCAATTGAAAATTCAACATTTGATTCCAAAATATTAGAAACATCAACTTAATTATCTTATGGTATTTCAACATTATTTGGATCGATATTATTTATTTCATTAGATTATGCAATCATATTATTATTCTCTATTTCATTAGATTCTGCAATTATATTATTATTCTCTGTTTCATGAATAACTTCAGAGTTTACTTCTTCTACATTAGAAACTTGAGTGCTTTCAATTGCATCCTCCATATTTTATTCACTTGGCTCTATAGCACTAATATCATTAGGATCACTAGTGCTATACATAGAATCTTATTCTGGCATAGAATTATCAATATTGTTGTTTATCATCATAGAATCCTCCTCATACATAGAATTAGGGTCAATATTCATATTACTAACAGTTGTTTCTTAATTCATTGATGATTCAATATTGCTACTTTCAACAGATTCAGTTTCTGGGGTAGAATAATCCATACTATCAGTTCTTATTAAATCCATGCTACTTGAATCTAAATCTTATTAATTCATGTTCATTGAATTCATGCTATCAATGTCTTCAGATCCTTACAATGAACTCTCTTCCTAAATCAAATTTCCTTCCAAATCATAATGAGTTACTACAGCCTCAGGTGTTTAGGCAAAAGGTGCTGCGATTAAACATACTAAAAGTAAGTACTTTATCATCAAAACGGATTAAAAATATTTTATTATTAGAGTTCAAACTGAAATAAATTATAATTATATGATATTTCTAACTACCAAAATTTTTAAGTTTAACCTCAGCATATTGGTTAATACTTTCATCTTTACTATAACAAAACTTAAAGTCTTTTAAATTAACAGAATAAATGCATTCATAAATATATTTATTTTATTTATAATGATATGGTACTCAAATCCATAAACATATATTTTATATCAACACCCAAAATTTAGTTTTAGTAAGGCATTTGATTATCTTAAAATAGTTGACATTATATGAATGCTACTATATTTAGAATTATAAATCCTAATTTAGAAACAGATGAATAAGCATCATGCTCTATTCAGTATTGATTGATATTTCCTATTAAGAAAATAAAGATAATCATGGACTATATGATAAATATTATAATTATAAAATAATAGTTAATTTCTTGAGAGTCTGTCTAAATCATTAAAAAATATGACTAAATTAATAAAAATTAATGTATTGTTTATTTATTTAGAAAACAGATAAAATGCCATTTAATATATATATATTAATAACATTTTTTAAAGGATTCTCCAAATTTATTCATTTCTTTTATTCCAACACATAATTAGAATATCTAATTTTGTTGAACTAAAAAATTTACTTTTATTAAGTATTAATATATGCCACTTTCTAAATATTTTACAATCCAAATTTTCAATTCTGAATTGATGTTGATTCTCGTAATAAAAATTGAATAATATCAAGCATTCCCAATTAGTCTTGCTTTGATTAATAATATTTTATTAAATTTCTAATTAAAATTTATATAAAAAATGAATCTTTAAAAATGATAATTAAATTATCAAAATAAAAATAATTTGATGAGATTAAATGTGAAATCTTTTTATAATATCTATTAAAATAATTTCTTTTAATAGGTTATTATTTATTATCATATAAAAGCCCGCTTATCCCCTCCTCTTACCCTAAGTTTTTTTGAGAATGCAGATGGTATTTCATACTTACCAGGGCCTGGTGTTGTACTAGTTGATCGAAAGGGATCTTTTTTTTCACCTATACCTTATGTGATATCCTAATAAATCAATATCATTCCTTTACTTTAAATCGAGATGGTGATGTTAGTTTTGTGGTAGGAGAATATGCTTCAGGACCTGGAACTCCATTATCTGGATTATCATTCATCATTTTTCCTTTTCCTTTCAATAAAAATTTATATCTATGTTAACCTAAATCTTTCCTTACTTTATATTCTCCAGGACCTCTTATTAAACATTGTATATTTACCAGGCAGAAATTTGGCAACTTCTGGTGCTTAGTGTTTATTGTAGGGTAGATATGTTTTAGAGTATAATTCCCAAGGTCCACCAAAAGACCTTTTTAATTTATCTTTTCCAGGAATTTCCCTTACATCATATCTGTTTGGACTTGGCATTTCTTTTGCATTTGTTTCTTACCATGTCCATTAGAAGTTTTCTATTCTTCCTCCAAATCCTTATGAAGTTGTTTTACTTCCCAATGAACTTGGAAGATCTAAAATTGAAACATTATATTCTGATTAAGAATTAAATCTATGGGCTCTAGGAAAGGAAAATTGGAGAGCCGTATGTCTTAGGGTTGATGAAGAAATGTTGGAACTTAATCCTTATTAGTTTACAAATAGTTTATTAGTACTAAAAAACCCTTAAGAACTCGACATTGTATCCCTCATATCAAGTGATCCACTACTTCTAAACCTTCTTTTTAAATAATTTGTATTCTCCATATTCCCTTGTTTTTAATTTATTAATCAAATAAAAAAATTATTTACAAAATAAATTTGATTCTGCAAGACTTCATTCAATCTCATCACTTCATATTCATGAGAAAAATGTATTCAATTTAATAAGTAATCTTAAATCAAATAAGATTTTATTGACTTTAATAATTCAACATTTTTAAACAATTAATGAAATCTATAAATTTATTAGAATAATTTTATAATTTAAATAATATCTTATGTATTCAAAACATAATTTCTTATTAAATGATAGTTTAGTTTATAAATAGAAAAATATTTAAAGAAAAAGTAAAGCTAATATAAATAATAATTGAATCAAAAAAAGACACTTTAATTAATGATATAATGTATCTTTTATATTAAATGATTGAATTGATAATATTAAAATAAAATAAATTAATAATAGACTTGATTAATTACATTAAATTTTTTATATTTTTCGTAATTGGAAATATATCAATAGTCATAATTTAATAATATTGTTTTTTATTTTTATATAAATTAAGATAGATGAATATACTTTAATTCTTGATTGGTCTATTATCAATCATTTAAATCAATTAATTTTGCAACTATTCCAAAATAGAAAAGTCATTCTTGTAACTCAGTTTTAGTCTCCTTTATCAATTTAATTAAATGTGAAAATTAATTAAATTACATATAGATATGAAAATAAAAAGTAAAAGAATTCAATTTTTAAAATAATTCAATAATTGAATAAATTTATTAATATATAGTAATAATATTGTGATGTCATAAATTAAAATTATAATTAATATAAGATATTATATTTGATGAAGGTAGAGAACAAATAGTATATTAGAATAATACATTACTATATTTTTATTGATTAAGATTAAGTTAATGTAAATAAATAGTCAAGTGTTTCATAAATACAAAATATACATAATATGATTGAATATATATATAATATAATTATTTTTTAGAATAATAATTTAATTCGTAATTAATTTTAATAGTTTTAAAATCTTTCAGAGCAAAATGATATTGGATGGTCTCTTTTTAGGTTCTCTTTTACGATTAATCACTGGGACTTCTAAATAAAGATCTTCATCAGGAACTGAATTTTAAGAATAGAATACTTACTTTCATAATCATCATCAAATTCATTTTTTGCAACAAATTAACTTAATTTAGAAGGTTGTTAAGTGTAAATTAATGTACGTTTAGTATTTGAAGGAGTTGATTATAATTTAGAATTCATATTATGTAAAGCATTCAATCCACTTTATTATTGTTAAATAATTGTCATTCTCACATCCATTTCACTCATTTCTCTTAATTCAATAATAGTTCTTAAACTTGGAAGTGGTTTTTTTCTTTTTCTTTCCACTTTTAAAGATTTAATTTTACTTTTTACATTCACAAACCAATGATGTTTAGTAGCTTCTTTTATTGTTAATCTTTTATCTCATAGTATAAAATACTTACTTGCATCTGTTTCTAACATTTTTCTTAGAAGATCCAATTAAGAAGAACTAACTTTACTTTTTGATTAATTTTATTAGAAACCATTTTTTAATAATTGTTCACTATCATCTATACGATTATTTTGAATCTCAAAATTGTCCATAACATTATAAAAATCTTTATCTTCATTTTTTATCTATAACTAAATTAGGTTTAAAATACTTCATATTTTTTTGAATCATAATAGGTCATAAAATATAATACACATCCTAATGCATAAATATCAGTCGATATATTTGGTGCAATACCTTCAAAGATCTCAGGGGCTAAGAAAGATTCAACTGCTCTATTCAAAATCCAATCTAATTTATCATTAACCTTATATTCCTTAAATGAGAGATTAATAAGTGTAATTTAAAGCATTTGATGCTATGAATTGATTAATACATTCTAAGGATTAATACTTCCATGATAAAATTGATGCTAATTAAGAAATTTTACAACTTGGAGTATTTAATAGATAATCTATATTTATTATTATAAATTTTTACAGATGCAATTTGTACTTCATGTAATTAGAGATTAGAATTCAATAAATTAAAGAGGGTCTCTCCTTTATAATATTCATATACTATAAAAAGATATTTATTATTTTAATAAACTCTCTTTAGTTCCAGTAAGGATTAATGTTTAATACTTCTCAATATTTATATTTCATTATAGACAGCATCTTCTAATTCTTGACATTATTCAAAATCATCACTTTTATAAATCTGAACAGTATATTATGTTTTCTTCTTTTTCTTTGTGCATGTATAGAATCCAGGTAATAATTTGTCACCCAACTTATATTTATCCAAGAAACCTGTTAGTTTACAAAATTGTTTCATTTATTTATACCAGGTTCTGAATGTTACAAAATTGGAAAAGAATAAATAGGTAGTGCCAATAGAATTTGTTAAGAGCATACCAAATGCTTATTGTGATCTGTGTTAAATCATTTTCTATGTAATTGTACACTCTGATAAGGATAAATAATATGTAGCACTTCCTTAATTAAATTAAGATTATGGTATTTATAACAGAGTATTTTAAATGGTTACCTTGATTAATAGATTTGGCATTAATATAAATTTACTATATTCTAATGTTCCATTCCAAAATGTATAAAGTTATGCATTCAAAATTTCATCTGATTCTTTTAATTACCCAAATTGTTCTTACTTAAGTACATGCATATGTTAAGATTCAAAATCTTCTTATGAAAATTCATTTGGATATTTTAGAATCCAATTCAAGTTTTCATCATTAGCATTTTACCTTCGACTCATTAGAAAATTTTATATAAATTAATTTTTGTTTATTATAGTTTTCTTTATTATATTCAATCATCATCAGAATCTTAATTATCCTTCATGTATCTATCAATAAGTTTTTGATATTCCTCTCTAGGTAGAGAAGATTCTGAAGAATATGATTCTTATTATTGCTCAATCATTGGATATTGTTCTTGTTATAAAACATTAGGTTTATTGAAAGATCTTCCATTGAGACTAGTAATAACGGAATCAATTTCTTCTTCTTATTAAGAAAATTATAACTATTAAGTAATCATATCTCTTTATTGTGGAGTCTGCATAACGCTGGATCCAAATTATTCGGAAGATTTTTAAACAGATTATTATGGTGTATATTCTTAATTAGTTAAATTGAAGCTTAAGGTATTAGTTTTAAAGTAATTTGATTAAATTAGATTTTATTATTATGCTGATTAAGTTTATTATAAAGATTATTGATAATAAGGATATTGAATTTATTATTATTATTATTATTATTATTATTATTATTATTATTATTATTATTATTATTATTATTATTAATTCTTATTTTATTAGAATTATTATTATTTTTACAAACTAACATCAGATATCTATTACCCTTTTTAAGATCCTATTGATGATCTTTTCTAGTATTGTTGTGATATTCTCTGATTTTTACGCTTTAGTAATTCTTAAGCTATAGTAAATTCATCTTCATCATCTGATGATTCATCTTATATATTTTAATTCTTTAAGAAACTGTCAGATTATATAGAAAGATCTTTATTACAATTATAATATTGATTTTGATTTTGTTTTAATTTATTCTCCAAAGCTTTAAATTCATCACAGAATCTAATTGTTGTTTAATTACTTTTTTATGTTCCAGGAGTTTTAATTGTTTCTTAATGTTATTCAGTTTCTTTTTTGAAAAAATTAGATGTATGAGAATTAATTGCAAAACTTTCTGTTTCTGTTTATATCTATTTATCTGCAGAATTTTAATGTAGATTTATACGATTTCCTGAATTCATTGTTTATACTTCAATATGTTTCTTTTAATCATGTTTTGGCACATTTACAGGTGTCTAATGTCTTGGAATAACTACTTGTTTATCTTATTTTGTTTCAGGTTTAATTGCTTTTCTAATAGGAGAAATCTCTTATCTTTCTTAACGATTAGATTCAAACTAAAATTGTTTCAAACTGTTTGTAAATTCTTCTATTTCTGCTTTTAATTGTAAAATCTCACTCTTTTATTATTTAGGAGGAGGTATTGGAGGTGTAATAGTAGGAGCTTAAGAGACTTTAGAATTATTTTCTTTATTTTCTATCTCATATTATGTGAATGAATCAAATTTATTTACTCTTGTAAGAAGCATCTATTCTTAGATTAATTATTCCTATTATTACAACTTTTTTATAACTTCTAATGATTCTTTAAATTTCTCTTCTGTTTGTTTTTATTCTTTTTTAGCTGATTCAGATTATTATTTGTATTTACTTACTTACTTTTTACATTCTTCTTCTTTTTATCTTATTTGTTCTTAAAGCTTTTTATTTTCTTCTTATTCTTATGCTAATCTTTTTATTAAATCTCCTATTTTTGCTTTTTCTTCTTAACACAAATCCTTTATAGTTATAGAAGGACTTGTAGTACGATCTATGTTTTTGTCATTTTCATCATCGAATTGAAACTTTAGAGTGTTTTTTATGGATGTCAATTTATTTGAATTCCCTTGTTGCTTAGTTTGAGCTATGCGAGTAGTTCTCATATTTAATTAATGTCAATTATTGTTAAAAAATTTCTAAAGACTAACCTTTTAGAAAAACAACACTTTAATAAACATACTGAAAGAGAAAGAAAAAGATTTGAATACATTAACAAGTCTATATCTGATCGGAAAGCCTATCTTTGTTTGTCTCCAACTGAACAGTATATTTTGAATGACAAAGTATTCTCATTGATTCCTATTTTAAAAGTCATTACATCATTCAAGACAAGAACAACGAATGTATGATTTCAAGACTCCTTTTGACAATGATCATTGTGTTGAGAAGAAAGAAAGGTCTAAGGAAATGACACTTACAATGGCACTTTCATCTATGAAGAATAGTAATCAAATTTAACAAATAACAAAACCAAAAAAAAAACTAACATTTTTAGAATCTATTGTATTTTCACCAGATGGAACACTTAAAATTATTTGGGATTTTATGTGTATGTTTCTAATTTTTTATGAAATTTTGTCCATACCTTTTAGAATTAGTTTTGATTTTGAAATAAGTGAAGAACTAAGTACATTTATTACAACTATTTTCTTGATTGATATTGCAGTTACATTTAATACAGCTGTCTGGATCAAAGGTACCATCAATTTTCAATACTCAGTGATATTTAGACAATATATGAAACTTTGGTTTTGGTTAGATTTAATTGCATCCTTTCCATATGATATGGTATTATAATATTAAATAATAATTAGATCATAGAATCAATATTATTATCAGATGCTGATGAAACTGATTAAAGTAATAAGAGTGTTGGATAATCAAAGACATTATAATAAAGTGCTTAAATTTTGAGACTTTTAAAATTCTTTAGATTTATTAAGATCATTAGATTACTTAGATTAGCTAAATTAAAAGTTATTTTTGATAAAATTGAAGAATAACTTTAAACATATACTACTATAAATACAATAGCCAGTTTCCTTAAGTTGAGTTTCTTTGTATTATTTTGGTCACATTGGTTAGGATGTATATTTCATTTTGTAGGAATGAATGAAGATCCTAATCATAATTGGTTAGTTGTAGCTGGTATTTATGATTCCCCTGTTGAAGTAAGATATGTTACATCAATTTATTGGGCTGTCACTACAATGATTACTGTTGGTTATGGAGATATTTCACCTTAAACAACAACAGAAAGATTATGTGGAATATTCTTTTTATTGGTAGCTTGTGGAGTATTATCATTTACAATGAATTCTATAGGAAATACTATGTAATAAATGAGTTAAAAAAAAGATTAATAAAAAAAGAATATTGCTGAAATTAATAATTACATGTAAAAAGTAAAAATACCAAAACATCTTTAATAAAGAGTAAGAAAATATTTATAATATATTTGGGATTCAAGTAGACTTATTAAATTAGATGCTATAACTGTTAATCTATCTTAAGAATTAAAGTAATTATTAACTGTTCATGTTAATGGTAATATATTAGCTACATATACAAATTTCTGTAAAACCTTCTCACGTGTTCTTCTCTTAGATATTACTTAAATATTATTTGAATAAACTGCATAACCAGATGAATATATCATTATTGAAGATAATCCTAAAAATTCACATCATTTATATTTTATCTAAGATGGTTTAATTAATATAGTATTACCTAAAACAAGATAAGTAGTAGCTAAATTAACTAATAAATAAATTTTTGGAGAAATTAACTTCTTTGGAAATGTAGGTAGAACTGCCTCTGCTAAAAGTGAAGGGTTTAGTGATTTGTTTGTATTAAAAAGAGAAAGTTTTTTATAAATATTGTAAAAATATCCTAAAGATTTTGAGAAATTCTATATAATATAAGAGGAAGTTAATAAACATTAATTTTAAGTACTTTAAATACATTGTTTTGCATGTGAATTACCAGGACATGTAGTAAGAGATTGTCCACAATTACATTTTATTGTAGATCTTTATATTTATAATAAAACAAAGAATAGATGTATTAGATAAATAATGAAAGAATATGTAAGAAAAGATAGAATACATTTTAATGCTATTAAACATTAGTATTTAATAAAGAAAGAAGCATTAAGTATTTAAACTGTAATACCAATGACTGGATTTATTGTTGAAGAATGTAATTTAGAAGATGCATAATTTAAAACTATTCAATTTAAAAGCATACCTTAACCTGTTAAAATTAAATCAAAATTTAAAGAAGATCGTAATAGAAGAAGAGAAATATAAAAAGTTATACGTGCATAATAGAGTTAAGTTTAAATGATTACTCAAAAATAAAATGATATTTATAATCTTACTAAATCTCTTTCATAATTAATTTAATCATCAACACCATCTATAAATTTATAAAGTAGTAGTATAAGTCATACTAAAATTAATGAAAATTAAAGTTCAGATGAATAAAGTGATTCAGAAACTATATAATAAAAATTAGATGAAATTATATTAGAATATTAAGTTTAAAAAGAAAATTAAAATTAAGAAAATCTATTCACTTAAAATAAAAGTTAACAAAATTATTCTTTAATTGATTATTTTGAATTTGGATATGATTTTGAAATTTATTGCACTCATAATAATTTATCTGTTGTTTTAAAAGAAGTATAGAAATATTATAATGGTGCCCAAATCAAACCAAAAATAGACACTGAATATGAGTAATCCTCTTATATATCATAGTGTTAATGTATTTGAAGAATACATGGATTATTATGCAATTAATATGGAAGATATTAATCGGTTTAGATTAGAAGTTAAGCCAGAAAGATTAAAACAATTTTTACCATATACTACTTTAGTTGAAATGAAATAATCAAGATAAGTATTAATGTTATTTTTATTTATTTAGTTTAAATAAAATTAAGGACGCATTAAAATTGCATCTAGATAATCAGAAAATAATTCTTCTGAAGAATATTCAAAGAAGATATGGATAATTTGAAAATCGATTCATATATAAATATTTATAATAAGGTTATATATGGTATAACTGTCTCATTATTATTTTTATTTAATAAAAAGTGGAAATAGTTTGATCAATATAATTTTTCATTTTGATTCTTACGTAATTTGTGAATATCCTAATAAGATTTATTTTAAAAACATGAAGATGGTCTTTCAATATGAATTTGATTATAAAAATGAGGAGAAAAGGTACATTTACTTAGTTCCTATTCATCTTTATCCTCTCTCATTTTCTTTAATTTTTATTGCTTTTTCTTTAGAAATAAATCATTTCTTTCTATTACTGACAAACCCACCCAATTCTTATAACATGCTTTAGTATTAGTCCTTTCACTCATAATATTACTTGTAGATATTTCTTGCCTTCTAATACATGGTTCTAGTTAGGCTAATGACTATGGCCTTATGAATTATTATCTATAAGTGGGGGTTTTTGGAGTCTAAGTTTATGTAGTAATTGTTTATGAAGGAATTTTTTATTCTTTTTTCTGGTTCTAAGATGGAGGAGAAGGAGGTTAGGGTTACTTGACAAATGCTCTCAAATTAACGAATATTTTCTTAGTGTTTGAATGAGTTTGAAATTGATCTCTAAAGTCAGGTTTCTTCTCTTTCTTTTAGGCCATCAAATAACTAAGACGTTCTAAATTGGCTTACAAGGTTGAATCAATTGGTACCAATTAATTCATTTTTTATATTAATATAATGTGAGCAGTCTTATTTAATTTATTAATATCTCATCTATTACTAAAAATAAACCTTTATTAAAATGAATACAACATGAACTTAAATAATTGTATTATTATTTGTAAGGAACATCTAAATTTGTTTGAATATAGTATATATAAATTATTAATTATAGATTCATTTTATGAATATAAGTACAAGTTGTGCTCATTCAATCAGAGATTTTAGATGGAAGAATATTATATTAGGATGTTTCAGTCTTTTAGGCTTAATATTTAGTTGTAAGAGCTTTGTATTGGATTCTAATACCTTCTATTAACTTATTTATATTTCAGAACTCATAATTGGTTACTTTATGATGTTAGTTGTCTTTATTAATTAGTTCTTGGCAATGAGATAAACCTAATATGTTCTTACAATGAGTTATTTAATAAATGAAACTTAGAGAGTAAATGTGTAATACACAGATTAAGAATTAGAAGAAATGATTAAAGATGGTATTATTAATATTTTAACTTTTAGAATGTCGCAATCATGCTTCTAAATGTTCAGTCTTTTATACAAGTATTAAAATGTGTTTTCACAATTTTTGTTGTGAATCTAAAGATTTCCTTTATCTTGTTTTATCGGCTGGTGTAATAATTTCATATTTCTTTGAATAACGATTTTAATAAGAAGATATAGGTGGTAAAGTATTTATACTCTTTTGTGTAACTTTTTGGGATTTATTACTTGTTACTCTAGGGTTTATTATAGAAATGCCAAGAAGAATTAGATAATATTATAAAATGAGAGCCTTACATAGAAGAGCAACTAGATTATAATTCTTAGATTTGTAAAGATAAGTATAATCTTTGGGGGATAATAATTTAGAGGGTTAATAAGGATTGTATATAGATTTATTACACCATGATTTAATAGTTGATTAGAATAATGAATAAAGACAAAATGGTTTTCAAGGATAAAATGCCATAAATGCTTAAGATGAATAAGTCTAATGTTAAATATGTTTTGAAGATATGAATGAGAATACAAATGTTTAATAATTATAATGCCATCCATCTCATATATTCCATTCTGATTGTATAACTAGTTGGTTTTAAAGAAAAGTATAATCTAATAAATTACTTAGCGTTAAGAAAATTTAGTTCCTAGTTGCCCAATTTGTAGAGCACCCTAAAATAGATGAAATCAATAATAACCAAAATATGAATATAAAATATATTATCTTAACTAATTAATAGTTCTAAATTTCTATACTTTTCTTGAATATTTTATATTTAATTATTTAAGATATATCATTAATTTACAAATAAATACATAAAGTAAGTTAATTAAAATAAATGAAAAAAAATAACTTTCAACAAAGAATAAATCCTTTTTAAGTAAATATAAGAAATTCTCTTTTATTAACCTATTAAATTATGATTTTTAAATAAATGATTTTAGATTTCTAATTTGTGAATAATAATTAATCATTAATGTTAAATTAAGTAAGTAATTAATTATAAAGAAGACTACTTTAATTTTTATTTGAAATATTTTTAATAATTAATTAAATTTATGAATTTTTTATAATTATAGAAATATAACTTTTTATTATTTCTATTTGATGTTATACAATATATATTAACCTTATGGTTATAATAAAAATGAAAATATTATTTATTATTACATTTAGTCTTAATTGAATTAATAAATATTCATTAAGATTATTTTTAATAATAGTTTAATTTTCATCATTTAATTTCTATATAAGGTGTGTTATAAATATTTAAAAAATATATAACTTAAAATTAATTCTCTTTACTTATATATATTGATAATGTTATAACAATTGATTTTATATATTTAATATAAATTTATATAATTAATATGGGGAATGCTTTGGATAATGAGAAATCTTAATAGATTATGAAAGATTTTACATTTTGTCAAAATCTGTCTCATCGTTAATTAGGAAATATAAGAATACTTGAATATAAATAGAATAAAGTAAATATAATTGAATGTAAGAAAGAAAATTAGAGTATTTGAAATATAAATGGGAACTACTTCAAAATAAGAAATTGAAAGTTATTGTAAAAGATTCGAGAATAGAAAATAATGGAAAAATGATAATTTGGTTCGATTGTTACATTTTCATGAAAATAGTAATTCAATGATGTGTGCTGATGTGTCTTAAGCAATAATAATAGGTGAATATTATTAGATGACTTTAAATTCAGAGGCTGAATAGAAGTATTTATAGAATTGAATAAGTTTTACTTAATCATTTATGTTTAATGAATCAAGATTATGGTTGATTACTTATCAAATAGTGAGTGCTTGTGCATTTTTAGAGGAGAAGGGATTATATCATGGAGATTTGAAGACTTAGACAATATATTTGGATGAATCAGAGAATATAAAGTTGATAGTAAGAAAATTGATTAAAATGAAAGGAACATAGTTTCTTACCTAATCATCCAGATGCATATAGTAAGGCATTTATATTAGATGAATTTCATTTGTTGCCTCCTGAATAATTAGAAGAATTAAAATAATCAATTCCTAGTTCTTAAATGAGTGGAGTGAAGAGTGATGTATTTACTTTGGGATTGATATTATTAGAATTAGCTGCTTAATAATGTAAATATTAATATATAATATATATTAAGCTTCATCTGCTTATTATAATTGGTAAAAGAAAGTAATTGATAAAGAGTAGGTTTAGAGAATGTGTGATATGTTATTATGTTTGGGTTATTCGAGCATATTTTAAAAGTTGATTTTGTAGATGATTAGTGAATATGAAATAAGGCCAACATTTAAAATAATAAGGGATGGATTATAGAATTTAGAGAAAGATATTTTGGGAGGCATTTAATTTTATAAGAATCATATTAAATAAGAAAGGATGAAAGAAGCTAATAAAAAATAGTTTCAAACATTTGGATAAAAAATGTGAATACAAAAAATCACATTTATATCTTAATTTAGCTAACATTCTTATCCTATCAATATTTATTATCAATTTAATATTATTTAAAATTTGCATGTTTTTCCCTGAATAAGAATACAAGACAAGTACAAAAGTAAGAAACTTTGTATTCTATTATAGAGTGAAGATGAACTAAAGAAATTAACATTAGAAGAGGATTTAAGTGAATGTTAGAGATCATATCACATATTGACTAAGGGTTAATAATTGCAAAAGAGGGCAGTAATATATACTGTATATTGATAGATATATTAAAACTTGCATAGAATTTTAAAAGAACCAAATGCATTTGAAATATTGTTCAAAGTTATTGTGTATGATATAATCTATATTAAAGAGAGGAGATTCAACAATAAGAAGAGGAAAATCAAATAATTGCAGCCAAGTCTCTTCATAAATTGATTAAAGATAATGAACTTTAAGTAATGGAGTTACTATAAATATATGATTTGACTACATAAATTCTTAAAATTTGGTCATTACCTGTATTGAATGAATGGATACATACTATGAATGCATTACTTAGAGTTATCAGTCTAAACATTATCCTTAATCCAACATAATAATTAATATTATTATTGACTGATGCATCATAACCAACTATTTCTCGTTAAAGTGCTGCCAAACTCATAGGTACATTAGCATAAGTAAATTAATTTATTAAATATAAGCTATTGGGAAATGAAATCAAAGGACCTTTATTAGACAGAGCTAGAAATTTATGTTCAGATCATGATAAGGAAATTAGATTAATTATGGCTGAAGATGTAATAGTGAAAGTGTGTTAATCAATATCTAGTGATTTGATTGAATGTTATTTACTTGAAAAGATCATGGAATTATATTATGATACTGATATTATTGTAAAGAGTTCAGGCATGAGATTATTTTATACTATTGCTAATCAATTATCAATTGATGAAATAAAAAATAGATGTACTAAACTATTCATAGATTAAATATAAAGTTAGAGTGAAGAAAGTAAAGTAGTAATGTCTAAAGTATGTGGTAGAATATATATGTTGGTAATTATTTTTATATTTAAATAAGGTTAAAGATAATTTAAATATTAATTAAATATCTTTATTTCTAAATATATATGTTTCATATGCTAAAAGTAAAAATTTAGATGTCAGAATCAATTTTATATCTAATTTCCCTGCCATACTTTCACTAACTCTAAAAAAATTTGAATTTTTTCAAGATTAATATATGTTGTGTTGCAATGATACCAATGAAACACTTTAGAGAACTCTTTTAAGTAGTTTTCATGAAGTTGTACTCTTATCTGAAAATACAGATATTCTAATACAAGTTTTCATAAATTTCATGAAATCTAAATATTAAACAGTTTTACAATTGTTAATATTCAGATTTGATTCAATTGTCAATTCATTCCAAAAACAAGTAGTTTGTTTATCTTATGCGTAGACAGTAACAACCTCGATTTGGTCAACCAGCCATTGAATTGCTAAATAATCTCATTGTCAAAAATCAATGGGATCTATAAATAGATTTATTATCTAAATTTTCAGAATGTCAATAAATATTTCCTGATATCAATATATTCCTAAATACTATGATTACTACAATAAATAAAGGAATCCCAAAAACTAAATAATTATGTTGTCTAAATATTGCAAAGTACTTAAGTAACTTAGAAAATCTAAGAAAGAGAAAGGATTGGATTATTTAACTATTTGAACTTTATTTTAAATCTGATAGTTACTTTAATAGAATCATATTTATTGATATAGTTTAAGAATTCACTTAGTTCATCTCTAGAAAATTATTCAAATAATATTAATTCTATGATATATTAATCTTTTCAAAAGATCCAATCCTTAATGTTAGAATGAGATTAATCAAGGTATTATTACATTAAAATTCTATTTAGATATTACCTATCCTATATAAAAAGATTGATTCTGAAGATGCATCTACTTTGAATATGTTCAATGATGCCTTACAAGATTGTATTCTAAGTGGATCTCGTTCTTTTTAATACATGATCTAATAAACTAAATAAGAGTTGCTTAAACCAAGTGATGAAAGCTATTTAAATTAGAAGGATCAAGAAATGCTAGAAAAAGAGGAGTAGATCTATAAGAATGATTAAAAATAGAGATAATTACTATTAGATTAAGAAAGGGATGATTTGGAAATCAATAAAATAGATTTAAATGATTATTTAACCAAATACAAAAAGAAGTATCCCCTTACAAAAATTAAGATAACTACTCCTAATATGCACAGTTAAACTATGCTCATTAAAAAACCTTAATTATAGAATAATGCCACTTAAGCAGCACTTCTTGTTAAGAAATCTGTTGATTTTGATTCTAATAAGAGTCCCCTTTTAGAAGCAGCATCTACTTTGAAAAAGCCTGTTCTTAAATCAAAAACACCAACAACTAAGAGTATTTGTGATATTAAGAAGTAATTTAAACTTCCTAGTATAAAAAAATGAAATAACATAATATTATAGATTATTATGATTGTAAATATATATAGTTTTTTTTTCATAACTCCATCTTTTTCTCATTCTCTATTTCAGGAGCTGCTTCAAATTAATTAGCTGGCAAATTGTTATATTAAATCTCTAATTTATGCTTATCAGCCTTCCTCTTTCCCCAAATTATGAAACCAATACTCAAAGCCAAATATACACATGCTGATACTATAGCTGTAGTCTCTGAATTAGTTTGATTCTTCACAGGATATCTATAAAATTCAATTTAGTATTTAAGTATAAGGAACAAAGACAACTACAATTAAATAATGCTTCATTACAAATAAGATGAACCCACATCCAAAAATAACAGTCCAGAAACGAATACAATCCATATTTATTATTAATATTAATGAACTGTTAAGAATATATTCGCTATTCTGATATTTTAGATGGAAAGTATGAAATAGATTAATTGAAATCTTTGAATTAAACATAGAAATATAGATCAACAAGTTCAATTAAAACCAATCATTATAAAGATTTAATAGAAGACTTAATTTAAGTATCATACTATACAATAAAATAGGCTCAAAGTAGATGTGCTGATAATATCAATCAATTAGGTTACATGATCAATTCATAATCAAGCAAGAGATGTACTTAATCTCAATTTTCAACTCCTAAACTTAATATGTCATAAATTTCATAATTTTCATAATATTCATAAATCTAAACTCCTAGTAAAGCCAATCAAAGTATTTCTGCATCTCCATAATTATATAATTAATTGAACAATGAGTAATAAATATTACTTAATTTAAAGAAATCTTATGGAACAAATTGAAAAATTAATTAAGATTAGAAAATTAGACTAATCTATACTTTTAAGGATCATCAGAAAACATATGACTAATTGTCCATATTTTGTATAATTAGTCAAACAAGAGTTTCGTAATAGTATTAATACTTCATAGTGATGTACTTTAGAATAAATTATTATAATTTTATTTTTACTAAATCCTTTTGTTTATTTTCTTGGTTTTAATTTAACTTATCATAAACATTTTAAGATATCTATTTATATTTATAATCATATTTTTATTATTTAATACTCTATTAAATAAATATTAAAAAGATCTTTCTAAAATTATATAATTATTTTGGATTACCTAATAGATCAATATAAGATATATATATGTACAATGAATCAATTAATTGTATTTTATGCATGATAATTAGATTATTCAATTTATTTATAAATGAATATATTTAATACATTATCATTATAGTATTATGATGTATATATTATATAGGCAGTTAATTATATTTTGAAATCAAAAATGGGAGCCACCGATTCAAAACCAATCACTAAGCTTTATGATCACTTCCGATAGATTAATGTTTATAACAATGGTATTTCGTAAAGTAGATGATCATAGACTTTCCTGAGTGTCAAATCCTATAACATAAGCGAGATCCTCATTAGAAGTTGATTCTTCGTACTTTAAATATAACAGATGAAGTTCACTTCAAGAAAGCTGTCCAATAATACCAAGTAAGACACAAGATCAATCATTAAAATGTTCTTAATCTGAGCAATTACTTTTACCAATTTGAGTAATAACTCTGTGGACAATTCTATAAAGTGTATTTACTTTTTGAATATCCAACTGGTAATTTAGAGTTAGTACCAGCCTTAAATGAAACATAATTAGTTTAGTATTTGAAACAAGCAGTTGCAGGATTAGCATGCATGTAGAAAAATGAGATCCCACATAATTCATTGTAACTCAAATATTTATATTTGATGGATGAAATAATAAAAGTTACAGATCCAATGTATTTTCAACATAGTACAAATTTTATGTAAGTATTATAAAATCCAAATTGTTTGGAATGTATTTATCTATCCCCAATATTGGTGAAATCAATATAATTAAACAATTGGTAACCTAAACATAATGAATACAAGAGTGATCTATTTACTTTGGGTATGCTCTTTCTACATTTGGCATTAAATTAACCAAGTTCAGATTGTTATTCATATGAATAAGGTTTATTAATTGAAGATGTTTTGAATAGTAAATTATAAAAATTGAAGATGAGATATGGATAATAATTTTGTGATTGGATAACTACAATGTTAATTATTAAAGAAGATTAAAGACCAGATTTCTTATAGATGGAATAATATATTACTAATTAATAATAAGTTATAAATAAATAATAATATATTCCTAATATTATTTAAAGATAGATTATTCCAATTATAGATCCTACCTATTAATCAAATAACATATAAACACTACAATAACATACAATTGTTGCTAATAATACAATTCAACCATGTTTAACATAAGTTAATAGTGTATAGTAAATTCAATCAAGAAGAGTTTAATAAGTTTAAAATATTTCACCATTAGAATATGTCCATTAATATACAATTAAAACTGATACTTCATAAAGAAGTCTAACACCTTTAAGCAAAATCTTAGTACCTCAATAATAACTTTAAGTAAGAGATAATAGAGATAGTTCAGTTCCCAGATTAAGAGGATCAAGATAAAGTAGTAAGGATGTTAATCAAACTTACACTTATGCTGTTCCAACAATTCCTACAGATTTATCTATTCTTAGTAATAAGAGTGGATAAGTTAAATAAATATATTTTCCTCCAAAGCCTTTATCAAATAAAATGTAAAATACTAGAACTATTACTTAATAATAATAATAATAATAATAATCTAGATTGAATTATACAACTTAATAAGTATAAGAATATCAATTTAGTAGTTAAATTAGTAACAACACTTAAAAATAAGTTACTCCAATCTTATCATTGCAACCTGATTAATGTGATACTTTACACTTCAAATAACCTAGTGAAACTGTAAGTAAATAATCATAATTTGATGAAAATATTGATCCCTAACCAGATGAAGATGTTGAATAAACCACTTAAAGATAGGAATATTTTAAATTTTCTAAAATTCTCAGTGATTCAACCAATCTTCCTTAATAAATAACAACAACCTAAACTAAAGAATTTTCTTTACCATATGATATTCCTTAATTCAAAGCAGACAGTGTCAATCGACCAGAATTTGTAGTTGAACATTATTCAAATGGATCTCGTTATGAGGGAATGAAAGCCAATGGGATGAGACATGGTTAAGGTAAATTTTATTATTAAGATGGCGGATTATATGATGGAGGATGGAAAGAAAATAAAATGCATGGAGATGGTAATAAATCAATTAAATTCTTTTTAGGAACATTATATTATGCAACAGGACAACCTGCCTATTAAGGTCAATGGAGTGAAGATTAATTTTAAGGTCATGGTACTCTATATAATGAGCATCCTTAACCATTATAAGAATCATTTGATTATAGAGATTTTGATAATGTTGAAGAGTATAATATAAATATATATTCATTAGTTATTGGATTAAATATAGTGGAAATTTTGATTAAGATAATAAAGAAGGTTAAGGAACACTTTACTTAACAAATGGTGAACGTTTTGTAGGCACTTTCTAGAAAGATTTCATAAATGGCCCTGGAATATTCTATTGTATGAATGGTAAAATCATGGATGGCAGATGGGTTAATAATAAACTAGTATATTGAATTATCTCATTAAATTTTGCATTTTTAACATTCGATTAATTATATTATTCTCATCTCTTTTTATATATTATTGAAATGTTGATATTTAATTAAGTCTTTTCTTCAAAACATTAAAAAATATTGATTTATTTAATTTAATGCAGGACCCAGAGCTTTATGTTCGAAATTTCTAGGAAGAAATTAGCTAAAGAAATAAACGTAAATAACCTGTGTAATATCCCGATGATTAAAGATTACATGAACGTCCTAGAGTTCGAAAGATTGAACCACCTTCTTAGATCATCAGTTAGTCATTACTTAAAAATCATAGTTATGTGTATTATAATCTATTTAATATAGGGCTGATCCTCTCAAAAATTTTACAAAACCTCTTATCAGTTATTAAATTACTAGTCCATCTGGAAGAGATCCATAGCGATACAATCACAATTTTTTGTACTTAGGACAAGATAATATCTTTTATAAAGAACCCTACAATCAATTTTAAAAAGACTATGCACCTCAAAGATATTCACATCAATCTAATGAATAAAGAATTAATTATCAAAATGTAGGCAATATGCTTGTTGGTGGTGATAATTAAACATAGATATAAAATCAGACATAATAATAAAATCAGTCAATGACTTAATCATAATTTTAAAATTAACAAGCAGGATATGGATATCAATAATAGTAACCAATTTATTATTAATAATAATAATATCAATAATAGTAATAATAATAATAATAATAATAATAATAGCAATAATAATAATAGTAATAATTATAATCGTAATAATAACAATAATTATATTAGCAATAAGTACAATAATAACAATAACAACTCTCGTAATCATAATTATAAAAACAATAATATTAATAATAACAGCAATATTAAATATAATAGGTACCAACATAAAGTAATTACTAGAACTAGTAATTTTCTTAATAATTCAATCACTAATAGGCAGGAACATCAAATACATATAAAATAAAAAGTGAAAATAATCATTAGCCTTTCAATTATTATGGGTATATATCAATCTCAAAGTATTTAGTTCTAGAGCTTTAAAAAACTTAGATAGTACCTAAATATATTGAATATTTAAATGTATTATTAAATAATTTTATAATATATCTATTGGAATTATCTAATAATAAGTCAAAAATATAAAAAATAAAAAATAGTTAAATATCTACTTAAAAAATAACTTGATTGAATAATCTCTTCATTATTAGATAATATAGGACATAATTAATTGAAAAACAAACTTTTTTTTATTAAAAAAAATAAAAGCTTTGAATAAAGATTATTGATAGAAAAATTAATATTTTATTTAAATTACATAATACTTTAAATAAAGGATACCTTATAAATTAATTGGATAATAGAGCACTTAAGATACAATATTATAATTTATGGTAATATTAAATATTTATAAGTTATTTTTCCTATATCTTAAAGAAAGCGTTAAATTAATGTATCAATTTTTATATTTAAAGAGCATAAATAATTATATATTAAATTAACTTATGTTACATCTTCTTTGCAATTTTTAAAAAATTTCTATAACAAAAATTTGCTATTAATTACCCCTACTTCATAGCAATTACAATATTTTTTAGTATTTTTTGAATAAAGTATTAATAAAATTGATTTAAATAAATTATGTGTTAATTTTAGATAGTTAAATTTGTGAGTATTTTACTTATGCTTAATTTATTGATGAAGAATTAGTTATGATTGAAGGAATTCTGATATTTGTACTCATACTTAATTATCAATATATATATTATTATTAAAATAATGATGCATAATCTTACAACATCTCCTAGATGTCCTTTTAAATTTCCCACTGAACATTTAAAACAGGATAGTAAAAGCATGACATTTAGAGACTTTATTCAAATGTAGCAAACCAAGGAGGAGATGAAATTCTAATTTCCAGGTCGATTGACTCAATAGCAAGGGTCTCCGATTAATTCAAAAAAGCAAAGATGGGAAAAATAGTTAAGTACACTCTTACGCTAAGACCCATAGAATGAATTATTTATTAAGCATTCATCTTAATGTCAAATAGCAATGAAAGATTTCATAAATAAAACAAAGAATTTCCGAAGTCATGAATAATCTCCTACAAAAACTACATATCATTTACCAATGATAAGTGATTCTTAAGTCATAGTACTACCAAATACTCCTGTCCATTTTAAGTTTACTCCTATATAAACAAAAACAAAGGCATCAAATTATGTTGGGTTAAGAAATGTACAAGATTAATTAGAGCAGTTAAAAAAGCCTAGAATACAGCCAACCCATAGAGAATTAAAATAGTAACCAATGACTTAGACTGAAATCATCAGTAAATTCTTTGAAACAAAATTTTAGAAGATAATAAAAACTTAGATAAAGTAATATGGTAGTAATGAATTACTTGATTAACATTCAGAAACACTTTATTCACGTATAATACAAGATAGATAATTAAAAATGAAATTCTAAGGAAAATCATTAAAATACTTAAAAGATATTTACAAAAGTATTTTAGGAATTGGATACACTTAAGAAATCTTGCTTGATCCATTTAGAATGAGAAGTATTCATGCACCTTTATTTATAAAAAAGGAATAATTTATTAGATTTAAGTATTTGTTTATAAACCAATTTATGGACATGGAGACTCCAGTTGAATTACTATTTAAAGGATGTTATAAATTAGAAAATTTTAAACCATTAATATTAAATTAAAAGAGTGATTTTGAGATATTTGGGGGGGAGTTTGGAATTAATGAAATTGCTAAAAATATGTATGAAAAGATCTTTAAGGATTATACATTAAGTCCATATTTTAAGGCAATAGAATTAGAAGAATAAGCAATTAAATTTGCAAAATTATTTGCCCAATTAATCGATCATACTGAATCACCAAATTATACACTTGAAGTATTGAGAGAAAGACATGTTAAATATAAACTTACACATGTCTAATTGGCCAATTTTAAGTTTTATTTGTCAACAACACTGTAAAAATTAGGAATCAAATATAAACATATTAGAATATTATTAAGGAAAATGGATACTTACAAATTTGCCATATTAAATAAATCATCTTTATAAGAATGTATTAACAATTCCCCTGGAGGATATAGAGAATTTATTGAAAATTTTGTTCGTTTGTGTTCAAGTGAACCAATACTTTTTGATTTAGTTTAAAAAAGAGGCAAATAGAGATTTACTGCTCATTGTGAAAATGTTTTTCATTATTTTTTCAGAGATAATGTTAAGTCAATTACTGATAGTGATATTGAAACTATTCATAAGAATAAAACTATTATTTCTGAAAAAGTATTTAAGAAATTCAAAGAGAAGGCCATGCAAGCAGTAAGTAAAGTTACTAATGATCCCATTTTATTAAGTGATTTTGAAGAGGATTGGGAAGAAATCACACCAATACTATTAAATAAACCTAGAAAAACTGCAATCAAATAACTTGGTGGATAGTTTGTTATCAATAGAATTGCATCTAAACTTGAAAATGAGATTATGTAAAGACCTTTATTATACAAAGTCTTTGAGGTATATTTTATAAATAAATAAGGATAATGAATCTCCTGTTGGATAAAATTTAAGATGTAAGCTTAACTTAATTTTATATGGACTTCACTTTTATAAAAGAACTGATATCGAGGTACTTCATAAACGATTAAGAATAAGAGAATAACCCTATTTCGAATTTTAATAAGTAAATATGAATTGTAATAAATTAGGCTATGAAAACAGTGATGCAAGATGAACCATAAAAATTATAGTTTATTCTTGATGTAATAGATGATTACAAAAAACATATAGTTTTTGATTGATATCTTTATTATTATTATTTTATAATATCTGAATCTTAATAATAAATGATTATTATTTTTAATTTGATCTATTTATAAAGTAAAATAAAAGAGATTCAAAAATGCTTAAATTAATGATAGATTTATTATATTGCGATATTTAACCCTAAAGATAAAATGATTTACCCTAAACTAAATTTATACTGAAAATCTAATTTCAATTAAACAAGTTTATAAGTTGATTGTAAACAGCATATAAATACAAATATTTTGATTATTTATCACAATAAAGATTGGTTCTAAAAATACATGAAAAATATGAGACTAAAAAGTATTTATTAAATTCTTAGATTTTGAAATATATGAAGGATAAGAATTTTAATAATAATAAAATCTAAATATCAGAAATCTTTTATAATATGATAGACTTTAATTATGAAAAAATTGATGGTTTCAGGATTATGGATTGATAATTAATTATCAGAATCTGATTTAATTAATTTATTTATTTATTCTAACTAATATACTTAAAAATCAGTGATAAATTGATCAAGCCAATTTACTTTAGATTCGAAAAATTACTTTTGTAAAATATAAGAGAAGGATTTTTAAACTTGCATATAAAAATCCTAATTGTCAATAATCAGCTAATTTGGGTTTTTAAAAAAAACTATAATGATATTAAGAAAATATGAAAGTACAATAAAAAGACAATTTTAAAAGAAGTTTATTTGATGTCAGAACGTATGATTATTTTTAAATATATAAAATCTTAGATTATGTGTATTAAATAATTGAATATTTTTATGCAATCATTTTAAATTTTCATGTAAAAACTTTGCTGCTAAATCTAAAGCTTATTTAGCTATGGCTTAATTATAAACTTCAGGTCTATCTTAGTTACAAAAAGCATGTCCAACTCCTGGCCATATTTTCACTTGCAAACTTTTATTTCCTTATTATTATGCAGTTAATTCTAATCTTTTAGCATCTTAGACTGATGAGAATCCTACCATATCATCATTTTGACCAAATTAAGCTAGAATAGGTCCGTTGGCATTTGATAATTTGAATGTGTTCAAATCGCATACTCCATAAAATGGTGCTGCTGCAGAGATAATTTTAGAAGTTGTAATCGATGCTATACTAAGTGCTCCACCCATACAGAATCCTAAAATTCCTACTTTTTTGCAATGTAATTCTTCTTTTAAATAACGAGCTGATTCTTCTATATCAATTAAAGCTTATTTCCAATCTAATCCAGAAAGTAGATGTCCTGCTTCTTCAGTATCCTTAGCAATTTTTCCTCTATACAAATCAGGTACAACACACTTAAAACCATAAGAGCTCATAATATCAGCTGTTTTACAAATGGATGAGTTTAGACCCCACCATTCCTAAATTACAACCAAACCATAAGGTGCAGGTGTGACATAAACAGGCAATTTTCCACCAATTGTAGTTGTAGGAGTTGCTTTTTGATAAACTAATGAGTATAAGAATTTTGACTATAAGATGGATCTTTGCATATATAAATATTGTTTATAATATATTCATAATTATTATGAAAATACTTATTTAAACCAAGTTGCTACTTCTTATAATGATTATTAAGCTACTTCAGCATTGTATGCTTCAGGTCTGTCTTAATTCATAAATGCATGTCCAACACCTGGCCATATTCTATAATCAAACATATTATTTACTTCACTTTCACATTTTTTCCAGCTTTTTACCCTGCTTCAACTAATCTTTAAGCATCATCTGGAGAGGAAAATCCTTTCATTTCATCTTTCTCACCAAATTATCCATAAATAGGTCCTTTTATATTATCCAATTTAAATTTATCCAAATCACAGACACCATAAAATGGAGCTGCAGCATTAATTTAATCTGAAAAAGATAATGCCGCAATAGATAAAGCTCCTCCCATACAAAATCCTGTAACTCCAACCTTTTTACATCCCATTTCTCTCAAATGTTTTGCTGCTCCTTCAATGTCTTTGACAGCTCCTTCCCAATCTAATCCTCCCAAAAGATGGCCTGCTTCCTATTATAAAATTGATTGATCTTACTTCTCTATTTTGGGCTACTTTACCCCTATAAATATCAGGAGAAATGCATTAAAATCCCATCTTGGCTATTCTATCAGTTGTTTTAACCATTGATTCATTCAAACCCCACCATTCTTATATCACAATTATTCCGAACATAGCATTGTTTTAATTTAAATATCTGAAATAATATAAATTTATTTTTAATATACCCTTCTCCATCAGGTCTTCCTTCAACTTCAAATGTACAATTCTTTTTTGCAGGAGTGTGTAAAGCTGGATTTGCTTGCATTTTAATGATAATTATTAAATTATATATATTTATTGTTTAATAACTAAAAATATAATATGATCAGTATTATAAAATTCAGTACTTCTTTATACCTTATTTTAGTATCTAATATCCTCCATTATTAAGAGGTTCTAATTTTTATGATTACTATAATTGGGGTGTAGAAAAACCCTAAGATTATGAGACCATAAATTATGCATCCTATTAGGCAATCTTTGATCTATAATTAGTTAATTCTTTAGAATGCTGACTAATCATTTCTTTTATTCTTTATTCCAATTCACTATTCTTTTTTCTTAAATCATAAAGCTCTTTTATTGTTGAATCATTGACCTAGGTTTATGAGTATGGTTATGATTTATCCTAGAAAAGAATTTTCTCATATTTCAATTTATATTATTCATTGTCCTTTTCTAATTAATTAATTCGATTTCTTTGCATTTCTAATACTTATCTCAGAGCATCTTCATTTTAAAAGCGTCTAAGTTATTTCATAATGAAATATACTCAGAAACTGAATTATTTCTTCCATCTGCTGTTTTAACTCTTTTTGTTGAGATAATATTTGTAAATGTAGTTTTCATTTAAGTAAGTGATTATCTTTATAATTGGTTTTCTTTTCTTAATAATTCATTTTCTTATTGAGTCAATTTAACCCTTTTCTATAAAAATTATATTTCTTTATCTTATTCATTAGAATCCATTATTATTATCTTATTTATTAAATAATATTCTTTTCAATTATTGAAATCAATTAGTACATTTAATACACTTAATTGATCATAGAGATAGATTAAATAAGGTTAGAATTAGCTTAAAAATCAAAAAATTAATCAATCCTAATATTTAAATTGTTGAATTCCAAGTCAAGATATCAAAAAAGTTTCTCGATTAATTGTTTTATTTCATATAAAATATATTATTTTTGATATTTTTAGAGTGAAAATCCTTTCATAATTGAATCTTCAAATTAAAGGAAAACTTTGGTTCTAAAGCTTGCTTAAAAGAAATAACAGATCTTTAATTATTAGCAAACATAATTTGAAATCTCACAATTTCTTTGAATATTTATATTTCTTTCTTCCCGAAACCTTCATCCAAAGCTTTGGCTAGTAAGATATTTTGCTTTAAATTAGATACTAATTACACTTTGATGAAGAAATTCTTCAAAAAAGTAGGATAAGATGAGATGTTGCAATATTATTAAATAATCTAATTAAAAAAGATAAAAAATAAAAATAATAAGTTATATAAATAATTTCGATATGATTATTTTTTAATATTATGTTTTTTTGTAAATTTATTTGAATCATTGTTCAACTTCGATCCAACCTCCTTCAACATGTCCACTCATCTAAATCAATGAAAACTATAGCAATAACATTAAATTTTTACATCAAAGTTTTGAATACAAGCTTGATCTGATGTATAAGTGACCTTCTTTCCATTATAATCTGTGCTTTCATATAATGTAACTCTTCCTTAAGGTGGAATTCTAATAGATCTAATTTATGGGGGAATGTTATCCTTTTAGAAATCAGGTGATTTTGAACAGAATTCAAATGAAGCTCCTTTGTAATCGCATTCACTATAGAAAACTGCACAAGCTTCCTTAGGTTCATACCATAATTTGAAATCTCTGAAACCCCATGATTCTAAAAGATTAAAAAATATTTAATTACCATCAGCAGCATCTTAATTTAAAGTGGATGTAAATACAACTTCTGCCTTTGGTGCTTAATGATTAAAGATCTAATCAACTCCTACAATACCATCAAACCAAATTCCTTATCCACAGAAATTAGCACCTCCTGTTTAAAGATTCCATGAAGTTTTCCATACATCAGTTCCATCTACTTTGATGATCATAAATTCTCCATCCCAAGAATCAATTTTGTATAGAGTAGATTAGAGTCTAAGTCTTTTATGTGGTGGTATATCAAATGTTTTAGTAGCACTAGCACCAATACCCATAATATCAAATCCTCCAACCATAGATTTACCACTACATTCATTAATTAATCTTCCTCCTTTATTTTTATTAAGAATCCATCCATTTATTCCTGTGAATTTATCTTCCAAAAAGGATTATTCTAAAAGAATGAAATTTGGTAAAGCTTAACATTTACCATCAACTAAAGCCCAATTATTAGCACATTCTAAATTATTATAAATTTTAATACTCTTGCAATCAGATTCTTTAGGTCCTGTACATTCAGCACAATTTTCAGAACAGGATGCATAGAAGATATATAAATCTCTTAAACCAAAAGATTCGTTGTTTGGAGCTTCATTTAGAGTTGAAGTAAATTCAACTTTAGCTTAATCACCAGTATGATCAATATCCACTTCAGTTCTAGCAAATATAGTTTTCCATTCAAAGACAGGGCAACCACAGATCTTACCAAAGTAACCCTCATGCCATTAAAATCTTCTTTCCCATACCATTTTTCCATCAACTTTGATTTATGCAGCTTCATTGTCCCAAGAGTCAATCTTAGCCCAAAGAACTTTAATTTTTAATTTATAATGGGGGTTAATTTTTAAGACTTTGCTAACCACTGTTTTTGACCCAGTTTTATCGAATCCACCGAATAAAGCAACACCTTTAAAAAGATATTTAAAATTCATTACCTCCACAATCAGTAGCTGACTTTTATCCACCTGCAACTTCCCAACCATCAGCTCCTAATTAGTTATGATCTAGAGCTCCCCAACTGCTAGAAAATGATTACCAGAATTGGCAATTTTCAGCCTTGTCATCAACTTAACAAGCAGAGCAACCCTCTGGGCATCTTTCTACGGATAAAACAAAATCTCTTATGGCCCAAGATTCCTATTTCTTAAGATCAAAAAATATACATTATCGGCAGCTTCATTCAAATTTGATGTAAATATAACAACAGCAGTTGCACCAGTATGTTTTATATTTAAATCAAGATTAAGGGTCATTTCTTTCCAATCACCACCTTATCCACACTTTTATCCATCACCTTCATTGTGTCTAAATTTTCTTGACCATACAAGTTAATCATCTACAAAAATGTATCCTTCTTCATTATCCCATGAATCAATTCTAAGAAACTTAGGTAATCTATCTTACTTCCAGAATTAAACTTTCAAGTTTATTGAAGAGTGAGGAGGCAATTCAAATAACTTGCTTGCAACCGCTTTGCCACCAAATTTACCAAAGCCTCCAAACATTTTTGTGCCACTGCACTCAGTAACATGAGCTAGTCCACCAGCTACAACCCAGCCTATCAAATTACATTATAAAATTACCATCTGCATCATTGAACCCATTTCCTTAGAATGACTATGATACTACAACTGGTTCTCCAAGAACTGAGATAGCACTGTAGATAATGACCAATAGGACAACTGTTCTATTTTTCATAAAATAATATTATTTGATATCAGGTTTCAATAATACTTAAAAAACGAATTTTTATATTGAAATTAATATTAAATCAGATATTTAAGTTTTTAGATTATAAAATACGTAATATCTATAATTTCTGGAATTTTTTTAAATACTGTTTAATATTTTTATTTGATTAATTCTGTGAGTAATAGTGTTTTATACAAATTTTTCAGAGTCTATTGAAATGCTATCATTCTTTTTGTCATTATTAATAATAATAGCTTAAACCTATTATGATATATCATAAAAAATAGGTGTTATTGGGTTGAGTATGCTTATAATAATTTTGCAACCCTTTTTGTTTTGAATTTGAATAATCTAAAAAAAGAGTGTTTTTCTTGATATATCTTGAAATAATAATGCCATGAGAATAAATACTTGGATTTTCAATTTTTAAAGAGTTTTTAATTTCAATTATGAAAGAGCTGCACGTTTATATATATTTTATATATATTAAAAAATTTTTGATTTGATTAGTTCTTCTGAGTTAATAATATGTTTGTATGACAGCCTCTAAGAAATATTTTACTGTAAAGAAGATTAAATTACAAGAAATTACAATAAGTTCATATTAATAAAAAAAGATTTATTTTGTTAAATTATTTGTGAATTTTTTCTCATATTTCAATTTATATTATTCATTGTCCTTTTCTAATTAATTAATTCGATTTCTTTGCATTTCTAATACTTATCTCAGAGCATCTTCATTTTAAAAGCGTCTAAGTTATTTCATAATGAAATATACTCAGAAACTGAATTATTTCTTCCATCTGCTGTTTTAATTCTTTTTGTTGAGATAATATTTGTAAATGTATTTTTCATTTAAGTAAGTGATTATCTTTATAATTGATTTTCTTTTCTTAATAATTCATTTTCTTATTGAGTCAATTTAACCCTTTTCTATAAAAATTATATTTCTTTATCTTATTCATTAGAATCCATTATTATTATCTTATTTATTAAATTATATTCTTTTCAATTATTGAAATCAATTAGTACATTTAATACACTTAATTGATCATAGAGATAGATTAAATAAGGTTAGAATTAGCTTAGAAATCAAAAAATTAATCAATCCTTATATTTAAATTGTTGAATTCCAAGTCAAGATATCAAAAAAGTTTCTCGATTAATTGTTTTATTTCATATAAAATATATTATTTTTGATATTTTTAGAGTGAAAATCCTTTCATAATTGAATCTTCAAATTAAAAGAAAACTTCGGTTAATCTAAATTCTAAAGCTAGTTTAAAACATTATATTAATAATTTTGATATGATTATTTTTTATATTATGTTTTTTTGTAAATTTATTTGAATCATTGTTCAACTTCTATCCAACCTCCTTCAACATGTCCACTCATCTAAATCAATGAAAACTAAAGCAATAACATTAAGTTTATACATCAAAATTTTGAATGCAAGCTTGATCTGAGGTGTAAGTGACTTTCTTTCCATTATAGTCTGTGCTTTCATATAATGTCACTCTTCCCTAAGGTGGAACCTTAATAGATCTAATTTGTGGGGGAATGTTGTCCTTTTAGAAATTAGGGGATTTTGAACAGAATTCAAATGAAGCTCCTTTGTAATCGCATTCACTATAGAAAACTGCACAAGCCTCCTTAGGTTCATACCATAATTTGAAATCTCTGAAACCCCATGATTCTAAAAGATTAAAAAATATTTAATTACCATCAGCAGCATCTTAATCTAAGGTGGATGTAAATACAACTTCTGCCTTTGGTGCTTAATGATTAAAGATCTAATCAACTCCTACAATACCATCAAACCAAATTCCTTATCCACAGAAATTAGCACCTCCTGTTTAAAGATTCCATGAAGTTTTCCATACATCAGTTCCATCTACTTTGATGATCATAAATTCTCCATCCCAAGAATCAATTTTGTATAGAGTAGATTAGAGTCTAAGTCTTTTATGTGGTGGTATATCAAATGTTTTAGTAGCACTAGCACCAATACCCATAATATCAAATCCTCCAACCATAGATTTACCACTACATTCATTAATTAATCTTCCTCCTTTATTTCTATTAAGAATCCATCCATTTATTCCTGTAAATTTATCTTCCAAAAAAGATTATTCTAAAAGAATGAAATTTGGTAAGGCTTAGCATTTACCATCAACTAAAGCCCAATTATTAGCACATTCTAAATTATTATAAATTTTAATACTCTTGCAATCAGATTCTTTAGGTCCTGTACATTCAGCACAATTTTCAGAACAGGATGCATAGAAGATATATAAATCTCTTAAACCAAAAGATTCGTTGTTTGGAGCTTCATCTAAAGTTGTAGTAAATTCAACTCTTGCTTAATCACCAGTATGATCAATATCTACTTCAGTTCTAGCAAATATAGTTTTCCATTCAAAGACAGGGCAACCACAGATCTTACCAAAGTAACCTTCATGCCATTAGAATCTTCTTTCCCAAACCATCTTTCCGTCAACTCTTATTTATGCAGCTTCATTGTCCCAAGAGTCAATCTTAGCCCAAAGAACTTTAATCTTTAATTTGTAATGGGGATTAACTTTTAAGATTTTGCTAACCACTGCTCTTGAACCAGTCTTATCAAATCCACCAAATAAAGCAACACCTTTAAAAGATATTTTTAATTTATACCTCCACAATTGGTAGCTGTCTTTTATCCACCTGCAACTTCCCAACCATCAGCTCCTAATTAGTTATGATCTAAAGCCCCCCAACTGTTAGAGAATGATTACCAGAATTAACAATTTTCCGACTTTTCATCAACCTAACAAGCAGAACAACCCTCTGGACATCTTACTACAGATAAAACAAAATCTCTTATGGCCCAAGATTCCTATTTCTTAAGATCAAAAAATATACATTATCGGCAGCTTCATTCAAATTTGATGTAAATATAACAACAGCAGTTGCACCAGTATGTTTTATATTTAAATCAAGATTAAGTGTCATTTCATTCCAATCACCACCTTATCCACACTTCTATCCATCACCTTCATTATGTCTAAATCTTCTTGACCATACAAGTTAATCATCTACAAAAATGTATCCTTCTTCATTATCCCATGAATCAATTCTAAGAAACTTAGGTAATATATCTTACTTCCAGAATTAAACTTTCAAGTTTATAGATGAGTGAGGAGGTAACTCAAATAACTTGCTTGCAACTGCCCTTGCACCAAATTTACCGAATCCTCCAAACATTTTTGTTCCACTGCATTCTGTAACATGAGCTGGTCCACCAACCACAACCCAGCCTATCAAATTAATAACAGAAATAACCATCAGCATCATTAAATGCATTTCCTGTGAATGATTAAGAAACTACAACTGATTATCCGAGCACGGAACCAGCACTGCAGACTAAAACTAATAGGATAACTATTCTGTTCTTCATAAAATATAATTATACAACTTCAGTTTTCAAAAACACTTAAAAAACGAATTTTATATTGAATTAATATCAAATCAGATATTTAAGAGTTTAGATAATTAAATACGTATTAAGAATAATTTCTAGAAATTTTAATTATGACTTTAAATATTTATTTGAATTTCTAATACTTTGGGTACTAGTTTTTTATACCAATCTCCTGTAATTGTTTGATATACTATTATTCTTAATGTCATTATAAATAATAATATAAAATAATTCAATTCAGATTTATTATTAAGATTAGGTTGTCTTGAAATTGGTGTGTTTTTAAAATCCTTGCAACCTCTTTTGATTTGAACATTTAAACAATCAAATAAAGTGTTCCTTAACAAAATTTTCAATCTATGCATGTTTTGAGTAAAATTACTGAGAATTTGAGTTTTTTAAAAGTGACGAACTTCTATTATTTTATAAAATTTTATATATATATATATATATTAAGAAATTATATTGAATATTAGAGTTTGATTTATTTCTCTAAAATAATCATATAATGATTTATATATATAGAAACTCCTCTAAAGAATCAAAATATCTACATACCAAAGTAAATAAAAGAAATTTTTTAGTGTTTTGAATTAATGTGATTAAAAATAAAAATATAAAATAAGTAAATGAAATAGTATTAATTAGGTACATTATAAATTTCATTTCTATCTAACCATTCTCTTAAATAAGTGTAATTTCTTTACTGAAGTCACTCTTAGTCTCGTATCTTTGGAAATAAAAAAATAAACCAAATAGAATTTTTGAATTAAAATCTTAATTTATTTAGTTCAAAATATCATAATGTGATCAAAAAAACAATTTTAATTATTATGTTAGAACAATTAAAATTAAGGTGTGATGGATATAATATTAAAATCATTTTAAAGGATAATTAACAGTTGATTAACTACTGTGCTGAATCATAAAATAAGTATTTAGTAAACGATTTGAAAGTGGAAGGAATATATTTTAGAAAAGTAGTAGAAAAAGTAAATGATTAAAGCTTTCTTGTGAATTATCCTTAAGGACAAGTTTTAGAGAAGCTAATTTAAGAAAATGATTTTCTTCCAGAGAAAATCATATAGACTATATTAATTTAAATTCTTGAAGGATTAGCTAAACTCTATCGTAATAAGATCCTGGGTAGATGCTTTAATATTGAGAATATAATGTGGGATGGAAATAATATATCTATGATGAATTTTGGGTTTTATCCAGAAGTTTGTTAAACGCTTAAAAATTATGATCATTCATTAGATACTCTTCTTTTAGGATAAGTAGCTTATTGTTTGATAACATGTTAGCCAAAAATTAATTCGAACTATTTAGAGACTTTGATATGTCCTCCAGTATCATAAGAATTAAAAGAGTTAACTGCAAAAATGCTAGATTCAGAAAATAAAAGAATTTAATTATGGTAAATAGCAGAATATTTTAAATCAAACTTGCCTGAGGATATATATAAATTTTACATAAATAGTTATTAAGATAATTGTAAAATACTTGATTAAATCATCATAGAGAGAGAATAGTATGCTTATTGTTCAATTAAAATAATTTAATTTGAACCAGAAGATTAAGTAATTTAAGAGGATATGAGTTACTTATTATATTATAATAAATAAATAAATGAAAACTAAATTATTTGGGAATAATTACATAACGAATTATATAGAATTTATTTGTTATAAAATTTAAAAAAGATCATTAAAGATAAGTATTAATATCAAGAAGAATAGACATATTTAGATTAGTTAAATTTTATTGTTGATAAAACAATTTTGATTGTAATGTGTAAATTTGAAAAATATTTGTAAACTGAATTTTCTGGAGATTAATGTTTCACCTTAAGGAGAGTATTAAAAGATTAAATTATGAATGGAAAATCATTTTTCAATACAGATCATAATTTAGAAAATATTAAAAATTAAACTAAAAAAAAGAAAGATACTGAAAAACATTTTCAAATGGTAATACAAATATTATTAATTGTAGGATATTTTTGAGAATGAATTTGATGATATAAAATTGGCATTTCGTAAATATGTTTTAGATGTGTATCGATATTACGAGAAAAATGCTTAAAATTGTAAAGACCCCTAAGAAAAATTAGAGAATTCTCAAATATAGTTGAGAATACTTATGACTATAATTTTAAATTAAGTAATAAAAAATAAGGAAGTTCATTTTAAAACACTCAAGAAAGTTGTTGGAAAATAAAAATTATGTTTAAATGATATTGAAATAAGATTTTTTTAATTGGCTAGTATCTAATAGATTTAAGAATAAATTACTGAAATAAATTAAGAATATTTCATTAAGTGATAAATCATATAAGATATATATATAAATTTCATAAGTAATCTGAGTATACTTTATTCGAATTATTAGAATCTAATTCATGTCTACATAATGGACAACGAAGATCTTTCATTAACCATTGCTTACAACATTAAGAATGGAAATAATGATTCAAATGACAAGGCAATTAAATAATTGTATCATTTTCATTAATTTCTTGATAACAAATAGGGCTGACTATATTTAATAAATACCATATGATTAAATTGTCTTATTTGGTGTTCTAAAATTTTTCCTAATAGGATATTTCCTTAATCATAAATAACATTTTGTCTATAATTTTCCCTTTGTAATGAAAATGAAGTTCTTTTTTTTTTATTGAATAGATAAAATAAATAAATATAAGCAAAACACTTATTATAATTTATAATATCCAACTAAGGATTAGTAATATAAATTAGAGTTTAATAAGAGGATTAGTTCTTTCAAATAGAAGATTGTAATTGTTGATAGCTAAGTATGTACTTAAATAATTAAGTAATTTTAGAACAACAAGACATTTGGAAAAGGACTTTTGTTATAGAGTGTAGATTATCATACATCCATTAAGAGGTTTATATATGGAAACAAGTTCTTGAATGGTTAAGCAAGTGAGGCAATGATTCAATTCAAATAAATTGATCTATTAATCATACTCGCTAAGTTCAGAGAATTTCAGATTATCGGTGAGAGCGCTATATATTTAAATTAAATATACTGTAATATTGCAAATAGTGTAAATGCAATAACATCATATAAAAAAGTGATTATTATAAAATATTCCTATGATTTGTCTTCAATTTCTTTATGATATACCAAGGTAAAAAGAAGTTTAAAGGTATAATAGCAACAAATGCATAGACAAATTATGTTAGCCTCTCTTAAGGCTAAATCAAATTTAGAAGGAATAATAGACTTGTTCTAAGCTTAGTTTTAAAATTATTCTCCATCTTAATGAATTACTAAAAGTTCCACACTCATCATATTGATTGATAAATAATAATTATTTGCAATTTTCTGTCATTAAATTAATTTACGATTTAATTTATATATTTGTTACAATATATGACTTATTAAACAGTTGTTTTAATTCGTACTAATAATTAATTATGACAAAATTTATTAGATTTAATATTATTGAAATGATGCACTTATTTGAACATATGTCACCCATTGAATTCTATTAAAGTTTAGGTAATTTTAACTTCATAAATGATAAAGTTTGTATCAAGATCCATTAATATTTTTATGCAACAAACTAAATTACCATTCGGGCATTACAAAGTACCATAAGTCAAAGAAGATTCTTATATTACTGGATTAAAACTAGCAAACTCTTTAAAAGGTTCAGAATTAATACCATTTATACCAATTAATGGTAGACAAGTGAAGTATTATCAATAATAACTTAAAGTTTCTATTATTGTGGTCCAACTGTATATAGTAATTCTCATTTGGGTCATGCAAGGTATTAGTAATCAATTATCTAACAAGAACCTATTTAGGTATTGATGTAATAAGAAGAACATTGAGAGATTATTTTCACTATGATTTGCTGAGTGTTATGAATATTACAGATATAGATGATAAGATTATTACAGGAGCCAATGCTGCTAAACAAGATTTTCTTGAATTTACAAAAATATGGGAAAAAGATTTCTTTGATGCAATGGAAGCTCTTAATATAGAACTACCTGATGTTATTACTAGAGTCAGTGATTATGTACCAGAGATTGTTACCTTCATTTAAAAAATCATTTCTAATGGATATGCTTATGAAAGTAACGGTAGTGTTTACTTTGATGTTTAAAAATATATAGCTGATGGAGTATAAAATTATAATTTTATTTTTTTAAATAGCATACTTATCCAAAGATGAGACCAGAAGTGAATGCTGAATTACTATAAGAAGGAGAAGGTGAATCCTAATTAAATAAGTAATCTGAAAAGAAAAGTCCATATGATTTTGCATTATGGAAATCAAGTAAACCTGAAGAACCTAAATGGTAAAGTCCTTGGGGAGAAGGTAGACCTGGATGGCATATTGAATGTTCTGTTATGGCTAGTGCTATTTTAGGAAATCCTATTGATCTACATGCTGGAGGTATTGATTTATTATTCCCACATCATGATAATTCTTTGGCATAAGCTGAAGCATGTTTTAATTGTGAATAATGGATCAATTATTTTATACATCTTGGACATTTAAACATTGCTGATAGAAAAATGTCAAAATCCCTCAAAAATTTTATGACCATTGAAGAGGTTCTCAAGAGATATACTCCAAGATAAGTTCGTTTGAACTTTGCAATTCATTAATATGATGCTCCTTAAAATTATTCAGAAGAACAAATGGAATAGGCAATTGCAAAGGATAAATCTTATTAAGAATTTTTTTAAAATACAAAAATCTATCTTAGAGAATCCTAAGTAACTGATGCTTAAAAGTGGACAGAAAATGATTTCTAATTAAGTGCTTTACTTAGATCTACTAAGCAGATCATTCATTAAGCATTAATAAACAATTTTGATTTTCCTACAGTTGTAGATGCCACAGATAAATTAATAAATTAGGTTAATATTTAGATTGCATCTAAAAATGTCAGAGCACCACTTATTAATAGTGTTATTAATTATGTCAACTTTATTTTTGGAGTAAATTATTTTATTATATTTTTTAGCTTTTGGGAATTAATTACTAAACATTATTATCAAATTAAATAGATATTTAACCTTTGATGGAATAGGTTTGCTCAATAAGAGATAAAGTAAAGGTGGCAGCTAAAAATAATGATTTTGAATCTATTATAAATGCAGTTACTTAAAAGTAAATATAATATGAGAAAAATATTTCAAACTACTTAGTAGATGCAATTAACCAATTTTAATAAGAAGTATTGATTGCATCTCAAAATAAAAATAAATAATAAATATTTTAGATATGTGATAAATTAAGAGATTAACAATTATTCGATTTAGGGATTAAAATAGAAGACAAAGATTAAGTATTTTATTTATTATTATAATTAAGTCTTCTATTTGGAAATAATATGATATTTAAGAATTGAAATTGGAAAAATTATAACAATAGATTCTACTTTAATAAAAAGAATAATAGAGAAAAAAAGAAGAATTAGAGAAACTTGAAAAAGCAAAATTAAGTCCAAAAGAATTCTTTTCTTAACAAACAGATAAATATTTAGAATTTGATGAAAGTGGCCTTCCTATTAAAGATAAAGATGGAAATGAATTATCTAAAAAATAAAAAAAGGTTGTTTAAGAGTTATGGGAAAAATAGAATAAGTTATATACTTAATATTTAGAATAATAAAAATAATAGTAATGATATTTATATATAAAATTAATATAATATTTAATATTAAAAATGATTATCATTGTTAATTTGCTATTTATTTTAGTCAACAGTTAATAAGTAATATAAACATTAGGCTAATAAATAACTAAGAATGGATTAGAATACAAAAATTCAAAAGGATAAAAATTTTCAATTAGTAAATCATGCAGATAATTTGAAAATGGAGATCCAGTTTTAAACTCAAAAGTCGATGAATCTTAATATTACTTTTTAGTCAAATTAACTTGTAATGATATTGTAGATGACGAGAATTTTTTTAATAAAGAGAGAGATGATGGAAATTCAACTATTGATAAGGATAAAAAAGTAGATGATAAATCCCCTTATTATTGCACACTTAATGTAACATTTGATAATTCAGAACATTGCTGCTGTCCTGAACGAAAGAAGTAAATAAATATTTAAATTAGTGGTTTTCAATTTAAAATCCTGAATTGACAGCTATTATCATAATACCCATTCTGACATTTTTCTTATTAATAGGAGGTTGTTTATTTTGTTTGAAATAGAAAATAAAAAAAGCAGAATACATCATAATAGAACAATGATAATATAAAATAATATCATTTTTATTATTAATTTTCATCATTTTTAACTTCTGTAACGGATTTAGAAAATCTTAATAAATCAACTTCACTTGTTACAAATGATTTTAATAAAGATTACATTTCCTCTTACTTTTTTTTAGCTATTTTTTATTAAGTTGTTAATTTTTCATTTGGTTTGAATTACATTTATAAATCAGGATCATTAATTAATTAAATTGCTCTTGACATTTTTAATGCTGTTTATTCTTCTATTTTATTAGCTTACATTAATGCAAAACTATTTAATATAATAAATAAATATACTTGACAGTAGATTTCATTTATTCATTAGTTGTTCTCATATTCTTTAATCTTGTTGTTTATCTAGAAAAAAAAGCATTATATCTATCAATTTATTATGATTATAATCTTTATAATTATTAACGATTCTATAGAAAATTAAGAACTCTTTATTAATAAGTTTCTTTTCGTAAAATTGTTTCTTCTTATAATCTTTTTTCTTTTCTTATAATAACTTCATCAACATTACGAGATTCTATTTTATTAGAATGATCTAATTGTAAATTCTATTTAACTTTTTTTTATTTTTCATTATCAATAGATTTTTTAGTTTAAATCTACTCTATTTGTTTTGCTAATAAATTATTTATAATTGGTTATTATTTTTAGTATTTATTTATTACATTTTCTAAATTTTTTTCAAAATCATCTGACACTTATCTTTTACCAAAATCTTTATGGGATTCAAAATGAATATCAACAATACCTATTATATATATATATATTATATTAATACGTCTTTATTATAATTTCTATTTCATTTTTTCAAGATATTCTTCATATTATTAATTTTATTTTTCTTAAAATGAATGTTATCTTTATTTTTTCATTTATCTTGCATTTTTCATATGTTCTATTTAATTTCTTCTCATTTCTTCTAGTTTATTTATTTTCTCATCACTAAGATATAATTTATTAATATACATTAATGAAGCATTTTTTAATAATTCACTTCTTTTATTAATCAATTCATCTTCTTATTTCTTCTTCATTTTGTGATTATTTTTTAATTTTTCATTTACAATCTCTAAATGTTCTTTAACTGGTTAAATTTTATTATCATAATCTGTTTTTAAAGCTTTTCTAACTTTTTCTATTTTATCATCTTATTATTATTTATAATCATTTCTTCTCTTCTCTATATCTAATTGAAATAATAATTATTTCTGATATATTTATTTTTTCTTCTATAATTTGTCAGACATTATTTAAATTCTTGATTCAGCAAATTGTTTTGATTCACCATCCACTCCAAAAGTACGTCCAATCTCATTCTATATACCAAACTATTCTGATTTATCAATTATATCATGTCTTCTTTTTGCTTTCCTCTTTTATTAGATTATTTAATAACCCCACTCTATTATATTAATCTATATTTACTTGCAATTTTATAAGCATAATATTTAAAGCGTAAAGCCTACACTTATGGATCAGGATCATAAAAATCTGAGAATTTAACAATTCTAAAAAAATCTAAATCTATTCCAAGCTATTGTCCCAAAAGTTATGTCTAGGGACTTAAAGGTTGTAAACATTCAATAAATCTATTTAATTGATCAACAGCTTCATTGGCTCTACCTTCCTTTATTAAATTGAGAGCATCTGGGAGACTGAAATTCATTATTTATATTATATAACTCATTCTTTTTTGAAGAATTCGTAAGGCCATTTACATTTAAGGCACCTATCTCCTCCTCTTCTTTGTTCATTGCAATTTATACACTGCATTTCATAGTCTATTAATACTATAATATATTTCTACCTTTGTTGATTATGCGCTGTAAAAAGCCCCCCTATTCAAATAAACTATAAAAGTCTTCATATCCTCCAATAAAGATATTATTGATGGTGATGAATGGTAATTTATATTTATTTAATAGTTATTTCACCCAACCTTGTACCATTTTATTATCAACAAGATCAAATTCTTTGTATTCTATTTTTTTCAATTTTAACATATTAAAGAGATTTAGTTGATCCTATCTTGTCTAAATATTTGGAGCCAAAGAAGAGTAATATACAACTAAAGGTGTTTAAGTTAATTTAAATTCATTCATGGTCTTTTAAAAAGCTTTTATAGTATTTTTTAAAGTTTTTCTGATTTTATACTTCTTCCAAAATTAATAAATATAAAAAGCAGAGATATTTTTGATCTCATCTCTCAATTTTAATGTAGAATTATCCCCTTAGCCCATTATTTGAATCATTTATAAATTATATAATTATAAACAATTTAATTAATTATAGAATTAATCATAAGGATAAAATTTAATATATTGAAATTAATAGTATTTCAAAGATAACTCTTTTTTTTATACTTATTTATATAATAGATATGAAATCTATTTTGATGTTAATTGTAATAATATTATTTTTCATTTGGGTTCAGTGTGTCCAACACTTTTGCTGGCCTCATAATAACCAAATTCAGATGGCAATCTATAGTTTCCAGGAGCAGGTGTTTAATCTAAATATAATGAATTATTTACATTTTTCATTAGATCCTGTTCTTCTTGCTTCTTTTGGAAAGCTTCTAACATTAGAATCATGGAATTTGGATACAAAATATCTGCCATCCTGTATATTTATTGAAATATTATACTTATTAGATTCCTGTCTTATCAAGTCCATATTATCCTGGACCAGGTACTTTAGTAGCTAATAACATAAGAAAGGGACTAATTCTTACAATAATCAGTGGTAAATCTTTTTGATGATTTTGGATTGAATAAAGTAGCACATGAATTACTATATTTTGATATTGGATATCTTCCTTTTTCATGGATAGCTGGTAATGATTCGTATTATCCTGGTCCTGGAACTTTAGCATTAGAGATTAATGAGCTCTTTTATGGTTTAGGTCTCATTGTATATCTAATATCACTTAATGTTGATCCTAAATCATAAGTTCCAGGAGCTATAAGGTTTAATTGATGAGTTAAAACCTGGAGTCTTGAGATTTAAGGTACCAAGAATGCCTGTACTAGCCATTTTATCTCTACTCACACCAAATTTATATCCTTTATTCTTTTTCAGATTATTTTAAACATCACTGCCTAAATCATATTATTAAGGAGATGGACTTGGAACAACTACTTTAGTGAAATCAATCCTTTTATTTACTACTATTATATACTTATTGCCTTTGCCAATTCCTGCTGATCTTTTTTCTATCATTGTGGGAAGATTGTAAAATGCTTATTAGCAACTAAAATTGTGATCAGAATTTATTACAATGTTGGATTGGCTAATTTGCCAAATCTCTCTGATTTGGAGAAAGTCCATAAATTCTTTGAAGGACTAAGGTTTAATGGTGATTGGCAAATCTATTGGCATGTCGAAACAGTTATTGACATTATAAAATTATTATTGTAAATCAATATGAATGATGCTGTTTATAATACTAAAATCTATTTCAATGATATCAAATTTTATAATAGAGACTAGTATTCTTTCTATAGAACTAGTTTTTATTAATCAAAAAAGTATAAAATTTAACTAATGAGTCAAGATATTTAAGTCAGAATATTAATCTAATAAATTATTATAGTAAATAATAATTTACTATAAATACTTTTAGATGTTAATTGGAAACTTAAAGACTAATACTCATTATAAATCTATTATTTATTATCAAGTTTAAGATTACTATTTATAATTATAAAATTTGAATAATTTTATGATTTATGGTGTAAAATTCAAACAACCTAAGAGGTATAAATTCTATATATGTCATCAAAGGTTGCTAGTTCCTCTTCCTTTTGTTTTCTAAGTTCCAAGTAATGTTAATAGGAATCATTGTAATCCTAAGAATATATATTTGATAATTACATCTTAGCTAACTTAATAAGCTATTCTGATTTACTTAAGTCTAGCATTACATTATCTAGCAATTCCTACTCTACTAGTTAATTGATTTGTAAGTTTGATCTAATATTAATAAAAATTAATACTAGATTTTCTTTTTCTCCAGCAATTTGTTTATCAAAATATTGATTTTCTAATTCAATATGTAATTTAAAATCAATATAGATCATAGAACTTCTTACTTCATCTTCTTATTCCAAATCTAATGATTTTTTAGAATGTTTTTCAATTGCATCTAATACTTTTCTGATATCCTAAATTATATTAAAATAATAATTATACACTTAAATCTTCCTCTTCTTCTGTTTATTTTTAACCGCTATTGTCTTAATTATTTTATTTTGAATCTCCATTATTATTATCATCATTACCATTATCATCATCTCCATTATCATCATTACCATTATCATCATGAGTACCTTCTTCACTTGTTGGATTAGTAGGTTGTTCATCAGTTTTATTATCTTCTTCAGATTCATCCTCTCCAGTAGGTTCATCTGTATGTTATCCATCTTCTTCTTCTGAAACTTCCTCTTCAGCTTCTGCCTCTTCTTCTGTATCATCCGTATCATCATCTTCTTCTTATGGTTATGGTTATGGTTTTGGTTATGGTTTGGGTTATGGTTTTGGTTTTGAAGATCCTCCTTAACCTCCTGAACCTCCATTAGTGAATTTAATATGTAAATCATCATCTCCACCTGTACCATCATCATTTTAAACAACAATAACTGTATTAATAGAATCATCACATTGACTAGGAATAAGAACAACTGCACTATCAGCCTTATCATCTTCATCACCTGATGCTATGACAGTAGTTTATTATTATTGAAGGAGCACTTTGTTAGCATTTCTTTTTCCTCTTGTTTATGTAAGTGCAGATTCATTAAGATCTTATTCATCACCTTCAATTGTTGGTAATACATAAGAACCATCTGAGTTCATTTAAATTTATTCAACCATTGTTAAGAGTTTGCCTGTTTGATAGATTTACACGAATTTGTGTACTTTTTATAAAAATTCTTATTTTTAGGCAGGTGTTGCATTAGAATCAAGTTTGTCTAATTATTCTCTCAAAAATTTGACTAATGCTAATGCAATTTTGTAATTCTTGATATCATGTACATAATTGTTGCTTGCTTAACATCTATTGATAGATGATTTATATACCTATTAACTTCCAAAACACCTAATCTTTAAGAATTCAATCCCTATCTTTTTTACATCCAAGCTACAAAATCATTAGTTATTTTGATATCCCTCTATTTGCTTTAAACATCTTCATCTTTCTTTGCACATTCACTTCCTTATTCTGATGCTGAGAAACTTAAGGCATCAATTATTGATTGCTTGTTTTTCTTATGTAATTCCCAAGCTGCATCCAAAGCTTCGATATCTAATTACACATTGGTTTTCAAATCTGTCAACAGTTGTTTGACAGTATCAAGATCTGAATTTGCATGCAATGAATACATGCAAATAGCCACTATAATCAGTGTCCACTTCATTTTATTATTAATAACACAAAAACGGATTTCCCAATCATAATTGCTTTAAAAGTTCATAATATAATTGTTTTGTTCTCTCATTCAGTTGCTATGGAATCTCCAAGTTCAGAATTACGAAATGGCCTCCCTTCTTCCATTGCGATCACCCATATTAAATCCCATAATATGGTATTTATAACTTTGTTCAAGGTTATTATATTCAAGGAATAGAAATCTACTATATTAATGAATCTCTAACCTCTAAAACTCCTCAAATAGTTTGAATCTATTTTTTACATCCCAACAACATCTCACTTACACTCAAATCTAATTCACTTATGATATTATTTCCATCTCTCCTCAATGTGTTGTCTTCTTCAACTTCATCTTCAACTTCAATCAAAAAATCTCTTGGTTCTCCAGAGTATTAACTCTACTATTAACAAATATATATACTGCATGACCATATCTAATTTATCTAATTATGGTTCCATTTTATATTCCTTTTGTTAATTCTATTTCAATATCATATTCTTTTTTAACTATTCCACTTCCTTAGTATATATAGTAAGGATCTCTAACTACCTTTTCCCATCCATCACAATTATTACATATTACTTCAAATGAACTTTCTCTTTCTATATAAAACAACCACCCTGATCCGCAACATGAAAAACCCTTTTATGCTTATTTACCTGGAACACATCTACTACCCTTACAAGTTTTACATATTTTCTATCTTCCATAATATAATTAATGTTTACCACCAATAACAAAATTTTTGAAACTCAATTTTAAGTCCAATTTTATATCATATCCTTTTTTCTTATGAATAATATGCTTTCTTTTTACCATGTTTTTATTAAAATAATTAACCAAACTCCCTAAACATTTTTTCATATTCTGCTTAATGAAATTTTGAATAATATTTGTTTTTTGATTATTATCTTCTTCTTTTTTTATTGATAAGTATTTGCATTACTTCTCAATTCATCTTCAAATTTTCTTCATTACTATGTATAAAATAGATTTATTTAATTATCTTTTTAAATATTAATTTATTTTTATAAAAATTCTATTTTTCTATGTATTATCTTAAACTCCACAATTATTATACATTTTTCTTTTGTTCTAATAAATTAGTAAAATACTATTCCTTAATCGGATAGAATCTCATAAAAATTATTTATTTGAGTGAACATTTTAACAACATCTTTTGAGAATAAATATCTGTATGATAGAGCTAAGCTAATTTGTAATAAGCTTTATTTTATTTCCTAAAGTGAAGTACCCTTATTTATAGTAAATGATTTGATTATATTAGATTAATGAAATTAAATGTATAAAATAACTTTTTAATCATTAATAATTATTTAATAAAATCATTTATCATTTAATCACATAATTTATGAATGCTAAGCAGATACAAGTTCCTCTTTGTTGGCTATAATGCTAACATCTTATTTAATAAATAGATGTTAAGTTTTAGGGCCAACAAATCTGGATTAGAAATTGGGATTTTGGGATCCAAGCATTTACGAATTTTAAGTTTCATTTAATCTAGTTTTAGATCCAATAAATCTGGATTGAAATTATGGTTATCTAAAATTTAATTGATTTGATTAAGTATTAGGATTAAATTGTGTTTGTGATGGATAATTTAAGTAATTATTATTATTAAGTTATTATTCAAAAGATGCATTAACTTCTTAAGGTTTTTATTATGATTACATTTCTTATTGTTCTTGAATTCTTTATTATGTTGAAATAATTTATTAGACTTTTGGAGCATTTAAGAATACAGTTTTGGAATTGGATTTATTCAAATAATAGTTAGTGGTTTCAAGATGTGTTTCTTCTTAATATATCTTATTTTTAGGTTTATAATGTTTTCTTAATAGATTTGATACTTGAAGATCAATTGAAGAAGTAAATGGCATTACTTTTTGAAGTTAATTAATTTATTCTTATATTTTTTTAGTTTCTTCTTACTCTTTCATTAAATATTCAACTTCATTAAAATCCTCTACATGAGGTGGCCAATAATCATATATATTAGGTGCTCTACCTCCATGTCTTTATTCTAATTATTTTGGTTTGATATAATTGAACATTAATGAAAAATCATTAGTTACAAATTCTATCTTGTGTCTAGAATTGTATGGAATAAATTATTCTACAATTTACCAAGTAATTTGTATAGATGTCTATGGTTATAAAATGAACATTCGTTCCAAATAACAAGGGAAATTGAGTTTTAACATATCAAAAATCTAATTTAAATGCTATCATATTTGTTATGGAGGAATACAGTAAATGGAACAGAAAATGCAGTTGTATTCTTGGCTTCAACAATTATATACCAACTCTCAACCTTTCCAGGTACTAACATGTAATCTTTAACAACCATAAGAACTATTGAGATTGCTCTCATTATATCATCTATTGGATAAATAGTGATATCAAATTTATCTGCATTTATCACTATTATAGGTTTATATCCTTAACCTCGACCACTCACATATATTGCTCCTTATTTCTAGTGAATCATTAAATAGAAAATACTATCATTTCTTCAGTGTTGAGAGACCACTTAAAGTTATTTGGATCTTAAAGCCATTATTAATGATTACGCATATGCTATGTATTAGTTAATATATATATACTTTTATTGTCTAAGGGAAATCAAAATGATTAGCATATAAGAATCTCAATATTATTTCATCTGTTAATAGATCTCTCTCTTCTTCAATCTCTTTCTTAAATGCATCTAGTTATTACTGTTCATAAATGTCATATTCATGTTTACTACCTTCATCAATTCCAAAGATCTTTCTAATTGCATTCTTTCCAGTTCCCCTTTTCACATCACTTCCTTTAAAATACTAATTCTAAATTACTTTCTAATTTTAATGAATCCTTCTCTGATTATTGCAATCGCAATCTTTCAAGATTATATTGACTATAAATTTTATTCATTCCAAAATTTGAATTTTTTACAAAATGAAATATTATTATCAATTTAAAGCTATCATATCAGGATCAAAAGCAGTCGGTAAAAAAACTATACTTAAATAATTGGACTCTTAAACTGATCTCAAAATTGTTTAATTACATGATAAAATGTAAGAAACACTCTTCATCTATGAATTTTAAAAAGAAGAATCCTATATTCCAGATGCTCTTTGCTTTTTAATTGTGTGTGATTAATCATCATAATCTATTCAATATGCTAAATCCAAGTATATTTTATATTATCTATCACTTATATAGAATTCAAATAATACTTAAATAACTTAATCGTTCTTATTAATTTCTTGTTCTTATCAACAATTAAATACATTCCTAATTAATCCTTTAAGATGAATTAGAAGATTATTGTACATAAAATCAAATCAATTTCATTAACATTAATGCTAAATTTGGAACCAATATCATACTACTCCAAAATCTTCTTAGAATCAAAGCTCAATTAATAATGAAAAAGTGTTAAATCTTACCATTTCCTTTAGAATCTAATAGAGAATAATAGTTTGAAACAATCAATCATCAAATTAAATAAACCACTCCTGATAGACCTTTACCATAAACACCTTAATCATCTGGAAATAAAGAAAATTAATCAGATTATAAAAGCATCAATAGTGAAACTGTTGAAAGCTAAAGAGCATTTGAATTAATCTAAGATAAATCAAATTAACATAATGATACCATCAATATTCTAACTTAAAGTACATCATATTAGAATTCCTAAATACAAAATTCATAAATTTTGCCAAGTACTAAAAGAGCATATCTTGATTTAAATAGTAGTTGTAGATTAAGATCACCATCACCTATTTCCAAAAAATTAATATGTTTAGAAATTGCATTCAATAAGTATTTTAAATATAATTATAATAGTTAAATATTCAAAGTTGATATTTATTATGATGATTCTTATCCATTAATAATAGAAAGAATTTGTTCCACTATGTAAAAGAAAGTTAAATCAACAATCAAAAAATCATTAATGCTCCTCATTGAATCTCAAATCAATTCTTTTATACAAAAATTGACTCAATCATTACAAGATAAGGGATGCAAAAGTATTTATTATCAAATTTAATATAGATTTGAGAATTAAAGAATGTTATGAGAGATTTATTTCTATACATAATCAATAAATAATTAAATAGAAACCTAATGTTGGAACATTAATCCTTTTAATATAGTTATAGATTATTAAAATTCAAGTTCATGAAAATGATGATCCTTATGATTTGGCTTTTAATTCCATAGTTTAATACAAATTAAAAAAGAGTAGCATAAGTGCTTTAGTTTAAAAGATAAAATTGTTATAAAATTAAAAGAATATATTAATTTTAGGATTTTTTGATATAACTTCATAAGAATTTATTGTTTATCAAGGAGAAAGTATTTAGAAGTAATATATTAATGTTATTTTATATTAGAAAGTTATTTCAATTTTTTGTGTAATTTAAATTAGACTATGAATATTATAAGGTTCTCTAATAAATATTATGATATAAATAATTTTTAATAAAAATATTATATCATTCATTAAATAATTTAGATAATATTTTATAGACAAACTAAAATACACAAAAATAATGTTTAGTTTTAACTATTTTAATATATAATAATAAACATCTATGTGAATTAAGTAATTCATTTCTTTTTAATAGAGTTTCAATACTCTAAACTCAAATATATACAATAAAATAAATATATCTATATATATATATTGATTATAGTTATAGTAAATTATCATTTTTTTTTATAAGTATTCAGAATTTATTTTGAATAATTTATCTTACTAATTAAGTCATCTAATCTCTTATTCTTAAACCAACCATCTTAATCTTAGCATTCTGAACACTGATTTTGGAAACATTTCTCACAATATGAATGGCCACATGGATAACAAGTATTAGTCTTTTATAATACTTCCATACAACTATTACAGGAGATAGATGTAATTTAAGCATCCAAAGCAAGTGCAATATTTTATAATTGACTTTAAAATTCTTTCTCTTTTTAATCTAATTATAATTACAATCCTCTCATTTTTTCAGGATTCTATTTTTATTATATAATATATTACCAACATTTCTAATTCTTCCTCTGTTTTCTTTAATTTTTAAGTTAAATTCTTAACATCTAAACCTAATTTGTATGTTATATCTTAATTTTCTAGAAATATTTATATATATATATAAAATACAATTTAATTCTTTTTATAGATTTCCATTCTTCATATTTAATTATTGTAAATTTTCCATTTATTCATAAACCTATTATGAAAGATTCCTATTCTCTTTATTGGCCATAGTAAGATCATTCCCTAATTAATCAATAGAAGCTTTCTAGGCTTTAGTCTCTTTACTTAATTGATCTAATTCAATTAATGTTTAATCCAATTTCATTTTCAAAGTAATCAATTATTGATTAGAACTACTTAATTATGTATTTTAATCATTAAGAACTTAGTCTTTATCTTAAATTTATTAGGTTAAGGATTCAATTTATTTATTTCTTTATTCAATATCTTCAATATATAATTAATTTGATTATGTAATTTATTCAATATTCTATTTAAGTTAATTAAGATCTGAAGTTAATATAAATTCTGCTGGTTTTGTAAATTACTTATATGTCATAATTAATCCATCAAATTCACTATATTATTATAATTCTTATTAAATTATTCTCATTTATGATAATAGATTTTATTCATTATCACTTTTATGTTTTAATTGTGTTTATAAGGTTTTAATAACCTATTCATTATTAAGAGATGAAGATTTAATAGTTTAATATGTTTTTAATTCATCCTCAAAATATGAAGCTTTTTAAGTTAATTCTTTATTTTGTTATTATAATTATGTAATTTAACTTCTTACACTAGTAATTTCTAATTAACATTATTATAATTTCTCAGTCAATTTTTATGTTTCTAATTATGTTTATTCATGTTTTTCAATTTTTAATTTAATATCTTATTATAATTTCTAATAATCTTTGATTAATTAAATAAAATTAGTATTTCCAAAAGTTGATAAGACTAATTAATATTATTCTATTATTGGCATATTTTCATTTACAAAATTAGTTAGATTTTAATTTTCATCAATAATTATTTAATATTGTTTTTGAGAATCTAATAATTACTTTTATAATTATAATATGGCTTAATTTTATTATCCATCTTATTAATTTCTTGTTTATAAGACAGTATTTTGATTATTAAGTTAATCTTGTAATTATTTAATTTAAGATTACAATTCTTATATGTCTTATTATTATTTAGCTATCTTTAATAGAGATATCTTAAAATATATAATAAATATATACATTTTCTTCAGATTTAAGATGTTTAATAGTACCTTAGGCAGCAATATTATCTAATTTCAAATTTTCTATAAGACTATTAAGTTATGTGTGATTTTTAAATGCAATTTAGAGATTTAATTCTTTATCTGCATTAGATTTCTAAATAATGATTTTAATTTAAATACCTCTAAATATATAATTTATTCCTTCAATGTTTCTATAGTTTATTGTAACTTTTCATTATCTTTTGTTAATGAAGGTAGCAATGATAAATCCATTTAAAGAGATGTAATAGTTTATGACATTTATCTAATTTCATTTTCTTTTCTGTTAATGATTGCTTCTAGTTAAGTAATTTAATTTTTCAAATTATTAATTTCAACATTCTATCTTTAATTAGTTTTCCTTTCTTCTTATAATTAATCATGATATTATTATAATTCCTTTAATTTTCTTTAGTTCTCATTTATTTTCTATTGATTATCTTTATCTTATTATTATAATTATTAATTCAACTCTCTTAATCTAATAACTTCATCTCTAATTCCCATATTCTCTTACTTCTCAGTCTTTAATAATGCTGAAAGAGATTCAAAATTTCTTTGAATACTAAAAATTGTTTGATTTCTTGTTTCAACATCCTTTTATAATTCTTCACATTTCTTCTTCCAATCTTCTTAAATATCTTCTTAGGGTAGAGACTATTAGAATTAAACTGTTTTCTTTTTTGAAGTAATGAAATTGTAATTCTCCACTTACTATTTCTATTGGATTTAAGGTAATTAAACTCTTTAATTTCCTCTTGACATTTATTATTGATAAAATTGATATAATTTTCAAGATTAAATAAATCTGCTCGCTCCAGGTATATTAATGAGTATTGATTTTGGAAGTGCAAATGCAGGATCAATAGGATTCAATTGATATTTATCACCATTTAACAATGACAATGCTGCCAAACCAAAGAATGTATGAAAAACATCAGGTTGATTATTTGGTCTATCAGCTATTCCACCAACATTATCTTAACACTATTTATATTGAATTATTAAGATATATACCTCAAGTATATAATTTTCTAATGCTTATTAATTTATCCATTGTTCTCTTTTTAATAAACATAATGCACTATACATCCACCAAGAATAACAAACATCAGCCAATTTCTCAGGTCTTCCATTCAATCTACAACATATATAATTACTGTACCCTCCTTTACTAGTTTATCTCTCATGTATCCACATTGATAATTCATCAATATTAAAAGAAAGATCTTCACATAAATAGAGTGTTCCAACACAACAAAAAACATATGCTCCATGAGATTCTGCATCTGGACTAAAAATAATTCAATTTATTAAATACATTCCCCCAAATGATCCATCAAAATTTCTACATTTCTTTATATAACTTGCTGCTTTTTTAACATCTATCAAATCTCTTTTGTTTAATAATGTTAAAGATGATAAACCACAATATGAAAATCTTGCATCTACTTCTCCCCACTATAATATGCTTTTAATAATACTTACTTAATCTCCTTCAAATGATCCATCCTATCTCTATCTAGCTGCTACATATTTAGCTGCTGCCTCATAATCTAATTCACATCCCAATAAAAAGCTTAATAAAATAGCATAATGTGTATTTGTTATATGAGAATCATGATTTGTATTACCACCAAAACCACCATCTTAATTCTAACATTCCTTAAGCCATTTTGATAATTGTTGCTTTTTCTCTTGACTAATATCATCTAATTTATTTAGACAAGCTATTGCATTAATTGTCCAATATCCTCCTGCAACTTTTAAATGTTCAGAAAGATAATAACCAATTGATTCAAGATCTTTAGATTTATCTAATGCCATCAAATAAGGTAGATGATTGACAAGTTATTATTAAAACATCGTAATTAATCAAATTTTTATTAATTAAAAATAATTATACTATTTTTACATATATATTTAATATAATTTATTATAATTAATGATTATTTGATAAATACATATTTCTAGTATAAATATTATTCTAAATATTTAGAAACTAAATTATAAAGATATATTTAAATTAAAAAAAAGAAATTATAAACATATAAAATTAAATATTATATTAATATATGTATTTTTTCAATTTCTCAACTTATTTAAATCAAAATTTGATGTTTGATCAAAACTTTAAAATTTTGAGTGTTATCCTTTAGGACTTATAGCACATTCTAAACTTTTAAAAAGTGGCACCTATTTTACTTTAGATTTCTTGAGATTATTTTCCATTTCATTTATTAATAGATTCTTTTACTTTAGAGTTATAAAAGTATATAATAAAATTAATGTTAATACTATTCCACATACAAGGAAACCTATAACTATTTTCATTGTATCAGATTTATGAATTTACAATTAAACAGAAAATTCTATCTTTTTTTTTTGTATGGTTATATTAATTTGATTAAATGTTAATTAGTAATCTAATTGTTATGGAAGTATTTCATTTAATTGATAAAAACATTATACATAATTAGGTATTGGTTCATATAAATATTAAAATATATCGAATGTACTTATTCCTATTATTTTATTACCAATTATAGATATGTCTTTGATTCCAAATTTTAATATCTTATATATTTTATTCTGATATAAAATATCTATTTTATTATTTGTAAGAAATAAAGTATAATCTTATTATACTATAATTTTTTTAATAATTTTCTTGCTCTAGAATTTCCTAACAATTTATATTTGTGAATCAATAATTTAATAATGAGCAATAATATATTTATATTATCTTTTATATGCAACATAAAAGTTGTTTTCATTATTGATACCTAATGCCACACCATTTTAAATTAAATCTAATTAATTTATAGTATGAGATTGCTTATTCCATTCAATTTTTAATAATCCTGCTTACATATCCAATATATATATATTATAACCATTTTAATTATTATTTAGGATTGTTAATTATGTAATGTTTATATAGTTCTTAATTTGAATCTAATAAACTTGATCCTTATTATTATATATAGTAATTCTTTATAGATCAATAACAAATATGAATTAATCACATATTTCTATTTATTAAGGTTAATAATTAAGAAATATTTCGAATTCTTATAAATTTTTATCATAAGGATTAAATCGATATACTTTATTCGATATAAAATAGACTAAGTATGTCATTTAACAATATTTCATTGTTGCATTTTTTATATCTATACTAGAAGGAATTATGTATTACCAAAATAGTATTTAGTCTTGAAAATAATTGATATATCTATCATCATTCAATACTAATAATGAATGTTATGAAAGTGATAACATAGCTAAGTTACTTTTATCACTGCTATCATATTAATAATATTGTAATTTTAATTAATGGCTTTACAATTGACATATATTCCATTCATCATTGTTTGTTTGTAGTTCAAAATCCTATCCATTAATAGGTAAGGTGAATAAAGTTTTTAACTCATCTTTTTTTATTGTAAATAATTCTGCTATTACCAATTAAAATATTAAAAAAATATACATTTATATAGACATTTTTTATAAAATTATTACAAATCAATTTAAAATTTGCATTTATCTTCAAATATTAATTTATAAAGATATGGATTATGATTAATTATAGTGAGTATATATACATAAGTCAAGATATATTTATAAAAAATATAAGGATAATAAATTACCATTAAAATTGTTTTAAACTTTAACTTTACCTAAAAATACATAAAATATACATGATAAACTAATCAATTTATTTTTCTATTTAATTATTATTATTATAATATATTATTGGTAAGAATTGTTTATAAAACTCATAAATTTATAATAATATATTTAAAATTAAATTACATTAGGAGACAATACTAAGTAGTTATTTTTTCATTACTTTTGTTAATTATTTAATTTTAATATTGATTTTTCAATGATTTGCCACAAAAAATACCTGATATTTAAGGAGCCTTACACTATTGAATTACACTCAAATAAAATTGTATTACAAAATGTATTAAAATACTGAGATTTTAAGATAGCATAAAAGATTACTCATATTCTTTAATTAGAATAGGGTTCTGTAGTGGATTGGAAGTTAGATAAAAAAGATTGCAAAGTTCTTGCTTTAGGCATTCAAATTGATAATAAATGGGAATATTTCTATATGAAATAATAAAATCTAACTCTACTAAAGGATTTTCTTGATGGGAAAGTTCAATATCATGATATATTTAAATTGTATCTAATTATAGGTTTTCTTGGTAAAGGAGCATTTGGAAAAGTAAAATATTATCTTATTTTCTTAGGTTTTCAAATGTTAAAATAATTATAATGGAAGAATATTAGCTTGTAAATCACTTAGGAAGAGTAGCAAATACAATGAGAAAGTATGAATAATTGATCTATAGATAAGGATTTTATTAATGAAGTTTAGTGTATGCAAAATCTCAAACATCCAAATTTAGTGTAACTTAAAGAGTTTTCAATAGAATAGAACTATTTTTACATTCTAATGGAATATGTTGAAGGAGAGACATTGAAAAATTTAATGAAAAATAATTTGTTAGATGAGAAAGAGAAGATGATTATCGTTTAAGTATAATATCATTAAATTAGTAATTATTATCGTTGGTTAATTATTTTCATTCAGAAGGATATATTTATAGAGATTTTAAACCAGAAAATATACTATTTATAGAAAATAATGTTAATAAACTTAAATTGATAGATTTTGGACTTACAATTAAGATTGATGAAATTGTTAGTAACAAATATTAGGTATGTGGTACACTTGGTTATATTGCTCCTGAAGTATTTTAGAGAACTTATAAATATGATTTTAAATCAGATATATTTAGTTTAGGGGCATTGATTTATGAATTGTAAGTATTTAAGTTTATATAAATAGATTTTCTGGAATATATTTATTATAAAATTGTGATTCTTAAGAATTATAAAATATGAGTAAGAAATTCTAAATAAATAAAGAGATACTCTCAAATATTAAGAATTAAACTATTTAGAAGTTATTGTATGGAATGTTACAAGAAGATCCTGATTAAAGATTAAATAGTAGGGAAGCTATTGATATATTTAAATAAGGGTATTAAAATTGTGATGAGTTGTTGACTACTAATACAGATTGAGTTTTGTATGTATGTATTAATTACTTAATTAACTTTTTTATAAGTGAGAGGAACAAATATCTCTATTTGATTAGAGATTAAGGAATTAACAATTATATAAATTACTTTTATTATTGGTTCATAAGAACTACAGAATATGATTAATTATATAAAGTTATGCAAATACATTTTTGCACTCCTTAATACTTTTTCAATATTTCTCAAAAATTTCCTTTTATTGTTTATGATCTAAGAGAACATTAACATGGTTATTTGAAAAATAGTATTCATGTTCCTTATATACACCAGGTGGAGAATGTTGAAGATGTGTAAAAGCATTTTTAGTATCCTGAATAATAATCTGAATAGTAGAAGTTGGAAAGATTGTTTAAAACTAGAAAGAGAAATTACAATTTCTTTGTTCCATTTGATACATCTGATATGTTCAGTTTATTATTGAAGGATAGAGTTAAGGGAGAAGGATCAGAAATTTCTGATTAATTTAATATTCCATTAGAAACTGTGACAAAGTGGTGGTATGAAATCACAAAGAAATTGCCATACAAAAAGAAACATAAAATTAAAAGTAGAGCATATACAATGGTAATGTAAGATGATGATGATGATGAATTAGTAGTTGATTCAGATTCCTAATAAAAGATATTTCGTCTCAAAAAGCATTAGACTATAGTTTCTAGTAAGAAGGTCATAGAATTACAGGGTAAGCCTATTAATTTAAATTAAAGAGATAACAATTTCTAATGGTCCAAAAATTAAATAGAGATCTGCAAGTTAACCAAAATACGTTGGACAGGGATAAGGTAGTTTGCATATGAATTCAGAATTATTTGGAGTTACATTAAAGATCTATGAGATTTTCCATAAAGATAAGGTTAGATAGTTGTTTATAATATTGGATCCAATTTAAATAGTTTTTGGAAAACATTCATTTTTAAATTATGAGATAACTAAAAATAGAGGATTTTTAGATAAGACATTACCAAATGAAATAATAGAGAATAAATTATATTTGGGAGGAGGTGATCATGCAAAAGATACAGAAATGTTGATAGATATTTTAGGGATAACACATGTTGTAAATGCAACTATTGAGATAAAGAATTATAGTGATTAATGTAAAAATGAAGTTATTGATGTTAGTAAAGTATTTGAACATTAAAATATATGATGAACCTCATATTAATGTAAAACAGTATTTTGAAGAAGTATATTAATATATAGAAAATGCATTAATGGAGAATGGAAAAGTAATAAATACATTATTAATATATAGGTGTTTGTTCATTGTGCATAAGGAAAATCTAGATCAGCATGTTTTATAGTGATGTATTTAATGAAGAAGTTTAATTGGGGATTTGAGAAGGCATATGAATTTGTAAAAGAATGTAGAGAAGCAGTTTGTATAAATGAAGGATTCATTAACTAATTAATAGAAATGAATTGAATATTTTGCTGTTATTTATGATGTTATGATTTTTCATTAAATAATTGATTTTACTCTAGCAATAATACCTGCAGCATCTAAATGATACATTTATAACATTTATGCTGGAGTACCACTCTTAGCTACTTTATCTACATGGATTGAATGTATTTTCACTTCATTATTCAAACTTAAACAAGATGATACAGCTTCTATTATGATAAGATAATATTAATTACCAAAGAGTCCACCTTCCATATAATGATCTTCAACAACTAGAATAGTTTTCAAAGTAGTTTTATTGGCAGCATTAAGAATACCATCATGATCAATAGGTTTAACTGAGAATAGATCCAAAACTGTAACATGTATCTAATCTTATTCACTCAATTATTTTGCTGCTTTAAATATTTCTTAAGTAGTAACACCTCCACCAATTAATAAGATTTTATCATCATCATTTTATTTTAATATTTTTGATCTATAAAATAGTATACATAATAATATTTACTTTCCAATTTCAAAGACTTCATTATTAGAATACAAAATAGGTAATGATGGTCTACTCATTCTAACATAACAAGGAGATTTATGATTGGCTACTAATTCAATAGCTCTTTCAGCAGATACTCCATCAGATGGATATAAAACTACACAATTTGGTATAGTTCTAAACATTGCAATATCTTCTAAACCCATTTAAGATGGTCCATCTTCACCAATTGAAACACCAGCATGTGATCCAACATATTTAACTTAAGATTCACTAATTCCTCCCATTCTAATTTGATCAAAACCTCTTGCAAAGAATGCAGCAAATGTAGATGCAAATGCTACTTTTCCTCTACAACTGAATCCTTATGCCCAACCAACCATATTTTATTCAGCAATAAAACATTCTACAAAATTAGTTGGGACTACCTCTTTGTATTTAATTGAGAATGTTGAATTTTTAGTATCTCCATCTACTGCAACAATTTATTAATTAGCATCTGTTTTACTTAATCCCACCAAAGCTTTTCCATAAGCTTCTCTTGTTGATTATTTAGCATCAACTGCATAATTGACATCCAAAGTAAAATGACTTTATTAAGGTTTTTCTATTTATGTAGGAACCTCTGGAGTAAGTGTAAATCCACCCTATTACTTCATTTGTTTTTTGACAAACTCCACTTATGCTTATGGAACAGGTTTTCCATGCCAATCCTCTTTGTTCTCCATTTCCAAATATTTACCTTTGAATGTTTTTGCAATTATAACTTGTGGCTAATTCTTAACATTTCTACACTAGAAGCAATATTTTTGGAATCACTTACTTATTCAAAAGCATCAGTTAATTAATTCAAATTATGTCCATCTATTACTAAAGTCTTCCATCCAAATGCTTCCCATCTCTTCTTATAAACATTGACATCATGACCAATTGAAGTCTCTTCAGATTGTCCCAATCTATTTACATCTACTATTGCTGTAATGTTATCTAATTTGTAATGACTAGCTAAATGAGCTGCTTCCCATACTGATCCTTCTGCTATTTCACCATCTCCCATCAACACCCAGTATCTATTATTTATTTTGTCCAAGAATTTAGATGAATAAGCCATACCACCTGCAACTGATAATCCTTATCCTAAAGATCCTGTTGCTACATCAACAAAAGGTAATCTATATAAATATTAAATATTATTTACTTTGGAACTGGATGTCCTTCCAAAAGTGAATCGATCTTTCTCAAATTCAATAATTCTTTACTATCAATATAACCAACCATTGACCAAGCAGCATATAGAATTGGAGCTGCATGACCTTTTGATAATACAAATCTATCATTTCCAAAATTCTAAAATCAATATTACTAAGTACTCCTGGATCCTTTGGATTAAAATGCATTCCTGCCTTTGTAAAAAATAGTGCTGCTAATATCTCTGCCATAGATGCACAAGATGTTGGATGTCCAGAATTAGATGCAATTGTCATCTCAATTGAATGAATCCTCAATTAATGGGCTAATATTTATATATCATTCTATTACCTATATCCTATAATTAGACAACATCATAAGTCTCCTTTTAAACTTTTTACTTCTTAGCTTATTTTGGTTCTTCTTTCTATGGTTAACTTTTTCCTTTTCTGGTCACTCTGTCTGACATATTAAAATAATTTAATTTATCTCAAATTCCGTATTTTAAATCTATTTTTATATATATAAATATAGGTTATAAAATTAGGAATTTGAATAAAAAGGAACAAATTATTAGATGAATAATGAACTCTCACTTAATTCTTTAATCTAATTGTCTCAAAATTTCTAAAATTCATTTAATAGAAGTAAGATTAATCTAAATATGATTCTATTGAGAGTAAGTATAACAATGATGACTAAATTAAATTAATTTGATTCAAATTAAGATGAATAATTGAAATAATACTATAGTAATATCTTAGATTGAAGTGAAATTAAAAAATAAAAAGAAATCATTATATTTTAATACCTTCTTCAATATTGATTACTCTAAATATCAATATAAACTTAAGAAATTAAAAAATATTTACTTTATAGAACAATTTAATCATTTAGAGATATTAGAATATGAATAAGGTTCCTAATATAATTAACAATACAAATGAATCCATAATTAGTATTTTAATAAGCTATAATAAAAATTATTTAGATGATAATAATATATATTTAAAATAGAATAATAGTTTGTTAAAAGTTATAAAATTTAATTTATCTATTAAATATATATTATAAAATTATATTGAGATTATTTGATTGATGTTTTATGTTATGATTTAATATACTCAGCAAGAATTGAGCCATATAATAAATAATATGTTATTTATATTCATATATTAGTTTTTCCTTTAACTAATTTGCGATCTGAAAATTCCTCTTAGATTGGGAAATAATGTTAGTGATTATTAATTTATTCTTATTTTTTAACTTTGGCTCTTTATGGAAAAGGACTTTCACCAATTTCTAATACAGGTTGGCATAGAATAGACTATATTGATTGAGGATTAATATTTTTTAATCCTGCAACTATAAATTCTGAAGGTTAAGTTTGGTATTATGTTTCTTAGGCTTAAATAGGCTATTAGAGTTATTATTTGGGTTATGCAGAAACAATGAGTCTTTCTTTTTTAGTATCAACTGATTTTTATCTTTAATTTGAAAGTTTCTCTTCATTTTTTAGATCTTCCTTTTTATGTTATTAAATAATTTATTGACGAATAACTTCAGTAGGTATAGGTTAATTGTTGCTTTTGATAGATTATCTTTAATCAATTAATTTTTATTATTCTTTTTTGAGTTCTATTTTTAGTTATTCTTATAGCATTTTTTCTTTTTCTCTTTAACTTGGAGCACTACTTTAAATTCTGGTACTAGGAGTAGAAGGTTGTTCTCCTTTTTTTCTGGAAGCAGATGGATAATTTGCTTAATTATTAATTGGCGATAGGTTTCTGTCTTTAATTTATCCAGGTACTAAAATATTGATATATTATATACATGCACTATGAGCTCTTTAATTTAGTCTTGGTTATTCAACAGTTTTTTTAGTTGGTTCTTCTTTGTAATTGGATTTTGGAAGTTATATTTATTATAATTTGATAGTTTAGAGTAGTTCTGCTTTAGATGTTTATTTTTCAAGTAGTGGGACTACTTTTAAATTATTGATTAGTAAAGGAGATTGTAGAATTTGATTGCATGATAATCTTTTCATAGGTTGAACTTAGATCATTTGGACAATGATTGATTATAAATCTCTGGAATATTATTTAGGTAAACATTCAAAGAGTCCTCTTTATATTTTATTACATAATGCTTATAAATCAGGAGCTTTGAAAGGTAATTTAAGTGAAGCCATTTCATAGATTACACATCCTAAACTCCAAATATCACTCATAGAATTGTATGCTTCATTTCTCCATACTTCTGGACTTGCATAATAAGGAGTTCCAGTTTATGTATATGCAAAACCTTTTTTAGTAACTTTGGAGACATTCAAATCTCCTAGTTTATAATTACCATTAGATATAAATATATTTGCAGTTTTTAAATCTCTATGAACAATTTTATTGTCATGTAATTTCTTAAGACTAAATTAAATGATATGATATATACCCTTTTGTAATTTATATTAATGCCTTCCATATTTCTGTTTCAGGTAATAATTAATTGCCAGCTTATTTGATTTTGTTTTGTAAATCACCTTATGTAGCAAATTCCATAATTATATATAGCATATTATCATCTATAAAAGCATCTTTGTAATTAATAATATTGGGATCATCAAATGAAGCCAATATTCTAACTTCGTTAAGAGCATTTTCCTTTTCTTTTTCTTTCAAATCAAAAAGTTTAACTTTCTTCATAGCATAAATTTGTTGATCTGATTTCCTGATAACTTTATAAACTTAACTATAGGATCCTTCACCCAAACGGTTGAGTATTTCAAAATCACTAATTCTAGACATATTATATATATATATATTTTATTATTTATCATTCTGAACTATGTTCTATCTTTTTAAAATTCCAACCTTATTCTCCATCAAATTAGATCATATAATCATGATGTTTAAATAATGAAGGTCTATGACTAACTGTGAAGAGAGTGATTCCTAACATCTTAGCAGTTTAATATAAGGTAGCTTCTACATCCATTGAGACTGCACTAGTGCATTCATCTAAGAATATAATAAAAAATCTATACCTAATATGGCAAATACTGGTTTATGATAAAATAGTCTAGCCATAGCAATTCTTTATTTTTCACCTCCACTCAATACATCATTCCAATCATTACATTTATCATATCCTCCTTCTCTTACAACTAAATAATCCAAATGAACTAATCTCAATAATTCAGTTAAATCATCATCTGTTACTTTCTTTCTTAACATTTATAATTTTGTATGTGGATATATAATTTAATCTCTTAATGTTCCAGCTNCATAGGTTGAACTTAGATCATTTGGACAATGATTGATTATAAATCTCTGGAATATTATTTAGGTAAACATTCAAAGAGTCCTCTTTATATTTTATTACATAATGCTTATAAATCAGGAGCTTTGAAAGGTAATTTAAGTGAAGCCATTTCATAGATTACACATCCTAAACTCCAAATATCACTCATAGAATTGTATGCTTCATTTCTCCATACTTCTGGACTTGCATAATAAGGAGTTCCAGTTTATGTATATGCAAAACCTTTTTTAGTAACTTTGGAGACATTCAAATCTCCTAGTTTATAATTACCATTAGATATAAATATATTTGCAGTTTTTAAATCTCTATGAACAATTTTATTGTCATGTAATTTCTTAAGACTAAATTAAATGATATGATATATACCCTTTTGTAATTTATATTAATGCCTTCCATATTTCTGTTTCAGGTAATAATTAATTGCCAGCTTATTTGATTTTGTTTTGTAAATCACCTTATGTAGCAAATTCCATAATTATATATAGCATATTATCATCTATAAAAGCATCTTTGTAATTAATAATATTGGGATCATCAAATGAAGCCAATATTCTAACTTCGTTAAGAGCATTTTCCTTTTCTTTTTCTTTCAAATCAAAAAGTTTAACTTTCTTCATAGCATAAATTTGTTGATCTGATTTCCTGATAACTTTATAAACTTAACTATAGGATCCTTCACCCAAACGGTTGAGTATTTCAAAATCACTAATTCTAGACATATTATATATATATATATTTTATTATTTATCATTCTGAACTATGTTCTATCTTTTTAAAATTCCAACCTTATTCTCCATCAAATTAGATCATATAATCATGATGTTTAAATAATGAAGGTCTATGACTAACTGTGAAGAGAGTGATTCCTAACATCTTAGCAGTTTAATATAAGGTAGCTTCTACATCCATTGAGACTGCACTAGTGCATTCATCTAAGAATATAATAAAAAATCTATACCTAATATGGCAAATACTGGTTTATGATAAAATAGTCTAGCCATAGCAATTCTTTATTTTTCACCTCCACTCAATACATCATTCCAATCATTACATTTATCATATCCTCCTTCTCTTACAACTAAATAATCCAAATGAACTAATCTCAATAATTCAGTTAAATCATCATCTGTTACTTTCTTTCTTAACATTTATAATTTTGTATGTGGATATATAATTTAATCTCTTAATGTTCCAGCAGGTAAATAAGGTCTTTAAGGAATGTAGAATAATTTATCAATATGTGGTCTATATAATTTACCACTTGAAATTGGCCATAAACCACCTAAAATTCTAAATAATGATGATTTTCCACATCCATTTGGACCTGTTACAATACAATTCATATTTGGTTGAATCTTATATATAAATATTATATTTTACTTCAAATGTCATTTTTTATGCCAATATATCATTATTTGGTGATATAATAGGGACTTCTTCAAATTTAATTGTATTTTCTGTTTCAACTATTTAACCTCTATTCATAGATACTAATGATTATTTCTATGCAAAATATCCTGGTTAATTTTCATTACTTTACAACATTGTTCTCATATACTTACCATTTATTAAATCCTTTAATACTTCATCTAATTCAGCTACTAAAGTTGTATATCCTGCCAATTATTAAATTTCCTTATATGAAACTACCAATCTACCAATAGCTTTGGCTAAATTAATTAAAAGAGATGAATTTCTAACATAATCTCTTGTTATTGCTGAAGCATCATTATTAACACTCTTTAAATANTCTGTTTCAGGTAATAATTAATTGCCAGCTTATTTGATTTTGTTTTGTAAATCACCTTATGTAGCAAATTCCATAATTATATATAGCATATTATCATCTATAAAAGCATCTTTGTAATTAATAATATTGGGATCATCAAATGAAGCCAATATTCTAACTTCGTTAAGAGCATTTTCCTTTTCTTTTTCTTTCAAATCAAAAAGTTTAACTTTCTTCATAGCATAAATTTGTTGATCTGATTTCCTGATAACTTTATAAACTTAACTATAGGATCCTTCACCCAAACGGTTGAGTATTTCAAAATCACTAATTCTAGACATATTATATATATATATATTTTATTATTTATCATTCTGAACTATGTTCTATCTTTTTAAAATTCCAACCTTATTCTCCATCAAATTAGATCATATAATCATGATGTTTAAATAATGAAGGTCTATGACTAACTGTGAAGAGAGTGATTCCTAACATCTTAGCAGTTTAATATAAGGTAGCTTCTACATCCATTGAGACTGCACTAGTGCATTCATCTAAGAATATAATAAAAAATCTATACCTAATATGGCAAATACTGGTTTATGATAAAATAGTCTAGCCATAGCAATTCTTTATTTTTCACCTCCACTCAATACATCATTCCAATCATTACATTTATCATATCCTCCTTCTCTTACAACTAAATAATCCAAATGAACTAATCTCAATAATTCAGTTAAATCATCATCTGTTACTTTCTTTCTTAACATTTATAATTTTGTATGTGGATATATAATTTAATCTCTTAATGTTCCAGCAGGTAAATAAGGTCTTTAAGGAATGTAGAATAATTTATCAATATGTGGTCTATATAATTTACCACTTGAAATTGGCCATAAACCACCTAAAATTCTAAATAATGATGATTTTCCACATCCATTTGGACCTGTTACAATACAATTCATATTTGGTTGAATCTTATATATAAATATTATATTTTACTTCAAATGTCATTTTTTATGCCAATATATCATTATTTGGTGATATAATAGGGACTTCTTCAAATTTAATTGTATTTTCTGTTTCAACTATTTAACCTCTATTCATAGATACTAATGATTATTTCTATGCAAAATATCCTGGTTAATTTTCATTACTTTACAACATTGTTCTCATATACTTACCATTTATTAAATCCTTTAATACTTCATCTAATTCAGCTACTAAAGTTGTATATCCTGCCAATTATTAAATTTCCTTATATGAAACTACCAATCTACCAATAGCTTTGGCTAAATTAATTAAAAGAGATGAATTTCTAACATAATCTCTTGTTATTGCTGAAGCATCATTATTAACACTCTTTAAATACTCTTCTCTTCTACTACCAAAAACAGGTAAACCAACTACTGCATAACCTACCATAACAGCTCCATATTTCACCAACATACTATCAAAAACACCCATATATAATCTTTTAAGTATGATTTATCCTGTATGTCCAATTAAATTATTAAATGAATTAGTGATTCTTGTTTTTTCCCAAGCATGTCCTCTATAAAATGCTATTTCTTCGCTATGATATACTAAATCACTATGACATGCTCTATAATCTCCTTCAAGTCTTTATTCAATAGCTGTTAATTTACCAAAAGGTGGACTTAAAAATCTTAATAAAAATCCAGATATTAGATAATACAAAATGACATACATTGGTCCTTAATATCCAACTAATTCAGCCAATTTTCTAGAGAACAAAATAATATCCAAAACAGGCTTAGAAAAATTGGAATAAATTTAGGATAATGAATTAGCCCATTTTTCAATATCAGCTGTTAATCTTTAATCAGGATTAGCAACTCGACTATCTAAATTACTTAATTGATAAAATATCATATCATTAAGATAGATGTCATGAAAATGTGATGTTAATCTTTTTCTAAATCTTATTGCTAAGGATTTATTTAAATAATCCAAGAAGGAATTAACAAATGAAGCAGGTATTGCAACAACTCCTAATTTCAGTATTCTCTATAAAAACATATTTAGGTTTTATTCAATGATTGCTCTGACTATTTATCCATTAACATTAGCTACATAAATACTTAAAAATGTCCTTGCTACTAATGATGCTCTATTAATTTAGTAGTATATATTACGTAAGTAATATTAAGTCTAGAATTTCTGGTGAGTTTAATCTTGGAATAACTATTTTGAGTAATTTGAAAATCCTCTTTAAGAACATGCGATCAACATTACCCTTTCCCTTTTTTTCATCTCTCTTAACTTTCATATTTTCAGTCTTTGATTTTGTCAATCTAATTTTAAGTAAATATAGAATGACTGCTATAATAGCTCCTGAGATCACCTAATTAGATTATTAATTTGTTCATACTTTTCGCTTTGTTGATTTCAACATAAACTATTTTACATCTAAGATCTTAGATAGCACAGGAGGCATCTATAGATATTATTAATATTATCAATAAATATTTAATATGTGCTAATAATTTCATATTGTTTTAATATTTTCTAATTCCAATTACTTTTTCTCTAATTTTCTTAAAAATGTATACTAAACAAATTTCATATTATCATCATAAATCTTATAAATAATATATATATTTAACATATGTATTTATAAATTATTGCAATATTGAATCTATTGACTCTATCCTATTAGTTTGAACCAGTTTGCAATAAAATATTGTCAAAATAAATACATGATTCTTTACCTGTTAATTAATATATACTATCAGGTCAATTTCCAGTGAAGGATAATTCTCATTCATATTTAGCTTTCATATTCTATGGATCATAATATGCATCAAACTTATAAGTAAATTTATGTATGTAATTGTAATAGCAATTAAATAACTATAATACAATTGTTTGGTTTAATGGAGGTCCAGGTACTTCATCATAATTAGGTAATTATTTTGGTTTGGGACCAATAAATTTTAATGAAAAAGAGAAATTAGAGAAGAATTAATATTCTTGGAATACTAGATTTAATATGCTCTTTGTTGATTAACCAATTGGAGTTGGTTATTCATATGCTTATACAAAAGATGAAATACCTAATAATTTGGATGAAATAGCATCATAATTCAATTATGCTTTGAAATCATTTATATAAAAATGTTAGCTTTAAGAATTATCAAAAGAATCAAAATGGTTTTTTGCAGGTGAAAGTTATGCTGGAAAATATGTACCTGCAATAGTTTATGATCTTTTGAAATAATAGGAAACTATAGTAAACGTTTAAGGAGTTATTTTAGGTAATCCTTGGACTGAACCAATATCTATAATAAGTGAAATGAGTTCATATGCATTTAATTTAGGTTTGATTGATCTTTAAGAAAGATAAAAATTAGACAAAATCTTATTAAAAACATTAATCAATATTAAAAATCAAGAGTTCTCAAAAATAGCTGATAATATATAAACTTATTTAATAGAATTAACAAAAATGAATGGAGGAATGAATTATTATAATATTAAAAAGTATGGATCATATGCTAAACAAAATTAAAAATTAGAATTATATTTGAATTCTGAAACCGCTAAGAATTTATTTAAATTTCCATTAGCTGTTACTTTCAAATTAACATAAAATTAAATAGAATAATAAGGTGATGTTTATTTAGCCTTAAAAGATAATGTTGGATAGAATGATGTAATTAATAAATTAGAATATATTATTTCCAAATTTCCAGTCTTTATTTATAATGGATAGAATGATGCACTTTGTACTAATTCAGGAACATAGAGATGGGTTAATAGAATTAAATATTAAGAAACAATTGAATTCATAAATTCTAATTTTACTACTATTTAATTTAATAATAGAACTATAGGGTATTAAAAAAAAGTTGGAAATCTTGGATTTGCAATAATAAATGATGCTGGTCATTAGGTTCCAAGAGATAAGCCTTAGGAATTATTCACTATCATTAATGGATTTATTGATGTATGATTAATTTATTTATTTATTAAATTCTTCGTTAAATAATTTCTAGAAATTAATAGAAAAATCTATTTCGAGAAAAATTGATATTTTTGAGTTGAAAAACTTATCCATCTGTTCAAGTCATTAAAAATATCTTATGGAAACAGAATTCACTAATTTAGTTGAAGATGGTGGAGTTAAGAAACGAATTATATAAGAAGGTTAAGGAGATATACCTATTGATGGATCAAGATGCAAAATTCTATATAAAGGAACTTTAGATGATGGAACTGTGTTTGATTCTTCATTAGATAAAGAAAATCCTTATAAATACACAATAGGCAAAGAGGAATTAATTAAAGGATTTGATATTGCATTAAAATCAATGAAGATTGGTGAAAAAGTTGAATTGAAAGTCACATCAAATTATGGTTATGGTGATGAAGGAGATACATATAAAAATGTTCCTAAGAATGCTAATCTTACTTATGAAATAGAATTAATTAATTTTAAATAAGCTAAAAAGAAGAGATGGTATTTAAAATTATATAATTATTTAGGGAAATGACTCCTGAGGAAAAACATTAAGAGGCTATTAATAAAAGAACAAAAGGAACAGCAGCCTTTAAATAATAAAATTATAAAGAGGCTTAGAAGATTTATAAGAATGCTCTATCTTATTGTGAATTAACAACTGAAGAGGGTAATGAATTAAAAGCTAGTTTATAACTTAATTTATCAATTTGCTGTTATTAATTAGAAGAATATAAAGATTCAATAGATTATGCTAAAAAAGCCCTAGATTTAAAGACTAATCAATAATAAAAATTAAAAGCTTTATATAGAAAAGCACTTGCTAATATTAAAATAGCTGAACTTGAAGAAGCATTAGCTGATTTGAGAGAAGCTTTTAAAATAGATTCTACTAATTCTGCTGTAATTGAAGAATTGTCAAGAGTCAAATAATTAATAAAGGAAGCTAGAATTAAAGAAAAAGAAATCTATTCTAAATTATTTTAATAAAAACTTTATGATGAATCTGAAATTGAACCAAAAAAAATAGAGATAAAGGAAACTAAATCAGAAAATTCAAGTTGTTGTGATCAAAATGAAAAAATTGAAGAAGAGACTCAACCTAAAACAACTATAGAAAATAAAGATGTATAAATATAAGAAGAAAAACCTGAAGTAAGAGAATAATCAAAAACAGAAAATAATGATAATAATAAAATAGTTGAAGAATCAGCAACATCTGCTTGATATGAAATTTAATTATATATATTAATATCATCATATTTATTATATTTTGAATGATTTATTATAAAGATTATCTTATATCTTAATAATAATCAATATTAATCATTTAATATGAAAAGAGAAAGAGACAAAGTAGAATTTACTATAATAACTACAATTTCATATTTGTTATAGTAAAAGCTATATAATCAACTTATAATAATTTTTTATATCATTATTAAAATATGAATTGGTCGAATGTTTCATTTCATCTTTTAAAATATGAATCTGTGAGACAAAAGGAGAATTAATTCGAACAATAATAATAAAAAACTTCACTTAACAATAACTCTTTCTCGATTCCTTCAAAATAAGAATAATTATAAGAAAAAATTAGATGCAAATCTGATCAATGTGATGAATTTGGAAATTACTCGAATAAATATAAGATTTTTCATGATCTTATTGTTGAATTTCCATAACATAAAAAATAAAGACTTACCTAAATAATCGTCTAAAATTTAAGTATTAGTTTTCTTATTTAGAAAAAAATCCAATCTCCTTTCAATAAAATTCTTTTAGAAATATTGTTGTTAAATCATAAGGACCATAAAATAATGTCATAAGCACTTTTAATAAAAGATTAAAAGATATTAAACATTAGGAATAAGAAGTTAATTTGGATAGTAAAACTGGAATGGATTTACATAACAAGAATGTCTAAAAAATTATTAAATAAGAGAAATTTTCTAAAGTAGAGATTGATCCTAGCATTGAAACTATGCATACTGGTATCTTTAGTTGTTCTCCAGGAGAAAGTCCTAGAGTTAAAGCCTTTAAAAGTACATTCACATTATATTATAGAAACAACTAATAAATTTATTTTAAAATAAACTCTTTAAAAAACTAATATTATTGATAAAATAATATGTGAGAGTAAAATTAATTAAAAAACAACTTATTCTCCTAGATCAATAGTGAATCATTAACATAAAAAGACTAATTCTAGTGGTCATTCTGCTTATTCAGAATAGAACAAATTTCTTCGTAGAATTATCGGTAATTCTCTCTTTTTAAAAACTCTAAATAAGTAATTATGACCTAATTAAATTTATGTATTGTTTCTAATCATATATATTTATTATAAGAGATGAATCTTATTTATCAAAAATATATTAAATGTTATCTTAATATTTATTTGAATTTCATGCTAATCATAATTAATACCCTTTGTTCCTGAAAAAATAATATAATTGATTTAAAAACAATATATTTAAGTAATTTTTAAATATAAATTATATGTATTAAAAGATTTACTTAAATAAAGAGTTATCAAAAAATTTTATGAATTCAATGTCTCCAATCTATAATTCAAGAAAATTATGCTTTAGATTAAGTGTTTTTTAATTATATAAAAATGAAAAATATATGTTTTTAATTAATTGATCAATGATATCATATGTTCTATTTCTTTATTATAATAATTTAATTGAATAATTAATACGTTTACTTTTAATAAAAGAAACATAAATTAATTAATTTTCTATAAATTGATAAAATGAATCAATTTAATTAAGACAATTTATCATTATTATATTTTATTACGTAAGTTTTATTTTGCTAATTAATTTTTTGTATTTATAAATTATGAAGATATTTTACTATTTTATAATATTTAAATATGAAATCATTCATCATCTTAATTTTTGCTTATTTAGTGTTTTCTAATGCATAAATTGCAAATACACATTAAAATGAAGCTTATCTAATCACTTAAGGGATCTTTAATGCATTTGGAATTTAAAATGAAATAGATATTACTTAAGTGTTTTCAAAAATTGAAAGTAAATATTACTTTGAAACTCTGTAATCTGCTATTAGTCTTCAAGAGTAACTTGATGAAGAATCACTATTAGAGGGAATAAAATTGATTGGAGTTGCCTTACAATAGATTCCTGATTCAATTGACAGTTTAGAAGAATAAACATAAGAAACAATAATTATATCAAGTAAAATTTTTCTAAATTTCTTAAAAGAAATACTCAATAATTTGTTGGAATAACTCAGAAATCCATTGAGATTCCACTTCCAAGACAACATTGAAGTCGTTATTAATGGTGTTAACATTTCTTAAGACTTAGGTTAATTCATATATATAATATTAGGTAATTCATTATAAGAATGGCAAAGTGAGAATTATGAAGAGTATGGTAAGGATATTGGTACTGTTTTGATCAAATTAATGCTTAGATTAGAAAATTTAGAGGCTGTGATACATGATTCAACTATTATCTTAATTATTTTTGATGGAGTTATGGATGGAATCTTGGATGCAAGTGGAATAAGAGGATAAGACATCAGATAATGTATTGATGGAGTTAATATTATGGTTATTGATTTTGAAGAATCCATAAGACTTCTTGAGACTGGTTTACCAAGTAATGTGATATAATCACTTTAAATCTTTGGGGATGGTCTCTAACATTTCCCTCAAGCATTAGATTAATGTAAGGCCTCAATCAAAGAAGCAGCAAAATTAGCTAAATAACTTAGGGATTTAATAAAGGCTTTATAAAATCCAGTGTCATTTGCTTTTCATATAGGAATAGATCTTATTGTAAATGGTAAAGATATATACAGAGAAGTATGAAAATAGTTTAATAAAATAGATTTTCACTGCAGTTGATGACTGGAAGTAAGGAAATTGGAATGATTTTGGATATCAATTAGGTAAAGCCATGTATTAAATCTTTGTTGGCTAACAAGATTATAAATCTTGATAATGAAATTATATTATCCGTCACAAATCAAAATATATAATAATTTTCATATATATATATATGTAATTAAATAAAAGAACATAAGAATAGATAGATTATTTACTAAAAATTATATAAAAAATGATCAATTGAAGTGTTATTATTTAATTATAAAATTATAAATACCAATAGTCAACTGATCTATGTTTTTTATTTCATTTTTTAAGAAATTAGCTTGTATGGTTATGCCATTACTTTCTTTTATTATTTGATATTAGAGTTCATAAATAGTCCTTATTTTGGAGGTGATATAATTTTAACTTCTTGTGCTAATTGAGTAAAATTCTTTTAAGATTTATTTTTCTTAATTGCTTATTGAAAAGATAAATCTTTGGGACTATTTGGTTAGAATTATGGTTAATATTTGATTTCTTTAGCAATAGAATTTGTACTAAATAGTTAATCTTCAATTTTTTGATCAACTATAAATTCTTATTTGTTTCTAATAATAATTAAATTTTATATAAACTTATTATTGTTTAATTTCGAGAAAAAGCATTTTTATACACTTTCATTTTTTGTACACTCTTTAAAAGCATTTACATAATTACTTTGAGCTCTTTAATTTTAAATGCTTTTATCTTCTAACATTTTCTTTTCAGAACCACAATTTTTGCATTTAGGTGATAAGTAAGAGATTTCATAAGTGAAAAAACCCAATTTTTTTTACTTTTTTGGCTTTGTTTATACAGAAGCATCTTAAATAGAAATATTGGACATTTATGTCTTGATTCGATCTTCCTATGAGTCATTTTAAAATCCAACTGAACAATCAGTTTTAATAGGTTTTTTATATTTAGAGTGGAAATCCTCACTAAAAATTCTAATATTTTATACTTATTATTAGCATTAGATTTAGAATGATTTAATTTTGTTGATTTTAAAATGTTAGTATCCACTAGGTTAAGGAGATTAGAAAGAGCAGTTTTGGAAATATTATCTTACGATTTGAAGTGTCTAACAGTTTTAGTTTGATGGCTATCAATCAAATAATCGTTAGGTTCAGTTCTGAAATTCGGTTAGTTTTCTAAGGAGCTTTGATAATAATGCATGCTCTCAAATTGTGAATCTATCATTTGTAACAAACCTTGAACTTTTTAATCATGTTTTTCCTCAGGTGACAACCTTTAAAACATTTACTAAATAATATATACAACTATTATTATCCATCTCTGTTTAAGCAGTGCAATTTTTTGTTTGGAGAATAGACAGTATATTTCATTTAGCAATTCAACTGAAAAAATATAAAATTTATTTAATAACTAAAGAATGAAATGAAATTCCAAATTATTTTTAATATAAAATATTACCATCTTATAAATTGAGAATATGCCTCATCATATTTAGAATAAAGCATTTATTAACAAAAATATAATTTACTATACAATCTATTAATAAAATAAAAAAATCAATTTATCATTATTATTTAACCTTTTTATTTACATTATCGAATTCTTCTATATCTTATTTCTTTGTTTTTTTCTATAAATTTTATTCTTATTCTTCTCTTCTTTTATATTTTAATAACATTTTTCTTCTTTTTATTTTTCTTAATTTCTCTATTGCCTTATTTGTTTTTGATACTAAAAATATATTATATATTATTTACCAACTCTATTATAAACAACATTTCCTTGCATAAATCCTTCTTCTATTTTATAAAGCTTTAATTCCAACCTAGGTCCCACTTCATGTAATCTTATACTCATTTATTATTTATTATGTTATTTATTCTCAATTTCTAATTCCTCTAAATCAGATTATTCTGTATCTGAGGCAAACATTTAATGATTGTTTTATAAAAAGTCAGAAAAGCTATTGTATTTAGATAAATTTGGTAATTTATTTGCTTTTATGATTTTTTTCATTTTTTTGTCTATTCCTTTTAAATTAAAACTAATGTAATAATGTCTAATGTAGATCTTATCATTTTTATAAGAAAACAATATAACTCGCTTTTATGTTTTTGGATTAGCATTTTAAACATTAATAGCAGGAAACATAGATTAAATCATATTCCCTACTAATTTAATATGCTCACTAGTTGGTTTCTAAGGATCATCTGTCTAAAAGTCAGTCTGAAAACCATTCATCACAAGTAAGGGAGGTGAGAACACTCTAGAAAATGATTTGAACTTCCTTTAAGCATTGAGAACTTCATTTCTATTTGCGTATTTAAGAATACGAAATGTGAAAGTTGGTCCCCTTGGATTTTAAATAAATCTTATGTATGAATCTAATTAATATGCATTTTGCAATACTCTTATTAGTTTATGTCATTATAATCATATGTGATATTAAATAAAAGCCAGCTGCCTTAACATAGTCTTTCATTTTAGTTTTATCTGATTCTTATAAATTCATGCTTGTGAAGGGATACATAACATCTCTGTAATCATCAATTAATTGACGAATAGTTGCTGAAACTTTTCCTCTCTTTAATATGAATGCTTAAGAATATTAATTAAACTAAACCTTTTGGTGTTTATCCTATCAAATCAAGATCCTCTTCTGTTGCTTCTTTATGTGTTCTTGTTTTTTTCTAATTTAATAATTAATATTCATTTTACCCTTCTTCCTCCAACTTTAGGCATTAATTAAAAATAATTAAAAATTTTTATATGAAAAACCAACAAAAAATAAACACATGACTTTCATTATTCTTGGTATTACCTTAATTTTTCTAAGTAAATATTGTAAAGTTCTTTCGAAATAAATAAGTCATAATTTAGTAGTTCTAGCAATTCTGATTCCAATTAGTTTAACTCTTTTAAAGAGATGCCTGCTATTTTTGAATAATAGTCGTTTCTGTAGTAATCATCATCTTGAAATTTGATGGCTAACACCAATGCAATCATTAGAAACCTAATTCACATGATTTACATACCTATGAACACAATGGCTATTTAACAAAATATCTGGATTTAATTCTTAAACTTTATCTAAGTAAATCAAGGCGATAACGAAACATTCATCTGTACATTTTGCATATTTTGCTATACGAATTAAATAATTTTCTAATGTAATTGCAGGTATTTTCGAAGCATGAAAAGGTGTTGATTAAGAATCTAACTTGTCCGTTTCTTTAACTATATCTTCCAGTATTGTTGCAATGCATTTTAAGATAGATGGTTGTATAGTTCTTTCATGATTCCTCACATTAACTTGTGTGCTTATTTCTGTCATATTATATTTATATTACTAATATGCTTATTTTTAAAAATTAATCAAAATCAAATTAAAATCAAATTCATAAACCTCTTAATTAAATCTGATGCAGTGTCTTTATTTAGTTATATTAATGAGATTTCTTTTAATTTCTATTAATTCATTAATTTTTTTAATTTTGTCAATCTAAATACTAATACAATAAACTTTTAAATAATCGATCATTATAATTTATTATTAAAAAGCATAGTATTATCTAATTCTCTGAATATTTAAAATTATAATATAAATAGATTATAAGAATTTTGAGGATTTCTTTCTCTTTTTAATAAACTAAAAGTAAAACTATTTTTAGAAATGATAAAAAATTAAGTTTAAATAAAGTAAATAATTTACTATTCAGTGAGTTAATCTTATCTTATAGACTAATAGGATACAAAAGAATTAACAATCTTTACCGAAATATGATTTTTATAGTATCTTTTAATTTTGATAAAATAAAAGTTTTTATATTGTTTTATATATAAGGTTAATGTATTTATAAGCATCTGATGTTAGATAATAGAGGTAATCAGGTAATAAATTTAATAGTTTTTAAGTAGAAGGACTTCAAAAAACAAAAGTTTCCAAAAATATTTATAAATAAGACATAAATTAAAAATAACTATTTTAGTATTTTTAGTTTTCTGAATCACTATTAAAGGTATTCAAAATATAATATGGCAAACCAAATAAAATAATATTAATTTGATTATTAAAATATGTATTATTATTATATTAATAATCATTTTTATTAACCCTTCATATTTTGATATTTTGTATAATCTGATTTTGAATATCCTTAATATTATTTAGATTAAATTTTTTAATCATTCTCATAATTTTATTCATTAAAATTATTCTTTTATGAATTAAATTATCTTTCATTTTAAATTGAATTCATCTATTTATTGTTTTGATATTTATCATTACCAACAAAGTTTCTTTCATTAAAACTTTTATCATTTCCTCCTGTGAAATTTCTGGATGCTTATGGATTATTAAAATTACGTTCATTATTACTTCTATCAAAATTATTTTGATTAGAATAGTTTTTCTCTCCATTATTATTAAAATTTCTTTCATTATTATTTACTTTAAAATTTCTTTCATTATTCTATCTTTCATTATTATTTTTTTCATTATTAAATCTTTCATTATTATTTCTATCATTAATAAATCTTTCATTATTATTTCTATCATTATTAAATCTTTCATTATTATTTTTCTCTTTATTAAATCTTTCATTATCATTTCTATCATTATTAAATCGTTCATTATTATATCTTTCATTATTATTTCTATCTAAATAATTTCTTTCATTATTAGGTTTATCTACATAATTTCTCTCATTGTTGCTTCTATCAAAAGTGATTCTTTCATTATTATTTCTATCGAAAGTATTGATTGGTCTTTCATTATGATTATTAAAATTCTTATCATAATTTTTCTAATGATAAGGTTTTTCATTTTTCAATTAATTAAGATATTTATCATTATAAAATTAAGCTTCATGATTATTATTTTGTGTATTGTTATTATTTCTCCTATTTTAATTATCATTTTCACTTCTAAAATCCATATTATACATTTTCTAACCTTAATCTTAATCATTAAATCGTTTGTTCTAAAAAGAATTAGTTTTACCTTCTTCTTAAAACTATGGCAATAATTTATAATTTTTTAAATCTAACTCTTAATTATTATCTTAAGTTTTAGTTTGATCAGCATCTGAAAATCTAATTCTCACATTACCTTATCTTGAATCACCTTAATTTTTTTAAAGTTAAGGTTATCTATCCTATTATTATTTATTTTTGAAATCCATATTATAATTTCTCTACTATTGTTATTAATATTGCTATTATTCCCCCTTATTCTCTTCATTGTATTCACTTCTACTATGTTTATGGTATGGTTTTTTTTGATTTCCTCCTTAATTAACATATTATTATCTATTTTCCCATTAATTACTATTATCTTATTTAAATTCTGAAGTCTAAACAAAATTATTAGGAGGGTAGATTGAATTTGGAATGTTAGTTTGATTTGAATTGTCTATATATTTTTAGAGTTTTTTATGTTATCTTTCTTATTTGATTTTCAGAGCTTTATCTTTGAATTCCAATAATTCTTAATTGACCTCTTGATTACAAGATGTTAAATAAGTGATGACTTAATCAGCAAGAATTCCTTCATCTTTTTCATAAGACAACAATGAGAAACTTCTACCATGAGCTCCTGCCCTTCCAGTTCTACCAATTCTGTGAATATAATCATCAAATGACTTAGGGAAATCATAGTTTACAACAACAGTGATATCCTTTACATCTAAGCCTCTAGATGCTATATCAGTAGCACATATTAATCTGGTATTAGAATCTTTAAATTATTTCATAATTGCATCTCTTTGATCTTAAGATTTATCTCCATGTAAAGAAATACAAAAATAACCTTATTTTGTAAGACTCTGACTCAGATCTTCACACCTCTTCTTTGTTTCTGCAAAAATTAAAACCTTATCTGTATAAATTAAATCATCTAAGACATTCATAAGAACATGCAACTTTTCCTTTTGTCCTGTGCATATAATCTTTTAAGTAATTGGAGCACCTTTCCCAATCTTCACTAATATAGGATTGTAACAAAACTCTTTTGATAATTATTAAACTTCATTAGGCCATGTGGCTGACAATAATATTGTTTATCTATCCTCTCTTATTGTAGAGACTATATCTCTTACTTGAGGTTCAAATCCCATGTCTAACATCCTATCAGCTTCATCTAGTATCAGCATGGAGATTTTATTTAGATTTACCATTCCTTCCTCTATTAATTCAATTAATCTTCCTGGAGTGGCTACAATTACATGAACTCCCTTTTAAATTAATTCAACTTATTGTTTTTTATTTGGGTTGCCACCATAAATGCAAACAATCTTAAGACTCATTAAATTTGGACTGTTCTCTTTGTCATTCTATTTCTTATTTCCATAATAATATTCAATTAGTTAAAGCAATTAATCATAAATTTATACTCCCAATTCTCTTGTTGGTACTAAGATAAGGAGTTTAGGTTAAGTAGACTCTTTAACCATTGCATGTTGTTCTAGATGCACAAGAGCAGGTAGCAAATAGGCTAAAGTCTTACCCGATCCAGTTTGAGCTATTGCTAAAGCATTTCTACCAGATAATACGATGGGTATGACTAAATGTATTATTCAAATACCTTCAGATTAGATAGCAGTTGGTTATTGAAATTCTGGTGGTCCTAATGGAAAATGTCTCCAATCTAAAAAGGGCTAAATTATCTAATTATCTTATTCCCCATTTCTGATGATTGTTATATTATTGTCAGACCTAAATTTTTCAATATCCTCTTGACTGTATTGTAAATTACTTGCCTATAGATTAAATTCTCATAATTTGATTACATCAATGAAACATTTAGTGAAGTCTTCAAATTCTCCTGGGCATGATGCAAACATACCTAAAGGTTAGCTCCATCTCTTTAGTCCTTTCATTATTTTAAATATTGTTAGCTAAGTTTTTCCTTTTAATAATTGGCAATAGATTGGTATTATTTATCTAATTATAAATTTTAATAATCATTTTAGTATTTAGATGAGCATTTTTTGATATCTTGTAATAAATGCTGGAATAAATTCTTTTTATTTGTTATTTCCTCTAATATATATTTATTAAGCTTTCATGAAAGGTTCTCTCTAGGATGATATAAACTTCTTAATATTCTAATTGACTTCCTAGATTGAAAATGACTGAGTCATTCTAAAATCTACTTGCTATTAAAGAGATTATTTGTATGTTGAATTCTCCAATATTTTATGATTGAAAGAATACAAATCCTTATTTTTATGGTATTTCTCAGTAATTTCCAAAATTCTTTTTGGTAGTTTTGGTTGCTTCTTTATCTGTTGATTTAATATTAAGGTTTACTCATGATGAATCAAATTAAATTCACTAAATTCTTTTGTTTTAGTTATTGATTAGATAATCTCTATTGGATTGCAATTATTATATTTGATAAATTTTCGATCATCGTAATGTTTACCAGTTGCTATATTTACAAAAGGAATACTAATTGATCCTTGTATTGAAGACATAAAATCAACTGCCTTTGTTGGCAATGTTCTTTCAAACATTTAGATAAACTCTAAAGCTGTCACTCTGTAATAAGATGAAGGTTCCTCCAAAAATCCACTTGACCACTTTTAATGATAGAACTCAGCTCGTTCTATGTTACCTTAATAGAAATATGCTAATCCCATGGCATCATAACATTATATTTCTTCATCATGATAATAATAGGCCCATGAATACATTAAAGCTTTTTGTATCAAAATTATCTATTAGTCAAATAACTTAAACCTTTTAATATAAAATAGTTTACTATTTAGCACATATTGCCATAGAAAGTAATGAATTAACTTTTAATTTGGGGTTACGAGATAGATTGGATAATGTGAAGCAATCTTTTAAAAAATATGTAGCCTTTGTATATTCTTAGCAATCAAAAAAGAACTAAGATAATAAATAGATCATATGTGAAAATAACTCTACTAACTAGATTAATAGAATAGTTTTATACATTTTATTCTTGTGCCATGAACATTGGTTTCTAAAATAAAATTATCATCTTTTCAGCATCTTTTCTTCTTATTAAGTCTTAAAACAAGGAGGAATTCTCTTCAAAGTAAAGTATTATATTATAGCGTTTATCTAATTTATTATATTTTTTGGCACTTATAAAAGGAACAAGCTTTATGTCCTAATTTAATGTAATTTTATAATACTCTGCTAAAAGAGTTGATTTGGGAATGAGGAGTCATTTTGTATTCAAATTCATGCAAATTACTGAGATCTAATTATTTAGCAGTTTAATCCTAAGTGTGATCAAATAGAGATATATCTCTAGGTAGAGGAGAATTGCAATTAGAGGATGAAAATAACTTCATAAACGGTTTCGTAGTTGTCTTTGATTTGATTGAGTTTGTACTCAAAAGATTACGAAGTGCAAAAGACATTTGAGATTTTCTGTAATGTTTAAGTTTCTCTAGTACAAATGAAGCAGTAGAGGGTGGTGAATTATTTTATTTCATAATAAGTTATTAATTTTAATGGAACCAGATCCCAAATTATTGTCTCTTCTAGAAAAAGTTAATAACCCTATAGAAACACTTACAATCCATTTAACAATTAAAGTAATTAGATATTAGAATATTATAAGGGTGTTTATGGATTTACTGATGATTGGAGGATTACAGATGAAACTAATCCTGGAATATTTGCTAATGTGATTCGTTACTAAGGAGAAGATATGTTTGGTAAAATAAGACCTAGAGAGCAGACAGAAAAAGAGAAATATGAAGAGTATTAAAAGAATAGTAAAAAGAATAAAAAGGAATCAAAAAGTCCAGAAGAAGAAGAAGCAATGAAAAAGGCTATTGCTTAAGAAGAAGAGGAAGAATAATAAAAATAATAGCATTTAGAAACCTTATCTGAGTAAGAAAAGTTGTTTTTCATTTCAGAAGATAAATTCAAAACTGCCAGCATTTAATATGAGGAAACACATTCAATAGTGATTAATAATGTTAGGTAATTAGAGGAAGAGATTTTAGAAAAACGAAACACTATTCAATTTATTAGATAACCAGCTGTGACAGAAGAAGAATTGGTTAAATTGAAAAAGGGTAAGACAAAGAATTTGAATAATGCTGAATTGACATAGATTATATTCAAAGGAATTTTTGATTTAGCTGATTTATTAGAACCTGGATGTACTTAAACTATAGTGAGAGTCTTTTTAAAATAAGAAGAAGGTTCTGATTGTCCAAAATATAATTGTGAAAAATTGTATATGAAAATTGAAGTTAATACTGAACCTGCACTTACACCATTGGTTGAAGATGTACCATCACTTAAAATAGAACCTGTTATAATATAAAAGATACCTAGTAAATTTGAATGTGTATGGCAATTCAAGAGTATAAACATTTCATAATCTATTAGAGGATATAAAAGAAGCTATGAAATCTCTTGAAGAAGAATATAGCAAATTATATTAAAGTGATTAAAAGGCTAAGACTTAACCTATGATTAGTATGACTCATTAAAGATGGTTAGAATTAACAAAGAAAAAAGAATCCTTTCTAAATGAAATGAACACATCTGGCAAATACAATATCTTATAAGAAAGATTAAGATCATCTATTATAAGAGTTTGTATTGATAAATTTGCTAAGGAAGGATTGTTTGCTGGAGTAAATAAAGATGAACAAGATCGATTATTTGCTGAATTGTATGTATTTATGATGGAATAAATGTAAACTACTCTAGGAGAATATATATAAAATAATAAAGAAGATGATATTCATGAAGATTTGGTCTTAACTTTTGAATAAAATATCAGGGAACGAGATAGAGTATTCAAAAGACTTAAGGAATCTTAATTAGAAAAATTTTAAAGATTAGCTAAAGAATATGAAACTATTAATTAAGTTAATTAAGCACTTAAATATTACACTAATATGGTATTAGTTGATAAAACATCAGCTTCTGCTTTTGCTAAATATTGTCTTAAAATATAGAGATTTAAGGCAGCTGAACAATTAATTTAAATGGTAAGAGACGTAGAATGGAATAAGGAAAATGAATTACTTATGGCTTGTCTCTATATTAGAAGAGAAAGATTTAAGGAAGCTACTTAAATATTAAAGGAATTATTACAAAGAGAACCTATTAATACATTATTTAATTTGATTATGTCATTTATTTATAGATAGTAGGGGAATGACAATATGGCTGATAAGTATTTAAGATGCACTTAAAGAATATTTATGAGAACAATGGGTTTATTGACTAAAGGGTAATTATTATTATTTTTAATTTTAGATTTCAAAAATAATAGCCTGATCCACATTTCTTACCTAATTTCAAATAATAAATGATTGAATAATAAGAAAAAGCTAAGAAAGCTCCAGTATTAACTTAAGAATAAATTGATTCTATTCAATTAGAATTAATTGAATATTTTGCATCAAGGAATTTATTTGATTTAGCTGAAAAAGCTTTGGTTGCAATTAAAGATAAAACAACTCAAAAGATAAACATAATCAAAGCATAAATTCATATTTTTAATGAAAATTATACTGATGCACTAACTTTAATATAAAAGTTATTAACTTAAAATTCTAGATTTTATGATGTATATTTAATTAAGGGATCATTATGTTTTTAAACAGAATAATTTTATGAAGCTGAAGAAACCTTTTTAAAAGCACTTTCAATATAATCAAAGAGATCCTTTGAAATTCAATTAAGATTAGGATATTTATATTTAAAACGTAAATCATGGTAAGATGCTAAAGTGATTTTTGAGAAAGCTTTAGATTAATAACCTAATAGTTCTTTATCATGGTTAGGGTTGGGAATTGCAAATTTAAGATTGTGTGATCCAATTGCTGAAGAATGTCTTTGTTAAGCTAATATCTATGAACCTTTTAATGGAGAAGTTTGGGGATATTTAGCATTGAATTGTTTATTATAAAAGAGAGGATAACAAGCAAAATAATGTTTATTACGTATGGAATAAACAGAAGTTTATGATTTGGATTTATTGCTTGAATTAGCTGAAGAGATGTCATTATGTTTTGATTATGAAAGTTGTAGATCAATTTTGATGAGAGTTTATGATTCAAAGATAATAATATCGAATATGGGAAAATTATTAATGAATTTGGGTTAAGTGCATTCATAATTAGGTAGAAATGAGGAAGCTAAACAATATTATATTGAATCATTATAATATTTGGAAAGTGGAAATGAAAAAGAAAAGGTAAATTCTGAAATCAAGATATTATGATAATAATAATATATAATCAATAATCCTCGTCTTCTTCCCAAATCTCTTACAGAATTTAGACCAAATTTTTAAGCTTGATTTTCTTTTAGAATGGCTAATATGGACCTTTAGTCTAACGAATGATATCTTCAATCTGTCTTCTTTCTTAATTGCTACCAATTAATTTTGATTGCTGGAACATTAATTTATATAATAACTAACAATTACTATAATTTAATTTCAAATTTATGTCAACATCATCAGATTTCTAGCCTCCTTCTCCAAGTCTCTCACCTAGTTCATAAATTAAATGTTATCAAGAATAATTAGAAAAAGCTCATTCAATGATTGACTATTTGGAAGTAATGCTTGCAGAGAAGTAAGCATTGAAAGAGAATTTCAATTCATTTAATCTGCCTAAGTCTAAATCTCATATGAAAAAATAAAGTTTATGCTTAGATCAAATTCCTTAATCAATTTAAATACAATAATATGTTACTCCACGAGAAACAAATTAATCAATGAGATTTACATCAACGAATATGCCTAGTTACATTTCTGAATTACAACAAAAGCATTAAGAAATTCTCTCATCTAATAAGGAGAAATCAACAGTGAAAAAGCTTTAGATCTAAGAAATATAAGAAAAAGTTTAAGATCTTTAAGATGAAATAATTATATGTAAAGAAAGATAAAAAAATACTGAAATAGCAAAAAATTAGGCAGAAGAAGTTCTTGAATAAATAGATGATGATATTTTACATGCAAAATTAAAATTACAATAAGTAAAATCTTAAGGAGAGTAAATATATGAAAGTATGATGAAATTAGAAGATTAAGAACATGATAAAAAATATTATATGGGTAGAACTTCTACATTAAAAAGAAAGAGAAGTGAAATAAAACCACCAAATCAAATTAAGAATTAATTAAATTAATTAAAAAATGAAATTGAATAACTCAAATAATCCAAAAAAGAAAAAGAGGAATATTATACTTAAAAAATAAAGGAAATTGAATAATAATTAGATTAAAGAAAAACTAATGAATCATTACCTGAAGATTAACTTAATGCTTCCCTTAGTCCTGATAGACAAAAAGTAAGAGTTTATAAAGGTAAGCATGCTTTATTGTAGGTAATATTTATATTAATATAAAAAGCTTACACTAAATTCTGATTCTTGTTCTAGATCTTATGCATTAAGAAAGTCATAAGAAAATAAATTGAATTCAGCATTTGATTTCAAACAATTTGATGAACATGAAAATGTTTCAATAGATTCTTTTAAGAATAAAGATAAAAAGAATAGAACATGTGATCCATGTACTATCTTTTGATTAAATATATTTATATATATAATTAATTCAATATTACCTTAAATGTATTAATTTATTATCTTAAAAAGGTGTATTAATTTAAAATTACTTCATTACTAGCAATTTAATAGGCTTACCTTAATCTTGATCCTTAAATAATTAAAGATATCTTCTAATAGTAATGTTATCTAAATACTATAGTTTACAATTTAGATATATTTTCTATTATTATTATATCATGCAATTTTATAAAAAGTATAGTTTGCAGTTTAAGATTGTAATATAAATGTTACTCATATTTCAGTATAATAATATGATCATATGGATGATGAAATCTGTTGATAAAATTTAGAGCAATAAACTGAATCAACTATTTCAACAGTTTATAGGTTGATGAACAATAGGTTTCATTAATTCATATATTAAATTAATTTATGCAAAGAGAAAAGCGTATACCTTAAAAGACTTGGCGATATGAAGAATACTCTCCACCAAGGCGATCCTCATAATCAACTAATCAAAATAAAAGAAAGAGAGAATTATCCTATTATAAAATACATAAATTCTCATAAAACTCTTAATTTACTAAAGAAGAAGACGAAAGCATTCTTTAATATGTTAAAGAATTAGGACCTAAATTTGTTAAAATAGCTACTTATTTTCCTAGTAAATCATATAGTATGGTGAAAAACAGATATTATAAACATTTAAGAAATAAGGTGTTTGAAAGAAAAGAAAGTTAAGAATTGAACCCTAATAATTAAGACACTACTTAATAATTGAAAAATATAATACTAAAACCTGACAATCAAAAAATAGAAGAGTTGAATTAACTTATCTCATCTATAAATTTATTTCCAGAAATAACAGAAATAACCAAAAGTTTTATAGGTGAATTATAAAAGTGCCTTCTCTGAAATTATGTCAAACTCTATTGATTTTCATTTTAATTCAATTGTTATATTTATACAATTATCATTCAGTACTATAATATGTTTATTTAAATTAAATATATTAATTTCTCATCTTGTTTGATATTAATAAGTGATAATTATTGATAAATACTAAAACTAATTCATAATTAGCATAATCCTATCTAAAATTTATAGTTATCAATAAAACTATTAAATTTCATTAATTCAAATTCATTTTTACTACTTACAATTTAAATTATTTACTCATATATCTCAATTATAAATAAAACAGAAAAGTATTAATTAAATATTTAAATTAAAAATCAAGTTTTATAACTATTTTGTGAATTAAGTATTTTATTTAAAGCAGGAACAAAATAAAATGTGAATTAGAATAAAAACTAACTTTTTTTTTGGCTTAATTATAAATAAAAAGAAGTTCTATTAATTTTCTATCATATATAATGTCTTATTTATAAAGATATGATATCATATTTTGAATTAATATAAAGATAAAAAATGGATTATTTAAAATCTTATACTTTTTATTGTTTGTTATTTTATAAAAGTCGATTTTATATGTTTAGGAAACTAATTTTTCTTTTTTTTAAATATTGTATAATTACCCAATCAAGATTCATATATAGCAAAATCATTGTATATTCTCTTGAATTAGTATTTTATATGTTTAATTTAAACTTCATCTGCAATTTTCTAAAAAGGAAATCAAAAATTTAAGATTCATTAAAAATAATTTATTTTTTAATATTTATACTATTTTTAATCAATTATATCTTTGAATTTATGGCTTAAGAAATGATTATTCAAAACAAATATGAAATATAGTGAAAACTTTATAAGGGTGGGTATCTCTATTTAATCAATAATTATCTATTTATATTCCTAAAGATTAAGATATTTTAATGATTGTATAAAGATTTGCATATATTTTGAAATATTGAAATTTAATATTAACTAATCAAATAAAATCCTAAGAATCTATAAAAATAATCCATAAAACTCACTTCTTTCATAGAGAAAATAATATTTTAAAAGTTCAAAATATAAAAGATAATATTAGATAATTATTGAATAAAGTTATCAATAAATTCTCTAATTGATTTTGTATAAATTGCATAATAAAAACAGCAATCTGATAAAATATAAATTTAACATTAAAAACCGTTATTTTGGTTATAAATATAATAAATTAAAGATAAAAAATAAGTTTTCTTCATGCTGGTTAAACTTATTTAGGAAACTAATGATAATTAACTTTAAAAAATACTTTATAACTATCTAAACAAGGCTCTGATGTAGTTATATCTTTAAGAACTCCTCCATAGTAATTGGGATCCTTTATTTTTATCATAATGCTAGGATCAAACGAGATGGACTTAATTTCAAAAGGGATATTTCTTTATTAAATTACTTATCCACCTTTACATATTGTAAATATTTCCCCTTAATAATTACATTCACTATAAAAATTAACACATGGGTTGATAACTCTCAAAAATACATCTCCTAATCCCCAAGATTCTAATATTATAATATATATAACCATCAGTCGATGCCTAGTCTAAAGTATCTTTAAATTTTAATGTAAGACCTCTTGTTGTAGTTTAAAAAGTTTTTGCAATTTGAATAATCAAATCTTCATATTCAGAAAGTTAACAAATATGAGTTCCTTAATGAGAAGTAAAACTGTAATGTTCGAGCTATTAATCATTAAGCCAAATCGTAAGCGTTTCTGAATCCCAAGAGTCTATCTTTGCAATTTTAAATTTAAGTTCGATTTAAATATTTGGAGGAATATTTGAAAAGGTCTTTGTAACAATAGAGCCTTCTCCAAATGGACCCATATATATATTTTTCGAATCTGAGCCACACTTAACTACAGTTGATGTAGTAATTCCTTAAACATTAAATTCTTAATATCTACAATCTGATTCAAGGTTTGTATGACAATTTTGGTAAAATATTGAATTAAGAAAAATTATTTTGAGAAAACTGATCATTGGTGCCATATATTTTTTAAATATAAATATCTAAATTAATTATTTTTATTCCTTATCAAATATAGTGTTATCAAACAAAAAGCTAAAAGATGAAATTAGGTTATATTTTTATCTGGATTTCATTAATATTGGAGACAGTATCTTTTCAATACTTTATGAATATTATAACATATATATGGATAAATCATAAATAAAAAAGAATAAAAAATTTACTGATTTAATCCAAAGTTTTAATGAAATTTTAATATTTTATTCTATAAAGAATATTGAGATTTATTAATATTAACAGTAGAATTCATGATTTGTTATAATAGAAAAGACTTAGAGAATGAAGATATATAAAATATATGATATAAGGTAATTTGAATGTTTATATATAAATTATTAAATTAATTCTTAAAAATTAATTAGATAAAACATATCAAAGAAAGTTGAAATTAGTAACTTGGTTTAACATGTTCATCACATCTGTATCATCTGTATGATACTATATAGAAAGTTTTTAGTTAAATAATAATTATTTTGATTAATGAGGATCGATCTTAGATTTTATTTATTTAAGAAAGATTCGTAAGATTTAAATGAGTATATTGATATATTTTCATATAAAAGTAGTGAACAAATGAATAGATAAAAAAGTGTTGTTTTTTGAACTTCTATACTAAATGAATAACTAAAATTTTGGGAATGATTTGAATATATAAATAGTAAGCGTGGATACATTTATTTTATTAAATTTTGGTCATATCAATTTAAAAAGAAGTATTATCAGAAAAAGAAATAGAATTCTATTAAAATACAAAATAACCAGAGTGACGAAATGTTGTTTAATATAGATTTATTAGCGATAAGCACTAAAAAAAGTTCTAAAGTAACTACTATTTAATGATGATGATTTAATTATATAGATGAAGTAGGATATTTATTAGAATACTTTGATTTTCATTTCTCTTAACTCTAGTTTTCATAATTAGAGCTAAGCCATAGGTTCAATCCAAGCGAAATATAATATTTCCTAAGAAAAGAGAGATGAATCTATTTAGAAAACATGGATGTGTAGATATAATGAAAAGCATTAGATAAGTATAGTATAATTAAATTTATCCTATCTCCTTAGATATAGAATATTTTTACAAAGAAATCATTTATTCATAATAATTAAATATATGATAAATATAATTGTATTCAAATAGTAAGGATTCACAAGTTAAATAGATAAATCTAAACTTAATTTAAGAATCTGAATTCATTTAGATAGAAAAGATAGCAAAAAAAATAAGTCTAGATATAAAAAAATAAAAAAATAAAGAGAATATTAAATTAGAAGGGGCAATGAGTGCTAAAATAAGTAGAAGAAATATAGTAAATTAATTTTAATAGAATTGAATAAAGTGATTAGAGATCATAGAAAAATTAAATATTTATTTCTTGATTTTAATTAACATTATTATAATTTTAATAGAAAATGAATAATAATAATTTATATATATTTTATTGATTAGTATATAAACAAATTAAGACTTGTTATTTAATACTAATAATAAAAATAATTAAATATTTTTTTTATGAATCTTAGAATCGAAATATTTGGATCAAAACCACAAATATTTTAAGTAAATAAAAGTAGTTCGGTGTTTGAGGTTATTGATATAATAATTTAAAAGAACAAATTGAAGGAACTAAATTAACAATTAAGTTTATATCTAAATGGAATTGAACTTAAAAAAGAAACAAGAATATAAAATTATGTTAAGTTTGTAAATGATACATTATAACTCAAAAAAAATGAATAAGTTAGATAACTTCAGGGAATTAAGTTGGTTTATAATAATGAAATAAAAATTGCCTATGTTTATTTGGATGACTCAAATTATGTTTTATATGATTAAGCTGAAAAATAGTTTTCCTTAAGTAAAGATTCTTTTAAACTTATATGCAAAGATCAAATACTTGAAAAATTAACTTATCTAAAATAGAATTAAATAGATGCAAATTCTACAATAGTAGTAAAAATGCTTAACTAATTAAATTAACCAAAATAAATGATTAATTTGAAACTAATATATCAATAACAGGAAAAAGTTCTTGCTATTGATATATATAGCAAAATTTTTGAATTAGAAGAGAAAGTTAAATCTCTTTTTAAAATAAATAAAGAAATTTGTATTTTAAATGATAAAAAGATATTGTTATAAGATCAAAAATTAATTGATGTTGATTTCAATTAAAACTTTACTTTAACTATTTTACTTAAGGAATTATATTAAAAATCATTATCATATATTAATATTATTATAGAATATAATGGATAAAAATTTCAAATGTAAGTGTCTACCGATACATTAATCAGTGAGATCATTGACCTTTTATAAATCTAAAATAATTTAACTAATATTGATTTAATGATGGATTCACAAATGTTACCTTAAAATTAGACAATTACTTAATTAAATGTTAAAGAAAATTCTATATTAAATGTTGTTACAAAATAGAATAATACAATATTGATCTTAAATCTTAAGATTGGATCCAAATTGGAAAAAATTGAAGTTGAATAAGAAACAATAATATAAGAACTTATTTAATAAATTGAATCTAATTTTTAATTGTAAAATATTCAGTTAACATTACAGAATGGATAATAATTACAAAATAATTAATCATTAAAATAATAAAATATCCAAAGTGGAACATAATTAATAATTCAATGTTTTAATCCTAATTAAAATAAGCTATAAACAAATAATGACTTAATTAATATTTAAGTATCTCTTTAACCTTCATAATAAATAATTTCATAATAAATTAGTTATAATTCATTAATCTAAGATTTATAGAAAACCATTAGTAATTATTTGAATTGTTAAAACAAAATTTAATTGGTTTATTAAAATAGAATCTTAAATTAATAAAGTACTTTTGCATAAGAGGGAATACCAAATGGTTGTTAATTATAGTGCAATATTCTAATTGATAAAATAGATGAGAAAATCAAAATTATAGATAAACCTGTAATATCAGATCCATTAATTAAGGTGTTAATTATTTTTTAAAATTAATAAAAATAAATGGTACTTAAAGGAAATACTTTAGTAGATACATTAATTAACGGTGTAAAGTCTTAATACTCTTTAAATTAAGATATATATTTGAAAAGTTAAGGAAAAATTTTAAATCCTAAATAAACTCTTAAAGAAAATGAAATTAAAGAAAATTCCTAAATTATTGTTGAATTTGTTATTTTATAATTGTGTATTGTGTATAAGGGTTAGATGGAAAATTTAGAGGTAAGCTTAGATACTCCAGGAGAAGAATTAAAACTTTAGATAAAAAAATAATATATGATAGAAAATGATTTTGATATCATTATAAATGGAGTGAAAATGGACACAAAATTTTAATTGAAAGATCTGAATCTGTAGAATAAATAGTGTTTAGAAATTTAGGAGAAATAAAAATAAACGTAAATAAAAATTATAGAATAAACAAATTTAAAGAATCAATAATTGCAATAATAAGGTTATTAATAAGGAATTTAAAATAATTAGATTAATTAATAAATTCAATCAAAATAATACTAATAATCAAATGAAAACTTATAATAATAATAATAATAATAATAATAATAATAATAATAATAATAATAATAATAATAATAAAACTAACAAGGTAAAAATCAAAAAATTGTTATTAAAGAGGTACCAGATATAAAATTGATTAGAAATAATGAAAAAGCTCAACCAAACATCAAATTAATATCAAATAATTGGAAATTCACTATTTAATTTTAATGGGAAACATAAATTTAAGAAATAATTGATTACATAACAAATTAATATTAAATAAAAGATCAACTAAAACTTACTTTTAACAAAAATACCCTTTAACCAAATAAAACTTTGGAGGAAATTGGAGTCAAGGATTAAGATACTATATATGTTGAACAAATTCAAACCTATTGATTGAAATTTATCATTCATGTTATTTGAATCGTATTAAAAATTACTATAAATTAATTATTTATTAAATTTTTTGATGAAATTCAATTATTAAAATTAATTATGAATAAAAAATAAAATTAAGCAACATTTTAAATAAGTTTACAGAATTTGCAAAGTGATTTAAGATAGAAAGGAAATGGTATGAGAAGAAATTTACTTTAAAGATAAAAATTATTGACAGATATTGAATTTATAATTAACTAATCATGATAAATTGAAAGAGAGATTGTTTTTTAATTATGATTACTAATAAATATTAAAAATACAGAATAAGACAGATAAATATAAATTAATGAGTTATTAACTAAATGAAAAAAAATAATTATTATTTGAAAAATCAATTAAATTAATAGACATATATCCATTAAGTAATGTTAATACTCAATCAACATTATTTATAAAAACCAAAATGTACATTATTCCTAATTTTCTATATGTTTCAAAATTATATTAAGTATAATCGTTATATATTTAATATGAATTATTAACTGATTATAATTGATTAAATCTTAATCATTATTATAAAATTTAAACATATGAAAGTAACATTGTTAATAGTCTTAACACTCTCACTGTTAGGTAATTCTTAATCGGTAGACATACATGCTAAAGATGTCTATTTAATTGTTAAAGGAGTTGTAGAAGGAGTTTAAGTTGATGATCATGTAGAAGTAAAAGAAATTGTGTCTTGCTTAAATGATTCAGAAGAATTAATTAATAATATTGTTAAAGCTATCACAAATTTAGAAACTTAAACTTTTGATGGAGTCAAAGAAGGAATTAAATTAATCGGAATAGCCATTCAATAAATTCCAGATGCAATTACTGCATGTGAATCTGGATCTGAGGAAATGGTGGCTTTATCAAGTATATATCATATTAATTTATAGAGCTTCTCACTAATATGCTTGAACAATTAAGAAACCCTTGGACATTCTCATATAAAATCGGTTATAATTTAATTGTTAATGGACTAGATATCTATAAGGAAATCAGTAATTAGTGTATATTATCTTAGACACTGCTATAAAAGATTGGAAATCAGAAATTTATGAAGATTTTGGAAAATAGATTGGATTTGTTTTGGTTTAATTACTTAAAGAAACAAAAAATATTGAGGCTGTTATTCTTGATGATGAAGTCATTGGAATAATATTTGAAGGATTATTAGATGGAATTGTAGATGCAAGTGGAATTAAAGCAAAAGACATTAAAGCATGTTTAAATGTTGCTGCTGGAATTGTGATAGATTTTGAAAAAGCTGTTAGACTCTTAGAAGATGGTTCTGTTTCAAGTGTCATCTAAGCTTTATAATCATTTGTTGAAGGTCTCTCTGAATTCCCTAAGGCTCTAGAGACTTGTTAGTCTTCTTCTTAAGAAGCTTTAAAGTTAGCTGAAAAAATCAAAGAATTAATTGAAGCCTTATAAAATCCAACTTCATTCATCTATCATATTGGAAAAGATTTAATTATTAATGGAAAGGATATTTACTAAGAGGTATTTATATATTAGATTTTTGTAGATATTTACCGCTGTTGATGATTGGAAGTAGGGAAATTGGAATGATTTCGGTTTCTAATTGGGCAAAGCAATGGAATAAATATTTGTAGGATTCCAACAAGATAAATTATATCAACTATGAAATATATAAATTTCATACTAATTTTATTAATAGAATTTAAGTCTTACTTTATTAAATAATTTTTTTATACTATAATTATAATATGTTAAGATAATAATTATTATTATACCTAATAAAGTATAAAAATTTTATTTTTAAACTCACTAGTACATTCAATTTAAAATAAACATTAATGTGGTTTACAAATTATAACTATTCTAAATCAAAGATTATACTGCTCAATTCAATAGCTATAATATAACTACTCTAAGGATAATTTTTAAGATTCTTAGATGTAACTACTTCATTTCTAAAATCATTCCTAAACCTAGTTTCTTATATTGTTTTCGATGACTAAAGTCAAAGACAATATTGCTTGTTTTTCCTAAGAATCGATTGGTTAAACTAAAAATAAGTGATATTTTTATGTTGCTAAAGTAGATATTATTTTTGCAGGAAAGGTGCCAATTAATAATTCTATGCACAATTTTCCTACTTTTATTTTTTATAACCTTCGTATGCAGCAATCCCAATAGTATATTAGCAAAATATTTTTTTATTCTAACCAATGATTAATATATTAATAATTAAAAATAGTAAAGAGTATTATTTTTGACAAATTTTATATGTGGAATTGCAAAATAAAGAAATTAAATAAGAATTTTTAGTAACTTATTTAAAAAAAAAATCTAATTAATTATAATTTTTATATTTAATTTTTGGTTATTATAATAACTTGTAGAGTTAAAATAACCATAAATTTTTAAATTTGAAAGAATTCATCAGAATGGATATTAGAAGAGTAGTTGAAATCCAATAATCTTGATTAGGATCGGAATAATTATAATAATAATGAGTGAAGAACATCCAGCAGTAGTTATAGATAATGGTTCTGGTTAATGCAAAGCAGGAATTGCAGGAGATGATGCTCCAAGATGTTGTTTCCCAGCCATAGTTGGAAGACCTAAACATTAAGGAATAATGGTGGGTATGGATACAAAGGAAGCTTATGTTGGAGATGAAGCATAAGCTAGAAGAGGTGTTTTGTCTTTAAAGTATCCAATTGATAATGGAATTGTAAATAATTGGGATGGTAAGGAGTTTAATATATAATTTAGATATGGAAAGAATATGGCATCATGCATTCTTTAATGAATTAAGAGTATCTCCAGAAGATCATCCAGCCCTTTTAACTGAAGCTCCAATGAATCCAAAAGTTAATAGAGAGAAAATGACTTAGATATTGTTTGAAACATTTAATGTTCCATCATTCTATGTTTAAATTTAAGCTGTTCTGTCTTTATATGCTTCAGGAAGAACAACAGGAGTAGTGGTAGATTCAGGAGATGGTGTAACACACACTGTACCTATTTTTGAAGGTTATTCTCTTCCTCATGCCATTCAAAGGATAGATTTGGCAGGAAGAGCTTGCACTTAATATCTTGTAAGTATTTTGAATGAATTGGGAATATCATTTACTTCATCAGCTGAATTAGAAATAGCCAGAGACTTGAAAGAGAGATTATGTTATGTTGCATTAGATTATGATGCTGAAATGAAAACATATAAAGATAGTGCTGCTAATAATAGACCTTATGAATTGCCAGATGGAAATGTTGTAGTCATTCAAAGTTAAAGATTCAGATGTCCAGAATTATTATTTAAACCAAACTTTATTGGATTAGAAGTGCCAGGAATTCATGAATTAACATTTAAATCAATCATGAAGGCAGATATTGATGTTAGAAAAGACTTGTAAATTTTAAATCTAATTATAATATAGATATGGAAATGTTGTTATGTCTGGAGGTACAACTATGTTCCCAGGAATCCCAGAGAGATTAAGTAAAGAATTAACAAATTTGGCACCATCTTCAATGAAAGTCAAAGTAGTAGCTCCACCAGAAAGAAAGTTTTCAGTATGGATAGGTGGATCTATCTTATCATCACTATCAACATTTTAAGCAATGTGGGTTACAAGATCAGAATACGACGAAGCAGGACCTTAAATAGTTCATAGAAAATGCTTTTGATTAATATCATTTAATTTAAACTATATATGAATCAATTTTATCTAATATTATCTTAAGATAAATTATTTAATAAACCATCAAATATGACAACTAAATCTTATTATCTGATATCATTGCCATACATATTTTTGACTACATTATTTCTAGTGTTGATAGAATTTCTAATAGATAATTTATTGATAGCTTTGATTAGATTAGTTAAATCAAGTATACTGACTTCATTATTGGAAAAATTCATATCCTAGAATATATAGTTATTTATTTTTCTTTTGATTTAAATAGTGTAATATTAATATACTCTATCTAGTTGAAATATCTATTTATACAAAATATAATATAAAATTAATTATATTTTTATATTTTAATTTAATATCATCATTAGATGATTCTGAATATGATGATGATATTATATTATAAAATTATAAATATACAGCAAATCTGTGGAATTAATATCAATCCTTTAATTCTATAATATATTAAAATGAATAAAAATTCAATTAAATATATTATATTATTTTAAGTAAAGTTTATAAGTTTCTTATTACTTTGATATTAGTAATAGGAATGTGTGTTACTATATTGTATTAAGATACCTTTTTCTTATTTTATATTATAATAAAATCATTAATCGTCGTGGGCATTAATAAAAATATAAAAAATGGAAATTATCATTCACACTTTCGAGAGATTCTTTGGTCCAGTCGATTGGAAGCGTCTTAAGACTGATGTACTTTGTTAGTCCTTAGTAAAAATGTGAACGAATTGTGTTTAGGTAGAAGAGGGATTCAGTCCAAAGGAAGCAAAAGAGTTATCTTGGTTGTACGGCCATAGAAATATTGGAAGAAACTTTGGTATGGATTTTAGAATAATGGTGTAGGATTTGTGTTGGGAGTTGGAGTTGCTTATTGTTGCAATAGTTGGATTACTAGATGGACCTATAATATTCCTTACCTGAGACTCCATCGTTCATCATTATGGGTGTCAAGAGCATTGGTAGTGTTTGGTACTCTATAATTATTTGATTACTACTCAACTGCAAGAAGAAAGGGAGGTGATTCAGGTTTGGGTCATGATTTGATGTGGGTTAATACCAGATATACAGAATCTAAAGAAAGATTTATTAGAAATTTTGAAGTTTTGAATAGAAAATTATCAGACATTGAGAAGGAGATCTTGACAGTATGATTTGATACATATAAATTAAAGGCAAGATAAATTCAGTTGACTTCACCAATTAAGGATAGAAGATGGGTATATAATCCATATATTCATGGTTCAGATGAAGAAGCATTTTGGAGCAATGTAAGAAGAAACTTCTTAGATAAATTGCCTCCATGGGAGAGATATGATGTTTAATAATAGTAATTTCAATTTTATATTACAGGATTGCCGCTGATAATAAAGAAAAGATTGCTGAAGGTGAGTAAATCAGATTGAAACCTTATAAATTAACAGACGATGTCGATACTTCAGGTGTTAAGTTTGGATTTAGAAGAAACCCATTTGTTAACAATTGGACTCCACTTTAGTGAGAAATTCCATTTATCACAATAAAAACAATATTTATCATAGATTGTATATATATATTATTTACTCCAATAAAGGAGTCAGAATATTAATTAACTAAATGTCAACGTTAAAGAAAACGTTCCAACATAGCTCTAAGAGTGTCTGATAATTGTTGATGATATTGAATTGATCGATTACTCATCAACATAGCTTAATCAAGAAAACTCTAAAACATTTAAATCTAATGATCTTCATTTCCATTTATTTGTAATTACTCATTCCAGAACTTAGCTCCTGTTACTTTTAAATAGATATTAATTAATAATACCTTCAAATTTATTAAGGAGATTGATCAAAGATTCCTTAGCCTATTAATGAGTGTTTTTAGATTGAGTATAGAAAAGTTCTTTATCCAAGAGATCAAAGGAAGATTCTAACTATTCATTCATCATTCCAATAAGTGTCTCTTATATGACACTGTGCATTAAACTTAATAATTGTAAAGCTTCATTTCTTGAATTAGAATGATTGCTTAATTTAAACAATCTATCTACTCCTTTTATAAAGAAATCTAATTCCTAACTAGGATTTGATTTAAAAAGACCAATCATGATCTTAGATTCTAATAATTCTAAAGTTTTAAAAATATCTTAAATATTTGTAGAATCAAACACTAATAATTTAATTGTCCAATTTTACCTTCTTTAATTTTTTAAAGTAAAAAGTTGAATTCATCAAAGCGCTTTTAGGCATCTTCTCTAGCCTGATGTTTAATCTTAGCCAATTCTCTTGTGTCAGTCTCAATCAACTTATCCTTTGTCAATGAATAATATAATGATACTTTTTCTATAATTAGGCGTTTTAGAAGATTTATGACTTTAAAGTATGTCTCATGAAGAAAGAGTTCTAAGCCATCCTTCTCCTTTTTTTCAGAAGTGAGTCTTTGCTTGAGCAATCTTTACACCTAAAGTAAGCATACTCTCACTCACATCAGCAAAATTTTCTAAATAAATTGTCATCCCTTCCTCTTCAAATTCTCTATCCTAACGAGATTTCCATTCTAATTTCTCAAGAGCTGTGTAATATTCCAATTAAGATATGGACTCCTTAATCCCATTCATCTGATTATAGATTTCCATCAGATACTATTCTTGGACATAAGCAAGAGCAGGAATCAATAATAAATATAACATTTTAATTAATTTATTCTAATTGTCTACATACTTCTACATATCACCTCAACTATCCATCTTACCTCTAAAACCTCCAAATATTAATAATTAAATATGTCAAAATCATCTGTTATTGATGTGTTCCTTAGAGTCCGTCCAACTAAAAATCCATCAAATCTCTTTAAACTTAATAAAGATGAGGGTACAGCTGAATTCACAATTCCCAAGAATCCAGATCAAGGTTATATCAATAATCAAATTGAAAAACATACATTCAATTTTGCAGGAGTTTTTCCAACTGACACTACTTAAGAGGAAATCTTTGATAAAATAGCCAAAGATGTTGTCGATTCAGCTATTGAAGGTAAATAGATCTATTAATATAAGGTTATAATGGAACAATATTTGCTTATGGATAAACAGGATCAGGTAAAACTTATTCAATGACTGGTAATCCTGAAGCTAGGTCATCTGCAGGTATTATACCACGTACTCTATATCATATATATGATTATGCACGTAGAGAATAAGAATTAGTAATTTTCAAATTCAAATATCAAATTAGATAATCGATGTTACAATTAGTTATTTAGAAATATATGGTGGATCTGGATATGATTTACTAGTTGCAGATAATAGATCTAGAAATCTACATGATTTACCAAAAGTTTAAGCAATGGCAACTGCAAATGGCTAAACTATTTTATAAGGATTATCATTGAAAAAGGCATAAACTGAAGAGGATGCACTTAATCTACTATTTATAGGAGAATAGAATAGAGTTATTGCAGAAACACCAAAAAATGATGCATCTACAAGATCACATTGCATTTTTATAGTTATTTTAGAATGTCGTAAACCAACTTCAGATGTCAAAACTGTTTCTAAACTTTGTTTGGTTGATCTCAGTGGTAGTGAAAGAATAGGAAAAACTGGAGTTGAAGGCATTCTTTAAAGAGAAGCTACAGGCATCAATTTATCATTGCATTTTCTAGAATTAGTTATTGATTGTTTAAATCGTTAAGCTAATGGTGAAAATATCCATATTCCATATAGAGATTCATTAATGACTCTTGTATTAAAAGATTCTTTGGGTGGAAATTGTAAAACAAGAATGATTGCTACTATGTCAAGTGAACCTGAAGATCTACCTGAATCTATATGTACTTGTAGATTTGCTGGAAGAGTTGCTAATATTAAAAACAAAGTAACTAGAAATGAAGCTGTTGATCCATTCATAATCATAGAGAAATTGAAAAGGGAAAATCAATAATTGAAGGCAGAATTAGCCATGATAAAAGGTTAAAGTATTAAGGATCATTTGGAATCTTATGAGATAGATGAATGTAAAAAGAAGGTAGATGAATTCTTAAATTCAGATGATCCTGCAGCTATTCTCGTTGTGAATGACCATCTTAAAATGAATGAATGTTTTTTCTAGCTTAAACATATGCTTAAAAATTTAAATAAAAAGGCTTCATCACAACCTGTTGTTTAATAACCATAAGCTATTACTAATAATACAGTTGAAGTTTAATAATTAAATGATGAAGTTTTAAGATTAAAACAATTAATTATATAGAGAGACAATGAAATTATGATACTTCTTAATTTAATATAGAAAGGTAAAGGTTCTAATACTAATCAATCATTGGTATTGTAAGGACCTATTTCAGAATAACCTGAAATTCAATAAGCTAATACATCCAGTATTTTATAACCAATAGAGTTTCCGAAATAAGCTGAAATTGATAGACAAAGTTAAATTTTAACTGAGAAACCTGCAATTAAGAAATAGAATTTTATGCAAGGTAGTTTAGATAGTGAACCAATGAGTTAAACAACTAAAACTACAACAGCATAATTTAAAGAATTAAATGGTATGTTATCTGAACCAATTAATATTTCTAATGAATAATTACTTGATCGAAATTCAGCTTTAGAGATGTTCAGAAAATCTTATAGGAAAGCATAAGCTTAAGAAGATCTTAAATAAGAACTTTAGGAAAAGATGATGACTAGTAAAGAATTAGGGTTATTCATTAATAATCAAAGAAATATTATTAGTTAATTAAAAGATAAAATAGAATAAACAAGAAAAGAATAAGTATTACTTGGATTAGTAAATAGTGATCCTAATCAAGTAAGCACAGAAGAAGAGAAATTAATTGCTGAATATAATAAATAAAAGGATATGTAATTAAAATTATTATTAAAATATAGATATAAATAATCATTTGATAAATTGAAGTAATTAAAGGCAGAAGTAGAAAGAATGAGTACATAATTGAAACACAGCAGAGAGAAAATGCAATAAGACTTTGAGAAATGGATTGATATGATGTTAAAATAGAGAAATTTGAGTATGGCTGCAACTTCAGTGTTATCAGATTTCAAGAATCTATCATAAAAAGGAGGAGAGGATGTAAATAGTATGGTTCAGCAATTTTATAAAAACAAAGAGATTTGTAATTAATTATTATAAAAATGATTGGTTTACTATAAATATTATGTGAAATTTTGTTTTTGGATAATTTTTACGATGATACATATTTAGATCATTCTTTGATTTAATACTTCTTTCTCATTTCGAAGTATTTTCTATAATTTTAATCTCTAGATCTAGATACTACTATGTCTTTGGCATGAAGGTAAGAGTAAAACATTTGGGTCAATGGCATTCCTTGACGAGCCAATCTAAAATCAAAAGCAATCATTACTTATCATTATTATATCCTGTATTAATAAGACCACTTCCTTCAGAGTTTTTACCAGCAGTCAAGAGATAATACTCTCTTTTTTAGATTTAATCTAATTATTATTATGCTTAGATTACTTGATTCCATTTTGTATTTATAGAGAGTACCAATAACACCTAAGCCAAGCATTGTTGTGATGATACGTCCTTTTGGTTATCTAATACGATATGTCTTCCAATAGATGTAACCAAATGGATTTTTGATAAATCGGAAGAAATTCTTGAAGAATCTCCTCTTGTTGCCTCTATCAATAAACTTCTTTTGCATCTAAGAGAATATATAAATGATTGACTCACTCTAAATTTCTCCATTTCCCAATCATATGCTTTTCCCATGGATCTCCAAATCATTTCCAATCTTTCTCTCTTATTTGGAGCATGATAATAGAGATAGTGTTGTCCGAATGTACGCATCTTCACATCAGCATCTCCAGTGGATTAATCACGAATCCAAATGTAGTCTTACTACATACGCTCTTGTGCGTTGGTCATTTTAAATCTTTTTTAATAATAATATCATTCGTAGTGGAATCGTGAATCAGCAGGCAGATTTTGTGCAAGACGTTCGTATACATTCATACGAGATCTTTTAGAAAGAGCCTTGGTCGCATAGTAAGCATTCGAGAATGGACTGCGTGAAAATAGGTCAGACTTCCTCTTTTCTTACCTTTGTTCCTGAACTAGCTAGTTATACAATAATTACTCTTCTATTCTAAAACACTATCATTTTTTTCTATAACTTGGTTGAACAAAGGTCTCAAATTAAATCCATAATCCTTGATTGATTAACTCCGCAACTTATTATCCATCACAATTCGAAACATTGTTTTACGGGCTTAAATCATTACTTTCTATTTGTCTTCAAATGAAACCTCTTTTGCATCTAATGTGCTCTTTGATTAGGATTAAGGTTTCTTAGAGATCTGACTTGATTTCATCATTAGAATTGCTGGAGTCTATGTTTGAAGTGAGCATTTAAAATGTTTGAATTGTTTAAACATCTCTTACAATTAAGCAATATTCTGTATTTTAGATTTTGAGAGAGTTCCCTTGTTAAGATGTCTACTCTTGCTCGTATTTTGACGAAACATTGGCATATGTTATTACTCATCTTCATCAAGCTGTAANGAGCCAATCTAAAATCAAAAGCAATCATTACTTATCATTATTATATCCTGTATTAATAAGACCACTTCCTTCAGAGTTTTTACCAGCAGTCAAGAGATAATACTCTCTTTTTTAGATTTAATCTAATTATTATTATGCTTAGATTACTTGATTCCATTTTGTATTTATAGAGAGTACCAATAACACCTAAGCCAAGCATTGTTGTGATGATACGTCCTTTTGGTTATCTAATACGATATGTCTTCCAATAGATGTAACCAAATGGATTTTTGATAAATCGGAAGAAATTCTTGAAGAATCTCCTCTTGTTGCCTCTATCAATAAACTTCTTTTGCATCTAAGAGAATATATAAATGATTGACTCACTCTAAATTTCTCCATTTCCCAATCATATGCTTTTCCCATGGATCTCCAAATCATTTCCAATCTTTCTCTCTTATTTGGAGCATGATAATAGAGATAGTGTTGTCCGAATGTACGCATCTTCACATCAGCATCTCCAGTGGATTAATCACGAATCCAAATGTAGTCTTACTACATACGCTCTTGTGCGTTGGTCATTTTAAATCTTTTTTAATAATAATATCATTCGTAGTGGAATCGTGAATCAGCAGGCAGATTTTGTGCAAGACGTTCGTATACATTCATACGAGATCTTTTAGAAAGAGCCTTGGTCGCATAGTAAGCATTCGAGAATGGACTGCGTGAAAATAGGTCAGACTTCCTCTTTTCTTACCTTTGTTCCTGAACTAGCTAGTTATACAATAATTACTCTTCTATTCTAAAACACTATCATTTTTTTCTATAACTTGGTTGAACAAAGGTCTCAAATTAAATCCATAATCCTTGATTGATTAACTCCGCAACTTATTATCCATCACAATTCGAAACATTGTTTTACGGGCTTAAATCATTACTTTCTATTTGTCTTCAAATGAAACCTCTTTTGCATCTAATGTGCTCTTTGATTAGGATTAAGGTTTCTTAGAGATCTGACTTGATTTCATCATTAGAATTGCTGGAGTCTATGTTTGAAGTGAGCATTTAAAATGTTTGAATTGTTTAAACATCTCTTACAATTAAGCAATATTCTGTATTTTAGATTTTGAGAGAGTTCCCTTGTTAAGATGTCTACTCTTGCTCGTATTTTGACGAAACATTGGCATATGTTATTACTCATCTTCATCAAGCTGTAATACCAGCTTCTTATGATAACCATGATGAGAGTGAGAACTCTTTACTTTGGAGAGACTTAAGTATGGCTGATCAGTCATATTTTAGTAATAAATATTAATAAACTCTCACTTTGACCAGAAACCCCCTTCAGTTTTAAATGGTGCTCTATCCAAACCTCCTTTGTTATTAAGATTATGTAGAAAATCTATTCCATTGATTACTTTGGCTAAACAATTTTCTATGATCAAAATGTTTAATACTTAAACAGGCTTCTTCCTTAACGTTCATAGCTCGTTCATAATTCTTCAAACACTTCTTATAACACAACTTATCGATTGTTAGTATCTTTTAACCAACATGTTAAAAATCACGTGCCTCTTCCATAAATAAATGATAATTAAAAATAATTCAATATTTACTCATTTCAGCATTGTTTAACAGCATAGACAACTCTTCATTTGCATTTCCACTTGGTCTAGGTCTTACCTTTGGTTTAGGAATATTGTTAAAACTTTAACGTGTAGGTTCAATATTCTATTTTCCTCTAATAGTAGTTTGGCTGGTACTTTATTTTTTCATTTTATCAGGTGTTTTATACTTTCCAGTTTGTTTCTTATTACATGAGGTACTATTATTTTTGTGATGGGTTGAATTGGAAGTTTGTAGAACATCCATTTCACTTATAAAGCTTTATAATACAGTTTTAAAGTTAATTTCACTTAAGTCTTAAACAATCTATTAAGAAGATGTTTCATTGATAGATGGTTTAGTAATATTATTGGAATGATGTAAGTAAGTAGGATATTCAATTTTGAAGAATTCTTCAGATTCAATACTTTAGTCAACTTCATTTTCTTTAACCATTTCTACTTCTACCATATTAGCATACATAATATCATCCAAATTTATTTATTAATAATCTTAGACATCAATTTAATTTTAAGAACTTGAATCAATCAATTTAAATTGTTCAATATTATATACATTTTTCAAATCCTAAGTGTTTGTCTATTCTCTATCTTACTATTCAATTTATAATTTTAATAATTAACTTTAATAAAACTAAATCATTTGATGTAATTCTTAAGTATTAAGTAATTTAACATCAAAATTTAACTATTATTACATTTCTTATGTATAACTATATAACTTATTATATTAGACATTAAGAAATTGAATTTATTCATATTATTATTAAATCTTTAGTCTACTTTAATTATAGAATTCATTTAATTAGAGATATTAATTTTTAACTAATTCATAATTGGAAATAAGTGTTTTTCTATTTTATTCACTTACTTTTAAAGCACTTAAAACTAATTTACCTTAACAATCATGTTAAGGAGGTTTTTTAATCTTTTAATTAGTAACTAGGATGTCTCCTGCACCAGAACAATGGAGATCATATTTAAATCGATCTGCCCAAGTAATTTCTTTATATAATTTTGGAATGCATTTGAAATTTTGCGCATTCTAATTAGTAATTCTATTTTGTAATTATTAATTTTCATTTTATAATTGATTTAGTTATTATTCAAAACCTTCTTTTTCTTCAACTCTAATTTTTTCATAATCATGTAATTTCTTTTCATAATCAGAAAGTAAGATTTTCAATGCTTCATCATCATTTTAATAATTGATATTGGCTAATACTTTAGTTTCAATCTTTTTTGCATTCATTCCAAATCTTAAAGTAGATATTGAATAATCAAAATGAAGAGCAGCAGAATTAATACATAAAATAATTAATGTTCTTGATGTTCCATCTAAACTAGATTTAAGTATCTTTGTTAAAGATGAATTTCTAAATGGTACATGCCCTTTATCTTCAGCCTTTAAATAAATGACTTAAGTAAGAAAGAATAAACTCTTATTAATATATTGACCTTCTTTGACTCTACGATTAGTTTCTTAGATTTCAGCATCTTCAAAATGATTTGACACTTTTTCAGATCCAGCTAAATCAACAAAATTAAGAACACTTTCAGTTACCATAGCTCCTTTTAATTAATTATTGTTTTCAGCTTCTAATTATTCTAAAGTTGGGAATTTATGTTAAGATTATTCTCTTCTATATTATCGAATAAAATTATTAGTAATTGATTGTACATATAATCGAAATATAGCATGAGATCTTGAACTATTATGATTCATGGCAGTTTAAGCATAGTGTCGATTAATTTCACCTCTTTTAAGTACATCAAATATTTCATTTATAGATGAAACAGATTATTCAATTAATCCTTTCACATAGAATTCTTTCTTTTAATCTTCATTAACTTATAAGGTTTCTTATAATTTTGAAGATGGTTTTAAGAGATCAAATATTTATTCATTGTATATTTCAAAATATGAACAACGTAATACATAAGTTTTATTGAGATCAGCCTCAATTTTAGTAAATAAATCCTTAAAACTCTATAATAATACACCTTCATCATTTTCCTTACCTAACATTGTGTATGTCTTGCCACTACCAGTTTGACCATATAAGAAAATAGTACCATTAATACCATTTGTAGATCCAAGTACTAATGATTTCACCTCTTTAGAATAGATATCAGTATTTTTGCTATCTTAATTGAAACAGTGATCAAATGCAAAAGTTGTACGACCTTATCCATTTGGAGGCTTTCTCATTTAATTATTAAGAAATATATGTTGATCATGTATTGCCCAGATGGAAGGTTCAGGATCAGGACGTATACGGACTGCTACTTATATGTTTTCCATAGTTTTTTCAGTTAAATTCAAATATATATATAATAAAATTAATGAGTTAAGAATTACTCCATTGTCCTCAATGTAATATGAATTTCGATAGATATACTCGAACACCTTAAATGTTACCAAAATGTGGTCATTCAATGTGTATGCGATGTATTAAAGAATCTTGTAAGATTATCTGTCCTGAAGATGGGTACAATATGTCAATTTATTAGATTACTTTAACCAACAGATCTCACATTATATCCCATAAATCAGGCTGTTCTAAGAATCATATGCAAAAGTCAAGATATTGATATAACATGGAATCCAGATAAATTACAGTAGTGTCCATAACACCATAAACAACTAGAACTTATTTGTATAGATGATAGGTGCAGAATTTGTGCAAATTGTGCCTTGTTTGGTATTCATAAACAACACAACATTCAAAATGCTGATGTATATTTTATTACTGATTCTTAAGTATGTGAATAAATCAATCAAGGATAATCTTATTCAGACTTAAAATTTGACTCTCACTATTCAAGACAAAATTAAGTAACTCAAGTTACCACTTATTAATAAGAAGATACATGATTAAATTAGACTTTGTATAAAATAATAATAAACTCTTGCTGAAGAATAATTTAAAGTATCTTAACATTATTTATTATAGGAAATAATCAATTAGATACTTATTAAATAGTAAAAAGTAATTGAAGATATCGAATAAAAGTATAAACAGTTAGAAGATCAATTCTTAAAAAAAGAAACTCTTACTATCACATCAATTATTGATAAAGCTGATTTATGGATACTTGGGTATCTATTATTAATAATAAATTAGATCTAATCAAAAAATTCAAGAATTTTATGAAGCAAAAGAAAATGGAGAGATACCATATTCTTTTTTACTTTAAGAATCTTCAAATAAATAAGGGAACTAAATCCTTGAAGAAATAGATGATTATCTACTTAAATTCTAAAATAATCTTTAAGATATTATCTCTGCAATACCAACATTTAATCAATATGAATAAGTTTATTTTGATGAACCTAATATACTTAAAGATTTATCTATTATAGAACAGAGTTTCTTAAAAGAAATTGATGAATAGCCACCTCATAATGAATTCCTAGGATCATCTCTACCAGAATCTACTTGTCAATCTCAAATCTCTTCCAATAATATATCTTAAAATACAATTAGTCCACAATAACCACATTAAAAAAGGGCATCATAATAATATGCTTAAGTTTCCCCTAAAATATAAAGTAGATAACAATCTGCTTCCCCCAAAAAACCTGTTGCTAAGAAAAAGTTAAATCCAAAAGTAGAATCAATTTTATTTAATTGTAATGGTGATTATCTTGATTTATCACAATAAGGTAATTTATTTATTATATATATATTTAAGAACTAGGAGATGATGGTATAATGATATTAGAAGAATAAATAAGAAATAAGAAGATTAAAATTATTAAATTAATGAGAAATCGTATAAGTGATGTAGGTGCTATGAAATTAATGGAATTACATTGTTAAGTTTTATATCTATAATCAAATGTTATTACTGAAAAGTTTTTAGATTTGATTATGAATGCTATTTAAAAGTAGATTCAGATTCATATTAAAACTGTTTATTTGGGTCAGAATCTAATTAATTAATTTAGAGTCAAAAAGAAAATAGAAGATCTCAAAAAATTAGGAATTTCAATTTAAATATGAATTTAAAATATTTATATTAATTTGTAAAAATAAATATATCTACTTAATTATCTTAATTAAATTTATAATTGAAAATAGAACTTAATGATAAAGAATAAAGTACTATTTAATAAAATTGAAATAGCTTGATTGATTTTATATATGCTAATATGATAATTAATATTAATTAAAATAAAATTTATTCATGAGCAGACCTTACTCACCTACTAGAAGCAGAGCAGAAAAGATTGTTGGACAATTAAGTGAAATAACTTTGGGACGTAAAGATTAAGTATATAATGTTTGTTCAATTAAAGACTTCAAGAATAAAGGAAGCAGAAGAGAGAGTCGAAATTATGGAGACAGCTATAAAGGATCTAAGGGAGACTTTAGAAGGAAAGATCTCTAAAATAAAAGAGGGATTAGAGTATGTATAATAGGTTCTGGAAGAATAAGAACCAAAGCAAGAGGATGAATAATAAATGATAGAGGATATGAAGAAGGCTGAGGAGAGTGTAAATGAGAAGTTGGAGGAGTTAAGCAAGTAGAGAGAAGAAAGTTAATAGAAGTTCAATGAATAGGTTGAAAAAGATATCCAAGAATTGAAAGAGTAGATCAGTTAAGAGAAGAGTGAGAGAAATCAATCTATTAAGGAGATAAATGAATGTTTAGAGGTAGAATACTGAATAAGTATTAAAGAGTGATTTGCCACAATTGCAAGAGATGTTACAACAGAATATAAAGGAAAGAGACGAGATGGATAAAAATATAAATACAAGATTGACTGAAGAATTATAGAGATTATCTTAGATTATTTAATAAGAGAAAGTGAGTAGATAATAAGGAGAATAGAGTTTATTTGAAATGTTGAAGGATGTGGTGAATCGAATTAAGAAAGAGATAGATGAAGAGAAAGTATAGAGAGAGGTCACTGAGAATGATGTCCTTAGTGTTTTAGAGGAGACATTGAATAAAATTTTAGCAGCTCAAGATCATTGATATATATAGATTATATAGATAATAATAAATAATTAAATGTAAAATTCAGACAATTCAGATGAATATTATAGTGATGATCAATAAGAATCACCTAGGTTTCTGTACAGCTTTAAGGAGATAAGTCTTTAAAATAAAACCTTATTGGCTGAAATTAGAATTATATGCAAAAATCTAATTTATGTGATAGGCTTAGCACCTACTATAGCAAAAGAGGAAGTATTAAATATTTCATTAAGTCAAAAGCTACTAAAGAGACCAGAATATTTTGGATAATATGGCTAAATCCAAAAATTAATTGTAATTTAGAGCAATACATTTAATCCACCTTCACATGCTGCCTATATTACATATAGAAATGAATAGGAAGCATCAATGGCAATTTTAGTATACATTATATTTAAAATTTATGGCATGTGAAAGATTTCCACTTTATGATAGATATGTGAAGGCATCTTTTGGTACAACCAAATATTGCACCAATTTCCTTAAAGGATAGTAATGTAAAATAAAAGACTGTGTTTATTTGCACCAACATCCAAAAGATAAAGAATCGACTTAAGTCATTAAAAAAGTATGCCTCTATTCTATGCCAGGAAGAGATGAACAATTCTAAATGGCTCTTTTCTTACTCCTAAAAAATAGCTTAAGAAAATTTCAAAAAATTCTATACCAAAATTAACTACAAAAATGCTCTCTAAAAATCTGTCTTCCTCAACACTTAAAACATTCTTGATCGAATGATTGAAGATAATATAGTAGATCCCATTCCTGAGCAACCCTAACCTCTTCAATAATAATAGACCATTGAAGAAACACAATTAATCGAAATTCCTGTATAATAAAAACCAATCGATATTGAAAAACGATTGGAAGCAATTATTCAAAAAAGTATTATTCATTTCTTAAAATAAGTGGATGGTGATAGTAATTCGAGATTCAAGTTTACAAATGGTAATTGTCCATAAGATTATGAAGCAATCTAGTAATTGAAGCAATCCCTTTTAAAATGATTAAGGAAAAGTAAATAATAAAAATAATTACATTTAATCAATTTCTTTTTTATTTATATTTCATATAAACAATAATTGCATTTTAATTTAAATGCAATTATATTTCATATGATTTATAAAGATCTTCAAATATTTAATATAATATCATTTATAAAATTAAAACTGTTAAATAAAATGACATCAATCAATAAATATATGCTCATTCCGATTATTAATTTTAGATCAATAGGCTTATCTGATCAATATTGAAGCATTAATGACATTATTTCTTTTTGATCTTCTTGCCTTACCTTGCAACTCTTTTATTTAAAAAATGAATATATGCAATTCTAGATTATAATGACATTGCACTTCTCTAAAATTAAGTAAAATAAATAGATTTAAATCATTATTAGTGTTTTATGCTTAATTCATCATTTATATATACAATTTGATTAGTTCCTAATTCAGGTTAATACATTCCTAATGAAAATAATCACATATTCTAAGTTAGTTTTCATTAATGCATTACATATTTAATTGAAATAACTTTTGAAAGCTTCCTTACTGTGATTTGTGGTTGTTGAATATCAAAAACCTGAAAAATATTGAATTTGATTATCTAATAGTAAATGAATGTTCCTGAAGAGTACTTATACATAATTTATTGTCTTGATAATCAATTTACTTAAACATATGAAATAAGAATTTTTAAATCCTAAAGAATGGATAATTTAACTTTTTTTTGGATGCAAATATTTAAAAATTCACAAACTCAACTGAATCTTCAAGTATAAAAGAGTAAATTAGATTGCCCATCTGAAGTAGAAATTGCAAGATACTTACTTATTAATTCCTAATTTATTTTACTCACATTCATTTTATTAATTCAATAAAATCTTTATCCAAACAATAAAATTTAACTCTAAAATATTCCACTTAGCTATCCAAATATAAGTAAATATATCAAAGTTTATTAACAATATTCAGTTACCACTTCTGAATAAAATCATATTTATTTCTAACTTTTGATTATTGAATATTAATATACTACTATGGTATAATTTTATTGAGTATCAATCCATTTGTTAAAATCAAATCAACTTAAATTTTAAGAAAAGACTTAATTATGTTACATTTAAAACTCTCATGGATGGGGGCTTTCAAATTGAAGGCTTCTTTTACTATACTAAGAACTCTTTATGAATTATTACTCTTCCAAATCTAGGTCATTACATATCACATTTATTTCATCAGCTGTCTCCTTAATGAACCATGGATTCAGATAACCTAGAATAAACTGATTTAAAAACCTATTTCTGAAAATTAAGAATAAAAGATTTAATAAGATATTCAAAGCAAGATCAAATAGAATAACTACTTCTAAACGTTACCAAAGTTCTATCTATTGTCATTTTCTTTATATCAAACTACAATCCTTCTAGGTTGATTAGATAATTTGAAGATCTCCTAGGGCCCCTATGTAAATTAGATACTAGAAAAAATAAATAAATGTGAGAGTAGCTTAAGATGAAATAATTGCCAATCATGAGGTTAATTATATTCAAAGCCTGAGCCCAAGATTTATTAATCATGAACTTCAACCCGTCATTAAATATTTTATTCATTTAAACAGACTTTAGCCTAAATGAAATTCCCAAACCATTATGTTTCTGTAGTTAATTAATAAATTTCGAATTCCTTATATTAAACTCATTAATATTCTTATACAATATTCCCACCAAAAGAATCCTCTTCCTCCATTTATGGCAAAACCACCTTTCCTCTTTTGACTTTTTTCTACTTTTTTTTTTACTAGCTTTTTGTGTTTATTTATTATTGATCTGATGGATTTCTTTATTTATCTTCAAATTCTGGTCTATAATCTTATGTCTAAATTAAGTAATAAAATTATCTTTAAGCATAATTTCTCATTTTAATCTTATTTTGTATCTAATTATACTTTTCCTATAATAAATTTTTAATATTACCTTCCCCTACTGGAATAGTTTAGTTCATCTAATTCTTTATATCTCCCTTTTTTATCTTTTTCTTAATTTAATTTTCTACACCCTTTTTTGATTTTTCTTCATCTAAAAATTCCTATTTAGGAATCATTTTTATTTTATCTTCAAATTAATCACACAATTTATGAACTCCTTTTATAAAGTCCTTAAATAATGATAAATTTTCATAAATCTCTGGTTTCTCTAATAGGTCTTCTAATTAATACATTAATATTATTATAATCATTAAAATCATTAAAATTTTATTTTAACAAATTAAGTTTTTCTTACTAAACTAACAGAAATAAATATATTTTCACTATTGATATGTATTTAATCATATTTTTATATAGCCTATTGCTATTTAAGTATTATAAATTAATTATATTCTACATTGGTAAGTAAATAAATGTTTCTAAACCTATATTTTTGAATAGAATAAATTTTTTAAATTATTAATATTTTTTTCTCATATCAACTAAGTATAATATTGAAATTGATGAACAATAGATTCTTGCCAAATTAATATTTGTTTAATTCTCCAAGAATCTAAATATTTGGAAAATCAAATTATTTTGTGTTCTAAATACTTGAAAATTCCATTAATTTAAATATAAAGTATAAAAAATCAATCATTATTGATTAGTTTTTGTATAAGTAATCACTTGAAAATTAATCTTTTTAAATAAATTTAATTGTTATTTTCAATCAGAATATGATTAATTAATTTATATTCATTATTGTTTTAAAAATATATATGGTTTTAATTTTAATGGATAAAAATTATTTTTTAGTATGATATAAAAAAATAGTTAAATAGAATAAATTTCTATCAGTATATGAGGATGTTAAGTTAAGATTTTTAAATAGTTAAATAATATTCAAATAAATTAGAAAAGCTGATTAGAAAGAAAAAAAAGAAGATATAAAAAGAACCTAAGATTAATTGTATGGGATTAACAAAGATACCTAATATATTAATAAATGGATCATAAGATGTTATTTATATAGTTATGTGATTCAAGATAATGGTATTTTAATTAATTAATATTTTAACTAATTCTAAATAAAATGAAAATCAAAAGTTTTTGCAAGAATTACAGAAGTAACTAATATTTTTGGAGTCATGATTTTGGATATCCTTATTACATCGAAGACATTTTCGTATAATCTATTGAATATTGGTTTGTTATTCTGCTAATGCCATTCTGGAATAATTCATTGGGTCTTTGAATAGTTCTCCAGTAGAAGATTAACATCTCTATTTTGATAGAGAGATAGTCAAAGGATCCTAATATTAGAAAGTATGAAATACATCTAATTATTACAAAGATCTAAAGAAATCATCATTGTCTAAAGATTGTAAAACTCTAAAGACATTTGCACATTTGGATTTAAATTCATCAAAAGGCTATTTAGAATATTAGATATACTGATTAAGCTGTACATACTAGACATTCTCCAGAGGAATCGACAATATCAATTTCATGTCCACATCCTAATGTTTTTCTTTTAGGATGTCGCATAATTGGTTCTTGTTCTTTTCTAACACTACTAGATTTCTTAGTTTATGAATTATCTCTTTTGAGTGGAGATTTCTATCCTTGTAGATCATGTAAATATTTTTCTATTCCAGGATCGTTTGCATATAGTAATGCTTTAAATTAGTATAATGATTTTAGCATTTACTCTCTCTAAGGATTATGAGAACTTAAACGATCAAAAAATGTAGAGAACAACTCTATCATAGTTGTTCTCTCTACAGAAGACAGTTAAATCATTAAAATTTTTAAAATATATATATAAAATATATTCATTTGTGACAACTCGACAACCTTAAACCACTATCTAATTTAGATTTTCTCTCAACAACTGATACACAAATAACTGGTCTTCGAATTTTACTTCTATTTAAGATTGATTGCATCACATGTCTATTAGATCTAATAACCATTTTATCTGACAGATAGATTCCATTAGAATAAAACAAAGTACGAGTGGATTCAAAAGGTTCGTAGATATTTTATTATTCATATTAAAGTAAAGAAGTACTTTCCTTTAACTAAGTTCTAAAACAATATTTAATATGAGCAATTTGCTTCATTTCTTCCAGAATTCCTAAAGAATTAGTTGATTGAAGAACCTTCTGTAAACTACATAAGAAATTAAGTACGTTTTCCTGCTAATCATTAACAGTCTGCAACTCTAAGATTCACATTCTGCAGTTTCTTAATATACCTCTTTGCCCATCAAATCTCCAAAAATCTCATTATCACTTATGACACATAGAGTCTTCTGTTTAGAACCTTCCTTTAAGCATAATTTAATTGAGCCTTCAATTATAATATACAAGTTTTTAGCTTATTAAGCTTATTTGTAAATAATTTATTTCCTTACAATTTCAACTTCCTTCATACATAACATCAACATAATCTTTACTTACCTATTTAGTGAATTAAATAGGCTCACTTTATCACATAGATCTACTAGATTGTTTATTCTCTGAATATCATTCTACATAACATATCTCTTATATTGAGATGCTGTTAGAGTAGAAATTACGCAATCAGTTAAACATACTAATGTAGCCATTCTAGATTTATTAGACATTATTGATAGTTCACCCATTCCTTCACCCTCCTTACAGACATTTATCATTGTTAATTGATCTTCATTTCGTACAAAAACTCCAACCAATCCCTTTAGTATTACATAGAATTTATTGCCTTTATCTCCAATCTTTGTAAGTACTTCATTAACTGAATGTTGTTCTATTTACATTTTACTTTTTATAACTTAATACAAATCCTCACCTACAATCATTCTTGTTTTCTTAAACCATTCCAAAGAATCCATACTAATATTAAAATATAATGATTAATTTTTCTAAGGTTTCCTCCCCTATTCAATTATTTACATAAAATATTATCCGAGATAAATGAGTATCAACTTAATAGATCTATAAGATTTTCAATATTTTTATTTCATTATTACAATCTTAAAAAGATTCATTATTTTTTGTTAATTATCTATTTTCTTTTTCTAAGATCATTTTTTTAATTATTATATCTAATTGAGTGTAATATTATGGTTACAATAATTAGCTAATTGGTCATGTTCTATCTAAATTTATGTCTGGTTTAATTTATTTCTCTCTATCTTATAAACATCTAATATGTTATATCCTGAATTTTAAAAGTTAATTGATGAAGCAAAATCAGATGAACAATAACTTTATTAATTAAAACAACCTTTAATTGAATTAAATGAAGGGAAATTACAAAAGATGATGCTGCTAAAATTTTAAAGATAAACCAAATTTTATTTGATATTATAGTATTTATGAAATTATTATAAATCACTATTTCTTTTTTTATTGCGCATTTTGGATAAATTAAATCCAACGCTTTGTTTATTTTGGAAATTAATATTGACTCCATATCTAACATATTTATTTTACATGTTTCTCTTGTAATCTATTATGAAATCTTTCTTCTGAATTATCATAAAACATTTCATTAAATTATCTTTAAGAATTTATTTTAATTTAAGTAGGACTCAAAGGATTAATAGCTTCAATTCTCATATTTTTACGTTCTTACATTTTCTCTAAACTAATATTTAGATTTAACTTTAATTTTTAATCATTCAATTCTTTTTACTTATATCTCCTTGTTAATTAAGCCAATTTGCCTTCTGCATTGATAATAGCTGTCATCTTTTGATTCTTATCATAGTCTTCAATACACGAGGAGAATATTGAGAAATCTTCATTATGGGAAGTTGTTCTTTTTTTTTCAATTCTTTTTAATTCTGTCAATAGATGTCTTTTTCTCTTGGTTTTCAAATCTTTAACATAAGCTAGTACATACCCTTATCTGAAAGAATCTTATTTAATTACTTATCAAGACTCTAATTTAAATATTAAAAGTTATTTGGTAGATTAAGCTCTTCTCTAATGTGAGTTTCCAATTTATTTTTGCTTTTCTACCCCAATAAACTAAGACTGGCTACTCTATTAAGATTAGAAAGGGCAACTTCTGACAGAGTTTTTTGATACAAAATATGATCTCTTTCAGTATCGATTAATAAATTGGTAGGTTAACGAACAAGCTCTGGAAGTCGTTATTCCTTTTTTTTAACTTGTTTTCCTGATCGTTATTGATAAGCTTATTATTTCATTTCATTTCTTAATTATTCACCTGTTTATGTAATTAAGAGTCGATTCATTAATAAACAATAATTAATAAATAATAATTTATTTTTTAAGGATCTAGTTACTTAAATAATTCACTGAGACAATTAAGATCTTTTAATATTTGATGATTCAAAAAGATAAGATTCAATTTAACTAAAAATATCAGCTAGATTGTATTTTGTTTAACTTTTGGCTTCATAAATAGATTAAATAATCATTAATACAAATTAAAGATTTACAATGGATATTCACAAAGAAAATCTATAAGATTATTTTTCTTATTTTAATGATCACATTCCCTTAATAAGATAAAAATTGAAGAAAATTGATTAATTAATTTTTAAGGAATTATATTATCATGAATATGGTCATTAAGATTACAACTTATTAACTGTTGTACGGATGGCTTTCCTAAATGATAAAATAGTAATTACTAATTTAATTCTTCCAAAGCTATCAATTGTTTAATACGTCTTGGTAATTATAAGTATTGTTTACGTTTCCATTCTCTAGTTTCTCCATAATAATTATCCAATTTAATTTCACAAGCTGATTATAAAGAAGATGTACAAGAATCATCAGAGTTTTCAGGAGGATCTTAATTGTAATGAGTTTTTTAATGTCTATTGCCATTTCCAAGAAGTTTTCGTGTTAAATTCTTACGAAAATCAACTCCAGAATCAATTACATTTTGTATATATTTAGGATGTTTTTCAATCATAACACCTTTAGGATTATTATATAGATAATCGTAGAGTTGCACATCACCAATTGTAAGTATGCCATCTTAATTTTTTCTGTCTGTTTTAGCTGCTTTATGAAACAAAGTAAAATCTTTTCTTTTATTTTAGATACTTAAACGTACTAATTTATTAATATTATTTTCACGTTGTTCTGCTCTTAATTGCAATTCTTACAAATACAATTAAGCATTATTTTCTAATACTGATTTTAAATATAATCTTGGAGGGATTGTGTCAATGAAATCTCTTTACATTTTACAGATTGGTTCTACATTATCATAATTAAGTCTATAATGTTTTAAACTCTTTGATTTTGGTATTAATTTCTCTTGATAACTTATTGCATTTTCCTTATGATTTGCTATATCTAAAATGGTTTAAACTATAGTTAAAGTTTATGCATTTCCTTAACGCATTTCTTCATTATGAGGTTTCTTTATTGCCACTTTCTACTTGATTAGATTTCTAACTTTTAGAATTTTACTCTTTAAAAAGTTCTTTCGCTATTCTGTTTACTGACGTATTTTTATAGATATTCCTTCATTGTGAGTAAGTTAATTCTCTGCTGTTAATCTTGGACAATTCAAAGTTTGTATTAATCTAGAGACATTTAGATCTCCTTTGAGATAATGAGAGAAGTTTTGTTCAAATTAATGACCATGAGTTCTTGTTTCAAATGGCTTATCTGTTAAAAGAGGATCTTAATGTTTTTTTAAATGTAAACTCTTGAATTTACGATGCAAAGTTTTATTAGAATGATCAAACTCACAAGTTGTAGAAAAACTCATTAAATTTATCAAATAAAATAATTATAATTTTTAATACTAAAAACAATACGAATTTCTATTTTATCCATAATATTTAATACATAAAAAAATAGAAAATCTAATTTAATAATAATATTAAGTAGTGTAATTCATATTCACAATTGAGTCTACCCATTAATTACATAAGTAAAGATGGTAGAGACAGTACTCTTTTTAGGAAGTTTAGGTGTTTCAATATCAACCCTATTATCTGGATCTATATATGCTGAAACAACACTGCTGAAGTCATTTGAATCCAAATTCTTTTTAGATAATCGACTATCTATCTCTTATAAGACTCTGGAATTATTTTTATTATGTTTACTAGATTATTAATTAATCTTACATATATTTTAATAATTATGGTGCCATTGAATTAAGTAGACTAATAGAAGTATTAGTTGATGAAGTATTTGGTCTTTATGTGCTTGATTATATTTAATAATCTTAATTAAGATTATTATTAGATTTCTATAATTTCAATTTCTCAATGAACTCCATTACATAAACTCTTACTTTCTTCCATAGTAAACAAGCCTTTCTTTTATTGTGATAATTCTTGGGCTTTTTTATACAATATTTAAAACAAGGGTAACGAATAATAAGATTAACAATTCTTTCAATATGTTATTACTTTAAACTTGATATATATTCTCTAATTATCTTGGAGAATATATAAGTACAAAATAATAAATTAAGTATTGAACATAAAATTGATAAAATGTACACCAATTAAGTATATGGATTATTATCTTAACTATATGATAAAATAAGAGTTATCATTGCCAATTGTGTTGATATCTTATCAATAAAATTATATTATTTCTCAATATAAGGTTGATGTTTATTTAGTAATTCTAAATAGACAAGTAATATAAGTATGGCAAATGAAAACATTAGTTTTATGTCTTAGATTAAAAGAGTTTCTAATAGATAAAATAATGATTTAATAAAGAAACACACAAATTCCCAATAATAATAATTGTCTTTATATTCTACATATAAATATCCATAAGGCATACGTAGTTAACAAGTCCATAATTTGTTTTTGTTTCTGTATAATTTTATGATATAAAATAGTGGTGACACTATTCCAACCAAAATCAAAGTTGGTATGACAAGTGTTTTTAGATAAAGATAATATTCTTCAGTATAACACATGTAAGATGTGGCTGCTTATATGTAATATTATCCTGATGCTTTAATACAGAACATTAATTAAAGAAGACCTTCAATTATGTCACCTTGAAAATAAAAGTGTACTTAAATAAGACAAGTGATAAAAATAGTTTTGATAGAATTTTCCATTTAACGTTATTTACACAATTGAATAAGAGAATATATGAATACAAATGAAAACACAAATAAAAGGGATACAAATAAATTCCAGAATTGTCTTAAATATACAATTTCAATTTGCAATCTTGAATTCAATAGAAAACATTCAATTGAATATCCAAGAGTAGATAAGGGATTGCCAATTGCTTGTGCAATAATTTCTATTGGAGTAGGAAAATCAAAATCTATAACTTGTACTATTGATATCAATTGAAAATAACTGGAAAAAAGCTTTATTAAAATTTCAGTTTAATCAATCACCATTGTAGATTTTGTAGCAAAGAATATACCCATTATTCTAAGATAATGAACTGATAATTAGGCTCTAACCAATCTTAAACTACCTCTGATTGATATAAATAAAGCAATAAGTATCCAAGAGAAAGAGAAAATAATCTTGAAAATATTAAAGACATCATTCTCACAAACTGTACAATTACCTCCAAAACCACGAGTATATGAAATATTCCAATGTTCAGCATAATAATCACAATCATCACATAATGCTCCTGTGTAACCTTAACTACAAGTAAATTCATCTGATCCTCCTAAACATTAAGCCATAGATGATTAACAATATTCAATACTATCAGTACTCTTATTAGCTCTCCAATATCCTTATTTCACAATTAATTCTGAACCTCCAGGACATGTTTCTATTGATGTAATACACTATTTACAAGGAGTAAAATTGTTTAAACTATATGATCCAGCTGGACATCTAAGACATGATTAATTTTCCCATTCATCTCCTATATCACAAAAAATGAGATTTAAATATATGGGTAATTTAAATGTATCATTATAAAATTTAAGTGATTAAAATTCAAGGAGTACTTGGATTGTCTCATTTTTTGGTTGTATTTAATAATAAATGTATTACACTTCATATTAGCATTCCAATTAATCAAATTGGAATATCTTCTCTAATATAGTGAGTGAATCTGTAATATCACATATTCTATTCTATCCACTATCTTGAATGGCTATTAATAATTTTAATTGTTAGCCACTTTTATAGTTATCTATATATATAAATTCTTTCTTTTTAATTAGATCATCAAATAGATAGGTCTTATTATTAAAATCAAGATACACAGGTCCTGTTATATAAGTTAAGATATCAGGTTCCACAATTTGATTAGTTAATAAAAAAATATGTTTATTTGTTTTCATTGAACAATTATTGAATAGATTTTGTTAGATATAATGAGATAATCCTAATGTTTAATTAAGATAGATTACTCCACCTTCTGGAGATAATAGATCAATAAATTAATTTCCATATATTTTAATAGCAGCATTAGAAAATAAGTAAGCAGAACCTTAAATAGCTGAAATATTTGTAAAAGTATTATTGTTACCTATAAAATTATTGGAATCTTAAATATTAATAAAACCAGAAAATGTTTGAGTATTCTTAAATATTGACTTTGATATTTCTATCTGATTACTTTATCTAATCATTATAATACCATTACAATATGGGCAATCCATATCTGTAAATTATAGATCATTGAATTACAGTTTAGTACAATTATCAATCTTTATTATCTCCTTATTGTTATGAGTGATATTATTCATTTACATTCCTTTAATGTTTATATCTGTTTCTAATGCTTAGATCAATGGACTAAGAAAGTTATTAATTTCAAATATATTGATATGAGAAATGTTTGCCTAAGATGTATTTAATGTCAAGAAATTGCATTCATTACAATTCTTAATTGTAAAATTTCTTATAATTATATTTATTACATTTTATAGTTTTGCAATCTAAATTGAGGTACAATCTTCAATTAAAATATTACTCAATTAAATAATAGAAGATTCTTTTAAATAAATCAATAAAGATTTATTAATTTATTTAAAATCTACTTAATGAATATTTAATTCTGTAATTGTTTTTGAATAAATGAGTAGTCCAAATAATGAATTAAAATTACCTTTTGAAAGTGACAATGATCCATTAATCTAAAATAGACTTCTTGCTTAACTATTAGATATATTGAAGTAATTTAATATAACACTTGTTTGATTACTTACTGAAATCAGCAATGGACCAACTAAAGTAGATATAGTTGTTTATTAGAGAAAGATGTTCTGACTATCCATATAGAATAACGCTTTGCTCTCTAATTCGATTATTGTACTATTTTATATTGAGACATATTGACTTTCTGCTATAATCAACTTTGAATCAGATAATACTCTATTAATATTCAAGCTAGAGAGCTTAATTTAATTTTCACTATGAAGTCGTATCAAAATACTTTAAGATAGAGTTACATTGAAAATTGTTGTATAAAGAGCTCCTTTAGCCAAAATTCCAGTTGAAAGTGTAAAGTAAGTATTTTGTATAGTGATTTCTTGTGAAATATCTGTCTCAATCAAAATGCTTTAAACTACAAACGAATTATTGAGAGTGAGGATGTTTACATAAGTGAGATGGGATAAAGTTGAATTAATAAAGCTGACCTAATCAACAATGACGTTTCTTAATTAAGACATATGCGAACTTAGTTAACTTCTAAAAAAAGTGCAATCTGAAATCAAGAGTCCGTCAACTTCAATTGGAGATTAAAATGCTGCTTTATTTTAAAATGTCATCCCTATCATTTAAGACCCACGAATCTTCATTTAAGTACTATTTATTTAGCAATTCTTTAGAAGAATGACGTTCTAAAGTAGAACCGAACCTATGACATTTATTGAGTCAGTTAGTGTGTCTATAGTAATGTTCTGGAATTCAATAAGCTTAAATCCAACCAACGTTATTGTTTAAGTCAATAGTAATTAAGTTCCTACTATTTTAAGTTAGCCACCCAAAGATGTCATATTCATTAGATTCTCATTGCTTACATTTAGAGTACAATTGTATTGGGGTATCTAAACAGACTTGTCAACTTGTAATGTGAGTCCCATCTCATCCCTACAAATCAATAACTCCACTGTGATATACAAATTTATGAACAAAAACAATCTTCTCATCAAAACAAATAATAAATAGTAATTAAATATTTCAATATACATCCAAAATCATAAAACATCAATCCTATCTCATTCATAAACTATCCCTACATATTCTATAAGGATAAATTTCAAATTTATTTCATTACTTTATCTTATCCTTCAAAACATTTCCTTTCTCTCTACTATACTCAAATACTTAATATCTATTCAAAACTTGAATCATGTCTCATCTTAAACTTCTAATTATTCCATTTTATAATTATATATTAATTAATCTTTTATGGAAAAACCCCAAATTATCATAACAACTGTTAAAAGAGGAGATGAGATCACTTATCCAAAAAAGGGAAATCATTTACGCATTCATTTTGAAGTTTTCGTATCTAATCAATCCTTCTAATCAAGAGACCTAATGGAGAAAAGATCGAAACAACAAAAGATGCTGATCATCCATTTGAGTTTCAAATTGGAGTCGATGACGTTATTCCTGGTTTGCAATAAATACTATACAAAATGACCATCGGAGAAAAAGTTAAAGCAGAAATCCCACCCCAATTTGCTTATTAGAGAGAAGGATTGACTGGAATCATCCCAGGCAATGAAAAATTAATTATGGAAATTGAGTTAATATCAATAACATTTTGATCATATAAAATCATTACTGCACCAAAAGGTATGAATGTGATTGTACTCCATTCTGCTAACAATTTTATGATTTTTAATACTTATAAGTCAGCAAATGGTTAAAACTTTTAAACTTTATTAACTATTTGCTATGATGATCTTACTACATGTTAAACAATATTAAATAATCTATGATTATGGGTTCTCTTGTTAAATCATATAGACATCGATTTATTAGATTACAGGATCTTATTTTGAAGAAACATTTATAATTGGTTTATCTTGATAATAAACTTATGATTCATTTGATCGATCAAAATAAGTTGTAGTTAAGGTAAGGGAATTGCATAAAATAATTGTTATTATTATTGATATTTGTAAGTTTAAGTATATGGTTAAACTAAAGGAACTATTTAAACAAATTATGTTTATTAAGGTTATACTAGATAAACTAAATGATTTTGATAAATAATTGGTTGAGTATTATTTCTCTTAATCTAAATAATATTCACCATATCTAATGTAACCATTAATAAATGATGAAGATGGAAATTGACCCATTCCACAGCTTCGTAATTCACTTAGATAGGCACATCTTAATATTTATTTGAGAATTCTAATATCTTGATCTGCAAAATATGGTATGGTTTCCTATAAAATGTTTTGGGTCTTTTAATCTTTCAAGATTTTTTATTAAATTCCTCAATTACACAATCAAATCATTTTGTTTATTCTTATCTGATTATTCAATCATTATATATAATAGTATCAATCAATTTTTGTAAGTCTTCTCTAATTTACATGTAATCACTCATTTGATGAATAGCAATTTCATTTGTCCTACTTGCATAACCTTTGTAAACTGATATAGATGTGTTTTTGATTAAGTCAACTAATTTATTTAGAATAATGATATAGTGAGATACTATTAAAAATAAATTGAATTTATTTTGAAGAAACCTTAATAAATGTTACTAATATGAATATATATATCCTAATAGTTATTAGATATAACTTAATATTATACCGAGAATATTAATGTGGATGAACCTGAATATATTATTAACACATAGGTATCAAACAAGATGGTTCTTTACATAAAAGATAAATATGTAGTAACTATATTATTTAAAAAAAGAAGCTTCTTGAAAGATAGAGTATGAAGTAATTATTATGGGCTATTATTAATAGTTAATTGGTTAAAATACTTAAAAAAATTTATAAAGAAATATTATTAAATGCAAATAAAAACTGGTTAAGTTTTAAATATGTTCAAGCAATAAAGATTATTTTGATTCTTTGATGTTTAACAAGATCATTATATTAAAATAAATTATAAAGTTAGTAAATAACTCAATTTTTCATAAAATATTATCATAATCCTCTAAAAGAGGAGGAAATTTTGAAATCATACAATGATTACATGGGAGAGTGATGAACAGTATTTGGTTTCGAATTTTTAATAATAAATTATTTGATTGGACTCTCAAATTAGGGAATAAAAAATAATTATCTTAAATTCCTTCTTCCTTTAAGTAAAGAAGAGTATTAATCTTTAGTATCTTTGTTTTTCTATATGATTCTCTTTGATTATTAGGTTGAATCACCTCTAATTATTTGCTTCAGTTCCTAAATAGCATTTTAAATAGTCGATGGTTTTTATTATTGTTCATTAACAATTTATTTAGTTAATACCTTTTTAATAGTGAATTTCTTTTTGGATTTGATTCTTTTCATGATTCTGTATCTGATAATAAAGATAATACAATTGATAAGTCTTCTAAATTTACGAAACTATTTTTGCTTTCTCCATTGACTATTTATTTTGGATAATAAGGTACTTCGTTTAAGGAAATTGATATAATTGAAATATCTTTTTCATAATGTTAGATCGTTTACCACATGTATCACAATAGCAACTTGACTCTCCAAAAGTAATCTTCTGAATTCTAAGATTTTTGTTTATTCTTTCGTTTATGAATACTGATCTATCCTAAATTAGAGTTGTAATGCGTTTAGATCCATTTTAAGGTAATGGTTTTGAATATTTTTTGTGATTTGAATAAACTCTTCTTTATTGCCTAATTTATATAAGAGATTGATTCATTAATTAAATAATGAGCGAAATAGAAGATATTTACTAAGGTAACCAGTAATAAATAAATGATAATTATAAATGAAGAGAGTCGGAAAGACTAGAAGATTTAGATAGTTTAATTAATATTTAACATGAAAATTATTATTAGATAATTTAAGAGATTAAAATTCTCTTAGATATTTATACTTAATAAAAGAAATCGAAAAAAAGCCAAATAAATCTATTAAAACCATTCCTTCTTGATTAAATATTTTAAGATAAATTCTTTTCCTAGGCTATGTCAAATTTTTGGTTATACTGAATAATCCAAATGGAAAGCTAATTTTATTAGAATAACATTAATGTTAATTTCTATATTGGGTGATTTCATAACTTTTAATAGTTTTCAAGATTTATAATCCAATATAGATAGATCAAGTCTATTGTAAATTTTGTCATGTACATAAATTGAGCTTTATTATCATTATAATTTTTATGTATATTTTATGAAATTAAGATTTGATGTACTGAATTGTTTATCAATCAAATAACATTTAATTCATTATTATAATTATTTATACTCACTTTAAGTTTTCAGATATATAATTATTTTCATCCAAAAATAATCAAAAATTAGTCTTATACTCATTTATCTAATATGATAAACTCTATTTATTTAATTTCATCTTTATTATCATCAAAACCATATATTCCTATATGCTTTCAGCTAAATTTTGTATATATCTTTTTAAAATGCTATTTCATTTGGATTATTTTTAATAATGTTTTCATAATGCAAATTGTGATCCATTTTATCTGAATGTGATTATATATTAAAATATCCTTCTAAATTAATTTATCAATTTGACCATATGATGTGTGAAAATAATAATCTTCTTAATGCTTAATTCTATATGATGCTTAAATTAATCAAAATAGTGTAATTACTGCTATCCTTTACATGTGAGATTCATTTAAAACCTTCCTTACATCAGTTCAAAATTTTCAATCCTAAATTATTTAAATATGAGAATAATTATTTTAGATCCTTAAAATTCATTATTATCAAGTTGACTTAAGAATTCCTTATAATTTAACATATATTGTAATCAATTTTGAAATTGCTTCCAAATTTTCATTAAAGTTTTCATTAACTATAATAAATTTGGTTATATATCTCTTATTTAATTTAATCTTATGTTACTACAATAATGGGAAAGGTTTGAATTCTAGACCTACAAGATTATTATTTTAACTTAATATGTTGCTGATAATTTATTCATTAAATAATAATAAAAATAATATATAAAATGGCTTCTTATGTAGCTAATTCCGTCTTGAATGATACAATGAGATAATTCAAATCTAATCAAAATGATTCAAAATAAAAAATAGATTGGGATGATTTCAACTACCCACCCTTGATAAAAGTGATACATTACAATATTGAAGAAGTTTAGCCAGAATATAGATTAGTGGTAAGATCATTATGGTTGTCAAGCATACTCATTTTCGTTTACACTCTCTTAAATATCATTAATAACAGTATTTAAGCTGGAAATGGACTTGATGGAATACGCATTTTATATAGTTTTATGTTCTTGTTTTCTTTCAATCCAATTTAATTGTAAAATATTCTGCATAGTTAGAGTTTTATTTTTTATCGAGGATATAAGGGTGTAGTATCGGATCCATATTTGTTAGTATTGTATAAATGGGTTTAAATTATATTGATACTATGTTGGATAACATTTTCTATTGTTGCTATTCTAGGATTTAATGGATTCATCATATTGCCATACCTTTTTGATTTGTAAATTTATTATTATTATTATTTGTTAGTCTCCCCTTTTGTGGTGTTTTAGCCTTATTTGAAGATATTATCTTCTTACTAATTGTATTTTTAAGTGGATTTGCTTTATTCCGTATATGGAATATAAAAGAATGAAAATAAGATATATTTATTCATTTATTGTATATTGGAAATACTTTTGATTTCTCATCTTTTATTGTATTTTCCATACATCTTAAAAGGATTTATTAATTAATATTAACTAGGAAAATCTTATATTAATTTTATTAATAAAATATTCGTTATTAAATTCTATTCAATTTATTGCATTATTATAAATATATATTGATATATTTTCAGAATATGATACATTTAATATTTTTATTTTAAAGATAAATACTAAAGTAAATCAGGTCAGAGTTTCAATTCCATAATATTTTTAATTGGAATTAATGGGTATGGATCCATCTATTTATTTTAACCTTGATTAAGAATATTTTAAAATTTCTTAATTAACACTTTTTTTAATTTAACTAAGATAGTATAGAATTATTGCCCTAAGTTGATCACTAAAACCGAGAGTAATATAGATATATGAAGCCAGCCAAAAAGGATTTAACTATCATAAACAATATAGGTTTGCATTAAATCCCAATAAAATGCAACAGTCGAACAAAATATAAAAAGACTAGCCTCCATTATTATTTGATTGAAATAATCAAATTTATTCTTACGTGTTCTAAATAAAATTATAAATATTAAACTAAAATTGCAAACAAGTGCTAATAGTATTGATTAAATTTCTTAATTTCTTTGGAACAAAACTAATATTCCTACAAATAAGAATTTTTTTAAGATTAAAAGTAAATCGAACTTTTTAATCTTATATCGAGATATTGAAGTATATTTAGTCTCTTTAAAGAAATAGTTTGATATTAAAATTGCAAAAGTATATAAGATTAAATATCCTATAATAATTGATACCATTGGTCTAGTTGTTGTAAATGATTAGGAACTAATTTATAAAAAAGACATAAAAAGCAAATCCCAACAATTTGCTATAAGAAATTATCTCAATCCCTCTTTTTCACATTCTCTTTTTATCTAAAAACAACCATTTTATATTTTCACGAAAAATTAAGCAACCGTTAATCCAAAATAAAAATAATGCAAATTTTTCATAGAAATGAATACCTGAATAAATAATATACAGCCTATATATATAAATAAGAGTGTTAGAATTAAGAATATTTAAGCTTAAATATTATTCAGTATGTCAGCATTAATTTAATAAAATTAAAATTTTTCTTTTGATTCTACAAACTATGTTTGAACTAATTCCAATTATAATAAATTAAAATGAAAGAAATCTAACAAAGGCTACATTGTTATAATATTGCTTGATTCAAAATATATGAATAAATTAAGTGGATATACAACATTAATAAATTTCAGATAAGATTATTATTAGAGTATTTCAATAATTCCTCTAAATGAGTTGCCAAGAAGCAGCAAAAAAATACCCATACCACCAATTGATTTCATAATATTTGTTCCTACATTTTTTAAGATATGAGAAGATTATTTTTTCTTATCATCTATGTATTTAGGTAGATTTAATTTTACTCTTTAATACTGATTCATCAAAGGTGCTTCATTTTCATTATACAATTATTAATTTAATATTATTTCAATAATAGGAGGAGATAATAATGTTGTATTGATTGAAATTTCAACCATATATTCAACATAAGTGCAATATTATAAAGCCTCTTAAACTATAATCAATGTGATATTATAAAATTCATAATCAACTCCCATTAAGTTAAATTGAATGAACTCTGAAAATATATTATTTTCTATATTTTTTACTTATTAGTCAAAATGTAAGGATACATATTAAATCTAATAATCTTATCTTATTAATGAGGCTTAAAATTTAGGATATTTCTCATAAGTACATTAAGTAAATGAATATAAATAGTTCTTACAAATATAATTAATCTCTATTGTGCATTGTTAAGAACAACCATCCCCATCTTATTTATTCATATCATCACATTCTTCATCCATTGAAACTAAACCATTACCACAGAATGTCTAACATTGATTTTGATTAGGTATTAATTCATATCCTTATTCACATACTTTACATCTTCCTTCAAAACATATTTCACAATGATCTGGACAATAAAAATAACAATTAAAACATCCATCACTTTTATCATCATTTTAATCATCACACTCTTCTTCTTCAACTAGAATTCCATCTCCACAAATTGGATAGCATATATTATTAACTACATAATATCCTTCCTCACATAAATCATAGCATACTCCTTTAATACATAATTTACAGAATTATCGACATTGATAATTGCAATTATAACAACCATCATAAGGTATTTCATTCATATCATCACATTGTTCATATCCAATAGTTATTAAACCATCGCCACAAACAGGAAGACAAAGTTAATCAATCAATTTAAATGTATATTAGCAATCATAACAAATTCCATAAATACAAGAAGTACAATAACGACAACATTCTTATTTACATTAATAACATCCATCAAATTATAAATTATTAGAATCTTCACATTCTTCATATGATATTAAAGCAATTTAAGAATCTCCACATTCAGATTCACATAAAAAATAATCATTCAAATGCCAACCATAAATACAATCCAAACATATTCCACTTTAACAAAAAGAACATTCCAATTAACAATCATTTCTGCATTTATTACATCCATCAAATCTAATTGAATTCATATCATCACATTCTTCTGTACCTTAAATTTGATTATCTCCACAACCAGATTCACATTATTAATTCATTAATTTCCATCCTATAATGCAATCATAACAAATGCCATATTAACAATTTGTACATTCATTTTAACAATTATAAAAGCATTAATTACATTCATATGATTTGTTAATATATCTACTAATATCACATTCTTCATATCCTACAACAATAAGATCTCCACATATAGGAAGGCAAATATTTATTGGTTTCTCTAATTTCCATCCATCTAAACATTCAATACAAATTCCATTTTATTGCAATTTACATCCTTCTTCTAAATCATAAGCACATTAATGACATTTATCAAATGCATATAAATTATAATCTACACATTATATATCATTAACAATTAATTAATTTTAACATATAGATTCGCAATTGTTATTGATTAATTCATAATTTAATTTACACTAATTACAAATACCAAATTAATAGGATAAGCAATTTGATGGGGCGATAAATTTGCCGTTTTTACAAATTTCAAAATGTAAAAGATCATCACATTCTTCCCAGATTGAGTATTTCTTGTCATCAAAAATTGCAGTACATGTGTTAAAATTAGAATCAAAAAACCATCCAATATCACATTCAAAACAAATTCCGCTAATGCAATTTGAACATCCTTCCAAACAAGAATATTAACAATTAAAGCATCCATCAAAAGAATATATATTACCATCATCACATTCCTCATACTATTCTAAAACTCCATTTCCACAAATTGATCCACAAGCCTAATTAAAAGAGGAACCAAATAGACAATCTAAGAAAATGAAAAAATAAATTTACCAATAAATATTTATATGTCTCTTATTCCAAAAGATTCATTTTACATATCTTAACTTAAATTAGAAGTAAACAGTAATTTTATTGATGATCCTGAATGAGCCATTGTAAATTGATCATTTTATGGTATATCATCATAACTGAGACCGCATAAATTCTATATTACTCTTACGTTCAAAGTTAAAGTTTTTGTCCACTTCAAATTATTATCTACATATAAGTATGCAGATTTAGAATTCCATCTATCTAAGAACATAAATCTAAATTTAATTTTAACTTGACTATGAGCTGATAAATTGATTTTTTTGAACAATTGACTAGTTCTTCCAGTGCAATCATAACCTCCAAGCAAAGGAATAGCTTTAGTTTAATTTAATGTAATTACATAAACAATAACTAGTAAATTTACATCCACTTTCTATGGTCCATCCATCAACATTAAAGCTATTAAAGTCTACACTGGCTAAACTATTTTCAATATTCTTCCAATATATACAATCTTCTCTGGAGTCGGTTGATACACATGTTTAGCATCCAGAAGGGCATGGATAAATAAATAATTTAAAATTCCTGATTCCCCATGATTCCTAGATTTATAGTATCTAATTTGAGTACATTAGCAGAGTCCTAATCTAAATTTGATGTCATTAAAATAAAGAGAGATTAATAGTTATGGGGTTTTGTAATGCTAATCTGTTCAACAATTTCCCCTTTTGATGACTGTCCGCATAATTAAGTATCTTCAAATCCATAATTATTCTAGAAACCTAAAATTTCATCTAAGTAAATGAAAAAAATTTCATTATCCCAGGAATCTATTCTAAAATAGCTTAAACTTACTCTTACTTCCAAAATTCTAATGTAATCAATACTGTATGATGAGGTGGTAACTAAAACAACTTTGTAGCTGAAGTTTGTTCAGCAAAGGCGCCATATCCCCCAAAAAGTCGTACTGAACCACAATTACTATAAATTGAATTCTAACCTGTTAACATCCATTCTTGGATTAAATAATTCAATACCTTCTGAAGTAGTAAATGAATTGCTTGTAAAACTTTCAGAGTATAAGACTTATGAATAGGAACTTATTGCCAGAATAAATAATCTATGAAGCATGATGATGATGATGAAATAAAAATAAAATACAATAAAATAAAATACAAAGACAAAAATTTTAGAGAAATAATTAGATTATTCATTGGCTTTAAAGATCAAATAAACTCAAACCTTTTAAGAGGTTTGCCAATATCATAATTATAGATAGCCAATACATTATTTAATACTGATCCTTTTTAGGACACATTTTGTAAAATTGAATATAATATTCTATATAATTATTTATATTGTTTAAAATGTCTAAGAAAATGACTATTTATTAAAAAATAATTATTTTTATTCAGATTTTAATTAATCTTTATATTATCATTATTATTTGAATCTATTCTCTTACAATTGTTGTTATACTAATCCCATTATAATAAAAAACCCATATTTTAATAATTCTTAGTACATTTGTAATTAGTATCCAGATAATATAATTATCACTAAAATACTTAATCACATATTATATCAGTTTGAAATAAATGAATTATAATAGCATAGTAAAATATATTGTGAATAGATGTATATAATATTAATTATTATTTATAAAATAATACGTCAGATGACATTGTTTAAATTATTAATTTTAGTATATATTCAAATAGATTCTTAATTGTCCTTCATATAAGAAATGAATGGCCTATCTTATTGTTAATTTGAATATTCAATCAAATCCTCAAACTATGTTAGATTGTTTTCATTAATATAAATATCTGTATTGATATTTTATTCATTATTTTAGTAATTAGGGATGCTTAAAAATTTACGATAAGGTAACTTTTTATAAAGCTCTTTTTTTAATTGATTTATTGCATCAATATATTTTCTTTTAACTAATTGATCCTTAATTTTAGTATTATTAACAACAGCTATTTCAGCCTAAGAATATAAAAATTCTTTCCATCTTTGTTATGTTTCAGTCTATATACATTTAGTTCTCGAATTGATAGGTCCAAATATTTTTTGTAAATCTCCTAATTCCCATTTTTATTATTTTGAAGTTTTACGATTATGAATTACTTTTAAATAGCACTCTACTTATTTATAATTCATTTATTTTGACCAATGCATAAATTGATTCAAGAAGAAGGGCACTATTCTTCTTTAAAATTTAGATTCGAAGATTTGAGTTGATAATGAAGAATTCTTAATTTATGGTATTAACTAATAATTATTAATTATAGTCTCCAATAACTGTTCATCTAGTTCTACAATTACTCTACCATTATTCTTTTTCAATATCTATTATTAAATGTATAATTACCTAAAAATACTATTGTTACATTAATTATTAATAAAGTGTTTATAATCAATAGTAGTTTTTCTTGATAATAAAAAACAATAATCCACAAATTTTATGGAAATTTAAGTGTTTTAATTTTCCTAAATAAAAATAAAATATTTAGAATTTTCTATATTCCAAAATATTGATTTTTATTGAAGGTTTTAAATAATTGATCAGTAATTAATTCATCATATCTGTTTCTATTTGGTTTTATTATTAATAATAATTGATTCCTACTATTAAAAGAGATAAATCCTATTTATAAATAATGAATAATCAATAATATAAACAGAATTATTTTTTATATTGATCATATTTTTTTATAAGTTTTTCACTATATTAATAAAAAATAATATTGTAATTTTGTATATTAAAACAGTTTTAGAATCTATTAATTCTGAATTGATATTTTACAAGTCTATCATTTGTAATATTAATTAGTTAGAGTAAGTTAGATATATTATAAATTGCTATATTAAGTTTATGAGATCTGCGAAATATATTTTTAAATAGTAATCAATAAAATATATATTTTTTAATTTTGTATTAATGATATCTGAGAATGAGAGTACGAGAGTATTGCTAGTGATAGTATAGAATCCTTAATCAATTATACTTCCACATTCTTTATTTTATAGATACTTTTCAAATTTTGGGGAGGTTAACAAAATTCTAATATTTGAGAAGGGCAAACTATGGAAATGTTTTATTGAGATGGGAACTTTATAATAGGCAAGGTTTTCTTAGTAATAATTAAATGGATGTTAATTGTATGATTAAACAATCATGAATGTGTATATTTTTATTTATGACTAGTAGATATTATTCAACATTATAGAGTGTCACATTTCTCAATAATAATTCAGGAGGTGTAGATTACAAATAAATGAAATAGAGAAATTCTACAAAATCTATGAATATTTATGAATAAGAATATCATCCAAAAATATATAGTCAACCTGTTATATGGCAACAATAATCAGATATTACTTTAAGTATTGCTAGTTTAGGGAATGAAAGAACAAGAGCTAGTTTTAATGATAAATAGGATTTGTAAGATTAGAAAAATGAATTGGAACCCTAAAAAATACAAACATCTTTGGAATTTATTGATGATGGAGATTCATGTAAACAATATTCATCTTTTAAATCTATTTAATTTGATGATAGTGAACATGATCCTATAGATGAAGATATAATGCTTGCATTCTCATCTGAAAAAAATACATATTTAAATTCCTATATGTTTTCAATTCCTGAAGTAGAAGATAAATCAAAAAATTAAGATATAGATCCATATACTTATGTATCACCATAATTTCTTAGAGAAAATTAACCATCAAAAGTAGTTTATATGAGAGGTCTTATAAATTAAAATATTACACCATTAAACGTATTTAATTTATTGTCAAATTTTGGAAATGTGTTAGTCATTATCTATATTAAACATAAGACATCAGCCTTGGTTTAATTTGAAAAATTATCTCATGCTCAAAATGCTTTAGATCACTTAAATAATTAAGTATTTTTTGGATACAAACTTAAAATCTTTTATTCGAACTATTAAGAAATATAATTTCCTTTACCATTTCAATCACCATAGACTTTGGTATTTATGCCACAACAATCTTAATTTAGATTTAGTGAAACAAAATCAATATCTTTTAATCCACCAAGTTAGACTTTGCATTTAAGTAATATTAAAGGTAAAATGTGTGAAGAAGATTCTTATATTAAAGAATTATTCAAAGGTATTGGAAATGTATAAGCTATCAAATTCATTCATATAAATAAGTATAAAAAACTTTAAAATTTAGATAAAAACATATGGCATTAGTAAGATTATCATCATTAGAAGAAGCATTAAATGGAGCAGCTTTACTTCATGGCAAAGAAGTAATGGGCAGAAAAATTAATGTTTCATTTACCAAAAGTAAATTATGCTGAAATCTAATAAGTCAGCGATTGCTCAAGTATTATGACTTTCTAAACAATAAAATATATAATAATTATTTCTTCTTTTTTATTCATTTATAATTATAGACTTAAAAGTAATAATTTATATCTTTTTTGCATCTATAAATAAATAAGTAAAAATTAAATTTGTTAATAATTTATCAAAATTTATTAATAGTAATTCCATCATATCCAATATTATTCTCTCTAACTGAATTCATTTATTAAAATACTACTGAATACATATTTCTTAAATGAAGAAAATAACTTATGATTTTTTCAGTTCTAATTAGACTACTTTATTCTTGAATTTTTACCTCTATATTTCATTATTTATTTATATCTTTATAATATTTGAATAAAAGAATTTACAACAATTTCATATTATATAATTAAAATTATGAAATGTAATAAATAATCTAATATTTTTTTTGCTTTATATTCCAATTTATTACAATAAATAGTTATTATACTTAAATAAAAACAATTTATGATTTTTTATTAATATATATATGTAAGGAGATAGAGGTTTAAGTGATCTAATTAATAAATTATGTTTTAAGTAATTTATTTTATAGAACAATGAACATCATTTTTATGTAAATTTATATATACAATATTTATAATCAACTCATTAACTTAAGTAGTACTAAATCTCTTTTATACAATAAATATAATTACTTAATTTCTTTTGGTTTTAACTAATTAATTGTTGCATTTCTCTTGATATAGGCTTCATTTAAATTAGTGAAATATAATTATTTTTTATCTACAACATTAATTTTTATCTCAATAACAAATAAATCCTATATCATTATTAGTTCATCTTTGTAAATAGGTACAAACATTAATTCAACTTACTCTGGTAAAACAATTGGATCAAAATGTCTTAGATTATTGTCGAATTCAATTTAGAAATCATCCTTTTATTTTCTAGTCATTTTAATGCCTTAAACTATTCCTTTATCTGTAATTCCAATATATAATATTCCACCTTAAGAGTTTAAAAAAGCACATATGTAATTCATAATCAAATCCATTCGAATCTCTTTAAATTATTTAAATTCATGTTTCAAATCTTCAAATTAATTGATCTCTATTCGTTGAATGTATTTTTTAGAATTAAATAATAACTAAATATTTTAATATATATCATACATCATTCTCCTTTGATTTGCTCTCTAAGATCTAATTTAATTTTGTGAATATTTTGTATTGAAATCCTTATTTTATTTGATTTTCATCATGCTTAAATGGACAGTGTCTAACATTGCAATTCTAAGATCTGATATTATTTTATTTATTTTTATTTTTACTTTTCAAATTTGCATGGCAAAGTACCATATATTCTAGGATGATATAAATATTCAATAATATTATTGCAAAAGTCATTTACTTCATTATTAGAGTCACATATGTATATTGGTTTATAATTATTACTGTTTCTTCTTTTATCACTATTATTATGATAATATTGACATTATATTATTTGTTATAATGGCATAAAATGATCTTATCTTACTTAACATGAAGGATTTTAGCAGGAATTAACTTTGAATTCTTATAAACTTTGTTTATTCATTTTATTTTACTTAATATAAATTTATTTATATTACATTAAATTTCAATTTGATTCTATAATTACCTATTTTCAAATCAATTTTAACATATTTTTATATTGTCATAATTTTAAATACCTATATAAATTTCAATACATATTAGAATTAAAATTAATATCTTGTTCTCTTTACTCAAATTATTATATTATTCTATTTCAAGAAATAATAATTCAATATTTTAATTACAAATCTCCATCAACTTAAACTAGATTCTAAATAATTATAATATCCTTATATTTTCTTTAGAATTTATCTATTATTTAAGAGTTTAACTTTATGGAAATCCAAAACTAATTTTATTAAATAATTTTATAGTAAATAGTATTAATGAAAATTAGATTTCATATTTCTATAGTAAAGTGTTATTATTTATAAAACATTATAGAGAGGATTACATTTCAATTTATTTCATAATCATATGAAATTTTATAGTATATCTTATCAATAATATTTATATAAAATGAATAATTAGTCATTAGCTAAAAGTGCAGTAGAGAGATTAAATCAAAGCAATTTTTAAGCATAATAACCTTATGAATTTGAGAGCAAATATCAATAGGATTAAAAGGAATTACCAAATCCTACAAAATTTGATTTAGATGTTATGCTTAAATTTTTAGATGAAGTAGATTCAAGTGTCAAATAAACACATGAATTTAAAAGTATAATTCAAAAGTATAAATTGTCAACATCCAAATTTTGTTTAACTATGGAGTACTATTTTGATCAAATATAATAGAAATGATTATCTGAATAATTTGCCAAATGAAAAGAAAATATAAATTTATAGAGATGTAAAAATCGATTCTTATTAAAGAGATTTCACGAATATATGATCATTAAGAAGAAGCAATAGAGTTAAAGGATAAAGTTCGAAAGATTATTACATATAAATTAGAAGATATGAGGAGAAATACAGTATTTAATAATATAATATAAAAAGAGAGAATCTAAATGGGGATTAACATTGAACTTACTGCAATTATTATTAAATAAGAATAAGGGGAATAGAGATATTTTTGATTTATTTTAAAAGAAATTATTGCCACCTGATGTAAGATAATTAGTGTGGAAAATGTGTTTAGAAAATAAATAAATAAGTGATGAATATAGTCGTCTATTAGGAAAAGCAAGAATGTTAACAATGTCAAGATTTGATGTATAAATTATTAAAGACACTGAATAAATAGTAAAATAAATGACAAAACCAGATCAATTTGATGGAAATATGATTTTTGCAATGAAAACTATTTTAAGTTATTACGAATTAAAATAAGATAGAATTCTTACTGATTATTTATACTTAATCTGTATACCACTTGTCTATGTTTTTGGAACAAGTAAACATTTATTAAAAATACCAACTGAATTGATTGGATATTTTTATTCATTATAATTGATAGTTCAATTCTTTGATCCATTAGTTGATTTGATTGTTAGACATGATGAAAAATATGAATCAGAAATGACTGATTTATTTATGAATAGTGTTAATGTTTTANAGAGAGGATTACATTTCAATTTATTTCATAATCATATGAAATTTTATAGTATATCTTATCAATAATATTTATATAAAATGAATAATTAGTCATTAGCTAAAAGTGCAGTAGAGAGATTAAATCAAAGCAATTTTTAAGCATAATAACCTTATGAATTTGAGAGCAAATATCAATAGGATTAAAAGGAATTACCAAATCCTACAAAATTTGATTTAGATGTTATGCTTAAATTTTTAGATGAAGTAGATTCAAGTGTCAAATAAACACATGAATTTAAAAGTATAATTCAAAAGTATAAATTGTCAACATCCAAATTTTGTTTAACTATGGAGTACTATTTTGATCAAATATAATAGAAATGATTATCTGAATAATTTGCCAAATGAAAAGAAAATATAAATTTATAGAGATGTAAAAATCGATTCTTATTAAAGAGATTTCACGAATATATGATCATTAAGAAGAAGCAATAGAGTTAAAGGATAAAGTTCGAAAGATTATTACATATAAATTAGAAGATATGAGGAGAAATACAGTATTTAATAATATAATATAAAAAGAGAGAATCTAAATGGGGATTAACATTGAACTTACTGCAATTATTATTAAATAAGAATAAGGGGAATAGAGATATTTTTGATTTATTTTAAAAGAAATTATTGCCACCTGATGTAAGATAATTAGTGTGGAAAATGTGTTTAGAAAATAAATAAATAAGTGATGAATATAGTCGTCTATTAGGAAAAGCAAGAATGTTAACAATGTCAAGATTTGATGTATAAATTATTAAAGACACTGAATAAATAGTAAAATAAATGACAAAACCAGATCAATTTGATGGAAATATGATTTTTGCAATGAAAACTATTTTAAGTTATTACGAATTAAAATAAGATAGAATTCTTACTGATTATTTATACTTAATCTGTATACCACTTGTCTATGTTTTTGGAACAAGTAAACATTTATTAAAAATACCAACTGAATTGATTGGATATTTTTATTCATTATAATTGATAGTTCAATTCTTTGATCCATTAGTTGATTTGATTGTTAGACATGATGAAAAATATGAATCAGAAATGACTGATTTATTTATGAATAGTGTTAATGTTTTAGATGAAGAATTAGCTTTAAAATTTCAAAGTGTTCTTAATTTAAAGAGTCCAACTTAAAGATAAATGTTAGTAATAATTATAAAGAGATTTGTACATTCACTTGGATTTGCATTTTTACCCTTAGATGTAACTTTGTTTAATATAGATTAAATGATAATGAAAGTAGTCAAGAATAAATTAGAAATATTTATTAATATGGGAATAATGTGCTTTTGTATAAGAAAAGATATTTTAATTTGCAAAACTTGGGATTAAGTTGTTGATGTATTTTATACTAAGGCAAAATTAATTACATTATAATAATATCATGAATATTATTAAGATGTATACAAGAATGTTAAATTTTATGTATCACCCTATGATGTAGATCCATTTAAAGTAAATAGAAATGCAGAATTTGCAACAGGTATATTATTTAATTTATTATTAATTAGATCCTTTAGCAGAAATTATTGAAAAATAATAAGATAAAGATATTAATGCATTCAAAAAGAAATGGTTTGAAGGTAAAGAATTATATGAAGATGATGATCCTAATATGGCTAGATATTAATAATAATAATAATTACCAAATAAGGATAAAGCAATTAAAGATATGAAGATGTAAGATGCAATGAAAAATGTGTAAATGCAACAAAAACCAACATAGAAATTAGGGATGGTACCTGTTTAAGATTCAGATGAAGAAGATGATCTATTTGATGGTATGGATGATTAATGATTAATAATATAATCATTTAATTTTTAAATTATAAATAAATAGAGTAGTTAATCAATTCAATTTTATATCCCAATTATTGTTTATATGCTTTTTTATATTATTAAATAAATATTTTTATATTTAAATAAGAAATATGCACTATTATTTAAATAGACATATATAATAAGATTATTTAGATATGAATTAATATAAAAAAGAAAGATTTAGATGAGATAATAAGAAGAATAATGAATAAATAAATAATAAATTATATCAAATTTAATAAATATAAATGTCAGGATTATTTAAAAATTATTCAAAGTTTGTGAGTGCCTCAGTATTTGCAAGTGCAAACAAACTAATAATAAACCCAGCTAGATGGACCTTTAATTCTGCAAACCTATTTTATAATCCTTCTTATCGATATACTGGATTACCATAAGGTATCAGAAAGCATTTATGAAATTAGGACATGAATTAACAGCATTTTCTTTAGCTTAAATAGCAAGTGCTTTAACTTATGAAGCTTAACAATTTAATACAGTGGATGCTTTGAAGGATGAAGCATAATTGAATTATCAATTTTCAGCTCAATGTGCTAGAGAGGCTATTACTTTCATTAAAAATAATAAATGGGGATAAGAAGTAGAGACAAGTGCTCAATTATTGTTTGTGCTTTCAAATAATTAATTATTAAAAGATGTTAACAAAGAAATCTTATTGTCAAATTTATCATAAAATGCTAAGTATTTATCTACTTAGAATATTGTGGATGTAGTAATTAGTTTGTAAGATCATAAAGATGCTGCATTTTGGTCATAATTTTTTGCTGGCATCAAGAATAAAGAATTTATTTGGGAATTATAGCCAATTGATTATCATGGTTGGGATACAATGTAATTCGATTATTTGGATTAAGTTAAAAATTCATATAAATTGAGTAATACTTGGGCTGTATTGACTGCTCAAGATTCCTAATTAAAACGATTTGTTTTAGAAGGAGTGTTATTTGGATACACAAACTTATGGCTTCCACTTCTTTATAGAGAAAAAAGAATCAAATATGTGTTTGATGACAGATTGATTGACAGAAATGCATTTAAGAATGCCTTAAAGAAGATCAATGAAGTCCATAATGTACAAGAGTTCCTTGCAAGAGCTTGATACATTATAAATAAAAATATATATATATATAATAATGTTTTCATAAATATTCATTCTATCTCCAAGAGGTGACACTATCATCAATAGAGATTTCAGATCTGATTTACCTAAATCAACACCTGAAACATTCTTCAGATAAGCCAAAACCTATTCAGGAGATGCTAATCCATTATTTGCAGTTGATTGCATCCAATTTGCTCATATTAAAAGAGGAGGTTCTATTGTCATATTTACATTTAGGATTATATATTGTTGGCACATCTAGATTCAATTTATAACCAGCTATGTCATTAGAATTATTGGATCGATTAGCTAAAGAAATAAAAGACTTTTGTGGAGTAATCAATGAGGAAGTCCTTAGAAAGAATTTTATTCTTATTTATGAAGTCAACAATACTCTATTTATCATAGATTCTAGATGAATCATTTGATTTTGGGTACCCTTAACTTATGGCTACAGAATAAATAAAACCACTCATTGTGAATGATCCAATTCAACCTTAACCTGATTCAGTCATGAATTCTTTAAGACCAAAGATTTAAACTTTTAACATTTTTGTTCCAAATACTATTGGAAGTTAAGCAGTTTAGAGATCGGTATTAAACAAAAATTAAGCAAATGAAATTTTTGTTGATATTTATGAAAAACTTAATGTTCTCTTTAATTCTAGTGCATATGTTATCAATTAGAGTATTGAAGGATGTGTATTATATAATTAATAATATAAATAGATTCAAATGACATCATTTTTATAAGGAAATCCACCTCTAAAATTAGCATTGAATGATGATTTATAAATAGGTAGATAATAAGGATAATATTCAGCAGGTGTCATATTAGTATAAATTATATAATAATATAAAGGATGATTGTAATTTTCATGAATGTGTTAATGCAAATGAATTAGATATGAATAAAACATTACGTATTCAACCTCCTGATGGTTAATTTGTTGTTATGAATTATCGTATTAGTGGAGATTATTCTGCTCCTTTTAGATTGTTTCCTATTATTGAAGAGATTTCATCATCAAAAATAGAAGTTACTATAAAATTGAAAGCATGTTTTGATGCTAAAATTTTAGCATCATATGCAAATGTACGTATTCCCATTCCAAAATAAACTGCTAATGCATATCCTGAATTATTGAAGAATGCTTAGTAAGAGACTGCAGAATATGATTCAAATAAAAAGATTGTGGAATGGTAGATTAAGAAACTTTAAGGTGGTTAAGAAAGATCACTAAAAGTATTTATAAATAGTAATATATATTTTAGATAAAATTAACACTATAAGCAACATAGACCGCTCATACAGCAAGAAAAGAGATTGGTCCTATTGCTATGAATTTTGAAATACCAATGTTCAATGTTAGCAGATTATAAATTAAATACTTAAGAATAGAAGAACGAGGCAATACTACTAATCCACATAGATGGGTGAGATATATTACATAGAGTAGTTCTTATGTATGTAGAATATGAATTCAGTTTATATACATAATAATATTATCATAATGTTTATAATTTTTCAATAGATTTATGTAAGTATTAATTAATATGTTTTAATCGATTAATTTCCAGTTTCTGGGAATTTATAATATCTGATTATTCCTTGATAATGTTTTCCCATTCTTTCATTTTCTTACGAAAATTCTTTTTTTCTTATAAATAATCCAACTAGCCATCAAGAATTTATAGTTTCTATCTAATAACATTCTATTCTTAATAAATTTCATCTGGATTCTACATAGTTTATTATAGATTTTAATCGTTCAATCTATTGTTATTGATAGGATTTTTTACAATTTCTTAAGTCTATTAATTTCTTGATCTTTTTACAAGTATTCTTATTCAAATTTAATAAGAGAAGATTCATAGATCTTAATTTTATTTTCTAAAATTAGTTCTTTTTCATTATTTGAAGGCTATGTTTCTAAATCCAAGTCTTCTTAGATTACCATTTCTTCAAAAGAGTTAAGTTCTTATTGATTTAAAGAATTGCCAGAAAAACTAAATCTGGCCTCCTCTTTCATGCTTGCTAATTATCTTAAACTATGATTAATTAGATTGTTGATATTTTTAGAAGATTTAGATAATTCTTCATGCATATCAAGGAATCTAGAGTAGATTTCACTTTAAAAAACAGTTAATTATGAAGATCTGTTTGATAATTTCATTGCTTCCAAATTTATAATATATAAATATAAAATTAAATTACATTAAGTAATAGTACAAAAAGAGAATTTATAGGATCATTTGCTTTAATTCTTCTTTTCAAAATTCTCTATCCAAGATTTATATTTTTATTGCATAATTACAAAGTGAAAATGAACTTCTTCAATATTATCATCTTCTATCATTTTTTTCTATTTACCAAAATAAGTGGTTTAAGATTATGGTTTTAAAATGATAGGTTAAAGTCTTGTTTATTATGTATTTTTATTAAGAGTAATATCTTCATCACTTCCTAATTAATGATAAAATGATTCTAACATTGTGATTCTAGTTTTTTTAGCATAAGTATCTGAAATCTAAGTTTATTTTCTTGTTTCATCTTGTTTTAGTGAATGTCTAGGGTTTTTTAATCGAAAGGAAGGACTTTATCTTAATTAAAGAGGGACATTCTATAAATTATGTATAATAAGTTAATCATCTGCAGAGTTTTGCATTTTCATTTTTGGAGTCTGTATATTAGATTGCAATCTTCCACCTTTTAGAGCACTTTCTCCTCTATGTTTTTTGTTTTGGAAATACTAATTAACTCTAGTGCCTCCACTCATTTTAATTAAATAATATTCATATATGCAACTTCAAGGAAATCAAGTAGGTAGAAATGAAAATATATGCAACAGACCATTTAATTTCCGTGAATAATTTATAAATCTTATTTATAACCATTTAAAATATTGTATATGCATCTTTTCATAATTTCTGAAGATTTCTGTTCTTCTTTTCCATTAGTTTTCTTACTTTTATTCATTTTTTATCTGGATTTGAATTTAACTCATAGGGTTTTCGCTAAAAACTATTGAATTAGCAGTTTTATTTCAATTTATATATATTTACTTGTATCATCTAATATTATCATTATTAAAATAATTAATAAATGCTTATATTTGATATATATATACACATTTATTTTAAATTGATGTATATATACATATTAATGTTAAATTATAAGAATTTGATTAACTGATATAAACAAAAAAATTAGTTAAAAAATCATTATTAAAATCTGCTAGCACCATATCTAACTTCTAATCTAAGATTGTCATCAACTGTCAATCCTGCACATACTTTTACTAAATTCTCAAGCATAGCTCTTTATCTTGATAAAGCATTGATAGTAGTGATTCCACTCTCTGATTTTGGAGCTTTCATCAAATAACTCAACCAAGACAATACTGTATCAAATCTTTAGAATTCAGAGGAATCCTTTGAGAATTGAATTCTTTCAAATAATTCGCATAACAATAATAAATCCATAATTAATGGAGCAGCCAATAAGGAATCTTCACAAACATTGTAAACTGCAAATGTTTATCTTCCTCCCAAAAAGATTTCAGCAATATATTCATCCATAGCCTTTTTACTATCTCCAGTTTCAGGACAATACTTAATAACAATAGTATGATCAATATTCAATTCTTCTTCTGTTGGATATAATACTTTATTAGATTCCAAAATATCATCAACACAAGTTTTCTTACTTCTTTCTTTGCTTTTGAAACATGATTCTTATGAAAGATTCTTTCCATCATTGTTTCCTAAATGATTATATGAAATGATGGCTTTTGGTTTAATACCAGCACCTACTAAATATTCAACTAAACAAGTCTTAAATTTAGTTTATCCTGTTTTGAAATCATCTCCAGCAACAAAAACACCAGCTTTTTCTGCTAATTCAATAACACCTGGAACAATAGTATTTTATGGTGATCCATTAATAAATGAACATCCTTCTAAACAAGCAGCACATGCAAAGATTGTTGATGCACTAATTTCTGGATGACTTGATTCAATAGATTTTAATAATTTTTCAGCTGTTCCATGAATATTTGGATCTTCAACACAAAATCTTTCTGTATTTGCTGTCCATAATAAAATTACTTTATCCAAATTATTTTATTATTTAAAATCTGCAATATTCTTTCTAATTATATTAAGATGTTCTAATTTATTATTTCCTGGTATAACATTATCTGCTCTATCACCTTAATTTGCTGCAATAAAATCTGGATAATAGATTGAAGGTAATGGAACTAACTTTTCTAAATATGGTCTCAATTTTTATTGTAAATCATATTCAACTACTTATGCTCTATTCATTGCATCAGCTAAATTCATTGAATTTATATCCCATCCACCAAATACTATATCACATGGATTAACCATAGGTAAAACATCTTTGAATGGAACAAATACTTCTTCAGTATTGCATGTACCAATCTTTATGACACTACTTTATGTAAGAGATCCATAAAAATTTGGTTAATGAGTTCCTCTTCTGCTATTCCATGTAACATTGAATTTATTTGCCAATATACCACCAGTAAGTGTTGTACCATTATTACCACCCCATCCTACAAGCATAACACCTAATTTTGGAATTCTAGTATCAGTCTTGAATTTGAAATTTGTTATTTATGGTTTTGCTATGTACTTGTCTCCATTCTTTTCAATATTGGTTGACTTGTAATCATAATCAGAAATTAAGAAATGATTATCTTATTGTGTTGTGGTTGATTATACTTTCATTAATTTGAATTAATTATTAACCAAATATATACAATTATGTATTTGTAAACATTAGAGTGCGCATAAATTTTATATATAATTAACTAATGCGTATTTATTAATAAGAAGTGCGCACTTCATTATTAATATATTATAATTTAATTAATTAAGAATGCGTAATTTATAATAAATGCGTACTCTTTTTTATTATATAAAAATAAATCAATCAAATTCTTCATTTTCATATTATTATTCTTCTTGATTATTATTTTCATTTTATTAATTTTAATTTTAATCTTCATATTCATTTTCATAATTTCCATCTTATTCTTCATCTTAATGATCTTATTAATATTCATCTTGTTCATTTTAATAATTCTTTTATTCAGAATCATGTACCGAAGCTTTCTATTAATTATTTTCATTCTCATTATAATTTTCATTTTATTCTTAATCAAATTCTGATGCCTATTCAAATTCCTATTATTATTCATACTCTTATTATTATTTTCCTTATTGTTCAACTATTTGACCTTCAACACGAAATTCTTATTCTTTCTTTTTCTTTGCAGCATTTTCATCAAGTGAATAATCTTGACTCTATTTATCAAATAATTCCTCATCTGATTCTTCATATACTCCTTCAACACGAAATACTATACCTTAATCTTGACTCTATTTATCAAGTAATTCCTCATCTGATTCTTCAGATATTCTCATATTCTAATGTCCTGTCATCTATTATTGTTATGATGGATCTTCTTAAGTAAATGGATCATAAGTATCAATTAATGGAACTTGTTATAAATCTTCCCCTGATTTTTCAAATAATTGTAGAAAATAGAATAGATTTTCAGGTTCTTACCAATTTAATGAAAGTGAATTTAACATTTTTCGAACATCTGATTTTGTTACTACATCTCCTTTTATTTTTTATTTATTCCAAAATTCTTATATCTTTTTTTGATTTTGTTTGAGTTAAGCTTTCATTTTAGTTTAAGCTAATTCAAAATCAAAAGTTGGAAAATTCATAAAAGTCTTATAATTTCCAATCATAGATTTCAAATTCTCTACTAATTAATTGCCATGACCAGTAAGTGAATTTAATATGGATTATACTTTAATATCATCTGTATATGAAAATGGTTCTCTAATTATAATGAGGATAAATTTATTTACTGGGCAAAGATATGTCTTAAATCATCAATTTTAACTGTAACATTTTATTCTCGAGCTTGTTATTTCAATCCTTCTAACATATCAGCAAATTATTCAACTGTAATTCCACGATATATCAATTTAAATCTTAATTCCTCTAAAATTAAATTTGGTAATTATGTTTGTCTAGGAGTAGGTTCTTTTTTAGGTTTAGCTTATTAAAGTTGTTAGTATTGTGTATCCTAAATCTATTTTATTGTTTATTTAAGATTCGTTTTGTCAATCTATAATTTCTTGATTTAGTTTTTTAAATCTTGAATTTGTTTATCCAAAGTTTCCTGTTTTTATTAATTTTTTTTGTACAATTGCTAAATAAATGTATCAACAAAATACTTGTAATTGACGTATCATTTCATCTGATTATTGAGTTTTTTAATTAAGTGCTTTATTTTCAGCAATCAGATTTTCATTAGTTTTGAGTAGTTTTTGAACTTCACTTTCAAGTTAAAGACTTTGATTATATTTACTATCAATATGTGATATAAATTATGTACCTTAACATAGATTAGAATTATGATTAACTCTCTTCTATAAGTTTACGCATACGTATTGTTTCATCAAAATAAGCCTTTCGATCACACTCTAACTCTTAAAATTTTGTGACTTTAGTATTTTTTTTAAGGTGTTCAACTTAGACTGTACGTTCTTTGAGTTACTATTGAAGGTCTTTGTTCTATTTTTTGAGTTATATAAGTAGTAACTCATTGGCCTTCTTCTTATTTGGTGTTTACTCTGTCATGTTTTCACAGAGTCTCTCATAATTAAGTAGCTCTTTCTGAGTATATGTGGTTGGCTTACTTCGGTCTGTTAGATGCGTGTACGTAACTTGGTGTTTTCTTCTTTTATATAGTTGTTTTCAATTTTGTAATTTTGAAGTTCCATAAAAAGTTTCTCTTTATCTATAAATTTGAACTGTCTCTTGAAATCATCTGCTTCTAGCTTGATCAATTGATTAAAATTCTTTTATGCCTAGGAATTTTATGTATCGTTGTTATTATTGTTATTAATTTTCATTTATATTAATCACTTTAAATGTTATAAGAACGATTGCTATTCAGGTGTCAAAGGGCCTTTTGAAAATACATTTTCAGTTTCTCCAAGTAAATCTAATTGTGATTTTCTAATGTAATGTAGAGATTAGATACCTGTTTTCAGATTACTTTCCATATGATTTTGTCTCATCTCTTTGTATATTCAACCAGTCAGCTTTTTCATTCTATTTATTTACTATCATCTAATCAATATATAATATAATATATACTTAAGCTTAAGTTGCAATATCATTTTATAATTCTAAAAGTGATTATTCTAATCTCAAAATTTAAGCATGTAAATAAGCAACAGCACCTTCTAATGATTGATTAGCTATTTCTAAACGAGCACTATATAATAATAAATTAATTAATACATAGCTTATTAAAATGCTGCTTCTCTAGCATCATCAGCTTCCATTTCTTGTTTCTAACTAAAAATTATATCAAATATAATTTGTACAGTTAAAATAGACTATCAGCTAAATCTTCAATGACTTAAACTACTCTCTCTAATGCAGATTGATCAGATTTTAATGTTGAATCTTGAGCCATAGCAAGTGATAATGAAACCAAAGAATTGAAACCTCTTCTATCTGGGAATCTTTAAATGAATTTTTTGTGATGATGTTCAATATCAGCAAAGATCTCTTATTGAGTAAAAACAGATCCAGTTTTTATTTATTAAATGAGTTTCTTGCCTTAATTCAAAGCAGCCAATAAACCAACAATTTCAGATCTTCTTTGATCATAAGCTTTCTTGCTTTCTTCTCTTTCAGCTGTAAGTGAAGCAATACGATCTAAATTTCTTTATTTTTCAGCAAATTTGGATTCACCTTAAGATCTCTTATCATTAAGTTCCTCCTCTTTCAAAGGAACTATTGAAAATTAGATATAATAATTATACGCTATGCCTCATCTTATGCCTTTTATTATTTAGCTTTAGCAAGAGCTTAATCAGCTTCATTAATATATTATGTAATTTGTCCATTTCTATTTTGTAAGTAGTTTGTATGTTCAGTTTAAGCTGCATTAATGTCAACTTATAATTGTCTAATAAACTATAACACACGTTCGACATTATTTCTGAAGATTGAATATAAATATATACTCTTGAACTTAAATTGTTTGTAAAATTGTCTTTCCGAATTCAGATTGACTGAGCTTGTTGAAAAAGTCAATTCTTTGATCTGCAAATGTGAGAGTCACAATGCATAGCAATACAAGCAATTTCATTAATTAAAATAAAAAAACGGGTTAAAGAAAATCATTTATCTAAAAGTAATAACTCAGCTTGATATTCAGCAATCTGTCTAAGAAGCCATTCACAGGGATAATGTTTTTTCAAATTCTAATAAACTTGAGCACATAAATTAATCTTGATTTAAAGATTCATCTTTCTATCCATATTTAATTATTAATCAAATAGTAGATCAAATTTTTCAGGCTCATCAATTAATATATTGATTTTTGTTGTCTTAGATGTCTGTACTTTGATTTAATAAACATTAGGAAATATAGGTCTTTTCTTAATCTTTTAAGTACTCTCTACTTCATTAAGTGAACTCGCATTTGTGGTTTTTGAAGAATTGGGAGGAGATATTTCCAATTTCTTAGAAATTATTGTATTGTAATTTGTTGTATTAACTTAATTCAACAAATTGCATTAAACTTTTACAACTTTTTTTATATGAATCTTTATTGATAGGATAGCTTTGCTAACTTTGAGTAAGATTTCTAAAAGATGAAACAAACGTAGAATGAGGATTATAGCATATATAGTATCTGTCATAGGAAGGATATCCATAACGATCAATGCATCAAAGCACATGAAGCAACCATATATGAAGTGATAAGAATCATTTGATTTATGAAAATGTCTAACTATATTTGGAGTGAGTAACGAGGCAACAACATATCTAACAATCTAGGAACTAATGTCAATCCAAATGTACCTTGGTGTCAACCCCAAAGTTGTAATTGCATTCACGAACAATTGACATACGTAATACACCTTAAGACATCACTTTTTATGGTAATTTTAATCTAGAGTACAATAGAACATTAAGGGCTAGCTCAACACTTCCCCAAACAAATTCACTCAAATTTCCTGTGATCATAGATCCGTTTTAAAATAATATAATTTATATATATACTACTATATATTATATAAAATCATTTCAATATTCCATTTTAATATTACTGAATGTTATGATACCATTTCGTTTGTTATATTGTAATTTGCATTCTCTAAATTAATCTCTATATACTTAGCAACACCCAAATCATTTTCTCTTAAGCTAAAATAATTTACAAAATGGATTTACATAAAATATCTCTATAATAAACTTAATGGAAGACTTCATAATAAATCCAAATCTTGAATTTTTCATTAGTGTTAATAGATAATAGAATTTGTTCATAGTAATAGTAAATTGTTATAAATGCTCTCTATATTAGATCCACCTAATAATTAAACGCTTAATATCAAAATTTATAAAGATAATACTTCTTCACCCATCATTGATATCTAAGATGAATCAAATTCTTATAATTAATCAAGATATTTCGATTGTATCTATTCTTAATCCTAAATATATAACTGATAAATTATAAGCAATTCTTAATAAAGTACTCTCTTGCTATTTTCAAATATCAAAAATCTTCTGCACCAATTTATAATAGAGAATAAGCAATTTAATATATTTTTAATGAATACTGATAAAAAGTATTGCATGATAAATTCATTATACATAATACATCTATTATTCCTAAGTAAAGTGAATAATATAGAAATAGTTTTATATGGAAAGACATTTAAAACTAATCCATAATTTCTAACAAACTCTTAAACATACTTATTAATAATAAGGTCAGGTTATCTTTATCTAATATCATCGAAAACTTTCAAGATAAAATAATTACTCAGAGTTGTTATAATTGGTTTTTTTTGTTTTTTTTCTTGATACTTCCTCTGAGAGAAGGGATATTTAAAACTTTGATTTTTAAATGTTATCATTCTTTTAACTTATCTTTTTGCAAAATATTTACACACAATAAAATATAATTAATATCTTTCAATAATGTAGATAGATTATTACATTAAATGAATAATTGTTCATGAGATAATTTTATATTTTTAGCAAAATGAATTAACCCAAATTTAAGAGTTTTTTATTAGAATGAATTAATGTTTAATTAAATAGTTAAATATTTTACATGAAAGTTGAATGGTATTAATTATTCTTTATAATTTTACTTCATATTCTTAAGTTTCCTTGAATTTAACTAATGAATTGATATTTTATAGTGAGTTAAATCTTATATTCGTACTTATTTAATAATGTAGTGTGTATCATTTAAGAATCTTATTAAAACTAAATGTAATAGTCATTAATTTTGCAAGCTAATCTCATAAAATCAAATATATACGCCAAACTAATCAATATATTTCTTAAGAATTTATCTTTTTATATTATTACTTGAAATTTGATAAAATAATATAGTTACCCTAATTAACATTTTTTAAATTGTTATAGAATGCTTTAGAATTATTTACAATAAACTTTTTGAGAACTATCTTATGAATTAATAATAAAAGTAATTTCTAATATCTTTTTTGAATATACTTAATCAAAGTATTTATCCTATAATGTTCTGATGCAAAGAGTACCAGAACAAAAAATGGAGATTACATATATTGATATAGTTAATATATATATATATATATATATATATGATTATTAATAAATTAAAATTAGATAAATACAAGGATTGAGTTTATACATTACTAAAAACTGTTATAAACATTAATTTAATAATAATTTAGAGTAATTCATTTTTGTTGAGGAAACATTTAAACAATTAACTCATGGAGGTTCTTTGCATCCAATGGTTTTGTGAGAAAGTAGTCCATTCCAGAATTGAATGACTATATCTTAGTATCTAGATCTGTAAATCCAGTATTGGCAACACACCATGCTCTTCTAATAGTTTTATTTTTTATTAGACTTTTGATTTCTTTAACTGTCTAGTATCCATTCAAAATGGGCATATTTATATCTATGAAAATGAGACTGTAATATTTGTTTTAACATATATGACAACCTATTTCCAATTTTTACATAATTTTATTAAGTGCTTCTTTTCCATTATATGCATAATCACATTTAGCTCTATGTTTTTGCATTAATAGCTAGAGACTCAATATGTTAAAGTACTCATCATCAACAATTAATACTCTTGCACAACAATTACTTTATATGGAGCATTCAATAATTTCATATTAAAATTTAGGACTGAAATTTCTTGGTTCTTGAATAATTAAGAATTCATCCTCACTTATTGGTACAGATCCTTGATCTTAGACTAATAATAATTTAGGTTATCTAAGAACATTATCATCTTCAACAAGAGAATTCTTATAATTTATTGAATCACTGCTTTGACTAATAGATGGTAATATAAATTTAACTGAATTAGTGAAAGGTGACTCAATATATGAATTACCAGAAATAAGTCTAATGATAGATCTACTTGATCTGAGTTCAACAGATTTCCTATTATCATAATTGCTAATTTCATGTAAATGATTTTTGATCAAGAATGTAAAAATAGTTCCTTTTTCCTTTTAATCACAAATTATAGGAATATTTCGACCATTTAATCTTTTGATTATACTATTTGAAATACCAATTCCTAAACCACTTCCAACTGAATGAGGTGAAATCTTTACAAATTAATTCTTTCCAATAAGAATATTCTACATTCTGGCCATCTCTTCTTCAGTCTATATTGAATAATAAATATTATAATACTAATCCAGGTCCAGAATCTTATATGGATATTTAACATTGTGATTTATTAGTTTCAATTTTAATACGTATTGTACCTGTAGTTGTGTATTTAACAGCATTATGTAAAAATTGAAAATATACTTATCGAAATCTTTATCTATCATTGATAATATTAGCATTGATTAATTAATAATCATGTACTAAATTAATCTACTTATTTTTAATAATATCAATCATTAGAGTCTCAATATATTTGACTTCATCATTGATGTTAAATTCCTCTAATTTTAGATTGAATTATTACAAGCTTATTAAATTGTAATCTCTTATATTACTTACAATTAAACCTAATTGTTCACTATTAATTTTAAGTGGTGAAATGTACTTTTACTTAACAGATTCAGGTACTTCATCATCATGCAATGCCAAACTTGAAAAAACCATTATACTATTAAGATTAGTTCCTAATTCATGAGATAAAGATCGACTAATATCCATCAATACTTGATTACTACTATCATCTTGTAATCTCTTAATCAATAATTGACTTAAATATGAAAATGAAACAATAAAGTTAAAACCATCATGATGATAAATTGGAATTAAGTTTAATGTTACATTCTCTAAATCAAAAACTTAACTCTTTAAAATAATCAAAGATATAAATTATGTCTTGATATTATCATTAAATTTTAGCATGAATTCTTTAAAACTGTATATTTATTCATTCTCTCCAAAATTAGAAGAAATTACTTGTAATTACATAAATTATTCAATTAATATAATATTTTAAGGAGTAGATTCATTAAGCCAATGAATTTTAAGATCAAAATTACTCTCCAGAATTTCTAAATTCTCCTTGATAATAATGAAATTATTAGATTAGAATAATTTGTAAAAGTTTAATCTTGGTGATTAACTTGGGGTAACTTCGTAATCTTATTTAATCTTCTGATTAGATGTCAAATCAATAATCACTTAATTCTGAATTAAATTTTGTTATCTATTCACAGGGTAATTCTTATTCATCATTTTACAAAGTTGAATCAAAAAAATAAAGGCTATCACTAACTCTATTGTTAATATTGCTACATTCTCAATAACAATTCTATCTTGATTAAATATATTTAACATTAAACCAAACATTCCAATCATCTCATATAAAAATATATGATCAAAAATGTTCTTAGATTTCAAGGATTAACACATTATTACTTAAAGTAAGAAGCTAACTCCTTGTGAATTACCCAAAAACCAAATACCCAAATATTTAGTACAAAAACTTAAGTAGATCAAAATTACTTTGAGTTTGTTGTTTTCCAATCTCGAATTAACCATTATTTCAAGTATAATTGACAATCCAAATAATGATCCCACAGCCATCAAATTCTAATTCTCTTTAATCATTATAATCAAAATTACAAATATAGCAAATGTATACACTCAGTCCTGTTATAAACATATTACTTATAAACTGCATGCATATTACAAATTCCATTTAATTATAATATTATAATGATGAATTTTAAGAGATATTATTTCAAAAATACATATATGCATTAAGTCAAATCTCAAGAATTAATGTTAAAATTAAAACCCAATACTAAAATATAATTAATTTATAAATCAAATCTTCATTTATATTAATAAATATTAAATAATTCCTTCTCACTTTCATTATTATATCTCACCATTAAATATCTATCTAATTATAAAATATTTTAGTCTATCCTAATATTTCTTTTCTCTCCATTAATAATTAAATTAAACCATTTTGGAATATCATAAGTCCAAACATCAATCTAATTAAAATTAATCTTTTCATTATTTATTTTTATCACCCATTTATCTTTATTCTTATCTTTATCCCATTTTAACTCTACAACATCTGAACTCATTTCTTCATATATTTCCATTTTCACTTTCTAATTACTTTCATTCACTAATCTCACTACAAATTTCTAATTCTCCTTATAATCCACTTCTAATATCATATTCAATGGTTTCTTAACTGAAATTCTTTCATTTTTTTAATTATTTTATTGTATTAATTCTTAATATTTCTCCTATAAAGAACTTCTCCCATTATTAATTTTCACATTTTAAATTCTCCTAATCTAATCATTTATCATTTCATTTAGATTATTATTCTTAAATTCATTCTTCTCTAAAATATATCTCATTCCTTGATATTTAAACTTCCATACATCATTTACATCATGGAAATACTCATTTCTTTTGATAATTTATTCAAATTCATTGTTCTATACTGTTTCCTTCTAAATTATAGATATAATATAAAAAGCTTCTAAATTACAGAGCACTTTCTATTCTAAATATTGTAAGAAGGGTTCTATTTACATTAATAATTCTTGATTTAATTTTGGAAAATATTTAATCTTATCCTATAATTATTGTTTAATTGATTTTTCAATATAATTCTTAGTTAACTCTCTTAAATCAAATTTAAAAGTATTTTCATGAAACAATTCTCTTGACAATGTATTAATAATGAATCTAATCACTTCAAATTCTAAAATATAACAATGATTTATCTTCTTAATCAATTCAAATAATTTCTCTTATTATCTTTCACTACATTTAACTTATCCATTTAGAAAAGGGAGCCATTCAAATCTTAATAGATTATCACTATTCTTTTATAAATAATCAAATGTATTTTCAGCATTTTTCTATATCCATTATAAATAATGCTTTAAAGAATAAAAATCTAAATCTGGCACTTATAATATGTCAAAATCAATAAATCTATTAATTGTATATACACTTTTGTGATATGATATTATATTCAGTAATTTTAGTGAAATTGTTAGACTGAAATTAATAAAATCAATTTATTTTGCTTCCTAAAATAATTGACTTTATTGATTAACCTATTGGTTTTGCTGTTGATTAACAAGATTAAGATATTATTTTACCTATTTATCAAGAAAATATTAATTAAAATGATCTCTAAAATCTTTTGACAATTCATATATACTTTCGTATAATTATTAAATTGTACTTAATTTAAATTTCTTAGGAATTCCTTTCTAATACATATGCTAACTATAAAAATTTATTATTTAATCATAAGTTTCTTTTTATTGTATTTTATATAATTTAAATCTTGAATCCAAAATTAAATACAACATTTAACCTAATATATCAAAATTCCTTCTCTTTCTCTCTTCTTTCTCTATAATTATATTAGATTAGTTTTCTTAATATCTATATTTTTTAACTAGAAATTCATAATTTTTATCTTCTTATTTCTAAGCAATTGTCTATCTTAGTAATTTGGCCTTTAATCTTTCAATCTTATTTTCTTTTTCAATTTTTAATTTTTCATCTTATTTATTAAGTCTTGACTAAATAAATTATTCTTCTGATTTATTTTTATCTGAAATATTCTTTATATATTATTTTTATTTATCCAATAAAGTTTATTTAGGTTCCTTCTTCTAAGCTTTCTTGATCTCTTTAACTTCAATTACTTTCTCTTCTGTATTTAATTTAGACAAATCTAATATTTACAATGTTATGGATGATACAAATTTTTATTTTTAGATTAATTTATCCTGTAATTCTTTAATTTAAGTACTTAGATATAATAGATAATCAAATGTAGTTAAATCTTCATCCAAAAACTTGACTTCCTTAAGATAAAACACATCAATAATCAAACTTTTATTATATGGATAATTAGAATTCACATAATTAATAATAATCTCTAATATTTTTAACTATTTATTTCTCAATTTAAAGAATTTAAAAATGAATGGGATTTGATCTTAATAATGATTAAGTGATTATTAAATAATAAGCATTTCATCCATATATTTGAGAACATCTTGATGATGTTTTGATTCATAAATAGGAGTTTGAGTTAAATAATAGAATGGCATATGATGTATACGAATTTGTAGCATTTTAAGAAACAATTAATATTAACCATCTTTTTCTTAAAATTTATTATACCAATCTTCATATTAAACTTTAATTTATTCATATAATATAGATGATTAAATTCTAAGTGTATGAAGTGCATCACATAATGAATTATCTATTATCAATAATTACTTTGTATTTTCACATTTTTCGTATGCTTCTTAAAATTAAATAAGAAAATTGAAAATCTTATCAACATTTTAATTATCAAAGAAATTATCAAATTTATAAGAATTAAGAGCATCTTAACTAATTTAAAGTTATTGTATGTGTTAATGAATGATATTTTTCATTTGTTCTTTAGTAGTGTTGTATTATTTATCAGATTGAATCTTAAAACCTATTGGAATAGAAAATAAATCAATTTTCTCATTGATTAATTTGATTTGTTAATTGGCTTTATAATATGACCAAGCTTTTAATCTCTGTGTTTTATCATTAGCTTCTAGATTGATTTTAGAAGTTTGAATGATTTCATATTTCTGATTAATGTTATTATAAAAGTTCAAGGAATCTTGTAAGAAGCTAATTTGATCTTTTAAAGTATTTTTTAGTTTATTAATTAGACCTTATTCTTTGAGATTATAAGTCATAGTTTACAAAAAGGTTTGAGGTATTTACTAAAATGTAGTATGATGATCTTGATTTTATTGTTATGGAGGGTCAAGATCATCACTAATAATAGTGACAATGGAATTCAATAATTATTCTGGAGTTTGAATCTGTTATTATATTTATTATTTAGGAGGACGTTATTAATTATGGAAAACATGTGATGGACGCTTAAGTTATTTTTTCTAATAATCTGATTTCTAAGGGTTTCAAGATATATAATTACTGTAGGTGGTGGTTTATATAGTCTTTGTGAGACAGAGGTGATTCCATCATGATGTTTAAGGATCTTTTTAATGAGATAGATGAAGTCTTTAAATTAATTGGAGAGAGATAATAAACAAATATTCATAATAAAGTAATTTAGTTTTATTAATTCATTCTTCATAAATTCCTTTATCTTGTAATTATCTAATGTAATTAGTTATATTTTGACATATAGATTGATTACGAGATTTGAGAGATTTATAAAGAATATAGGCAGAATTCTTATAAATACTTGGAAATTATAATTTTTGTGTATTTGGTTCAGTATGTTTTTACAAACTTTAATGTCTTTAGATATTTTTATTGCAAGTAGTAGAAATATTGTCTGTATTGATTTCATCATAATTTCTTATATTTTTTTTAATGATTTCACTTTTATCACAATTAGAAATAACATCATTAATAGATAGTCTATCTTTTTTATCAACTATAATTCTAAGTTCTTACTTTTTATCAGATTAATGTAATGAATTAGATTCACTTCTCATAACTCTTTTATGTTTATACCTCTTAACTGCTTCAAATTATATAATGTCTATTCTTTTAGTAATTGGAGACTTTTCAATTTCCTTCCCCATACAAAATAGTTTCATATCTAAAAACCTTTTAACAGCAGACTACAATGATATTTTAGTTAAATCTATCAAATGTTGAATTAAACATAGAAATATCTACTACTTGGAATTGTGAAGTAATTCATTGTACAAAATGTCACTTTTTTAAACGAAACCAAAATGTTTATACAACTCTATGAATACTTTGCTGGTGGATGTGAGAGTGATTTCATTAAATCGTGTCTTAACTAATGTTATCGTGTACATCAAATCCTGGTGCAATTATTTTAAATATTTGTTTTGCTCCTTCTTGGAATTGAGCTAAATCCTACTGTGTCAATTTACGAAATTAATTAAGTGAACTCATAAGGTCAGTCTCTTAAATTTAACGAAGTTTCTCTCTATACTCTACTTTATAGTAAAGATTACTAATTTATTTTATTGCCATAGTATTATTGAAGATATTCTATATGTCAGAAACCCTCTCTTTCATTATATCAATTATTATCATTTAATTATATATTAATATATATATTAAATGAATAACACTCATCAAAAAAATCCCATTCAACAATCTGATTTACAAGAATAAATGTATTCCTATAAACCACTTCTAGATAATTCTTATACCATCATCAAAAGTCTTGTGAAAAATAAGGAAAATACTTGGAAGCAGATATAGCCAAAACAAAATTGAATGAATTGACTAAAACATTAGATTTCTAATATAAACATGAAGTTGCTGATAGACATTAAGATGAAAAGTAACTAATAGACAAAGCTCATTTTGATGAATTTAATTAATTTAACATCTTTTGGGATGAGAAACTAAAGTAATTTGATTCTGAGGCTAATAATGCAAAAGATGAGATTCTATCTAGACATCAAATTGAATTGACATCATTTCTTGAAGAACTTGATATTACAATTCCATTAAAACCAAAAGATTCGGCATAATTGTTAAAATTAAGAAAGACAGAAGAACAATTGGCAAAGTTAGAAAAGTAATCAGCACCTAAATCATTTAAGTTATAAGGAAGCTCATATGATCTAATAGAGAATATTGTATTTAGAAAAAGAAGAATTTAATAAATGGAATCATACTAGATAGAACAAAATTAGAAATTTAATATAATAATTAAGGTAGAAATAAATAATAGAATTGAATGCTTTGTAATAACGTATACTTTCAGTACAAGAAGAATTAAGTAAAAATAAATCTTAAGAACTATAAAAGTATTTTATAATAATATATAATTAATATAGAATGCTATCAAAATATTAGCATGTAAGAAAAGGATTAGAGAATTAATAGAATTAAGAAATCAATAGACTTGAAAAATCCATTAAAAATTAATCAATTATGTCTAAAATGAATTCTTAAATGAAAAAACCATAAGATGAAAATTACAATCTCAAATGATCAAATTTATACAATTATCTAATTCACAATTCAATCAATTATTCAACTATTTTAATTCCTCTTACATTCCCCAATAAATCTTATATTGCATAATATCTATATATTACAATGAATGTAAATAATTCATCTATTTTATTTGAATTATTTTACATGAGCCATCACATAATTACTATATTTTTATATGATATTATTTGTAATCCCTATTTTATTTAGAAAAATGAATTTCCTAATAAATTTTCTTGTATTCTCATCAATCTCATCCCTCTATAAAGTTTACATATCATTATCTAATATCTTAAATTCAGGAGCCATAATCTCTACTCTATTCTAATAGTTCTCTATAAAATATTCACTAAATGCTATTTTTTCTAAGTTGTTTCCTTACCATCAGCAGGATATTTTTCATTATATTTGTTAGCCAATTCACTATATACATATGTTTTCAAAAAGAATCTTAAATGATCTATGTCTTTCTCAGATTAAGTGTTTTTCTCATTCAACTAAAACTATTAAAATTTATATACTAGACGTTATTGCAATAAATTAACATGTAATGCAAATGTATTCTCCATATAATCTGGTAATTACAAAATTGGAAATTAAGTAAGTAAATAATCAGACATGAGATATTATTTCAATTCTAATGCCAAATTATAACAATTTTTATTCATGAATAACGTATATGGACTAAATGAGCTTAATTTAACAACAATCCAATTACTTTTATGTTTTTAGTATTCGTGGAAACATAATTTAAATTAATGAAGAATATCTCAAATTTAATTCAAGATGAATCTCAAATCAATTAACTTAGACTTAGTGGTCATAGAAAACATCCATCTCCTTAAATTCAGATATATGACAAATTAAAGTCTTCTATTCAACTTGACTGTTAGAATAGTTATACTATTAAAATAAAAACACCAACAAGTTCTGATAAGAAACTTTTTGAATATAAGAATTAAAAGGATTTAGAATTATTAGTCTCTTTAATTATTTAACCTTGTTTACATATGAATAATTGCATACATGAATAATTATATGAAAAAAATTAACAAGGCAAGACATTTAGATAGGTTTGTGAATTCAGAGTAGATTGGACTAAAAAAATAAAGAAAGCTGAGAAACATTTTGAAAACTCAATTCAACATAAAAAAGTTTAACAAATACAATGTTAAAATAATGATTAATTTTAAATTATTATTCTTGAGGCTATTAATAATAAAGAGACAGCCTTAAAAATGATGATTGACTAAGCCAAGAAAGAATCATAATTCATTGAATATGCTAAGAGATTTGCAATTCAATATAGACAAAGAATGGATTATTGCGAATCGATATTTAGTTAATTTGAAGACGTACAAAATCGTAAGAAATATATCTATCCACCTTCCTTCTGGTCAATTCTTGATTGTTCTTGCAATGCTACTATGTCATGAATTTTTTAATTAATTAACCGTTGATTTATTTAAATGTCAAAACACTCTGAAAAGAAAACTAAAGCAGTCGATTATAGATATGATCATCTTCAATCATACTATTAAACATATGTTCCTACTCCATATGTAGCTTCTACATATGAATAACCAATAGTTTTACTACCAAATATTCAAACAACATAAGTCATAACAACAGAACCTACAGTAATAAGAGAGAGAAGAGTAGTACAAGGAGAATCATAATTTATAAAATAAGATCATATGATATAAGAATAGAATTGCTGTATACCTTGTATGCCTTGTGTTTAATGTTGTGACAAAGAATAAAAGGTTGTTACAAGATAAGTAGTGTTAAAAGGTATAAACAATTAATATTTATAGAAAAGTAACCAATAGTATAAAATAGAAATGAGGATTACGAAAAGAAATTGGATGAAATAGAAAAATTACATATACAAGAAATTAAGGAAATGGAATTAAAGATGTAATAATAATTAGATCAATTACAGAATTAAAAACTATAAGATGAATAATAACGATAATTATAAGATTTAAAACAATCACTCTTTGATATTAAACATTAATTAACTTAAAGAGTATAATAAACTCAACCTTAATAATCTTAAATTATCAATCCATATTAAATCGAAAGATTGGAAACACAATTAAATAAGAAAAAGAAAAAAATTAAGGAATTGAAACAAATAATAAATAATATTCAAATAGAACTTTAATAAAAGACTAGTTTGATCTAAGATTTAGATCTCAGATTAAGATAACCATTACCTTAATCTGTTGTTCATGTTCCAGTCCCATAAGAGAATTATGAATTAATTAACTAAGTGAGATATTTAGAATAAGAACGCAATGCTTTATTAAGAGAAATAGATTCTCTCAAATTCACTAATTCAGAATTATCATCATTATCATTTAAAGATGATCCTGAGAAAATTAGATTAAAATAGGATTATAGTAGAATGATAAATGATTTCAGATTTGTAGAATAAGAAAATATTAAGATGGCAACAATTATAGGATAAAAAGATGATTTGATTAAATCCTTGGAATAACGAATCAGTGTTGAATTATCAAGATAATCGATTTTACTTTAATAGTAATCCCCTTAAAGAGTTATACTTGAATAAACTACTACTACTCGTCCAATTCAAACATAATATGTAATAGATTCATCTCAATCATATCCTCCATAACCAATTCATAAGTAATACATTATACAAGACTAACCTATCTAAACTATGTAACCAACACTTTTACAATAACAATAATAAACACTTCCAAATGTGAAAATAATATCTTGATCAATATACATACATATAGTATTTAATATCATTTATAATTAATTCTATTATTTTTACATATTATTCATTAGATTATTTACATTTATTGTCTAATCTTTAATAGTTAATACATTATATAAAGGATAATTCTATTTAAATTTTATTAAAACATGGAAAATATAAATCTGTATGATATTATAAATAGGAAATATAAAGTAAGTTAACATAATTTTATTATTAAATGATATATTTTTGTGTTACTCTATCTATCAAGATTATACTTAATTTAGTTAGGCATAAATATTAATTAATTAACAACCCCATCCAAATATGAGCAATGGTAGTGTGTGCAAATTAAAGTAGTCTTCTTTATCGGCCGTACTGATTTGGTGGACTTTATACCTCACGGTTCAGTGAATTAGATCCTAGTTGATGCTACTATCATTAGATTATTCGGAGGATTCCGTTCTTTTTTTCTATTCGGCAATCGGTACTTTAATAAAATAGTTAGGGATGATGTATGGGTTTTTGGTGATAACTCTCATGCTTAATTAGGATTAGGTGAGGTTTCTGAAGTACAAAAAAAACCTTAAAGATTATATTGCAATTATGAACTTCTAACTTGTGCTGAAACCTATACCTATGCTTACAATTGGGAAGGTCTTTATTATTGGGGCGAAACAAATTTTGGTTGTTCATAATATAAAGGATTGTGTTTGGATCCAAAATAATTACCTTAAAAAGGTGTTTCATAATTATGTGCATAAAATGATCGATTTTATTATATTTAACATGGTGATTTATATGGTAGTGGATTTACCCATTTACTTGGAGTTAAGACTAATGTAGTTTCAACTTCAAAACCATTACTAATAATGAATAAGATAGTAAAGATATCATGTTCAATAAGTCATTCTTTATTATTGGATGAGAATGGATATGTTTTTTCATGGGGAAATGGTAAGAATGGAGAATTAGGATTATAAATGGCAGGATATACATTCTAAACTTATTGCAGTACTCCTACTCAAATCAAATAATTAGAAAGAATTCAAGATATTTAATGTGGAAATCACTATAGTTTAGCTTTGAATTAATAAGGAATTGTATATGAATGGGGTAATGGATTATAAACTATGACATTTGAAGAAGCTTTGAAGATTAAAGAAGTTCAAATGCCTAATTAGTATTCTAATATACGTAAAATTCATGTAGCTTAAAGTTAAGCTGCATGTGTTGATCAATTAGGTAGATTATATTAATGGAATTCTAAATATCCAAAACCATAATTAATAAAAAGTGGGTTTCGATGTGAGGAATTTTTATGTGGAGATGGTATTGTATTATTTATTGGGAATGAATAAGCTTATTAAGTCTCTGAACATTTTAAATAATAAGTAAAAGAAAAAGTTAAGAAATATAAAGATTATGTGGAATTAAAGAATAATAAAGTTAGAAATGTATTCTATGATGAAAATAAAAGAACTAAATGTTTATAAGAATTAAATTAGAAAGTATTAGAATAGTAAATTAAACCAATTTAACCTGAAGATTTTTTATATTCTCGTCTGTAAAGAAAACAATCCTTATATGTTATGTAATTAAAAAGGAGAAGTACAATGATGATATCTGAATTACAAACATTAGGTTTCTAATCAGAACACAAACCTAGATTTAGTACAATTAAATTTGATTTGATAAAAGAATAGATGAAATAAGGAAAATTGCAATTGCTAAAAACAGATAGAGATGTGAAAGATAATAAAAATGTTTAAGGATCTTGGGAATAGTTTAAACTTCTTTCAAAGAATGTGAATTAAACAAATTAAATTAAAAATAGAATTCCATTACACATTTTAAATACAAAATTATAGTAAGCTATAGAAATTGACAAGGTTTCAGATTTGATATTAGAATCTGAAAGATTAAATCCTCTTTACATTCCTTTAGACAACATGGCTAAGATAATTAAATCCTAACCATAGACTTAAAGGGAATCTCTACATATTCAAGATACTGAATAGAAAGAGTTCATTGATGATCCAGACATTATGAAATATGAGTATGTGAAACGTATCTATAATGGATATCATGAAAAGTTGCTAATGGATAATCTAATGACAAAAGATTAATGTTTCTTACCTATAAAATGGAAAAGACTAAAAGATGATACAAAACTATTTCAAGGCCGCTATAATAGAATGTAATAAAGACTTCAGAGAGAATAAAGAGATGCTAAAAAACTAACGAAAATTACAGATTTATAACATTTATGACAATTTCTTTTTCTTATAATTCATATCTATTATGGACATGTTGGTAAAACTAATTTTTATCCAAACGTATTTAATATCCAAATAACTACACCGTTAGTCCATCCAAATCCTGTTTATACTTCATATTCTCCACCTCCTCCTGAAGTTCCTATACTTGTAGCATCATACTTCTCGAACATGTATCCCTTCCCATATTAAATTATAGATTTTTCAAAACAACAATAAGCATTATTGATAACATTCTATGATAATTATAAGGCAAGTTCCATCTAATCATTATTGATCAATCCTTAAATTATCATTTAATTAAGAGGAGGCCATGAATTAGGTAGATCCCATTATTATCCTGTATTGAATATAGAAGTGGGGATTCCTCCAGGATATTATTATATCATTTATTTCAAATTGTCTATCAATTTACTATCTGATTTTGATTTTAAAATTAAAGGGAAATAATTTGATGCATAAAAATTCTTATTAAAACTTTTTTGTCTATAATTGTAATCATTCCATTAATATGTTTCTTTATTGTAGAATTTATCTAATAATATTTCCTCTGTATTCTTACTAAGTGTTTCATAAAAAGTTTGTTTGGCTTAATATCCTAAAATCTTTGAAAATGAAGCTAATCTTTTCATATTGATTATCATGAATGTATTCAAATCAACACTTAAAATATCTGATGTCTATATGGATTCTAATGTTTTCTAATCTGCAAACCATCTTGTAGAAAAGTCCCAACCACTTTCAGCTCCTGCTGTGATTTCATGATACATATGAATATTTGCATGTCCAATTGAAATATCTTCATTATATGACTCTGGCCTTGGATAATAAATATCAGAATCATAATGATACAACATCACATCACAATAAACATTTTAAAATATCAAACATGCTCTTATTGATCTATGTTCATAAAAATATTAAAACTCCTTTTCTATAGCTTCAAATGATTTAAGTATAAACTATTTGGCTCTCTCTTATTATCCATCTTTAATTAATCCTTAATATATATTGTAAGTAATCTAGGCCAAAACAGGAGGTTAAGTCCTTCCTTTATAATATATTCTAGCACCATTAGGTATGTAACCAAGTTTATTTATAATATATACGAAGTTCTCCTACATTTTTATGGCACTATCAAACATTTTACTGATTATTAATCCATCTATAACCCACATTGTATCCCAATAATAGAATTCTCTAAATCTACCACCTGGTACAAAGAATGGATTTGGAACATATAGTATTGAAGAGGATTCTTCTATATCTTTTTTAAATTATTTGCACAATTCCAACCATATCTTATTAATTTCTAAACTCCAATCTTTTAATTCTTAAACCTTTAAATTATCAACGTAATCAGGTTTTTCTTTATAATCACTTGGTATGATAGATTCTAAATCACTGCCTGCTTCATTAAAATTATCAGCTACAAATGTTGTCACTTATTCTTTATTTTTAATATCAATATTTTTCCAAGCATTTAAAATCTCAGTTTCTGTCTTTTTCATAGTCATATCTACAAAGGTTTTTCCATCATTGAATATTTTTTATGTCTATATGGTATGTAGAATGTTTCCTTAACAAAATATTGGATGAGTGCATTGAGCATTAATATGTGTAATTAAAATAAATAGTATCATAATTATTTAATAGTGATTTTTTCTTATTGAATATAAATGAATATTTATTTATATTTATTAAGTCTGTAAAATATAATCAAATTCCAATGACTTAAGCAGCAGTTTAACCTTGATATCTATCCATTTTGCAAACATATATGAAATGATAATTATTTAGATCTGTAGCATCGAATTCTAAACTTTTAGTTCTGACATCTGGTTTATACACTTTGCTGTATGTAATTTTCCAATTATATTCAGATTTACTTAAATATGGAAGTCTTTAATCAGGGAATCCATGAGATATAATAATATAAACACCAGTATCTTTTTTTAGGGCTCTGTAGATGTGATTTATGACTTTTTTCGAATTTTATGCTGAATAATCTCCACTTAAAACTGCATCCAATAATCCTTTGTCAAATACACAATCAAATGAATCATTTGGAAATGGTAAATCTCTTGCATCAGCCAATACATCTTTATATATCTATTTTGATTACATTAAAAATGAGCAGGATAAGATTTATACTTATCTTTCATAAATTCAATAACTGTTTTAGAAAAGTCTAGATTAACTATCCATTAATAACCTTCTTTATACATATCTTCAGGTATATCTATGGATTGGAGTATTAATTATGATACTTGAATTTCCACATCCAATATTGAGAATACGACTATTTTGATTAATATATTATGTAACAATGTCTTTTAAGTTATCATAATTTTAATACCATTCAAATGGCTTATCATTTCTAGAATAATTCTAAACTATACTCTGAATATCTTCTTTCCCAAAATTCTAGTTTACCATAATGATTTTTCTAAATAGCTTCTTATTGTTATTTATTCATAATTAATAATTATTATAAATATTTTAAAATTTCAATTGTTTATCCAAATTTTTAATTGATTCATTACCATTCCACTCTTTCATTCTTGATGATTCACTTAGACAATATTATTCCAACTAATTTAAATATTCAAATTGATGCAACACAAGATGATTAGATTGAAATTTAATCTTTGGATATCCACAAATCAATAAACTAAAATATGAGAATTAACTCAATCTTTGAATCTGTTGCATTAATTAATGCATTGGAAATACAGCTGTATAATTTTTAATGTCATATTCTAATTTATTTGAAGTAAATCTTTTCAAATTATTAATAGCCTCTTAATTTTTTGGTTCTCCAAAGATATTTGGAATCCCTTTCAATTTCTACATATTTAATATTTATATACTATTCTATAATCTTATATTGCATAAACCAAATCCTTTTTTATTTTCCTACTGTATTGTTCAAATTTATTTTCAATATCAAAATAGTCTTATCTAAGTATTGGTATTGTAACATTTAATTATTCAACTAATTATTAAATGTGTTTTATTGGAAACTTATCATTGCTCAAAGATAACAACAGTACCATACTTGTATAAAGCTCTTACTCTAGCGCATATCAAATAAGTACATCAGTTCCTTCAAATATTATACTCAAAGCATTTTCATAAAATCTTTCACATTTTAAATATTGTGGATTGAATTATTTCAATTAAACATGGTATGTTAATGATACTTTTGGTCTAGTAATGAGAACATCATTTGCTTCTCCTTATTTAATTGATTATTAGGAAACATTCAAATTTTAAATTTTATTTGCTTAAGTAGATTCATCATCATCAATATCTTCAAGATCTATTAAAAATCTCATTATTTATTAATTTTCATATTTCTTAATCATTTTTAAATTAACTGGAGATTAAAGAGCAAATCTTCTTGGTAATATTCCATCTGCATTTTCTGTAAATAATGATACTTTCTCTTCCTAATTGTTAATTAAATAAATTACAATCAAAATTTCGATAATTTCATAATTACTTTTAAGAACAGCTAAATGCATTAATGATAAACCTTATTATCCTGCAAGAAGATGAAAATTAAATTATCCAATTTATTAGGCATAAATCACTGCTTTATTTTAATTATATCTCACAGCTAAATGTAAAGGAGTCCATTTCTCTTTGTCATATTCATTTGGGTTTTCATATTTTAGTAATAAATTTGTTAATTTTTTAGCAAGTTCTAAATCCTAATGGAAATATTAAAACACATGATGCAATAAATATTTCTCTTTTGGTTTACTTCCTTTTATAATTTAATAATATTTACCATTTAATAGATAATTTAAATCACATAATCTAAATTCTGTATTAACAGGCTTAATATTCTCTATTTATTATAGTTTTTTCATTTATATAAATATATAATTAATTATCTTAACAGGCAATTACAATTTATTTATTAAATGATAATTTATATTCTCTCTTTACTCAGTATTATTAATGGCCAATGTATTGAGAATGCCTATTTATAAATTCCTAATTCTGTACAAAAATAATAATATGATACTGATATTATTATAAGATTGGAAGGAGAATACATAATTGGCTATGGAGAGGATTTCAAAATCAATGATAAATCAAAAATACAAATTCTTTAATCCTCATTAATATTTGGACCCCAAAATTTTGAAATCTATTGTCCAGCCATCCATATTATACCTGATGAAGAAGAGGCAAAATGTGAAATCATAGTAAACATGTATTAAATGAATACAACAGAAATTGATAAATTAGCTTTTGCTTAACTTGTAATTCCTGTTGAAACTAATAATAATATTAGAGAGAATCCTACTCTTCAAATTAAAAATAATTTCTAACTTCGATTAGTAGATTTAGCAGAATAATTAAAGGATGTTGATTATTTTGTATAATATGAAAATTGTGGGAGAACAATATTTATTTTATCTGATTCTTTACCAATAACAGCTGAACAAATAGTAATTTTATAAAACTATTCAAAATCATTGGATTCAACAGCTCGAACTGAGCCAATAACTCAATTAATAAAAGGTTTGATTTAAGTAGAAAATTATACTGTTGACAAAAGATCAACAATACATATGTTTGCATTATTCACTATTATTTGTGGAGTTATATTGTTAGCATGTATTAGATCCTTCAAGAAAAGAGTTGAAGTAAATACCCCTTAAAATGATGAATTATTGAATCAATAAGAGTTGAAGGTTTTAAATTGATTAATTAATATATCAAGTAATTGTAGTCATATTGTTTTGATGAAGCTTCACTTCGATATATTCTACCTCTAGTATCCTGATAATCCAATTCTGCTCTAAAATTTTGTTAAATTCCAATAGAATTACTATTATTATTGTTAACGGTTATAATCCTAGATTAGAATTAAAATAATTATCAATTAGTTTAATTTGATATAAATATTTTATAACTCTTGAATTACCAAAATTATAGAAGAAATGATTTAATATATATATTAATATCATAGTTTTTCAATCTATTTATTTCTCCATTAAAAAATAAATAATAAATGTCTTCTTCTGTTACATTCTTATAGATATACCTTTAAAGTCTAATTACTAAACATTTAATTAAAATTAAATGTTACAATAGCAAATTTAAGATTAAAATGAAATTAACTCTTCATTTAATTTGATTCCAAGAAGTTCTTATAAACCATTAAATCCAAAAGTAAAAGTTTTTTATTATTATGTTGCTCCTGGAAATAATAGCAAACTTATTATTTCAGCAATGCAAAAAAGAAAAAATTGGTAAGAATCAGAAAATTATTTATTTCATTTTCAATGGAATATGAATGACAAGAACTTCCAATATTGCTCTCTCAATTAATCATAAATTTAAATTGTTAATCATTTACCTAATCATAGAGAACTTACTTTGAAATGCAATTTAATTAGAAATTTAAAATAATTTTGCTAAACTAACAAGAAATATGTATGGGATATCACTCCATTATCTTTTATTGTTGAATTTAATGCACAAGAAAATAATCTTAATAAAGTTCTTAAAGAATTCACACTTGCATATGAATAATTCTAACCTTTAAGTTCCATGAAAACTCAATTTAATTACTTTACCAAACATAATAGTTAGTATTTCCTTCCTAAAATGCATCATAGTTTCTTAGATGAAGAAAATAATTATATTTGGGTAATTAATTCATTTAATTATTAAGATATTGAAACCAAATGAATTCAATAGAGGAAGAGGTATCCAATTTTTTAGAACCATTGAAGAACTTAAGAGCTTATTAAAAAATTTTAATAAAGGAAGTTCTGAATATCAATTTAGTTAAGGCAAAATTAAATCATCATCTTTCGTGATATAAAAGTACATTTAAAGACCATTATTATTAGATGGAAGAAAATTTGATATAAGAGTTTGGGTTTTAGTAACTTATACATTTGATATATTTATTTTTAATCAAGGTTATGCAAGATTATCATCAGATATGTTTGATTTAAATAACTTAGATGCATTTATTCATTTAACAAATAATGCAGTTTAAAAGTATTCTAAAAATTATGGATTTTTTGAATTAGGAAACTAGATGTCATATTCAGAATTGAATTATTATACAAATGGAGAATTTACTAAAACAGTTTTGCCAAAAATTAAATCTATTATTGTCCTTACTTGGATGGCTGTACAAAATACATTTAAGAAATGTAAATATTCATTTGAGATCTTTGGATATGACTTTATGTTAGATGAATAATTAAAGCCATGGTTAATTGAAATTAACACTAATCCATGTCTTGAAGAATCATCACCATTATTAAAAGAATTAATACCAAAAATGATAAATGATGCATTTAAAATAGTAATTGATCCTTTATTTACTAAAATCAATGAACCTACAGATTGGGAGCATCTCTTACAATTATGATTAATTAAACTTCATTATTAAAAGATTCAAAATTAATTCAACCTTTTTCTAAATAAAAATATTTCTTATATTATATTTCTGGATAATATAATAGTATTTTAGTTTGTAATTCTTAATTTATAGCCTTATTGTATGATGTAACATTATTGATAATTCTTCTGATATTTATTACAATTTAGAATGAAAATTGAAAATGAATATATAATTAATAAGATTATTTTCTTTTATGATTAGATTAATTTGAACAGAATTGAAATAGTAATGAAACTAGATTTCTTGTAATTAGATCAAGAATGTATTAATTTGTTCTTAAAATTTGTATAATATAAAATAAAAAAAAAAGTAAAATTAAATTGATTTGAAGTGTTGACTTAAAAGTCTCTAAGATAGATTGGATTAATTGAAGTATTAAATTCTGAATTTGAGAGAAAAATAAATATCTTTAAATTAATTTAAATAATAATGAGTGAATAATAATCAAAGGGTGAGAGTTAAGAAAACTCAAGTTTATTATCTTCATAGGAAGAACAATTAAAGAAATAGCTAAAACCAGTTGAATTGGTCAATCTGTCAAAGGGATCTTCACAATCCTTAATTATAAATGAGTAAACTTCAATTAGAGAAGAAAGAAAAATGAAATAGTATTTACAACGTATACAGGAGAAAGAACGCCAGGAAGAGGTAAGTTTCCTTTAATTTTAGTTTTTAAAAAGGCTGCTACACTTAAGCGTAAGCGGTCAAAGGTAAAATCTTCAGAATATTCTAGCCTAACCCGCCATTGAAACAATAGGACAGTCAAGAATAGCCAACAAGCTCTGAAAATAAGGAGGAAGAAGTAAAGTATGTTAATTTTGTATATATTAAGTCAACCTCTGGCTTTGGCTGTCTAGTTAAATCCATTGTTAGTCCCTTAATAGAGTGTACAATAAACAGAAACACAATCTTCATCAACAAAGTTGAGACTGAACCCAAAATTAAAAATGAAAGTATGACATTTTTTATATATATTAACAGGAATAACACCACATCTATCTTTACTTGTCGGATTGCTAAGATAAAAGTTTTGAAGGTATATAGAAATTATAAGACTCTGCTACTCAATTTTATTCACCCTAAAAATAAACTAAAGATTAAACAAGTTTAAATCAAATAAATCAAGAGATATTTTAGGAAACATCATATTTAATAAAAAATATTAAAAATTAATATTAATAATACATTGAACCTATACAAAGTATAAACACAAACGATTAGAAAGAGTTTTACAATAAATATTTTGATAAAAAGTACATTGAATCAGTCATAAGAGAGAGTAGATTGTAAATTCATAAAAAATCAGGATTAGAAAAATAAACATCAGTTGGAAAATAAATTCCAAAAAAATATTGATACTTATAGATCATATCAAGAATTATAGAAATCTGGCTTTTCACTTCTGTTTGTATATTTTATTTTTCTTTTTTCTCCTAAAATACAACTAATAACTTTAGTCAATTTTTTGTTGGAACTTTAATACTGTTCATCCACTTATTGAATAATGTACAATAATTCTTTTAGTTCAGCTATCTAATATATTTTCTTTATTAATCCAATCGACTTTACAGATCGAATCAGTATTTCCTTCAAAATATCAAGAGTTTCCTCTGTAGACATTAATTCAGGTTAAATAAGATCTAAAATGTTTATTTATTTTCTTTTTAAATAATCATCATCCCCCTATTAAATAAAAGATTTAATATTGATTGAATCTCCAGTTGCAGCCGAACATCTTACTCCTGTTGTAATTTCTTCAGATATTCTCTTTGTTAATTTGTCTTCTTTATGACTCTAATTCTCAATCATTAGTATTTAATTTTGTTATATCAATTTATTATTATCTTGTTGTAACTTTGATATTTTCTAATAATAATTTTATTAATTATACATTTAATAATATTTCATGTTATCTAAGCTTTTCTGTAAATACTTGTTTTAAATCTATAAATTCTTATTGATAACTTTTATATTCATCCACTAATTAATTTAATTATTACTAATTTAAATTTGATTATATATATTAACTAACCACTCTCCCTTGTTCAATACTCTTATTATTTGGTGATAATTTTAGTTCATTTAAATAAAAATCAGATTCTTTTTAAATCAATTTTTGTTAAAGCTATAGAATCTTTTGATTTAATTCTGTATTTTTATCTTAAAATGTTTTATTCTAATCAATTAATTACTTAACTTCATTATTCTTTAATTATAATTTCTTTTTTATTTTTTCCAATTCATCCTTAAGATCAAAAATAGTTTATTCTTATTCTTTTTAAACTTACTACATTAATTTTATTTAAGAATAGAGTTCTAAATTTTTTTTATCCTTTTCTTTAAGTTATTATTATTATTATTTCATTTCATTTTATAAATTTTGGTTTTACGAATATTTATTCTTTTTAGATGAAGACAAATTTTTAAATGAATCATTCTTTAATTATTATATATCCTTTTCTTATTCAGATATTTTTATAAGTAAGTCCTTAATCTAATTTTAGTATTATTATTTGATTTAAGCCATTTCATTGTTTAAGCCAGATCTGTCAGTTTAAATTGATTTAAAATGATCTAAATTATCTGCATCTGTAGATTTTTAATATCCTTAGTTTCTTGGAGATTAAAACTTTTATTTAAACTCTTAATTTTCTGAAATCAACTTTATATTAATATTTTTTAGTTTTTCATATTCCTCTTAAAATTATTTCCTTTCTTGCTCTTCTCTTTAATTAAATTGACTTTATAATTAATTTTGTAATTTATTGTTCTACTCAATTAAATTATTATTTTGTTCTTTAAAATATTCAATTTAATCTTACAATTCTTTTAATTATTCTTCATATTATTGAAATGCTATATCAATTTATTCTCTTTATTTAGTCAACAATAAAGTTACTACTTCTCTGATTTAAGTTGGTACAGACAATTCATTCTCTATAATGTTCTTATCATCTTTAATTGAGCATTCTTATAATATATTTTTTAATTCCTATTTACTTTATGAACAAGATTAACATTTAGAATTGAGTTCAAATACTTTAGATCTTTTAATCTCCTTTGATTTTATTTCTGATAACATTTTTTCATCTTGTTTTCGATATTCCATCTCTTTTTTTAATCTATTAGTTAAATTTTAAATTTATTATTCATAATTTTGAATTATCTCATCTTTATCAATATTATTTTTGAATTCACTTAAAATTTAATCCTTTTTTTCTATTTCTTATAGAAGGTTGTTTACTTATAAATCATTTTCTTTCATTTTTTTAATTTATAAATTTAATTCATCAATAATTTTATCCTTTGCTTTAATAACCTCTTACTAACTAATAATTTTTTATGATGCTATTTAAAGGTTTTATCCCCTAAGAGCTTCAAGAGTTGAAAAGTCTTTATGCTTAGCCTATAACAATTTTAATTTCTCTTCAATTTCAATATATTTATTTAAGAGAATATCACTGTTTATATTTAGTTTTTACTGTTATTTAAAATTTAATGAATTTTCATTCGAAAACTCTATGCTAGGTCCTTAAACTTATGGAAAGATATTTTTGCCATCTCCTGGTGTTACATTATATTTAGACCAATCAATTAATTTATTCATTCTTTAAGGTGTCATAGATTCCAAAATTGAATTTGATGCTAGCATTTAATTTTATTAATGAATTTGTTCTTCTTATGTTAATATTCTTTTCTTTTGATGATGATAACAATTTTATTAGGTATATACTTTTTTAATAGCAAATTTATTTGGAGTTCCATCAGATATTTCACTATAAGATGTTATTGTTATATCTATAGGAGGATAAGGAATTTTATCCTAATCTTATTTTAATTCAATATTCTTTTTAAAGAGGAGTTCATCTAAGTCTTTGTTTCGATTCATAAAGAGAAAATTCAAAATTATAAAATTAATTTATTGTTTTTAGTAATTCATTTTTTTCTTTATTTTAAAGATGATACTCGTTTATGTAACATTTAATCTGTTGAAACATTTGACAATAATTATTGATAATCTATATTTACGTCTTTCTAACCAGCAGGTAAAGTATTTTATCTATCTGCAAAGAAATTATTTTAGGAAATAATTCTTTTCAAACCTTACAACTTAGATTAAGCAGGACTTTAAATAGTACTAATCTATTATACATTACTCATAGATGATTATCTAATTATATACTAAATATATACTAAGATTTTATTCGTTTCTAAAGAGATTGAAACTATTCTGGAGTGAATTTTTGTTATTTTTGATTCCTTGTTTATGGAGAAGCAGGTTTTGATTAATACTCTTTTGGTTCAGTGCTTTTCCTTTAAGGTTTAAATTTTTGATTTAAAGCTAATTATTATTAAGTCACCATCATAAAATGTTATTATAAAATTTTTGCCTATTCAGTTTTCATTTATTTTTATTCATATGAATCAAAGTAAAATGCCTTAAATATTCTAATTTCTTATTAAAGACCTGCTTTTCCCAAAAGCTTCTCTCTTGTTTCTAACTCTCCTTTCATTAAATCATTAGAATCATAATTAAATTTTAGTTGATTAGGTTTGAATGGAGGAGGAATCTATTTCTATAAAATTGCCACTAAATCAACATCTTTAAACCAAGCATGAGTTAATAATTCTGTTAATCCTTTATTTGCTCCTAATCTCTCAGATGGTTGCTTGCATAATAATCCTTAGAGCAAATCCTTTGATAATTAAGTATTATACTTTAATCTCTGGTGATAAATTTAACTTCTCTGGAAAAGATAATTCTTCATTAAGAATAGACTCATAAATCTCATCTGTATCTCTTGAATAATAGGGTGGTAATCCTGTGACTAATTCAAATAGTAATGCTCCCATACAATAGTGATCAACTTAAACATTATGTCCTACTTTCAATAACATTTCAGGAGCCATATATTCTGGAGACCCACAAAAACTATAGGCATAATCTTCTTCTGTCATATTTGGCTTAGATAAACCAAAATCTGCTATTCTGATGTGACCATCAATATCAATTAAAATATTCTCTGGTTTTATATCCCTATATACAACTGATAATGAATGTAAATAGAACATAGCTAAACAAATTTCTGCAAAATAAAAACGAGCTTGATCTTCACTCATTCGTTTAACTTATCTTAATTACCAAAATAATTCACCCCCACTGCAAAACTCTAATACAAATACAATAAAATTCTTAGATTCAAAAGCATATTCTAATTTAATTATAAAAGGATGATCAAGCACTGTCATTATATCTCTTTCATTCTATACAATACCTTGTTTTTTATGTTACATTATGAATTCCTTGTCAATTAATTTCATCGCATAAAATCTTCCATTTGATTTTTTTTTTACCATATAAACTCTTGAAAAACCTCCTACTCCAATGCATTTTACAAATATAAAATCTTTAAGAGTAATTTTACTTTATTATGGAGTTCCATAAAAAGGTTGTAGATGTAATGTTTATCCACTAAAAATTTCTAAGCTTTTATTTGCTTATTATAAATAATAATCTATTGGCAAATTCTTATCAACAGTATGAAATGACACTATCTCCAAATCTGATGACTCATTTCCTGTTCCACAAGTTACCTTTCTTTCATCTGGTTAAGACCCTGTAGATGAATATTAATGAATTGAATGCTTTTTTACTTCTTATTTCAAATATTCTTCCAACCATCCTGTTGATTTTTGAGGATCAATTGTAAATTTTATTTGTTGATTTTCATGATTAACAATTATAATTATCTAATTGGCTGGATTTACAAAACTAATTTTGTTTGAATTTTATGACTTTTAAGGTTAACTTGTGCCTGAAGATATTCGCTTAGATTCCTTTTATTAAGTCATCATATCAGACAAATTTGCTTTTTTTGTACCAGATTATAATTGCTTATGACTTGTCATCAATTTAAGCAATTCTTATTGATACTATTTTAAATTGTTCCCTTTTTTTAATCCCATGCTTTAATTTGTTTTTTGAGTTGGACTTAATGATTAACCTATTAATCCATTAGGATTAAATGATTAGCTTAATTTTTATGATGCCTTTGTTGTGTATCTAAATATTATTAAAACTTACGTCTTTAATACGCTCTGGGATACTATCTCTTACAATTATTATTGCTATTTTGATAACATAATCAAAATTTAAATATTTTATTAAATTTATATAAAAAAGAGACTATTCACTCTATTTTTCAAAAAAATATCTTATTCTAAAAATTGATTTTACTTTTATAAGATAGTTATGAATTATTTTATTATATTGAAGAATATAGAGAATTAAAATATTATCAAAAAACTTTTTAGATTAGATTTATTCTCACTCATTATTTACATTTTAATTAGAATCCATATCATATTTTATAATTTGTACACTTAATCATCTCTTTTGATTCCAATAAAAATCTCATTGTCTTCAAAAAGTTTAGAAATTTTGTTATTTTGAAACAAAATATGTTACACGATGATTAACAATTACTAGTCTCTGAGAAAATAGAAAATTCTTTGTTAATCACAGATTTTTTGAAGTTTCTTGTCTAATTAGAATATTAGTTCTTTTTCCTATTAACTTTCCGATGTTTATTTTATTTTCTCAATTTTTGTAAAATTCTTCTGAAAGCAACATATAATAAATATTAAATATTCTTATTTGCAGATGAGTAGTCAGGCATGTATAGATTCCTTTAAATGAATAGTGGGCATACAGCTTGCTAATAGCTAATAACATAATTTACTCTTATTACTAGGTAAAAACCAAAAATAGGAAAAATATAAGTTTCATTTTTTTCCCTTTTTGAAAAAACATATTTCAAATTTAAGACGTTGCTGCTTAATTTTCAGATAAATGTAAAAAATCAAAATAGGGAAAAAAAATATAATATTCAATAACAGTTTGCAAAATCTTTTGATTGTTAATTATTAAGGAATTTTTAGAAGCATAATATACATAAATAAAAAGTAAAGTCTGGTACATAAGAGAATAGAATAACCTTTTGATATCAATTAAGGAATGGCAGAAGGGAGGTTAAAACATAAAATAGCATCAGTTCGAAAATTATAAAAATAACTTTCAATCTGTAACAATTTTTCTAAAATTAACCAATATTTGACCCAAAAGTGAAAATGTATCTTTAGAAATATCAAATTGAGATTTAAATTTAAATTTACTTAACAAATTGCAATGTAAAAAAGAGATTTAAAAATTATAATGGAACAGATTATGCCTCTCAAAAAAAGGAAAGGATTCCAAAATAATATTAAATTTTTATTTATAAATTCCTGCACTTTCAAGTTAATAAAGACATCTATTGTAAAATTTGTTTATAGACTCCCGTCCTAATCATATCATTGCTGAGTTATATGGCATTAAGGAAAGTTGAATTTGATGATATTGTTAATAAATATATAAAAAAATCTCCTTATATTAAATCAACATTTTTAATGAATTCTCTTTGTTCAGCATTTTTTGTTTCTCTCTGAGCTTACTTTAAATTATTTTGTGTTCTATTTTTCATTTTATCTTTTTCTGCCTTTTTTTTTGTTTCTTTTTTTCATCCAACCTTATTGCATCTTCATTCAATTCTTATTCTTAGGTTGATTATGATATTTGTAATTATCTAAAATGTCATCGGAATTATCCTCTTTATTTTTATTTGTTTTATTTTTTTTCAATTATCAGATGTAAAATCAAATTTCATTTAAAATAATGATTTTTTTAATTATTGGAATGGTTTAATGTCTTTTTAAATGAATAAATCTGACATCATTCAATTAGCTTCAATTTTTAATAATCAATTAATCCATAGGTTTATAAATACTCATCCTTTTCATCTTAGATCTTATATAGAATACATCTCTTTCAAGCCATCATGAAAGTCGATCTCATTTTCTTACTTTTGTCTAATAATCCAATATATTATTTAATACTCTATATAAATATTAGTAAAAATTAAAGAAAATTTGATTATGATGCTTTATTGAACCAAAAATAATAAATAAAGCTATATTGCTTATATAATTTATAGTGAGTTAATTATTAATAAATTAAGTATTTCTCCTTATATAATATAAAACTAATTTAAGTCTGGTTCTAAAAGAATATACAGATCATAATTTTTTTTTAGTTAGCTTTTGATATTTTTTACGAAAAAATAAACATTTATAAATTTTATTTTTTAACAGAATTTAATGTGAAATTTCAATATTAATAAAATAATTTATTAAATTGAGATTTAAAGCATTCATGCTATATACTAAAGCAATTGAAATTTAGACTATCTCAAATAAGCTTCATTGAGGTAACCAATATTGAAATTCAGGTTTCTAGTATCCTTAAAATTTGTATATATATCAATATTGATCCCTGCTTTAAAGATCTATATACGAAATTGACTAAGTTTCAATTGATCTAATATAATCTTAAATTGGCATTTTGCCCAACTCAAAATAATAAACAAACTTTTTTTAAATAAAAAATAATACATTTATTATTTAAAGCTCTAGTTTTGATATGAGAAATTAGGGGCTTTGATGCAATCTCCTAGGAAGAATCTTTCAATAAAGAATAGCTCATCCCAAGATCCCATTATATTTACATCTCCAATTCAAATTCTTCTCAAAGATTAATAGATTATCCTTTCTAGGTTCTTTGAGACTTTGGCTTTTAATAGGTAGACTTTTATCTGATAATCTCCTTAGATGCCTTTTTAAGAGAAAAATATTAATAAATCAAATCTTTTTAATTTTCAGCTAAAAAATTCACAATTAATTAAAATTAGAAAATTAATATAATATCATTATATTTGAATCGGATATCGAAGTCTATAGGCTTTGCATATTAATTTTTTTAATGTGGCCTTAGGAAATAGTTATGAGTTAAATTTATCTCATAGAGAAAGACTATAATTTTCAAAAACACGAGGTTTAAAAAAAAACTTTATTAAATACTATTGATACAATAATCTTATATTTAAAATACAGATCTTCTATTCATGAAAAAAATATTGTTATCATTTACCTTTCTATAAATTTTAATCTGAAGCTATAATTGAAAATAAAAAAACACAATAAGAGCAAAACATTTTTATCATAAATTAAACAATCTAAACAAAAAAAAAAGAAAAAATTTTCAACATAAAAATCTTAGAATAAAATTACAAGTGTGATTCAATTTTTAATTCATTTTTAATTCATATTTTTTCTTATCTGAAGTTAAATTGATTTAGTATCCCAAGTTATTAAATATTATCCGTCCTAGCTCATGGTACCATAAAAAGTATCAGTTTCATAATTAATAGCCTAAATTAAACTAAATTAATTATGTTGCTTTTCTTCTTTATGAAAAATGATTTGATTTAAATAGAAACCATTTTTATTGAACAAAATCTATTAATTAGGATTGTAAAGTAACTGAAAATGGTTATTACAGCTTTAATCACCACCTTCAACAAGGCATTCTTTAATTAGGATAAACTAATTTAGGTTTAAACTTAATTAATAAATTTAAAGCATGTTGTGTGGTTCTGGTTTTCTTGGTTGAAAAGCAAAAATATAATCAGTTAAGAAACATATTCTATATCCAAATCCTAGAATTTATATTTTCTATTTAAGGATCCAATTTTTAGTGTTGCTCTTCTCCATTACTAAAATAAAGTTATCTTTTGAGCAAGAAACAAATAAATTTCCATAACAATTAATAGACAATCCAAATACTTCATTTGAATGTTCCTTAATCTCCTAAACACATTTTAATTGCGAAAAGGAGTTATTTAAGGATTACCAAATCTTTATTGTACAATCAGAACTGCCTGTTATTATGAAATTTTCACCAGATATAGGCAAAGCAACGCAATTAATTTCAGCAGAATGGCTTTTGACTTTTAAAAAATATTTTCCATTGGATATTTAATTTAAAGACCATAAAATAAAATAGGAATCTCTAGAACCAGAAATAAAAATTTAGTTCTATCTAAAAAAGTTCAGAGTTGTAATATAATTTAAATGATTCAAAAGTACATTTATTTATTTTATTATTCCATCTTTAAGTTAATAAACAATTATTTTTTGGTTAGCTCCTGCCACCAAATGGGTGTTATTACAGTTAATTCCAAAAGCTATTAAGAAATCATAATAAATGATTGTATTCAAAGTTGGTAAACTAGAGATAAGCTTATAGTTAGATATGTTTCTTGAATTCAAAATTTTTTCTTAGTAGCTTTATGAATAAAATTAATTCATTAGAATTAAAATTATAATATAGTTTCTTCATACTTAGAAATGCAGACTTTCAAGAGCAATATTATTTATAAATAATTAAAAATAATGTAAACTCTTCATTAAACTAGTTATGAGAATGAAATCTAACAAATGTGTAATCAGTATTATTACTTAACAAAAGAGCAGCACAACTATTTTGAATAAATTGTAGAATGTCTAGAATACCTGATGGGAAATTATTATAAAACTGATAATAAGGTATAATTAACTAAAGATGGAACACTTAAGTATATAAAAGATGGAGAGATTATAAGAATGTAAATACTTTCATAAACAAATCTTAAGTGATAGAATATTTGATTAAACGAAAGAACTTTCAATACTAACTAATCTTGAATAGATTAAGCATTTAGTTTGGGATGGAGAATTCAATTAGAAATATTAAAGAATTGGAAAATGGAGAGTATTTTGGAAAGATTAAGTATTTAATGCAGGGGGAAGTTATGATGAAAATGGAAGGAAAGAAGGCAGATGGATTGAATTATTTGAAAACTTTTGGGAGTATTAATTTTATTGATAAAGAAATGGTTAAGTTACATTTTCTGGTGAATATAAGAACAACAAGAGAAATGGAAGATGGAACTTTTCCTTTTAGGATAAAACTATGTAATTTTACCATTATTTATTTCACATTTAAGTGGTGGAGGAATTTATGATGAAAATGGAGAAAAGACAGGATTGTGGATTGAATTGGATAATGGTTTCAGTTGGTATGTTATTTGAATTTATGTTATTTATAGCTTAAGCTAGATTACTTATCATGGAATATATGACAATGGAATTAAATAAGGACAATGGATTACCAAATTTAAAGGTCAAGAAATGTAATTCAAAAGTAATTTTTTAGTGGAGGTGGAATTTATGACGAGAAAGAAAAAAAAATAGGAAAATGGATAGATATAAGCAAGAATTTTTAATAGTAAAATGTGATATTCATTTTTAGAGAATCTTAAATTATTTATAGTGGAGAATATTATGAAGGCCAAAGATGTAAACAATGGGACATCATGTTTAGAGAAGAATAGTAGGTAGTATTTCAAAAAATGTAAATTAATAATTGAATCTCAAGTGGAGGAGGAATGTATATAAATGGAGTATAAGACGGAATGTGGAAAGAAGTAAATGAAAGTTTCTAAAAGTACTTTTCACTAATCAACTCATAGTGATTGCAAAATCTTTTTTGTTGGATAATTCGAATATGGCAAAAAGATTGGAAGATGGAATGTTATTTTCTTAAATACTATAATGTAATATTCATATATGATAAAAACTTTAGAGGAGGGGGAGATTACGATAATCAAGGGATGAAAACAGGAAGATGGATTGATCTGAATAATAATTTTTTTAGGTATTAATATACTATATTGCGTAATAGTTATAGCTAATTGATATTTACTGGTCAATATATTAGCGGAAAGAGAATAGAAAAGTGGGAAATATTATGTAGATTTGATCCTTAAAAGGAGTTTGAATCTATGTAGTTTAAATCTATAATTTAATAGAGGAAGTGGTTAATATGACTAAAAAGGAATTAAATATGATGTTTGGATTGAACCTATTGAGCATATTTGGAAGTAGATAAAGTATTTATTGTAATTAGCTTGGCTTAAATAATTTATTAAGGATAATATTAAAATAATGGATAAAAATTTGGAAGATGGGACATTTTATATAATGAAGAAAATTCTGAAAAATTTTAATTGATGTTTTTAGTTTTTATAATTTAAAATTATAGTGGAGGGGGCTGTTATGATGAAAATGGTTTGAAAAGCGGAGAATGGGCTGAAGTTGATTCGAAATTTTCATAGTAAAAGAATTCAAATCATTTTATTATTAGCTCTTGCTAGGTAATTTAAAAAGGGTAATATTTAAAAGGGAGAAAAGTTGAAAGATGGAATTATCATTTCTGGGAAAAAATTATGTTCTTTATTTTTATTATAATATAGAGGAGGAGGATTATATAATGAAGATGGATAAAAGAATGGATAATGGATTGATTTGGATGAGAATTTCTCATAGTAAAAGCTATATTAATTAATTATTATAGCATCAGGCAATTAGTTTGGGTTGGGGTTTATAATAATGGATTTAGGATTGGCTAATTTAAGGAGTGTAATTTATAATGAGCTATAACATAAAGAGAAATTTAATTAGTATTTTAAATGCTATATTTTAATCGTATTTATAATTATTTTTTAAAAGAAAAATTTGTTGATTGCTTTTTTGATTACGAAGAGTTTCGAAAAAATTTAAACAATCTTCTTTCTCTTAAATAAATTGAAATTAGAAATTGAATGATCTTATAAATCATAAATGTTATTATTTTGAGAAAATTCTAAATTATAATAATATTTAAATTCAGAAATATTAGATAATTCAGATTAAAATTTATAAAATAGAAGTATTCCTAATAAAAGTCTTATAATAGACTGAATAAGTACGAAAGAGACTTTATATAATATTTTTTGTTTCCAAACTATAAATTTACATAATATTTTTTTATGCATAAAATCCTAAAATGAAATGATTTAAACAGTTTATTCCATACTTTTGGTGTAACATTTAAGCTTACATCATCAAATCTTTAATCTTTTTAATATTGTTAAGGTAAATCGAAACAATAGCAATCAAATTTTATTTTTTAATGTAAATGTAAAATTGGCTTAAAATCTAACTGATTAGCAATAATAAAAAATTCAGAATTTTGTAGAATTAAGCGTGATGGAAAGAAAATATAAGATAAAATGATATTATTCAGATGCTTGAATCTAATTGATACTTCATTTCAATAAAAAAATAAAAACTAAATTGTTTATTATAGGTTTTAGAAGATGAAAATTAAAGTAAAAATTTTTCATAATTATATTCTTATAATTAAATCAAATGCAAACTTCAGAAACATTAATATATTTTTTTTATTAAATAATTATTTTGCCTTGAAAATACGTTTTTCGTCGAAAACCTTCTAAAGCAAATTGATAATAACTATTTTATATTTTGATCTCGAAAATATATTTTGAATTTACATAATAAAATAATATAATGGAACTCATTTAAAAATTTTCAATTTATCAGATTCTGAGATTGAATGCAATTAAAGCAATGAATGAATTAATTAAAACAACGAAATATTTATATATTAACTATTCTTGTCAACTCCAATTATTTTAACTTCTTCTTACAAAGTGTAATTTCATAATTATGAGCAAATTTGTCTATAAAGTTAATTCCTGGGACTATAATTTGATAATTTAAATCTAAATAGAAGTTGGCAAACCAAAGAGATATTAATTGTGAAAAAGCAATTTTACAAATATATTCATAAATTTACTGTTCAAAAAAATGAGATTAAAAGGAAAATGATTCATAATAATTTCAAAAATACATATTTCTAAATTGAAAGGATAACTGATATGTAATGAATAACAAAGAATGGAGATTTGTATGCGAGTTCAATATTGTAATTAAGAATATATTTTGATTGATAAATATTTAAGAAAGAAATGATTTAATCATAAATTTATTATTATGTAAAATTCGATTATAAAATCATACATTTGATATCATTTGAAATTTGAAAACTTATAATTTCTAAACAAAAAAACCTCAAATTAAATCACCCCAATATTGTTAAATTTAAAATCAAAAAAAAAATTGAGTATCTATAATTTTTATTTTTTAATATGGTTAAAATATTAATAATTATTAACATTTTAGTTCTATTAGTCATTCATTCTCTCTCTACATGTTATTAAAAATCTTTTCGTCACTAATTATTTTTATTATTTATAATAATGTTTTACATTTTTTTATTACCCTTTCTTTGTAAATCCATTGTATTCCATCTACCAACTTTTTTACCATCTTTAAATTCTCCATTATATGTAATTTAATAATTCCACATGAACCCATCAACCAAAATAATCCACTTTCCCGTTTTATATGAATCTATAGAGCAATCCTCGCCTAGCTTGATAGAATATTCACCACCACCTCTTTAATTAATATAAATATTATTCCCTACATCTATGAAATTTTTTTCGTTATTGTATCTCTATAGTTAATATTCCATCTACCAATTTTAAAACCATTATTGTATTCACCATCAAAAAGAACTTCGCTCTAACTTTAATTCTAATGATTTAATACTTCCAAAATTCATCACTTAACTCAATCCATCTACCAGTCTTAATTGAACCTAGAATACAAGCACCTTCTTTCTTAATTTCATATTATCCACCTCCACTATTTGAAAATAATTTATTATCCTACATAAATTTAAACTCTTATTTTTATTCCCCTCCCTTTTTATTAAATAAGTCCCATCGACCAAACTTTTTACCCATTAAATATTCACCTTGTGAAATGACTTAATCACTCCAACGATATCCATCACTTAACTCTATCCACTTTCCAATCTTAATCGAGCAACTTTCTTACTTCTCGTCATATGATCCACCACCACTTTTTGAGCATAAATTTAGATTTTTTCATTTACATTAATTGATTCTTCTTAGAAATTATGTCTTTAAAGTAAATATCCCATCTCCCAATTTTAATACCTTAGTTATATTCACCATGATAAGTAACTTCGCTCTGACTATTTGATATAATTTTATATACTCCCAAAAACTATCGCTAATTTCAATCCACCCTCCAGCTTTGACTGAATTACCTTTTTCTCCTTGACCTGCATATAATCCACCTCCACTAATTTTATAGAAAAATAAATTTTCAACACATACATCAATTCAAAATTTTTATTTTCTCCCATATATTTAAAAAATATGTTCCATCTACCAACTTTTTTATTATTTTAATATTCTCCATTATATGTCAATTATCTATACCTAGTAATCTACAAAATTTATTACTATCCAAAATTAGCAATTAACTCTATCCACTTCCCAATCTTTACTGAGTTGTTAAAATCATCAATTTTATATGATCCACCACCACTTTTTGAGAAAAAACAATAGTAATTATAATTACATATTTTCAACCATTTTTTTCCAAATCCAAATTGTATCCCATCTACCAACCTTTTTACCGTTATTATATTCACCATGATAAGTCAATTAACACTAGCTACAAATAAATAAGTTAAATACTCCCAAAAACCATCATCTAAATCAATCCAGCTCCCAATCTTAATTGAATTTCCAGAATCATCATCTTGATATGATCCACCACCACTTGTTTAAAGTACATATTATCAATTTTTTATACATCAATTCAAAATCATTGCATACTCCACTTTATTTAGCATAAATATCCCATCTACCAATTTTTTAACCATTTTTGTATATACCATCGTAAAAGACATTACTTTTGCTTATCATTTATTAATTAAATACTCCCAAAAATCATCACTTATATCAATCCATTTTCCTTTTTTAATTGGGCCGCCAAAATCATTATATCCTTATTTTTCTGCATACTATCCACAACCGCTATTTGTAAAATTATCTTTTAGTTGATAACTCTTACATCAATTGTAATTACTTATTTTTACCCTCCTAATTACAAAAGATTTCCCATAAGCCAACCTTTTTGCCATTATTATATTCGCCAGAATAAGTAACTTAACTTTTTCTTATTATGAAGATAATTAAATTATAAATAAGGTACTTCCAAAATCCATCACTTTGCTCAATCCATTTTCCATTCTTTTAACCTTATTTGTTATATGATCCACCACCACTTTAATATATAATTAAATTGTTGATACATTTCTTAAAAACCATAAATTAACTTCCAATTTCCTCTTTTTGTACCATTATGGTATACTCCAACTTCATAGACTTTAGCCTAACTATTTATTATTCTCAAAAAATAAAACTTGCCTCCAATAATTATTAATTAATTATTTCCATAACCCTTATTTTAATCCATCTTAGGAGTAGTATCCCCCAACATTAATAAGAACTTCTCCCTTCCAACTTGCCATCCAATAACCAATTTTCTAATTATTTTACCCATATTATCCGTACCAATTAAGATATTTAATCTATTCTAAATTTTCCATGCTTTCAGAACTGAGAATAGAGTCCTTGACATTATGGCTATATTAATTTTTTTTAATTACATTCTTAAAATTAATCCATCTTTTGAATAAACTAAATTTTTCTCTTAAGTAAGCGTTGTTTGAATTTTCATTTTCAAATATCTATTATTAAATACATCCCAATATGTTGATTCAATTTCTTAAATATTAATTTATATTGGATTCCTTCCAATTTACGACTAATTTTAGTCTTATTATTTGTTATAATTTTGACAGAGCTTAAACATCTTTTCTTCATTAACTTTTTGTAATTCAATTTGGTTAGGATTATTCAATTTCATTTTTTTTAACAATTTATATTAATATTCAATCAATTATAGAAAAGAAAAAAAATATTTTGATCATCATCATATAGCTTATAGATTCCAATCCAAGATTTTACTGTTTCAACGACTTTTTCTCTATTTTAAATATCATGAAGATGAAGATGTAATTGAATTTATATTAATTTTATAAACTAAATCCATTAAATTATGGTATAAATTGATAAATTGAATATTCAGTGTTTACATCAATAATCATAGATCATTTCTCCACTAAAATTTATGTTTTAACATTTAAATACAATATTTACCTTTTTAGAAACTGAATATCTCTTTAGCCCCTTTTCTTTTGCTCCCATTTACCTATTTTAATACCATTTTTATAATTGCCATTATAAGTGATTTATTCCTAACTAAAATTAATTAAATATCTAATAAAAATTGTATACTTGCAAAATTAATCGCTCAGCTCAATCCATTGTCCAATTTTAATTCCCATTTTTTCTTCATATAGTCCTCCACCTCTAATTTAAAAATCATTGTTTTACATTTATTCAAATCTATTATTTCTCCTATATGAAATATCCCACCTACCAACTTTCTTCCCATTATGATATTCCCCCCTGTAAATAACTTGTCGATCACTATTTTAGAATAATATAAACTTATAATATAAATATACCTCGAAAATCGTTCACTTAATTCAATCCAGTTTCCTATTTTTATTCCACAATTACTTTCTTGATTATAAACATATTATCCACCTCCACTTAAATGAAATTAAAAATAATTTCTTTACATTAATTTATTTTTTTCTCCTGATCTCCAAAATACTTCCCAAAAACCTACTTTTTAATTTTCGTGATATTCTCCCTAATATATAATTTAAATCTTTCTATATTATAAAAGTTTGATGTTTTATTTTATTACTCATTATATATATCGCTCAATTCAGTCCATCTTCCAATTTTGATACCTTGATCATCATCATACATACCAAAACCACTATTTTAATGATTATTGTTTTTTATAATTCTTTACATCTATTCATTTTTATAATAAGATCCGTTCTTTTTATGATATACTATCCATTTACCAACCTTTTTACCATTACTATATTTGCCTTGATAAGTCACCTATCTATCACTAGATAATTTAAGCAAAAAACATAAACTTTGCAAAATTATTGTTCAATTCAATCCATTCACCAATTTTTGTTTCTTAATAATCATCAGGGTTTTAATCATATGAACCACCACCACTAAAATTTGAAACTTAATTTACATATATTAGAATTATTAATAATAGTATTCTCTAAAACAAATATCCCAAATACCTACTTTTTTACCATTTTTATACTCACCCTGGTAAATAATTTAACTTTAACTATTTAATGTGAAATTAATAATTTACTTCTAAAAAGAATCACCCAACTCAATCCAATAGCCTATTTTGATTTCTTTACCAAAGTCATCTTATATGTTATCATACGATCCGCCACCGCTAATTGTAATCATTTACTCATGTATTATTTACATCAATAATAATGGTTAGTTTTAATATTATTTGTAATATATTTACCATTTACCAACCTTTTTGCCATACTTATATTCTCCCTTATTAACAATATAGGTCAAACTAATTAAAGATCTTGTCCAAATTACTTCCAAAACTGATCACCCAGCTCAATCCACTTTCCTATCTTTATTGCAACATCATTAGAATTGGTATTTTTATATTCATATGATCCAAAGCCACTAATATAAGTTATTGAATTTTCTTTAATACACTAATTTAAAATTTTCATCTTCTTGTTAAAAAATGTTCCAGATACTAACTTTAATTCCATTTTTATATTCTCCATCATAAGTAATTTTAAAAGTCCTTTAGAAATATTCAATCTGAAATACTTTTAATAATTTTTGCCTAATTCTACCCATTTTCCATTCTTTTAACCAAAATCATTATATGATCCGCCACCACTAGAAAAAGTTTAAAAAATACATTGTCTTATTTTCAAAAATATACTTCCAAACTCCTATTCTTTAACCATTAAGATATTCTCCTGCCTCATAAACTTCAACTTAACTATCAGAATAACATTTAAAATTACTTTCTATAATTCTTGTTCAATTCTTTCCATAAACCTTATTTTAAACCTGTATCTTTGTAACATCCACCAACATTTAATAGAATTTCTCCATCCCAAAAAGCCATCCATTTACCAATTTTTACTTTATTTTATAGACACTCACCCTACCATTAAAAATATTTGATGTAGTCTAAATTTTCTAAATTTTCTTGTTTTTCTTAATATTCCTCAACTGAATCACTAAAATTAGTTAATAATTACGTTTTAATAATTGATCCATCACTTAGTATGTAATTGATTTCTTATTCTTTAGAATATTGTAAATAAATCAGAATTTTTATTAGTAATGGTTAATAATAATTATTATCCAGAAAAACACCTTCATAAGCATTGGAAGATGTTTACTATTTCTTATTTTTATCAATCAAGACATTTTGTTTTACTCTATCAAGTTTTGACGTAAATCCACTACTTTGAAAAAAAATATACCTCATTTTCTCTTCTCTTAAAATATTCACTTTTATTAAATTAATATCAAAATACAATATTAAACTTGAAATGTATTTTCAATTGATTTTTAAATTTTGAATAAAAATGAATTAAGTTACAACACTAGAAATATTTATTGATTAATAATTATCTTATAATAAATGATATGCTTAATGGATTTTGGCCTTTAAATGTGTGATAGGAATTGTTAATTAATTTTTATTAGCTTAGTTTCTCAGTGAGTTCTTGAGTTTACTCCATCAGACTAACTAGGAAAATGATTATTGTCATATTTTAGCAACGCAACTATTTATAAGACAAAGAGAATTACAACTCCGTAAACATCTTTTTCTACCACCGTATAGTCCATAATTACATTTTATCAAGCGTCTTTGGGCTTAGGTTAAACTAGAGTTGAGTAGAAAATTGGGTTTATTAATAAGTCAAAGAATTTCATCAAATTCATCTAATGAGGTCAAGTTAACTTGTTAGTCGAATTTAAAGTATTTACAAGCTTACATATAAAGAGAGGAATTTTGAGAATTAGAAAAAATTAATATTTATTTAGATATACCAATTTAAGATAAAATTAAAATCTGGGTTACTGTTGAAAGTCACAAAAAAACATTTAACTTCATTTTTTATATGATAAAATTATATTCTAAGTAAATCACTAATTGATCTAAAAATTTTATTTCGCATAAAAATAAGTTTAAATATAAAAGAAGTGAAATAAATGTGAATAATCATAAGAGGAATCACAATTTAGTACTAATATAAATATACAAGTAAAAATTCAGATCGAAAATATTTTTTGTGTCAAAAAATTTATTGTTTTTGACTTAGTTAGTGTAAACTTCTCTTTTTGCCATCATATTCACCTGAATTAAATCCTAATGAGGAAGTTCGTAATCTCTGAATTTCTTTTCTGTTAATTGATAGGGTGTAAATAATTATTCAATTTCAAAATTGATTTAAGTTTTTTTAATAGAACTTTCTATTTATTTTTTTGATATTTGAAAAAAATAAATCAAATAATATTTAGAATAAACATTAGGCTATTATAGATTTGAGATTTTTGAATACTGATTGTAATTAAATATATATAATTATTTTATTAAATTTAAATTTATTTTTTTTCGCATAAATTATCTAAATGCTCAACTCTAAATTTTTTAAAATTATTTGTGAAAGAAGATTTGAAAACAATGAGAAAATATGATCATTAATAATCTAATTGCAAACAACATGAGATTTATCTAAAGTTAATTTTGATACAAATGAGAGCTTTAAAATTCAAATAAATTTAATTATTTTATATTTAATAAATATATTTATATATAAGTGTTAGAATTGTAAAAATATAGTGGTATTCAAATTATATATTGGCCGAATCCTAGATATTAAATAAAAACAAATAATTCGCTTTTCAATTATATAAAAAACTCGAACCTTAATATGCAAAGGGTTAATTCAATTTAATAATTAAGTAAAGTATTAAAGCTGCTTTTAACACAATAAATGAAATTAGAGTACAAGGAATTTAGAAAATAAGCAAAAAAAAAAATTATCTTAAGACTCTCATTATTTTTAGAATTTGGAATTAATTCAACAAGTAATATCATTTCCAAATATAGTTTTTATATGATTTATGTCATAAATAATATGAAATACTTGCTTGTAGTTGACCGGTAAAATTTCTGAAATAGAATAAATTACATTTGAGATGGTTGTTAAAGGTTAAATAAAGTATTTATCAATTAAATAAAAGAAATTTGGATAAAAAGCTTTTCTTAATTTATAATAAGAGAGTTTGTGTAAGAGGAAACTAAAAAATCATTAAAATAAATAAAATACATTTATATTTTACTTTAAATGTTGGTCTAATAACACGGAAATTAAATCTAAATCATTTAAAAAACAATTAATTTGAGCCTGCAAATAGATATTAGTTTAAGATATAATTATAATCAAATCCACGAAGGAATTTTGAAAAATATTGAGTATAATGATCTTTGATATACAAAGTTGTGTGATGTATAAAATTAGAAGATAATTTAATAATTTGAAAAACACTCAAATATAAAACTCAAATAGATGTATTTGAGTAATACAGAAATTGAATCTGTCATTGATTTCAAAAATGGATGTGTTCAAATAGAGGAATGTTCATATAAATCCACATACTTAAGGCTAAATTATCTCTGAATCTACATTATAATATTATTTGATCTTCTATTATACAATTTCATATTTAAAAAAAAAAATTAAGGAGTAATTTAGAATTTCTTTATGGATATATAAGTTGGAATAAAGATAGTTTATAATACAAAGATATAGAGATTTAAAAAAACATTTTAAATTGAATAAATGAAAAATTTATTTTAATAAATAACTAGATTGTAAATGTAATATATTTATTTGAACAATAATTCACACTTGCATTTTCTAAATATACAATTTTTTAAATTAGAAAAAGCTAAACTAGAATTCATCAAGTTAAATTTAAAATTTCATCTTAAATATTATTCTTTATATCGTTTTTAATTTATATAATAACGTAAATATATCAATAACCAATTCATTAAATAAATAATCTTCATTATACTTCATTTTTAATTACTTCTTAATATATGTTATAAAAAATGGATGATGGATTATTAACCAAATCTTAGGTTGACCCCTCTTCAACTAGAATTCCGTTGTCGATTACTAAAATTCTAAAGATTTATTATTCTATAATTACTTATCACATAACATAATAGTGTTTATACGATGAGCAATAATTAAAACAGTACAATTTGAGAATTAATCTGAGATCACTTTTTATATTTTTTACTCAGTTTCAAAATCTATATTTGCTGTAGCTTCATCGATTAAAACTAATTTTGCTCTCTTTAATATAGCTCTAGCAATACACATTAGTTGTTTTTCACCAGCACTTAAATTATCACCACTTTCATTGATTCTAGTATTCAAACCATTTCTTTGGTTAATTAAATTAGTGAGACAACAATCATTAAGTACTTATCTAATTGAATCATCATCATGTTATTGAAATGGATCTAAATTTTATCTGATGGATCCATTAAATATAACAGAATCTTATTAAATAGAAGTGATTGAATTTCTAAGTATTTATAAGGAAATCTAGGAGATATCAATATTATCAATTAATATTTAACCCTCTTATGCTTCTAAAAGCCTTAATAAACTGAGAGCCAAAGTAGATTTACCTGCTCCAGTTCTTCCAACAATCCCAATTTTCTCATTGTTATTAATTTTATATGAAAAGTTCTTAAGAGCTAAAGGTAAATCTGGTCTATATTTGACAGATAAATTATTAAATGATATAAGTCCTTATTTTGGCCAATCTGGTTCCACTTTTAAAGTTGGAGTGTTAATTTCTTAAGGAATTTTAGTAAATTCTAAACATCTTTCAAATGATATCATATTATTTTCTAATGTGCTTAATGTATCGATAGTTTATTAAATTAATTAATCTAAATTAGCAACATATGTCAAAATTAATCCAATAAATGATGCATTATTTTAAATTACAATACAATAGGTGATGGCAGTCATGTTAACAATTAAACTTGAGAAACCTAATACTTAAGTAAACCAACAATTAGCAACAGTGGAAACATAACTAATTTATCTATTTTAATCTAATTTTTAACTGAAAGTTGTCAGAAATAAATTAGACTTTTAATATGCTCTNTTAAAATTTCATCTTAAATATTATTCTTTATATCGTTTTTAATTTATATAATAACGTAAATATATCAATAACCAATTCATTAAATAAATAATCTTCATTATACTTCATTTTTAATTACTTCTTAATATATGTTATAAAAAATGGATGATGGATTATTAACCAAATCTTAGGTTGACCCCTCTTCAACTAGAATTCCGTTGTCGATTACTAAAATTCTAAAGATTTATTATTCTATAATTACTTATCACATAACATAATAGTGTTTATACGATGAGCAATAATTAAAACAGTACAATTTGAGAATTAATCTGAGATCACTTTTTATATTTTTTACTCAGTTTCAAAATCTATATTTGCTGTAGCTTCATCGATTAAAACTAATTTTGCTCTCTTTAATATAGCTCTAGCAATACACATTAGTTGTTTTTCACCAGCACTTAAATTATCACCACTTTCATTGATTCTAGTATTCAAACCATTTCTTTGGTTAATTAAATTAGTGAGACAACAATCATTAAGTACTTATCTAATTGAATCATCATCATGTTATTGAAATGGATCTAAATTTTATCTGATGGATCCATTAAATATAACAGAATCTTATTAAATAGAAGTGATTGAATTTCTAAGTATTTATAAGGAAATCTAGGAGATATCAATATTATCAATTAATATTTAACCCTCTTATGCTTCTAAAAGCCTTAATAAACTGAGAGCCAAAGTAGATTTACCTGCTCCAGTTCTTCCAACAATCCCAATTTTCTCATTGTTATTAATTTTATATGAAAAGTTCTTAAGAGCTAAAGGTAAATCTGGTCTATATTTGACAGATAAATTATTAAATGATATAAGTCCTTATTTTGGCCAATCTGGTTCCACTTTTAAAGTTGGAGTGTTAATTTCTTAAGGAATTTTAGTAAATTCTAAACATCTTTCAAATGATATCATATTATTTTCTAATGTGCTTAATGTATCGATAGTTTATTAAATTAATTAATCTAAATTAGCAACATATGTCAAAATTAATCCAATAAATGATGCATTATTTTAAATTACAATACAATAGGTGATGGCAGTCATGTTAACAATTAAACTTGAGAAACCTAATACTTAAGTAAACCAACAATTAGCAACAGTGGAAACATAACTAATTTATCTATTTTAATCTAATTTTTAACTGAAAGTTGTCAGAAATAAATTAGACTTTTAATATGCTCTAATAATTGTTAATCCTTATAAGGATTCAACAAAATAACTTAGTATTGGACTTTTGGTAATTAATTCAAGTCTTTATAATTCTCTACTAGCTTACATATATATGTTCTTAATTTTTAAACTTAAATAAAAGAATAAAATAAAAGGTGCTATGATTAATTTAGTACTTGTTATAATGGCAAGTAGAGTTGCACTAATAATTTAGCTTAATTTAGTAGAAAACAAAGATATATTAATATTAATATCGATATCAAGAGAATTGATATCTTTAGTTAATCTGTTCATAATTCTACCTATAGGAATTCTTTCAAAGAATTCACATTAAGGAGCCTTAAGCAATGATTAGATTATTTCATTATGTATTCTAGATGATGATTTTAAACTAGAATTAACAACTGAAGCTGCTCTAGCATAAGCAAATAAGGATTAAGCAATGCCAAGTAAAAAATACACACTCAAATAAACATAACTATTATGATCATGACTATTAGAATCTGATGCCCATTTGGCAATCCAGAAATTAGAAATTAATTATGAAATAATCCATAAAATCATAATTAGGATTAATATTACATAATTCTTAAGACCTCCATTATATATAAAGTACTTTTGATAAACTTCATAATCAACTTTTCCTATTTGACGATCTTCTTTCAAAATGATATCTTCAGTTTTAGCCTTATTTTTATTTTATTAAATTGATTATATTTTAGATTAAGTTGTTTATGTTTAATTTTATTAAACATCTGTTTTTTGATTGGTTTTTAATACATTACTTTACTCAATCTCTTGGAATTTAGTGCTTTATGATATTTTTCCAAAGTTACCCTCATCAATAATTTTCCCATTTTATATTAAATAGATATAATCAGTATATTGACAGAAATTTAAAGCATTAGTAGATAAGACTCTGGTTTTTGATGATAAATGTTTAAGAAAACATTCTTTCATAATAAAATTTCCAACATGTACATCTAAAGCGCTTAATGGATCATCTAATAAAATAATTTATGCTCCGCTATAAATCGCTCTTGCTAAACTGATTCTTGCTTTTTATCCTCCTGATAAATTGATTCCTTTTTCTCCAATCATTGTCAAATCTCCATCTATTAAAATTTCTAAATCTTAAGATAAACATGAATAATATATAACTTGATCATATAAATCTTGATTAAATTTTTTTCCAAAAGTTATATTGTCTCTTACAGTTCCGTTCTAAATCCAGGCTTTTTAACCAACATATGCCAAATTTCCACATATTAAAATTTTAGGATTTTCTTTACTTTCATCATACACCATTTCTCCAAGTAAACCCTAAATTAACGAGGATTTGCCTGATCCCACATCACCTATAATAGAAATAAAAGCTCCTTTTTTAATATTTAATTAAACATTATTTAATATCTTTACATTTTATAATTAGTCTTTATTCCAACTAAAATTACCATTTTATATTTGAATAGAATAATCTTTATCAGTATTTTTAGAAATACAATCATCCATTATTTCATGAGTTTCAAAAAAGACACTCAACCTTTTTAATGATAATGATATTTCTAATAAAGCATTAATTGATATGGGGAATAATTATAAATTTGCTGCTAACATTAATAATAAACTTATGATTGGAAATACTTTAGCTGGAGTCAATTGATTTCCCAAATATATATATAGCCCAAAACTTAAACTTAATATAATTTGAGGTGATAACCAACCAAAAAATACATTCAATGAATAATACTATAATCTTTTATCTATACATTTTCTTTCTAGTTCTCTCAATTACTCAATTTTTGATTAAAATATTGATTCATATGAATTTATTTTAATAAATTTTATTTATTAAAATACTTCGTTTGTTTATTTAATTCTATCATCTTTGCTTAATAAGACTTATTTTTAAGATTATAACAGGTTTTTTCCCAAATAATTGTTTATTACCAATGTTAATATAATAATAGCGATTCCAACTAAAACCGATATTCCAATTTGTTAATATATAAAAGTCAAAGTAATAACTAAAAAAAATTACACTTATTCTATACTTGTTTATATTGGCATTATGATTATACTCATAATATTATTGGCAGCTGTTATAATCTTTTATGCATCAACTTGCATCAAGTTGGTTATTTCTCCTATCGTACGTTACGTATTGCTTAACATTGATAGTCTTAGACATTTATTCATAATCTACATACTTAATATTGACATTGCATCATAGCCCACTAGTCTCTATTGATATAAATTTAATTACCATCCTTAATTTTAAATGATTAGCTGATAGTAAACTTATCACTTTTACCATCAATATAATCCCAATCAGTATCAAACCATCCAACAAGTCCTTATCTTCCTTTTACACATAAGTTAACACTTATCTAATAACAAATGGCATTACAAGTTAAGCAGATAATTAAACAATTTAAATCAAAAAAATCATTATTAGCCTTCCTAAAAATATTTAAAAGCCCTTACTCCTGAAGAACAGGATTAGCTATTTCATCAAACTATACTAATTGCTTTTTAATTAATAGAATTGCCAAAAAAGTGCTTCAGATGGTGTTTATTCTTCATATTCATATATTTCTTTCTCTGTTAATTGATGCTACTATGCAATCTATTATAGTTATATACTCTAACTTTCATTAATGAATAAATCTTATCAAATAGAAGCTTATCTCTACATGTTTATCTATAATCTTTAATAGTTAAAATCTCATCTTCCAGATTTAATCGTTATTGTTAATAATTCATTTGAATTTATTAATTAAATTATCAATCTTTCCATTTACAACAATTAACTAAATAGAATTTTTCAGTAAAATGATTTGGCTTATTTTTCATTTAATCACCTTATATTATTGTTTTTGTCCATAAGGAATGTAATTTATTATTATTATACTCTCCATATTTTCTATAGCATTATTTTTAAAGAATATTAAACATATGATAAGAATTATAATGGCGCTATAATTTAATTTTAATTAAATATGAGAACAAATAATATAATAATAATGGATAGTTATTGATCATAAATTCTAATTAATATTGTTTTATAGTTATAATAAAAAAGCTATTCAACTCTTAATTTAATCAATATGAATACAATTGTTTTTTTTGAAAAGCCGATAAAAAATAACTAAATACTTATTTGTATAAAAATGAAATAATGAATTAATTTATAAATATGAATAAAAACGCAAAACCTATTATTAGAAAATGAAAATCAATATCAAAATAATAATTATTATTTTATGGAATTAAGAAACAATAAGTTATTTTATTTACAAAAACATTATACGTTCAAAAATTTTATATTTATTTCAAATTGTCTCTCTTAAATATGAAAATAGTTTAATTTATTAATTAAGTATTATATATCGAAAATTAATTTAAAATGGTATATGAAGAAATTAAAAAATATTTAAATAATTTCTAATGATAAGGAATACTTGATTTATGATGATGATCATGCATTATCAATTAAATAATAAACAAATATATCAGAAACTCTATTTCCTTTTTGGTTATGATTCGATTATTTGATTTAAAAAATTTAATTATTAATCCTGATTAGTCTTTTCTTATTATTGTATAATTTCTTAATTATCTTCTAAACCAAATAACTTTTCATATTAAGCTTTCAAGTTGGATTCTAATTATTTCATTTTATTTCTATCATTATTAAATTAATCTGACAACCCTCTTTCTCTTGACATATAATATATTTAAAATAATTTATATATTAAATAATAATTCAAATAAGATCATCATTAAATTAGAAATATAAGAAAATATTAATAATATTTATGAGGTAACATAATAATTGACTTACGATAAATTGATAATTTATAATAAATTAAATTAAATTGATGTTTAGAATATTATTATTTTTTAGTAATCTAGCTAGGCTAAACTTTTATTATAATATAATAATTTCCATCATCATAATTTATTAGATTATTTTTAGAATATTCTTTTGTAATAATCTTCCTTAGACTTAGATCTACATACACCTAAATTCAAATAATATAATAGGAAGGAATCCCATAGTATTTAGTATATCCACCAAAGATTAAATGTAAATTTTGATCCATTACATTTTCAGCGTTTTTATCTAATAAACCTCAAAAAAGTCTTTGAAAACTATTGAAAATCAATCTAATAAAATTATTTATTTCTTACCGTTTAATAATGTTCCTTCTATATAAAGAAACTATATTAATAAAAGATATAAGTATGATAATCATTTAAATATAATAAATATTTAAGGGATAAATTTAATTTAAGGATTATAAGTAATCTATATAATCACTTGATAGTTGATTCTACACTAAAATTATATAAATTTATTAACGTGAATACAAAAATATACTATTCATAGAATAGATTAAGTAAAGTATCCTCCTTTGTAATCATATCTCTTTTCATTTGAATTTCTTAATATAATTAATTGATTAAATACATAATTTAATCTGCTTATACTGGATTAAACCATGACTATAAAAATTCACCTTCAAATATCATTCTATCTTTTTCTTATTGAGCATCATAATAATTTCCTATATTAAAAACATATAATACCTTCAAGCATAGAAATTAAATCTGATCGAAATCTACTATCTGACGGAGGCAATAACGGGTTATGTTTATTGAAGTCAAATTCTTTTTCATCTTTTTAAAACAATATCAATTCTTCATTATAAAAGTTATTAGCAATCAACTTTATTCTTTTAAAAATTAAATAATACTTTATTAGTGGTACCAGAAATTGAGAATTATCCAACAACTGCCTTAATTTAATTTGATCTGATTTAAATTTAATATTAGTTTCCCTTAAAATCGATTATAAAGTTTCCTTCAACCACAATTTCTGGTTTTTAAGTTACTAAATTCTTAATAGAAATGAGATGATTGGTCGAATATATCTTATAAGTGTCTAGATTTTTTTTAAAAGAAATAAATAATGATTTGACCAAATTAATATCTAGGATCAGATTGTCAAATGAGAATTTATATTCAATTTATCCATTATAATCAAGACTAGGAGATGTGGCATAGAATGCTATTGTATTTTCATTGATTTGCTAAGATAAATACTTGTAGTTATCAACTATTTCAAAAGTTTCATTGATCTTTGAAGGAAGAGGCAATAATTTTGGAATAGATGAATACTGAGATATAAGAAAACCAAAGATTAAAGCAATTTTAAAATCAGGATCTCTAATTGAACTTGCTCGATCCAAAATTGATATGTATTTCATTTATGTTGCCACCTATTACAACATTGTTGATGGTTAATGTAGATAGACTAGATATGTATATCAATATACTTGGTAATTTCATATTATAAATATTGTTATTTAGAATATGATTTTTAACATTCCCCCAAACATTATACTGTTATTATTTGAGTTTCTGTGACTTTTTGATCAATGGTGCTGGTTTTAAACTCTATGTGTGTATTGAATTGATAGATTAACAGCTTTAAAATTCAGGTTATGCTGATTAATAGAGTAAATCTACGATTTCACTTAATTTATCTAATAAATACCAAATATATTAATACCAATGAAAATTGATCCATAGGATTACAATCTTTCAGAATATGAATTTAGATTTGGATTTTATTCAATTGTTTTATTCACAAATTTAAGGGTGCTTTCGAATTGATATTGTAATGATCTTACTTTCTCTAATTCATCTTCTAAATGCAATTTCTAATTCTACTTTTAGATGCAATCAAACCAAACATCTTTCTCAAAGTTATTTTCAAACAATAATATAATCTTTTCAATTCCTGTTGTTATATTGATTTAACACTCTCTCTTTTCAACTTTGGCAATTGATAAATGTATTTGTCCAATCACACGATTTCCTTTCTTTTTACAATACAGCAACACAGAATCATGAAGAATGAAATAGTATTTTTATGTAGAGAAACCAATTTGACAATTAAGCAATCCTTCCATTTTATAATAATATAGAATTTAAAGTATTAGCTTATAATAATGACTCATCTAGATCATTTTAATATATATATATATAATAATTAATTAATATATATGTCAATAGAGACCGAAGTGTTGTATGCACTGTACTCATTGTATCAGAAGAATTTGATTTCTTATGAACAAAAGGGGATGATCAAAGGTAACTTACTTATTCAAACAAGATATGTTGATACAAAATGATTTCGTGCTAAGAGCTTCTATTGCCAATTGTGACACCTAGTTTTTGTTGTAATATCGCATTTTAGATTTACTAAAAGGTTTTCAGATGGTTTTTTATCCATTTAGATTAAGAATCACCTCGAAATTCGACTTGCATTAGCCCTTTAAAAAGAATGACTTCTTGCAGTACTACATAAAGTAGGTAAAGGATCAAAAGTGCAAATCAAAATCCAAATTAAAAAAAAACAATATCAAGATAAAGATCAAATTCTCTGACAGCAATTTGATTTTAAGTCCTCACTATTTAGTTTTGATATTTATGTTTTCATATGTTTTAATATATTAATTTATTAAGTTTTTTTAAAATCACTCTTATAAAAATGGGAATATGCCAAACTTCATCCATTAAATTAGACAAAAATAATAAGAGTGATACTAAAGCAGAATAATCTATATAAAATTCAAATTAACTAGATAAGTCAAAAACTATAAGAATCTTTGACTAAAACCAGAATAAAATTGTGGAAGTACCAGTTTTAGTACCTGCAACTAAGAATTCACTCTATTCTAAAAGATAGTCTCATAGTCCAATTTGTAATCACGATCATAAATAATTAGTAGCCTAATCCTCATGATTATAAATACATTATCTTATTATATAGTATTAAATTTACTGAATCGTTTAATAAAACTTCTTTTAAGTCTGTTGAGTTATTATATGAATTACAATAACTCGGTCTGTTGATTAAATTGATTATTTCTAATTAAAAGTATGACCAGAATTTAAATATTCTTCTTATGTTTATCAATTACATAACATCAATTTATATGCTACCAAAATATTAAGGGAGAGTGAAAAGAGAGTGAAATATATATGAATATGATTGATTTACATTAGAAGGAAACTGAAATTTAATAATGTAATGTATATCAAACGAAATATATAACATAATTATTAATGAATATCAAACAATTCTTAGTTTTTAGGCAGTGCGTAATTCCTCTTAAAAATCAACGGATAATCTATAATATAGTCTAGATAATTTGAGGATAGTATTACTTTTCAACATCTTAAATACAAGAGAAAAGTTTTGAATCTGGTAATTATTTTAGAGAATCTGCTAATTCATTTATTTGATTTTCTTTAATTTATAATTACTAATGAAAGTCTAATAAGTGATCTGATGGTGGTTTGATGATTGAAATCTTATCATTAAGTTGTTATAAAACTTATGTGAGATCTAATTAAGTATCTTCTGAATTATTGGTGAAAAGTGAATAAGAAGTAACAAAATTTAAAAAGGGATCATCTGATTGTTATTCTGAGATTTTTTCTGATGATGCTTCTAATTCATCACTTTAATCCACTTATTCAATTTCCAATCTCCTAATGTTCATGTTGGTTTATGGGATTATGACTATAGGCTTTTTATTACTATCTGATGACATTAAAGATGGAGACAAAAAATTTAAAATTAAATTAAAGAAATATTTTGGTACGAAATCGAAATGAGTAAGAATGATGATCTAGATAATGATGATGAGATGTTTGAGATATCCAAAAGGTAATATAAGAAGAAATCCAATAAAAGAAATAGATCTACTTGCAAAGTACAGAAAGATAATGATAATTATAATCCAAATAATTATACTCCTGAACCATTAAATGAATCATCTTAATTTGAACTTCAACCTAATTCTGAAGATGAAAAACTGAATAAAAAAAGATAATCACATACTAGTGCGAATTCAAAAAGAATTAGATAAAAAAAATAATCTTAAAAGACATAATAATAATAACAATAAGAAATTTAATAAGATGAATAATAACCTACTAAAGGTGATTAGGAGTATTATAAAATAGCTTAATTAACATTACCCTTATTCATGCAACCTGAAAACATTCGAGATTCAAAAGGAAGACGGCCAGATGAACCAAAATATAATCCGTCCACTATTTAGATTCCGAATGATTAATACGAAAAATTATCACCAATGTTAAAATAATATTGGAATGCAAAACGAAATCATTTTGATTCTATTTTATTCTTTAGATGCGGTAGATGGATAGCTGTGATATACAATGATGCAATTATAATTGCTAAAATATTCAATCGATACTTAGGATTTTGGGGAAAAGACAGACCATGTCTAACTATCTATGATAATCAACTACCAATATATTAGAGATCTTTATTAGAAAAAGGATACAAAGTGATGATAATTGAATAAATGGAGAAAGCAGAATTGGCATGTAAAGAAGATGGAGAAGTTGTAAAAAGAGAAATTACTTAAAAGATAAGTAGAGGCACTCTACAAGATTTAGGAGAAATAGATTCTTATGAATAAAGAAATCTATTAGTGTTAGTATATTAAAAAATACCACTCAATTTAAAAGGCCACTCATTTATTTTTGGCATTTCGATGGTTGATTGTACGACTAATGAATTTTGTTTTGATTAGTTCTTTGATGATGCTTAATACAATCGTTTAAGATCAGTTATTTATAATACTAAACCTGTTGAAGTCATCTTATGTAGAACTCCACCTGAAATTGAAAAAATTATTAAGTAGAATTATATATTTTTAATAAATTTAGAAATATATGTAACCCTACTGTTGTTCTATCCAATAAATCCTTCAAAGATTGTGAATTCATCTTTCAATTATTAAAAACTGAATATATGGAATTAAGTAAAGAAAAAACTATTAATGAATCAAAATAATTTGATGGCATAATTGTACCTACTAATAAACATTAATTTGAAGAAAAAATGGAAATTGACATCAATAAAGGATCGTTTTCAAATGAAAAAAAAGAGATTCGAGAATAATAAATTGTTGAGAATTATTAATTGAGTTAGGATTATCCTCATCTATTAATAGAAATGGAGAAACTATTTTATCATGAAAAAAAATAATCAGATAAAGAAGATGATGAATCTAACTTTTATTCTTATTATTATACTATCCAATCTTTTTATCTCTTAGTATGTTATCTTAGATAACTTTTAATTAGTCATTCAGTTTACAGAAGAGGTAAATTCAATTTTCTAGATTCCAATTTTACTCTTAACACTCATCTTTATTTAGATTCATAAACATTAGAAGGTTTGGAAATCTTTAATGTAAATCTTCAAACTTAAATTACTACTTCTGGTAGTTTATTTAGTTATTTGAATAAATGTGTAACTCATTCTGGTAAGAGACTCCTTACTAAATGGGTATAGAGTCCATTATTGAATTATAAATCAATTATTGAAAGATAGTAATGTGTTAAAGAACTTTGTAATTTCATACCTGAATGTTATGAATTCCAGAAAAGAATTAAATCAGTAACAGATTTAGAGCGTGCAATAATTAAATGTTTCAATACAATTCATTCTCATAAACTAAAGGCTGTACCATCTAATAAGGGTGAAAATATAAGTAAAACTAAATTAAAGGAAATTAAAAATGTTTTGAGTAATATCAGATAGGCTGCTGAAGCATTTAAGATATTTAATTAAAATATCAAATAATTAAAATCTTAAAAATTGTAGGAAATCTTTACTCATAAATAGAATACTCTTATTTTGATATAGTCACTTGATGAATTAGAAAATTATTTGATTATAGAAGATAATGAACCAAAACCTGTTTAAGGAATCAGTCCAGAATACGATCAGACAATGAATAAAATAATTAAAATTACTGATTCACTTTAAGATGAACTTGAAAAGTGGAAGAAGATATTAGTATGTCCAGAAATTATTTACATTCATTCAAAAATAAGATATTAATTAGAAATACCTGAAAAATATGTTGAAATACATTAAAAACCAAAAGAATTAATAATCACTTCAAAAATACAAGGATTTTTAAGATTTTAGACTCCATTTATAGAAGAATAACTATCTCAATTAAGATTGGTAGAAGATGAACTCTCCTAAAAGTTACTTACCTTTATTAATGAATATTTCACTAAATTCTTTACTTATAGGAAAGAATTCTTCTAATTAATTTCTTATCTTTCAGAAGCTGATTGCCTGTACTTTTATTAATTTATTTATTAGAATTTCTTTAGCTCTAGTATCAAAGGAATAATAAAAACAGGTCTCATGCTTTCCAAAAATAAATAAGGATTCTGATGAAAGAGATTTTAATTTGATTTAAGCATATCATCCTAGTTTATTATTAAATAGAAATATAGAATGGGTGCCGAACACAATTTAATTTACTGATTCTATTGATACTTTGTTATTAACAGGTCCTAATATGAGTGGCAAATCTACTTTGTTAAGATTAATTGGAGTTTCTATAATTTTAGCTTAAATTGGGTGTGCAGTACCAGCCTAATAATTTTCTTTAACTCCTTTTGATAGGATCTTCTGTAAACTTGGACCTTCAGATAGATTATTCGAAGGAAAATCAACTTTCTATATAGAGCTTGAATAAACTAAAGCAATATTAGATTATTCTACTTCAAAAAGTTTAGTTATAATTGATGAATTAGGTAGAGGAACTTCAACATATGATGGTGTAGCATTGGCTTCTGCAGTTTTAAAATTTTTATCAGAAAAAGTAAAACCATTTACTTTATTTGCTACACATTATAATATTTTATTAGATGAATTTGAATTGTATAAGAATATCAAAAAATGTGTTATGCTATATTATAGAGAAAAGGATTTAGTTATTTTTAAATACAAATTAGTTGAAGGTGTTGCTGAAAAAAGTTTTGCTATCAATGTAGCATATTTGGCAGGTATTTAAGAAGAAATCATTGAAAAAGCTAAATAAATGTAAGTCAAAATAACTAAAGAAGAATTCAAGATTAATAGGAATAGAGAGATTCTTAAAAAGTTTAATCAAATCATAACATAACTATTATGATCTTAGTTAATTAATGTCATTAAAATATTTATTTTATAACAGTTTAATATAAATTGTTATTNAATCCCCATATGTCTATTTTCTTATCATACATGTCATCTTCTAAAATTTCAGGTGATGCATATATCAATGTTCCACATTAAGTTTGTTTGTATTCATCTGGAGAATAGACATAAAATGAGAAGTCGGCTAATTTGACCTATCCAAAATTCAACAAGATATTATCTGGTTTAATGTCTATATGAATCAGATCTAGATTATGAATATACATCAATGCAAATGTAATTTATTAAACCAATTGGGCTGCCTCCTTTTCAGTGAATCTTTTGTTCTGTTTAGTCTATTAAACAGTATTCAATTATCCATGAGAACAATATTCTAATACTAAAACAATTTCACTTTCTAGGTATGTATTTTATTAATCTTACAAGTCTGAAAGAAGGTATACAATCTTGTTATGTTTGGATGATCAAAAGATATTAAATTTTATTTCCCAACCCAATTAACTTTACATCATCTCCTTTATTATTAATGCTTTCTATATCACTTTCAGTGCAACCAAAAATCCTGTTTGAATTTATAATGTCAAAAACACTTCACTATACTTAACAACTCCTAATTTCTTTATTGTCTTAAAATTCTTATACTTTGGCATCTTATTTTTCTATGACTCACATTTGCACCTTCATTATTTAATAAATTCTATACCTTTTAACTCTCAACCTCATTGTTATCTCTTTAAGGAACTAAACCTATTTTGGCTGGACTCTGATTGAAATTAAATTTATTCACTTTTTTTTGGAGATGAATATTCCTTTTTGCTTTTTAATGTTGATTATTGAACCATTGATTTTTGAGAAACAAGATAGAAGGAGAACTAGATATGTTCCTTACATCTCGGTCTGTTTTTATGATGCCTGTATAAACTTAAGATATTGAGAATCTTGTATAAGGATCAGAAGGTCGATGTCCACATAAGTTTCTTGATTTCTGTAACACTGAGTCTAAATAGGAGAGGATATTAGGATTTTATGCTCTTAGAATTGTGCTTAATAAATAATCAGTCTTCCTTTCAAAGAAAAATTATTAGTATTTTGTTTAGGATATTGGAGATATTGAAATTACAAAAGAGAAATCTAAATAACAATTATTTTGACACTCCAAAATAGGATTAAAATTGGGAGCAAACTCTCCGCTCCTAAATTTTTTTATAATAATAGATAAGGAAATGATTCAAACTAAAAGGTCAAGCTAAATTAAATTGGAAAGCGATGAACAGTCCTTATTTTTATAAATTTATTAAAGATTGAAGTAAAAATAAAAAACTGAAAGTAAAATCACAATTTTTTCCAAAAATAAAACACCTTTTAAATTCATTCTTTTTTCTAGTTAATTTTAAGGTCGATTGATTTTCAAAATTTGAGTATTAAACCCAATAGCCCCAGACTTAAAACAAAAAACTAAAATTTTAGTGTTATGACTATATAAACTAACTAAATTCATAATAACCAGACACGAAAGAAAAAAGAAAAACGATTTTATTTAGAACTTAATTGAATCCTTTTAAAAAATAATTTTACTTTTCAACTTCGCTGAATTCAAATAAATCTACAAAGATTTAGATGTGTGATTATTATAATTATATTAAAATTAAAAATAAAGTTTGAATCTAACAGATTAAACTTAATGGATATGGCAATTGTTAAAAATTCAAAAAAAATCATACTTTATAATATTATTTAATGAACTCATGCTTTTGCTATTCTTGCATTTAAGAAATCTAAGAATGGTGGTGTTTAAACAACTTATAATGCTTTAGCTAAGACTGCTAATTCTTATTAAACAGATGACTATATAAATTTGATAAGATTACCACAATATCATCATGTATTTTAAGATTAGCTGAATAATTATTATTTTCAGTTCTTAATCTATCTTAATAAGCTTTAAGATCTGCTTATCTAGTAGATATCATAGTTTAAACATCAGATATTCTAACAGTTTTATCTTCTCTTTCTTAATAGAAATCAGCATATTATTAATCAAATACTGTTTTTTCAGATGTTAATTATTATCTTCTTAATTCATCTTATTATTTTTAACTGTCTTCATCTTTATATGCTTTAGTTAAAGCATCAAATATATTTAATCTTAAACTATTTAAGAAATCACACATTTCTTTTAACACTTATCTATCTTTAAAATTAAATCCTTCAGTTAAATTAGTTAATGCTTAAATGAATGATGAATATTAATGTCCAAATTTTTCAGTATTTGATTTAACTTATCTTAAAGCTTTATTAACTTTATGTTTTTATTCATCTGAAATTTCAATAAAAGCAGCTCTAACTTCACCAGATTTAAATAAATCAGTTAATAAATCTAATGCTTCATCAATATTTCTTAATGCATCTGTAAATTCAGTTGTTGTTAATACAAATGAATCATGTTATGTATTTATAACAGCTTCAGCTTCTTTAAATGATTAATTATTATCTGTTTATTTAGCTTTAAGTCCTAATAAAATCTATTAATTTAATTAAGATTATAATAATAAATACATCATCTAATTCTTAAAGTCTTGGAATTAATTCAGAATTTAATACTTTCTTTTCTCTATTAATATCAAATTCAGCTTAATTAGCTTATGAACTTAAAGATATAACTTTAGCATTATGTTCACCTTCAATAGCTTCCCATTATGTATTTTCTAAATTTAATCTTTCTTCAATTTATCTTCCAAATGCTTTTACTCCTTCAGTAAGTGAATCAACTGCTCCAGTAACTCTCATTGTCACTTCAGCTAAATCAACAACTAAATGTCCAATCTTTGATTATGTTAATTCATCAATCTACTATTACACACCTGGGTTAACATATTAATCCATAACACCTTAATTACTTACATTATATTATTCTATTACTTTTAAATCTTAGTTGATGCGACAACACAAATTAGAGCTATTAAAACAAGTTTTTTATATGTCATAGTTGAATTCGTTTTTTATAAATTATAATGCCTGATAAAATTCTCTTATTAATTGAAATGATTAAAAAAGATACAATAAAATATTGAAATAATTATTTCGTAATTTAATGCTTCTAACAATAACTAGATAGATTTATATTTATAATATATCTAAAATGAAGTCAATACATAGAATTTATATAAATATTTAATTACATTTGAGTAAATAAATGAGGGTTTTCAATTAGGAGTTATGATTCCTGTAACAATATTAAAGCTTCTTTTTTTTGGAACATATCTTTAATTCAAAGGAACGATGGGGCTATTTCCAATAAAATTTGAATTCCTTTATTTTTGAGAAGGAGTGGAGACCTAGATTTTTTATTACTATTATGGAACTTATTAATTCAAAGAATTTGAAGCTTATTTCGATTATTTTGTATGTTTAGAGCTTTCAGATCTAGTTCCATCTTATAAATGAATTTAGGCTGGATTTATAATTGTATGATTATTGTTTATAATCTTTTGCTGCTATTGTAATAATTAATACTTTATTAGATCTCTATCAAGTAATTCTAATTGTTTTTTACGTTCAATAGGATAATAATTATCTTGATAAATTCTTGGTAATTTATTTTAAGATTCATTCTGGAGTAATTTTAATTCTTATGGATTACTATATTATTATTATTTTCTATCTAATAATAATTCATAATTTTCGGTCTCATATTATTTATAGGCTTAATAATTTTTGAGTTTATTCTCCATCATCCTTTACTTTTCAAATTCTATCTTTTACTCTACCTTCTATCTTTCTTCAATCTTCTTTAATCTTAATTCTTCCATTTATTTTTATTTTTGTTCAAGTTACTTTTATAAATCCTCTTGATACTTCTTTGTATCTATTTTTCCTCTATTATGTTCAATTGTTAAGGTTAGAATAGATGGTTGAGTATTTTGTTATTACTCCTGTCTCAACTTTCTTTTATTGTTGATCATATCATCATATGTATATTTTAATAGTTTTGCTTCTTCTTCTTTTTTGTATTTTCTTTCCTCTAAACTTTTCATTTCCTTCACTTATTCCTGTCTGATGAATTCCTTATCTAATTATTAGTTGTTGTATGATCTTTCCAAATTCTTTTTCTTTTTAATCATCAGATTATTAAGGTTATCCAAACTTGTCTGAATTTACTTAATCTTTCTTTCCTCCATTTCCTTTAATTTCTTGGATTCCCTCTATCTTAAAGTCTCTAACATTATGGATTCTAGTTGTTGATTTTAATTTTGTTGGACTTATTTCTTCTATTAATGAAGCATCATGTCAGTTTGTAATTCTTATTTGTACCTTTACTTTCTTAATTCTTGATCCTATTTGAATTAGAAATCATTTTTTTGTTTCTCCTACTATTAATTCTCTAATATTTTAGACCAATAAGGGGATTATTATTGTTATTACTATATCATATATATTTTAATATATTTTAATGTTATCAACTCAAGCCTTTGATAATGCTTATTCAAATTCATGAATCCATGCTGTTCTACTATTATGAGAATTCAATTTTGCCATAATCAATCCACCAATAAAAAATACTATTGGAACTACAATGACAGCTGTTAATCCCTATGTAGAAAGTTCAGTATTAATGTTTTCAGCTTTACAACAACATGCATTTATGCCTTTATCGGTCAATTAATAATTATCAGTACAGAAATATTTCTCATACCTTATATCTGCAGATAGTCTTTGAGCTTCTGAACTTTACTATATGACATCTAAAGTTGTTGGTTCATTAACTTTAACATCTCCCTATATTGATTAACAGAATTGAATCCATTATATTTATTTAGTTTCTGAATTATAGATTGGATCCTTATAAAGTAAGATCGGACAGGTGTCTAAATCTATGTAGGCAAATTAAGCATCCTTCTTATACAAAACGGTATTTCCCTTTTTTTCAACTTCTGATTTAACTTAAAAAATTAATAATAATAAAAACATATAATTAATATTATTATCATTCTTCAATTATTGCTCCTTATTCTTTACAGGAATAAAACACAGAATTATTATTTTAAGGTGTTTCTTTTTTGTAAGAAGAAAAAACTTAAGGATTTGTAGTCTAATTGAAAATCTCCTTCTATTAAGATAATTATTATTGAATAACTTAATCTCTAAATGGAGATTAATATTCTTGTGGTGGATTATTATTATTATTAATCTGATTTTACATCTGCAATTACTTTTACATAGAGTATTATTGCATATATTATTATTACTATTTACTTTCTGATTTAATGAATTCAGCAAGACTATTTTATTGTGGTTGTTAAATAAATGGAGATTCACAAAAATTTGGGGTTTCTTTTTTAATTTCCAATTATTATTTTGATTATGATTGAATTTTCATAATCAATTTGGATGAAGATTAGTGTTCAAATATATCCTCATTGTTTTGATGAGGATCAAGTAGCATTTCTGGAGTTTCGCATAGTAAATTGTTTTACTATTCAAGAGATTATTTATTTTTTGAATCTGTTTTGAATAGATTGTCAGTATTAAACACATTTTGATTAGAATTGTTAAACATGTTAAATATGTTATTGGTATTATCATACAGAGTATTATTTTCGATGAAGTGAGCACTTTATTTAATAATGTTATGTGATTTCAATAAATTTATTGTTTATAACACTTTATTTTCAGCTAAATCTGAAGTCTGCATAATAGATGCTATTTAAATAAGTAAATTATAATTTGTAGTTTATTATTCTTCTATAATATTTGGAGGATTTTCATAAATTATGGAATTGTTGATGGATGTGTTTTCTTTATTTATGCCAGAGAATCTCAGGGTGTGTTACTTCTTCAAAAACAAGACTAAATCATAATTTTCATGGAAGTAACATTTACTAACTTTGTCAATGTCAAATTGCTTTTTCATGTGAAGTTTCTGCATAGCAGTTTGGAAGAGCTTGAGATTGCTGATGTGATCAATTTAGGTTTTTGTTTTTAGTACTATTTTAGAAGGATTCAAACAAGTTGGATCAATCATATTTAGTAGTTTGCAATAGGCTACTCCATTACCTAGTTGTTCTATTTTGGTAAAGTTTGTCTATTTTAATTAGAATTCATTACTTTTAAAAGAGCATTAATCCAATGAAGAATTTCTGATTTTGAATTTTCCATTTTATTTTTTGATTTTGAATTTATAAATATATCAGTTCATATATTTGATGCAGGAAATTAATATTTATTAAAAATAATTTAATGGATAGCATAGAGAAGGAAGTAGACAACGAAAGAGGATATTGGTCAAAACACTCTTCTGCCAATGGACAGACCTATTATTACAATGTAAAGACTGGGCAATCTTAATGGGATAAACCTGAGTGTCTTCAGGATGAAGAGTCAGAAGTTGAAGAGGAATGGCAATAATATTTAACAGAAGATGGTAAGCCATATTGGTACAATCGCATAACGAGAGAGAGTAAATGGCAGAAGCCAGAAGAGGAACAATAAACGTATGGAAATATAATATTAGTGCAGATCAGGAGAGGAAGAGGACATCATCCCGCCAAATCCGATCGACTAATTTACTTAATTATTGAAGGATAATAAGATTACATCTAGTGTTAAGTGGGATTCAGTTGTTAAACAATTACAAAGTGATTCAAGATGGAAATGCATAGGGAGCATTAGTCACAAGAAGAAGATTTATAATCAGTATTTGGAAGAGATGAAAAAGCAAGAAAAAGAAGAGAACAAAACTAAATTGAGTATGGCAAAGGAGGATTTTATGAAAATGTTGGAGGAACACAAGATCCTCTCTTCAGACATAAAGTTATGGAAAGTATAAAGTTATCTTGTTACAGATGCAAGATGGAAAGCAATCCCTGATGAAAAGGAAAGGGAAAATTTATTCCAGGATTATTTAGATAAGTTATATAAACAAGAGTAAGAGTAGATGAAGGAGAGTCGCAAAACGACCACTGAAGATTTCAGAAAAAGGTTACAAAGACATATAGAAATAGGAGTCTTAAGTCATAGTTCCACTTGGGATGAGTGCTTGAAGCTATTTAGTCAAGATAGACTCTTGTAACAGATGTTGCCAATTGATGCTCTTGGAGTCTTTGAAGAAGTATAAAATTCTCTTATTTAGGTTATCAACCCTCTTTATGAACAATGGAGATAGTCAATCATCTCTAAATACAGGTAGAATAGGATCAACTTTAGGGAATTGCTCTAGGAACACCTGGCGGAAGGCTTATTGACACACAAGACTAAATGGGGTTAATTTGTATAGACAATATAATAAGATGATAGATTTATTTGCATGCTCGGACAACCAGGGTCACAACCTCATGAGTTGTTTTAAGATTTCATTTCACATTTAAAGTAGAACCACTAGTTATATAAATCGGAGTTAAAGATGCATCTCTAATAAAAGGGAGTCAAGGTGTTAACCAATGTAAGCTTTGAAGAAGTGGAAGCATACTTTGTTGATAATCAGATTTGGTCAAAAATGCCATCACATGAAAAGAAATATTATTATCGCTACTTCTAAGAAAACATCAAGTAGTCATCCAACATTTAGTCCAAGCGATATAAGAAGATGTGTAAAAGATACATTAAATTATTAAAATCATTACCTGATTACAAATCTTATGAAGAGATGTTACCAATTATCAATTAAAAGATTTAAGAGAATCCAAAACTTGCTGGATTAGTCGAAGAACAAAAGAAGGCACAATATGAATCATTTGTTGCCAATCTCTAGTAGCTGTAATCATAATAATAACAAAATTAATCATAGCAAATATCCATTGTTTCTATAGTTAGTTAATAATAATAATAATAATAGTAGTTGTAATAGATCTAATAATAACAATAACAATAATAATAATTATTTATATAATAATAATAATAATAATAATAATAATAATAATAATAATAATAATAATAATAGTAATAATAATAATAATAATTATAATAATAATAATCTACATAAATTCAAGAAGAACCTATTTAATAATAATAGACATCTGAAAAAGATTAAAGTGAAAGAAAGAAGAAAAAAAAGAAGGAGAAAAAGGAGAAGAAGGAAAAAAAATAAAAGGAGGAGGGTTCTATAAGACAAGATCTCAGTTAAGTTGAACCAGAGAAGTCAAAAAATGTAAAATAAGAGCATGAACCAGAACCTGGAGAAATCTAACCCAATTATGATTTTAATGATCAAGAGAAGTCAAAGAGCAAAGGGAAGAAGCACCGTAGAAGTCATCGTAAGAGCAAGAAACATCACAAATAATGAATATTATTTAATAATAAGATATAAATAACAAGTACCTATTCTGTAATTAAAGAATAAATTAAATAATTGAATGAACCCGCCTCCTGGATTATGTGATGATGATGATAATCAAATCGGCCCACCTCCTGGCATTGACATACCACAGAAGAAGAAGTTTCATGTGAATAAAAAACAGAGTCAATAGTTTTAATAGACTTCATTGGAATCATTAAATTTGGAATTGAAAGTCACTGTTTAAGATTAGCAATTTGATCAAGTAATACTATTCTGAGCAATTAGATTCCAATTAGCGATGATTATTTAGAGCCTTCTATGAATAACCTGATTGCATTTAATGGATATTTATGTGACACATCTGGAGCAGATTCATTAGCTATTTGGGATAAGGAAATGAAATTGAAAAAAGAATACAAGGGATTAATAGAGAACATGCCTTATTAAATGGTGGCAGTTCATGATAAGATCTATTTAATATTTGGAGATATTTTAATGATGATTGAGCCAGAAACAAATAAAAAGACAATCTTGATTGAATAAGCACTAACAGCATTTTGTGTATCAGATCATCCTAATCCAAGGTAGTGTCATATACATACCTAGAATTATAGGTGTCTAAGATGGGGAACTAATGTTATGGAGAACGTCCAATTTTGGAAAACCAAATCAAATGGAACCCAAATATAATAATTTTGAACCAAAAACCAAAAAAATGATTGAATTATAAAAAGTACTTTCAGAGAAATTCGATGATTGTGATGATCTACTTATGCTACAAAATGGATTAGTGTTTGGCAAATAGAAAAAGGTAGGTGAAGTCTTCATAATAGATTTTGTTAATGATTAATTGGAAGAATTATAAACTACATATGGTTGTGCAGTGACATGTTGGACACCTATTTCATATGATTCAGTTGCATTTGCTTCTAATGGTTAGATTGTGATTACTAAATTCTAATCTAATAAATAGGCTGTAGTTTAAATTATCCTGAATTCATCAAAAGATGACATTCATCATGGTTTATGTTATACTAACAATCAATTATTTTCAATCAGTAAGAATGCAGTAGTGACTAGTTGGAACATCGTATTAGGAACAAAAACCAAGACATTTGAAGTAAAGTTTTGTCCAGGTGTTTATTCTCTTATTACAATGAATTAAGAAATAATAATTGCTGAACACAAAGTTAAGAAGGATTTTATTTTGTTGAATACTAATTTAGAGAAACAATTTTTTTACAAAGCTAGAGTAAAATAAGTTTTACATTGTTGTTCAAGTCCCAATCAATAATTTCTGGCTGTTGTTTAAAAGTGTGGATTACTTTACGATGAAGAAGTGATCTTTCATATTGAAATAGAAATTTATCCCTTTGACAACAAATTAGAATTCTAGAGAAGAAAGGAAATTGACAATCTTGAGATCAAGACAGTTATGTTTCTCAATGATTCTACTATACAATGCATTCTCAAGATCTCTAAGAGTGTTTATCCTCTCCTTGTTAAATGGAACTTTATAACTAATGAATACAGCGAATCAGAAATGCTGGTTGAAAAATATAAAAGTTGTCAATTATATCAAAATCGCTCTGTCTTTAGTTATGATTTTCACAATCCCCCTTCCCAATAATTTAATCTCTTTGCACCAAAAAGAGTAGATGATCAGAATCAAAGTACTGGCATAAGTGTCTATGATGAAAACATAAAACGTTTATTGAAGGTTTAATTTTAATAGTAATTTAATGCTGACGTTTTTGGGATGCCTACTCCAGATTTATTATATGTTTTAAATAATAAAAATTAGATTGAAGTTTGGGATGTAGTAACTTGTTAATAAGTTTAGAAAGGTATATTTATCAATTTTGATTAATAGCTGATTGTAGGCCAAGCATTATCAAGTAAATAAGATTCTCTTAATAGTATTTATTTTTAAATGCTCAATCAGAATGGATCATAAGAGATTTGAAATTAGCCTAAATTTGTAAAACTAAAGGTGACATAATTAACAAGTGTCTATTTTTAGATAAAAAATGTGTGATTAACTAGAAATAAAACTTATATGAGTGGGATTTAGTGAATAATCAATGCAAATAAATTCCACTATTTAAAGTTTATGATTTTTGCATTATTTAAGATAAGATACTAGCAATTGGTGAGTCAACTATAAAGTTAATTTGAGATATAAGAGATTATTATTTATCTATATTATTCATTTTTTTAGGGTAGAGTATAAATGTATAAAATATTTAAATAACTAATTAATGTGCGAAGATTCTCGAGCAATCCTCGATGAATTATTTGGAAAAGAGAGAAATGTTGTTGCAAGTAAAAGGAAAAACGATGCTCATTATTGGAATGATGATGTGTGCAAGAATATACTAGTTTCAAAGTGTTTTAATGATCTTTGGAAGCATACTAAGTATGATCATGAAGGGGAATGTAATAAGAGACATGATCAATTTTTTATTAATGAATTCAATAGTGATAAGAGTTTAAAGAAGCAATAAAGAGAAAAGAAATACATAGAAGAAGCAATAGGTTTAGTATGAACCTGATAATTATATTAGCTTACATCCAAGATAAGTTGAAGGAAGTAGACAAGATATTGACCAAACATGAAGAGTAAGTTGAATAATCAAGCAAACTATAAGTGGCTGATCGACCTAAAGAAATTTAAGATAGACTTGACAATATGGAAAGATAGATTAATCTATTAACAGATTAAAGTGAAAAGATGGGGGAATAAGGTAAGATAGAGGAATCGGAAAGATTGATAATGGAGGCAGACAATTTAAAGAAGGCTAGAGAAGATGTATTACTTGCATATGAGGGCACAAACAATCCATTTAAAACATATAAAATTTGTGAAGTATGTGGAGCTAGATAATCTCTTTATGAGACAGAAAACAAAGTCAAGTATTGATTTCAGTATTACTCTATTTCTTAGAACGCATCTAGATGGTAGAATTCACTAAGGGTTTTCTACAATTAGAGTGGAGTTGTAAAAATTATAGGTGCGAAGATTGGTATTGGAAAAGATATTAGAGGAAGAAGCTAGGAAGTAGGAATTCAAAGAGGATATTGCGAAGGACAAGGAGTAAGAGAAAGAGAGAGAGAAATTAAAGGATAAGAAGGAAAAGGAGAGATCAAGAAGTAGAGAGAATTCAAGAGAAAAGAGTAGGAAAAAGAGTAGTAAGAAAAAGAAGGATAAGGAGAAAGACAGAAGTAAATCAAGAAAGCATAGCAAGTAAAATTTAAATATATATTAATTTATTAGGAAACATCACAAACATTGAGATATAACAGTCAATATATATATTTTTGTTAAATAACATTTACATTATTTGTTATTTTGTTATATCAAATATATATTAAAAAAGTTATAAGTTTATTAAATTAACAATGCCTCCTAAAAAATAGAAAGATGATGGAGCTTAAAACAATGCAGCAAAAATTACAATGCTTGATTTCGAAGCCAAAAGATTATAGATGAGAATCGTTGAGGAACAAATGAGAGCTGATCGTTCCAAAACATAAGAGATGCAGTTACAATAAAAATATTTAAGTATGGAAAAGGACTTCAAAGGAGAAAAGGAAAAGTTATTTAATATCAGTACAGATATGAATAGACAATATAAATAAATGCAGGATGAATTACTTAAAGATATCAATGAGTTGAATGCTACTGTGAAAGAAAAGGATGAGGTTATTAGTACAAATATAATAAAGTATACCTAGAAACCAAAGAATAGTAAATAACTGATTATCGAGCTAATTATGAGGAGAAACTGAAGAAAAAGGATTAGGATATTGCAGAATTAAGGAAGAAAATTGATGACATGTCATTGGAATTTGCAGACATGCTCAAAGAAACTCTTAATAAAATGCAGGAACGTATAGAATTGGCATAATGGGATAACAATTCAGATAATTAAGTTATGAGAAATTTCAAGGAAGCATCAGGTTTTGGCAATTGAATTTAAAAAGTGAAAATTATTCATTACAATATTATTACATGTCTCATAATTCAATATAATTTTCAGTATCAGTATTAATGTTACGTAATTTTTTGATATATTGATAACCCCAAATAATGGCTATGGAGAGTGCAACTAATAAGGAAAACACTATCCATCCAACATAAGTACGATCTAAATCAATTTAAATGATATTGATGGTCAGATTTTGAAATGAATCAAAATTTGATGCATTTAGATATATAATACTTTCAGTATGAGGAAAAGCATGAACTTTTATTTAAAGTTATTATGAAATAATAAGCATATGCTAATTGGTCAATACCAGATTGTTAATCAAGTAATACAAAAAGGGTGAATACTTTTAAGTATATGGTAATGAATAATGGAGAGTTCGACAAAATAGAAATTCAATTACTCTGAGTTTCCCTGTAAAATCAAAGCTGAATGGTTGATATATGCAAAGAGTTTGAAATACTTAGGACCCTACTTTTTACAAGAACATTGAGATAACCGTCAAATTACCATTGCTATTATATCCACTGACAGTTTGAATAGCCTTTTGATTACTGAATTATTAGAATATTAATAATTTATCTACAATTTCTATACTATTTTCGTATATTTGTACAACAAATGAATAAGCATTATTTTGACTTCCAAATAAAAGTGTAATTTCAGAATAATTGGAATAAATTACAGGCGATCCAATTTAAGATATTTAAATCAATTGAATTGAATTGGAAAGTATGGATTAAATAAACAATTATTTTGGAGTATAAACATTGACTTATTAAATTGGTTATGAGAAGTTGAAACAATTATAATGGAATGGGAAGGTGGAAATATCATCTGTAATTCCAATCCAACCTGCACATTAAAGTGCTTTCAAATTTGTAGGGGTTGTATTTATATTAATCAAAGTGAATGTAAAAAGTTGATATACACAATTCTCTGTTTTTTCGATTAAATTCATAGTAAATTAATTCACCCAAGTTACATAATAAGTATTAATTATTAAACAATTAG